TGGGACGGAATGTCCTAGACCGCGGCCCGGATAGTCCGAAACTGTACCTGCTAAGCAGCCCGAGCTTCGCGGCAAAGAAGACAGGGACTCCTGCAACCCCTTCCCCCACCCGACCAATTCTGGAAACAGATATCTATCGACTTCATGACGGACCTACCAGCCAGGTCTAATGAAGACCCTAGATACCTAATGGTAATTACCGACCGTTTATCTAAGTACGTACAGCTTGAAGCGATGACCTTAATGAGGGCAGACGCCTGCGCGGAACGGTTTAAACAAGTCTGGTGGCGTTTCCACGGGTTCCCCTCCCAAATAATAAGTGATAGGGGGTCTGACTGGGTCGGTTTCTTCTGGCGGACACTATGTCAACTCGCGGGGGTAGAGCAACTGCTATCAACAGCCTACCACCCCCAGACAGACGGCGGGACGGAGCGGGCGAACCAAGAAGTACAGGCGACCTTAAGAACAGTCGTAGCCTTCTCGCAGCTAGACTGGCCCCTACACCTACCGGCCTGCCAGCTAGCCCTCAATAACCGGGACTCATCCGTAACAAAGGTGAGCCCTTTCAGGCTCCTCCACGGCTTCGATATTGAACCTATACAATCGGTTAAGGCATGCCCCACGAGCCCGAACAGCCCCGCCGGGCGAGCTACAGCGTTTATGCAGAGACTCCGGGATGGGACTGAATTAGCCCAAGCCGCAATCGCCTTCGCTCAGCAGCAACTACAGGACGCCACAGACCGCGTCCGCCGCCCTGCGGAACGCTTCCAAGTTGGGGACTGGGTCTGGCTTAGCCTGCGAAACCTAAAGACACAGCGCCCTAGTAAAAAGCTTGACTGGGTTAGAGGTCGCTACCAGGTCACCGGCGTCCCGACCCCGCTCACAGTACAACTTGATGTCCCGGGGGATGTCCATAAAACCTTTCACGTTGACCTTGTCGAACGAGCTGCCGACGATCCCCTCCCGAGCCACGACCGGGGGGTCTCCAACCCGGGACCAGTCGAGGTAGGCTCGGATCCGGAAGGCCCCGGACTGGAAGAGTATGGAGTGGACAGCATCTTGGCTGCTAAAACCGGAAGGGGCCGAGGCCGGCCCCGGCTGGCCCTCGTCAAGTGGACGGGGTGGGACCAGCCGACGTGGGAACCGATCTCGGCGGTGGAGGACACGCAGGCCCTAGATGAATTTGAGAAAGAATGGGGGGACATCCGACACAACGACGGACCAAGCTCATTACGGAAACGGAACGGGGGCACAGGTGTTGCTGACGCGGTTGGTATTCGGGCCCTCGACGGGCGGGGGGCGGCTACGGCGGCTACGGTACATGAACGTCTCCCAATTCAGCCAACTCCCAATCCTCCCCCATTCCATACCTAACTCGCGAATTCTCAATCTTCATCTAGTACACGTCAAGGTACTCCAAGCATTCCGACTGCTTACTTAGCCTCGGACACCTCGGACTCGTCGTTACCGCCACCGAAATCCGAGTCGACATCGCCCTGGGCAGGGGCGGCCTGCTCAACGACAAAAGGGTTGGTGGGTCGAGGTTCCGCAACGACAGGAGGGAGGGTGGGCTGGAGTTCCGCCTGACGCTCACGGCGACCCGAACGTCCTCCGGAGCGGTTGGTGCGAGGGCGCTGTTGGGTGGCGCGGGGGGTGCGAGACGGAGTCGACGGGGTGCTGCTGGAGGGAGGATCGTACTCAATCTGAGCACGACCACCAAAGGGGGCGGGCGCAGGCAGACCACGCTGCGGAACCATGCCGAGAGACTGCATCAAGTGGGCAGTGAGCTGAGCGGTGTCGCTGAGGTTGCTGGCGACCTGCTTGTTGAATTCTTCCTACTGGTCAAAGCGGCGGTCGATGTGGTCGAAACGGTTGTTGAGAAACTGCGCAATGCGCGCAAGTTGGTGGGTGTTGGCGGCGCCACGAGTGCCCGACGGAGTGGAGGCGGTTCACCACCGGAGCCGGTGGCGGTGCTGCCCGGAGCGAGGTCGACGGCGGCAGACATGGTAGCGGGGGTGCGAGGCGGAAACGGCGCGGAAACCGGGGAAGAGAAAGACACAAGAAAACTGCCAACGCGGGGCAGCTGCGAGAGCGACTTGAGGAGGAGGAAAGAGGGAAAACTTGGGGGTGGGAGGTGGGAGAGGGCTTTATATATGTGTCGAGGAGGAGGGGCGGCCTGCCGGCGAGCGCACCACGTGGGTCCGGTGCGCCGGCCAGCGCACGTCGCCCGGCCGGCAGCCGCCCCACTTTTCGCCGCGGCGGCGCCATCACACGAGGCACGCCGGGCCTTCTTTTCTCCGCGCAGGCGCCAGCACACGAGGCACGCGGGGCCTACGCCTATAGATGAAGCGCGCGGGCAGAGGGATCGCGGCGCCCGCGGCCTACACGGGCCCGAACTGTGGGAAGGAAGGAGAGCGAGGAGGGCGGAGCTCCACCGAGGAAAAAACGGGAGCCCGACGCCAATCCGCGGGAGGCCACCCCTAGGCGGTCGTCGGAGGCGTGCCGTCTACACCGGATCACAGAGATGGAGAGAACCGGGAGAGTCAGAACCCCAGCAAGAGGGGAAGGAAGACTCGACCCCGGACCGCAAAGGGATACTCTCGGGCAGCCGTCGTGTCTAGACATGCGTCAGATACGAGCGTACCCGGACCCTCACGCCACGCTCGACCAACGTAACGCGGCAGTCAAGCGACCCCTACGCGGGAGCCAAGCGGTTCCTACGCGTGAGCCATATCGCGAGAGGCGAGGTTACGCGACACGCTACCTAATACCGGTAAGCAATTCGAGCTATAGTTTGGAGGAACGATAGTCCGGGGCGGCGGTCCCGATACCGACCATCCTAGGAGGGGGGGGAGGAGGGTATGTTACGGGCTCGGGCTCTGGCCCGAGCCTAGGTGGGTCAAAAAAGGGGAGACAGGGGGGGTTAACAAAACCGTAACGCGCTCACGGAGAGTTGTCACGATCCTGCCTCCGGGGTCAACCGTCTGGCAGGGCGCTGGGGTTGCTGTTCTGCAAGATAGGTAAAGCCTGTACAATAACAACTAACACTCTGCTGTCGTTCTCTCTCTGGGTTGTCGTTCGTGTCTCTTGGAAGAGATACCAGTCTCGGCAATTGAGTGACTAGTTCAAGTGTGGGTGAAACTGATACTTAGATTGATCGCTGAAGTACAAAGGTAATGACTGTCTATCTAGGAGATCCTTCTGGCTCTATATATCCCTTTGTCCTTCATCGTGCCCGTCGTCCTGCGACACCGTTGGGTCGCATGCCGACAGTTTGTTGTCGCAAGACCGACGGATGATGGTCGCCGTGCGACCGTTCATCGTCGGCTGCTGACGTAAGGTGGGTGCTTACATAATGTGTTCCCCGCCAGCCTTCGCTGGTCCGCCCTTGTCCCTGGCCTGATCCTGCGGCCTTGTTTGTGCTGGGCTTGTTTGTTACCTCAGCCCCAAGCAGTTCCCCTGTTGGTCGGGTCGTCACAAGAGTGCGAACTACCTCCTTTTATTTCCCAAGTTCGTAGTAAATCTAATACGCCTAGTATCTGTTCAGACCTAGGGCCAGTACTTAACAGTAAAACAGGAAAAGTGGAGACCGAGCTACGTAAGATTCTTAGTTTAAGGGTAATATAGTGTCACGATCCGATCTCCGGGGTCAACCGTCTGATCGGCGCGGTGGGGTTTATGTTCTGAATAAGGCAGGTAGCAACCTCATGCAATACTGACTCCGTGCTTGTCGTGTTCTCGAGGGGTTGTCGTTCGTGTCTCTTGCGAGATACCACACTCGGATCAATTGAGTGACTAGGTCAAGTGAAGGGTGAGAATGATACTTAGATTGATCGCTGAAGTACAAAGGTAATGACTGTCTATCTAGGGAATCCTTCGCATTATATCCTTTGTCCTTCATCGTGGTTTCAAGGAGGTGTATCCTTGGATCGCTGGATATGTTCCGATCCACATATCCTACTGACATAATGAAATGCTTACGTAACCTGGGGTGTGCCGTCCCGCGTGTATGACCTGCCCTTGTCCCTGGCCCGATCTTGCGACCTGTTGGTCGGGTTGTCACATATAGTTATTTCAAGAATTAAATATTTTAGATTTAGATAGATTATTCTTATCGTTTATAAGTAGGCTTAACTACATATCTATATCTCTTAATATAAAGAAGTTATAAAGGTTTAAAAATCCCTATATAAGCAGCGATAAGAAATGACCCGTTCACCCGTGTGACCCGTTCACATGTGGACTACGTTATATATATAACTTATATACATATATCGTATGTACGATGACGAACAATCCATATGTGCATGTCTACTAGCCCGCGATTGAAACTATGCAGTCAAGGCTTTTTCCCGTGGATGGGGCCAAAGCATACTATGTGTGTCCCCGACTTGAGCCCGGTGATGATGGCCCTTCCAATGGCTCAATGATTTCTGTATCGCGGTCCGTGACGTAGCTTACGGGCCAGACACATTTTGAAATCATTCATTAGGAAGCGCGTACCCTGAATATCTATATATTGTTTATATAAGCCACATAGTTATGTCTCTTGAATTTTCAACTCGGCCACTACTTTTGTTTTTCAGAAAAGAAGACTAAAGCCAGGTTTTGGAGCCCACTCAGAAGAAGAGGGCCAAAGAATTCCCCCCGTAATCGTTGTAAAAGCCAGCTTCGTCGTGCGTTAGTTACCCTCTTTGGCCTGTGTGAAATCATCAACGCCCGTTTGTATGCTTCGCGTAACTCTGTCTCTGTGTGTGAGTGTGTGTCTGAGTCTGGTAATCCGAACTTGCAACGCTATCATAAAATTGCCCATCATGCTTTTGTTTTGTTCCTTCTCTCCCTCATCCTGCCTAGCTCGGTAACACACCAACGCATTGCCGGTCCACAGAGAAAACCCGACAGGTGACCGGCCTGGTGACAACGCAGACCCCAACATCTGGATGCCGCGAAATGCCGCCGGAAGATCCGATGGGGTCTTGTCGAGATTCTGCGCATAAAACTCATTCGCCGGACACGACCGACTTTTCTGCCCGCGCTCGCATGTAGCCCGCATGGGTCTCGAGGCATTGCGCCATAAGATGGAGGACTGTTGGAAAAGTGTTAGCACGAAATCGCCCATTTGAGTACAACAAAACTAGAAAATCACTTACCAGGCCAGACCGCAGACTTCTCGACCATGTATGAAGTCACACGTAATATCTTTGCTGCGTAGCCGTTGTAGTTGTCCATCTGTAATCGCGCATCGATGCCGGTGTGTGCATTGCCACTGACCAGATCCATGCTCATCTTCATTTCCGCGCTGGCCAGGAGCTCTTGTATCTTGCCCAAGAGTTTGACGTCCTCGTCCTCCAGGAGCATGATCGCCGGCACCTGTGTCAGGTCCACCTCATCTTGTCCGAGCACGCCAAGATATCTACCAACACGGTCTTGAAGGGTTGCAACCCATTCGGCAAGCACCTGCGCACAATCGAATGCACACATTGCCGATTGTACAGGTAACTCCCGGCTTGTGAAGTCGGCAAAGGTGACGCCCAACCTGTCAGACATGGACAGCGAGTCTGCCGCATAAAATGCAGCTTTCCGAAGGTGCTTTTCCCGGCGAGAAATGGTACGGCTGGCAGCCGACCCATGCGTTTGGGCTCCGGGGGCTGTAGAAAGTTTGGCAGTTGCGACATCCGGTGGTGACGACTGAGTAGCAGGTGAATCAATAAATACCGAGCTTCCAGCGGATGCATCGGAAGGATCACTGGATTCAGCATTTGACCTGGGAGAATGCTCCGCATGCTGTACAATTTCATCTCCCCGCGACAGCTCCTCTGCAAGTCCCTGCCAGTCTCTCTGCCAGAACTTTTCCTTTGTTCGCGACATATTGACGAAAAGCCGCACATATGCGAGATCGAGCAACGGGATGGCGTCGGCAGAGAGGGGTCCCATGCCAAAAGGATTGGGCCGCTCCAGACTATGATGAGGGTTGCTGGCCCAGGCCGCCTGCCATGCCTTTAATGCTGGCTCGATGTGGCGGTGCATCTTTTCCGTCTCTTCGTTGGTCCAGAGTTTGTTATGGTGGCGCTGGCGTGTCTCCCAGATGTAGTTGTGGAGCGCGTTGATCAGCACGAGGCAGCCTAACGTGCTTGGACGCAAATCGCCCTTAGGGATCTCGTTTGTACCGAGTGAGTTTCCGAAGGACTGGTGAGCGTTGTTGAAGGCAATCTTTTGTTGTTTCTCGTTCGTACGCAATAATTCTCCCAAAGCCTCGTGGAAGGTCATTCGGTTATGACCAGCAGCACGCAAGCCACCTTTAGCCTGGAACGCAGAAGCACTATCGGCCGCGAAAAACTCCTCGTCGCACGGGAGGTCCAGAAGGATCTCCGAATTCGTCAAAGCTGGCGCGTGGTTGTATGCGGCCACCAAAAGACTCGAAAGAATGAAGATGACATATAGCGTCCGCTTACGTTCTTCCACTGTCTTCCATTTCAGCCATTCGGCTTGTTCCTCCGATTCTGCTTTGACACCACCGCCCCAGTTTCCTTCGCCATCGCTGATCTGAATTTCCTGAAGTTCGGGGGAGTCGATAGTCATGGGCCGCAGAAGCCCAGCGGCTTGAGCCAAGCTAACGAGCGCGGCCGAGTGGGTGGATGCAATGTCATTGGCGGTCTTGTCCCCAGAGTTGTGTCCATACACGACGTTCAGCAACATTGCCTGGGCCAGCCAGAGTGGCGTATGGGCGGAACCATCAGATCCATGGCCACCTTGATCTGAAGATGGCGTGCGGCGGAAGTCGGCCTTGCGCATATCGGCCTTCCTGCGCTCTTCCAAATACAGCTGAATCATCCTCTTGGCCATGTCGAACAATTCCCGGGCTTGGGCGCGCTCAAGTTCGTAGAGTGCGCCGATCGCGGCCATGGACAGTATCAGGCAGCCGCTGCCTCCAACAGCACTCCCGCGACCATTGACAGGCGGCGAGTCAAAAGAGAGGGTTGGAAGATGCAGGAAAGGTAGGTGCGGGTGACAGTATCGAATGTAGCTGGCAACATAACGCTGCAAGTCGGGTACACTAGGGAGGGCTCGGGCTTGGTCCGGAAGACCTTCTCCGTTATTTTGTGTCAGAGGCGATAGCGGAGAAGTGGGTGTGTGGAATGAGTACCGTCGTCCGCCGAAGGGGCCACTTTGCGACAAAGCGCTAACCAAGGCTGCTCTTGTTGTCTCCGTGATTGTATGAACAGGAGAATGCATCTGCAAAGCACCGTTTACCGAAGTCGGGGTCTCGGGCCCGTGACCAAAGTTGAGAGTTTGGTGTATTTGTTGTGCCCCAAGCCCAGACATCATTGATGGCGACAGAGAGCTCATGGATGGTGGCGGCGTTGAGAAATAGACGTCGTTCATGTTCTTCTGTGGCGGCTGAGGTGAGACTGGTGTTCCGCCCATCAGGTCTGGGAAAACGGCACCCGTCAGATCCATGGCATACGGATTCGGCATCTGTGGCGGACCCATAATCCCCTGCTGCCAGACGGCGGTTGAGTTGATTGTGACGGTCGGATTTGTTGTTCCTGAGCCGTCCAGCATGACGTCGCTAATCCCTCCCGGGCTCGCATTGCTCACAGCAGACGGGGATGAGCCATCAATAGCTGTCTCGGGCACGTTGTTAAACGACATTTGATGCTCGAAGCCTGTGAGCCAGTCGAAACTGTCACCCTCAGTCTGAGTACCTGACATGTCGGTCATGGGACCAAAGGGCGAGAGTGGGTCAATTGACATGGAATGGGGCGACTCGTTGTAGTGCAACGCATTCGGGTTGATGGTGGATCCGTGCTGTCCAAACAAGAGACTATCAAAGTCGAAGTCCGCATTGAATGTGACGGGTGGCGCTGTCCTCAGGTTCACGTCGTTGTGAAACTCCATGCCCGTCATCCCATGCGTCTCCAACCTGGGCAGCCCGTGACTGACGCCGCGCTGGCCCATGATGGTAGACATTCCCGCAAACTGGTCCATGTTGTGCAGCGGGAGACCGACGAGACTTTGATGCCGGCTGTGTGTGGGCGGCATCGGGTTGCGGGCGACCTGCGCAGTAGCTGCTGCCATCATTTGAGCATGGTTCACGTCTACATGACTGATTGTGTTGGCCCTGGGCCTCATGGCGGCAGCGCCAGGCCCATTGGTACTCGTGCTGGCAATGCTGTTTTTCCGAGCTCTGCTCTGGCCAGGAGCTACACCAGTTGTGCTCTCGCGCCTGTTCCGGGGTCGCGACGAGGGTGTTGTTGTCTGGTGGAGCTTTTGCTGGTGGCGCAGCAGCAGATCACGCCGGGCGAAACATCTTGTGCATTCCGGGCACTCGAAGGGCTTTTCTTTGGTGTGTGAGCGCTCGTGCCTTTTGAGATGCTCGAGACGTGCGAAAGAACGCTGGCATGTCGCACAGACGTGAGGGCGAGGCTTGTCGGTCTTTGGAGGTGGAAAGTTTGGGCCTGGAGCCTTGGCTGTGTTTACTGTGATGGAAGCTGCTATGCGTTCAATATGCCATTAGCGACAGGTCGCCGTTGCAAAGTCATGTACTTGCCGAGGCGTTGCGCGACAATCGTGCGGACGGCATCGCTGCGCAGCGAGGGCGGAGCGCACTTGGCAGCGGATCGTGCGGAGGCGAGGGGCAGGACAATGGAAACGTACCAGGTTCGTCGGGTTTCCCAGCCGGCGCAGCTGGCGGTGACGGATCGGACATGGCTGCAGAGTCCATGAGCAAGACAGGAACAGGAATGCGACCGTGGCAGTTGGGGGCTGGTGATGTGGAATTGCCCGGCTGCCCGTCTGGATAGTCGTGTAGTTCTGCAGCGGCAAGTCAAGGAGTGACGTGGTTTGGAATCGCGCTGGCGAGGTCGAGGTGGTGGCTGTTCGGGGTCCCGGTGGGAAAGGGCGCAACTGGGGAGTTCAGGGTGTAAGGTGTGGGTGGGCTGTGTTGCGCCAGCGTGCAACAGTTGCGCGAGCCTCGATGCAGGCTGCTGTTAGTCTGCTCCGTAGTTGCTGCAACTGGTGGGGAGCACGCAGCAAAAGTGGGAATCCTGGAGCCAGGGACTGCGGGAACCGGAGGGCGACACAGCAGTCGTTGGGGGGCCTGGGGGGGCGCGGCTGCCGTCAACGGGACGACCTGCGTGTCTGTGCTGATCGGGCGCGAGCAGGACAGTAGCCGATGCTGTCTGTCTACGATGCACTGCTGTCGTGGCCGTCGTCTTGTTGCAAGCTCTGTGTCGCGCACCGCGGGAGGCTGCGCACGCTTCAATGCTCTCGGACGGTCTGTCTGTCTCTCTGTCTGTCCACGGGGCCTGCCGAGTGCGCTGACGAATGCTTGCAGCCGGCGCAATCCACGCTGTCCGACCGAAGCGTCGAACCGAGGCGGCGGCGGGGGCTCGTGCGGTGTCCTCGCAAGGCGCAATTGGGTGGCAAGAGAGTGACTTTGTGAATGCCAGCTGGATCTAGAAGAAAGGCAACAAGAAGGCAGGACAACAATGGCGTGCCAACAGTTGCGTTCGGAAGTGGGAGGAAAGAAGGGCGAGGGTCGATGAGGCGTGCTTGCGCTGCGGCGTTTCGGGCAGACGAGATGCCGTCCTTCAGGTCGTCGTCCCTGGGGAAGCACCCAAGCCGCTCTCAGGACTCTCTGATGGAGGGAGGGCCGGTACAGGTCACAGTGCCTGCTTCGCCAAAGTCTGGGGACAGGTACTTTTGGCGCCGGCCGCGAAATCACGAAATGGTCACTTGACACCTGCGGAAGACACCGCTAGCTACTTGCAACGCAAGTACCGCCAGGGAACCCTTGCAGCAGCGCCCGGGGCCCCGGTGCGAACGTCGCTATGCGAGACACAAGGGTCCCATCCGCCGAGTCACATACTGCTAAGCGCAGCCGTATCTTCTCTTTACGGAAGCTCGCCGGAGTCGGTGGGCTGCCACTGGCCAGCCAAGGTGTGGTGGGCCAGCACCATGGCACCAGAACAGCGCTTGGAACCGGCACACCACACCAGGGCAGGCCAGGGTCCCGTTACTTGCCGCGCAAGTCGCTGGTGCTTCCCCTGCTTGGCTCTGCTGATGCTTCTGGCAAGACTCGCTCGTATTGTACTTGAAGATTTGCACTGTGCGGTCGTGAGCCTCGACGGTTGGTGCGGTCAAGCTCACAGAAACATTAGGCACGGCATTGCAATTCGGTGACTCCCGCCGACGACGGAACCATGGCCATTGGCTTATATGGCTGCTTCGCCGGACGAGAGGCCCTACCTTAGGTACGTTTGACTTGTCGTGGATATCCACCGTAGCTACTCAGCAGATCATCTGGGCGATCGAGACACGACCGTCTAGCGTGAAGATGGCGGAGTTTCTAGCTCGGGTAGAGATCCCGCGAGAGATACCTAGGCTCGTTGCCCGACGACCCCACAACATCAGTCCTCCTGACTTGCACTCAGAATTGTCTTGCTCACGCTTTGAACCTACAGCGACGCGGGTCAGGCAATGCTTGGGAGTTATCGCGATGGCTACCAATGGAGTTGTCGAGGAGCTTTCCCGACGCCTCCGTCAGTCAAACGGATAGGGCTGACTGCTCGCAAGCGCTCTGTCTTCCAACCCCGTCCGTACATGGCGCCATTTGACTTGGGAAGGACACACTGATAGGCGCCGGGAGATGCCCTTGTCTCGTTGTGGAGACTAGATGGCGGCGAACTGACGCAGCCGAAGCCGCCCGGACGTGTCTGTGGCTCAAGTGAGCATGAGGTAAACGCGCTTGGTTCACTCTTGGCTCAAGATCTGAATGACACTTGAGGGCGAGAATCATCGTTTGGAAGCAGTGCGGCCGGCTTGAGAAGCGTCGAATGGTGGCAATAGGCTGGCGCGCCACGGGCAGCCCACTTTCAAAGCAGCGGCATCACCATGCGACCAGGCGGGAATCGCATGCTGGCTGCGACAAATCGAAAGCACGCTCGCCAGGGACCCTGGAGGGGCAGGTAGGCAGGACCGACCTTAGCTGGAGTGGGGCCTGATGGCGGGACGTAAGCTTCCCCAGTGGCTGGAGGTGCGCTCGGGGCTCCACCCGCTGCGAACGACGAGATTCTGCTGTTCTTTACCACCTCCCTCGTCAGGACACAGCCTTGCTCGACGAGCTGGAGCGCCGACAGCCATCGCACCATGGCCGATGCAAGGTGGGAGGATATCCATGACAGCTCCGAGAGCCACGCCTTGACGTGGGCTCACACTCCACTGCTAATTATGGCAGACTCTGATCCATCCTGTGTCGATCCAGATGCTCTGATCAAGCCGCTGCGCATGCCACGACACCTCAATGCAAACCATCGAAGCGGTTTCTGGAGACATGCAAGCCTGTGACCATGGATGGCACAGTAATTTTCTGCCCATGCTCATGATCAATGGCACCTCTTCGCAAACATTCATACGACGGAAAGCCACGGGTGCGCCACGCGATGCCGTCCTTCGGCGTACCTAGGTACGTATTCAACACAGCAAGTGGAGCGGCCCACCACCAACACTCCGTCTCGCCTCCTGCAGCAGCACCCTTGAAGACCCTCCGCGTCCGACGTGCATCGAAACAGTGCCAATCCTTACTGCATTCTGTGCCGCTCTGCATATTACCAGCCAGCTCGTGGCAGGCTGCCCGACGTGTGCCATCGGGCAAACCCGCAGGAGCACCGCACCGCATCCACGAGAGGAGTCAGGACTTCGCCTAGCATGGCCATCTATGCACAATTACCAATGCCGTGCAGATCAGTCGGGTCGAAGCGCACTGAATCGTCTTCATGGTCACTTTCCAGCTTGGAGTGTGATTCAAGACCGACGCGATGGCAATTCTTCTCTCTTCCCGCATCATTGGCATGACACTTGAGACACACAGCTATCGAGGCTTCGGGACTAGCCTGACATCTGTTGCAACCTTGGATGGGTCGGTAAGTCCAACTCACGGTCGCATCTCTGAAACTCATGCACTTTAGCAGCATGTAGTCTGCGTCTACCACTTTCCTTTCAGTTTTGTATTCGTGCCAACAAATACATGGAGGATAATGAGGCATACCACACCCTGGTGCTTCGGTTCGCTGCCCACATGGGCTCGGTCTGCACTAAGTTCCGGGCGTGTTCCAGACGGTTCTCAATCAGCCACATCGCAACCGCGCAACGGCCACATGGCCGCGCTAATGCCATGTCCCTCGGAACCTACCTGGGTAGAGAAAAAGTCCGGGCACGGCAAACTTGGCCATGAACAGCTGGCAGTCACACCAGGACCGACGATGCCGTAGAGCGACGCATTGACCTCACCCCACGGGGAATGACCCACAGCATGAGGTCAAGACCCCTGCTTTCCCCAGACTTTTGACGTGTGCGTTGGAGAGACACGGGACCACGCACAGATCCTTGTTCCCAATCACTTCCTGAATGGCAAGGACCGGTTCTGGACGAGTTTTTTATGAAGCTGGTCGTGTCATGGAACACGAACCACTTCAATGTGCGCGCAGCTAAGAACTTGTGCAGGCAATCAGTCATGTGCTGTCAGCACTCGCGTGCATATTGTGAATGGAGCACAGCCAACACTACGCACACTGTAGGCTGCTGATATTACTAGACGGTTCTACAACATCCATGCTTGTCAACTTTCTCCTTCACGACAACGTGGGCCATACATGACTAGATAATGTGGTGCGCCAGGAGGCAAGTCGAGATCCAACGCAAGTCGCAGCAACAATCGCAACCCGCGAAAGCACTGTTCCCATACAGTCCTGCGTGACTGACGACATCTGACAAGCCTCCCCACGTATATGAGGCCGCACTTTCAGAGAGGCTAGCAGATCGACGCAGCAAGCTTGGCTGAAAATCCACCTCAAGAATGCATGCCATGCTTGTACGACGGACTCGGTACCTATTGGCGGTGGCGGACTTTCAGTCATGCCTGCTATATTTACTAAAGGCGTTGCAAGATTTCTCGGCGGTACCCCGACTACGGTAGTGGCTCGGCAACAGCCACGCGACCACCATGCGGGCGATAATTTTGGAGCCGAATCGTCATCAGAAGCCTCCGTGCCAATTCATGCTTATGGGACATGAGTGTCCCACTGCCATACGGCTCTTATTCCGGAAAATGTCGAGAGTGTAAATTGCACCCCACCAGCACCAGTGTCAATATGGATTTGACAGTGCGCTCCAAGGCCACACCACAAGAGTATCCCTGATCCCCGATCACATCCGATGACTCTTGGTGTTCCCGGGGCATCGGCAGCGAGGTTCCTGTCCTCCGGCTACAATATTCCCCGGTCGTTCTGGGTTGATGGACCACGTGGTGGCAGCCAGTATTTCCTGCATGGCTCACGCACTCTCGCGCGTCATGTCGGCAATATGCGTCTTTGGGAAGAGATCCGTTGGCGAGCGTTGACGGCACTGTCCAGGCTGCAGTAAGCAGCCACGCGCCTGCAGCATCGCCCAGAAGAGCAATCCGGTCCAGGGCAGGGTGTCAAGGGTTTGATTGGCGAATAGCCAAGCTGCCCCGAGGCGCATCCGTTGGTCCATTGGATGGACGGTGTCCCTCGATCCCGGCGAGCCTGGCCAGTCTCCCTCGGCTGCGCTACTGACCGGTGTAACCACGGCCGCCCACTTGCTGCACACTCGCCATGCACAAGCCTGGTTCCATCAGGTGAGGTGCGTTGCAAAAGGCAGCACAGGCCCTGCCTAAGGTATCCAAGATCGGCAGACGACCAGGGGCATTGGATCCGAGCCCATCCAACCACGCTCGCCATATTATCGAGTGAGTCGACGTGCAGGGCGCGGGCCCCGAGGTTCACCCTGGGCTGGGCATTGTCTGTGACGGAGCGAATTCCCCAGCCGACTAATTAGTCGTCATCACCGCTATTGGCATGTCTTCTGCATGCAGCTCCGCAGTGACTCCCTTACGCCGTTCAATCGCGCTCAAGCGTCCTGCGATAGCACTGGCAACTCGGATGATCCGTCGGGGCGCATTTCCTTTGTCTCGAAACGGCAATGCCATCCCTAGGGCTTCATGGTCCTCGTTGGTTGACATGCTCACCATGGCCCGAATTGAGCGGTTTCGGCGCCGACCTCTACCTGCCTGCCTGCTGCACAGCCACGCCGTCCCGCCGAGGTGGATTGCTCGACCAAGTGATCAGCATGGTTGCATTATCAACCCTGATTTGCTTGCATTCCCACTGCCGGGACAGCTACCGCTTCCAGACGATCTGCACATCATCTTGCGCCCTCATTAGTCACCGTGCCGGACATGGTTCTCGATGGCCATGTCGGACAGGAACCTCTGCGCCGCCTGGTGAAGTGATGATGATCCATGAGGCGAAAACGTGGCTGGCCTGGCCCCTGTCGGGATGGTCTTGTTGCTTCTGGACAAGATCGGCACTCGGTTGGCAAATGCATGCTAAGTTTACTTTGCGAGATTTGGCCCAGGACCGCACCACCACTGCGCATGCAGGTTGCTCCCGGTTGGAGGCTCGTCAAAGCAACAGTGTCACCCTATGCCGTCATTTGTCGCCAAGCTCCCGCTCTGCGATCTTGGAGATCTCGGCCCCAGCCCATCTCCTCCCGCTGTCGCTGTCACGACGATGAGCGCATCAAGGTTGACCCGTCGGAGAATTCGGACCCTGCACCATTCTTATCTGCACGGCCAGGGCACAAGGCGGATCGGAGCAGACCACATACATGCTCTAATTAGCGGAACCCAGAGCAGGCAGTTGCTGTCAAGGCACAAGACAAGCGGCGTCCAGCGATCTCTGGCCAATGTATGAGTCTGGCGAGCTGGTTCTCAAGAATATTGAGGCGCGACACACCAGCTTTGAGCCCGCCGTTTCGCCACAGGCCTTTAGCGGTCATGGATGAACACTGCCGCATAGAACCACCCTTCTTGACCATGCACTCATTGGCCCTTTGCCACGAGCCTCTCGTCCCATACCTACCAGTGCAATGCAGCCCATAGACACGGACTGTGTGGACGCCATAATTCGGCCCTAGTGGGCGAGCAGCACCAGGCAAGTGACGAGTGTCGCTGGAACCCACGGGGCACTCCCAATGGAGCAAGACGCTAGCACGAATTCCCGTGACGGTCCAGTTCGTCCGCGCCCCTTGATTTACGTGCGGTACGCATCCGCGTGAACCTTAATAACAAGAGAAAAAAAAAGATGGGAATCACAACCGAACTAGGTCGGGTAAGAGACACGAGAGGCCTGGCCGGGCGCCGGTTGTCGCCAAGCAAACATAAAGGGGCGGGATGGATCCATCTTGGAACTTACTCAAACCAGTGTGCAAGCTCAGGCACGATATGGACCTCGTCTCGCCGTCTTGATGTCTTGTCACTCGACCTGCCGCCCATATCCGCATATGTCCTCGTAGTGTCCGGCACGCACGGAGCGGGCGGTATACGGAAGCTGGGATGTAACGTGTCTTGAGTTACGCTAAGGGGCCAGCCTAGCCCAGCACCGCCAAGCAAGTCTGCCCCATTCGCTTCGCATCGGACTTTCTCCCGTTTACACGGGTGGCCGACCTGATCCCGTTCCGCGCTATCCAAGTATCCAAGTTCTATGCAAAGTATATCTCCAGATTTGTGCTGGCTGCCCGGGTGGGCCTGGCGGAACGGAGACAACGGAGACAAGTTCGGATCGCTAGAAGACCCTCGAATGCCCATGTTCCGGCAAAATCAACTGTAACACGCAAGCGAACCTGGTAAATACAATGCGCGAAGCACCATCGTGCCATGACTTGGCGAGAGCGCCCCAGAACATCGTGCCATGGGGAAGCGAGGCACGCTCATCGGAATACCCCTAAGAGTTGGAAGTGCTCTGTGGGGGGGGGGGGGGGGGGGGGGGGAAGCGAGCTAGCGACAGGTAAAGTAAATAATAGCGTTCAGCCTAAGACTCGAATTTCGACTAGCTTGCGTCGACGCCTAGGATATAACGCGCCCAGCCTGCTTGCAGCGCGCAGGGAGGCTGGTGGAGGCCGCGGGCCGATCGGAGGCTAGCTGGGCCACGGATGGCTGGACGGCTGGCTGAGTGGGTTGGTGGTCTGGGACGGGCGTGGACAACGTGGTCAATCGGACGGTTCCTGGATTGTTGACTTCGCAGGAGTCGTGGGAACGGGTGGAGGGAGATTTGGAGCTCGTGATGAGCATGATGTCACTGACTTTATTCTCGAGGCGGCAAATAGTGTGGTTGGGATGTCAGGTCACGCGGGCTTGAGAAAGACTTTGCCGCCTTTTTACGCTGGACTGAACGTTGGGAATGAATGAGCGATCAATAAGTGAAATGATGGAGAAAATGCGCTGCTCTGATCCGCGGCTCAATGCCTTCCAAGGCCGTGATTTGGGGTTACTAAGGTCGCACGTCACTTATGGTCTGTCATGGGACGCTGCATTGAATATACCACGCGGGATACTACTGTCTGACACATGAAGTCTAAGGGCTACTTGAGTTACTGTGTTGTAAGTCTCTTCCCTACGCGTGTCTAGGTTTCTCCTGATACGGTCATGTTGTAGGGAACGAAAAGAAATGTTGCATATATTCATTTTCTTGCTTGCTCTTCCGGAGTGTATCGGTATAGGCTCAAGTGCACACTCTCGATGCGGTTTTCGGCACATATATATCGATATGTTAGAGTGTACGTTTGTGATGTATACAATGAGGGCAGAAGATCATTGGAGGCTGTCAAGGTGCTCATAAAACAAGTAGCACTTGGCATCTGAACCAGATCTGTCGCCATTAATATTTCCCCCCTATGGCTGTCGACAAGCTCTCACTTCTCCGTAGGAGTGACATAGATCGAGCCAGCAGCATCGCACCACTGCACCCAGCCACTCAGATCGTACGTGGCAATGATGGTCGAGAACCCAGGCTCGCCGGCGGCCGCGCAGTGCTGGGCCCTGACGCTCGCGGGGAAGCCCTTTGTCGGGCCCTCGTAGTACTTGTCCTCGTCTGGGTACTCGATGTGGAAGACGGGCTTGCCGCCGTCGACAAACATGCCCAAGGTCTCGCAGTCGCCCTTGTACGCCGTGCACTCCTCGTTGACGGCGAACTGGACCCAGTCGATGACGCTAGGCACGATCTCGATGGCGTTCTTGAGGCCCATGGCCATGTCGTACTTCTTGGCCTCGGTCGCGAGGAATCGTATGTAGTTGATGGAGTCGGCTTGGGTCAGGGCGGGCTTGAAACCGCCGCCGTTCTGGTTGTTCTAATAATTATCGAGTCGTCAGATTTTCCCTTTTCTCCCCTAACACAGTCCAGGTCATGAAAAGACTTGAGCACACACAAGGACGCGACTTACATAGACGTCCACATTATCGGGATCGATGGCATCACAGCCCACGTCTGCCGCCATCTTGATCCGCTGCGCCATGATGCTGCGAACATTGCTGCTCTTGATGTCGAGCCAGTTCTCGTCGTCCCACTCGGGCAGCGTGGCGCCGAGGTCCGACTGCTTGAACAGCTTGGCGTCCGGGCGGTACGGCTCGTACGTGCCTGCGCTGAAGTAGCAGATGACCTTCTTGCCGAGGCTGTGGAGCTTGCCGATGACGCGGGCCTTGTCGGCCCCGTCGTCCGTGTTGGTGAAGAGGTCAATGTCGTAGACGGGCACGTCGGGCGTCATCTTCTTGACGCCGCTCATGTCGAGCGGGTTCTGCAGGACAATCTGCCACTTTGTGCCCACGGCGGGCTGCCATAGGGCGGAAGCCCCGGTGGCGGCAGCCAGAAGGTTCACGCCGACCAGCACGGCGATGGATTGCGTCTTCATTTTGGTCCGTGAGGCTAGTGTGCTGTGATTATTGCGGACTGTCCAGGATACGGCAATCTCTGTGAATAATGATGAAGTGGAAGGCTCAGAGAATATGCTCGGACTGTTGGCGATGTTGCATCGTTAACTTGGTCTAGAAGTCGCTCGTGGCTGAATTTCTACAGCCTTTATACTCTCAAGTCAGCGATGAATAGAACCACTTCGTCTGACACGAGAATCCTTCAGGATCAGGGCAAGCTACCAATCATAGCACAAGCCAAGGCTCAACGGGTGGAGGTTCGTCCTATAATCCGTACCTCCACTGTTGACTGTGCAAATTTTGAACCGAGTGTCAACAGATGCTACGTGACAGGCATAGTGTGTGCGGCTCCGTTCCAGAATTGTGTCGTTCCAAGCATAACAGAAGCGCTTCCCAGCCCTACAATGTCGCAAAGCCACCAATGCGAAGCCGCGTCTCTGGACGCTAATAGACTCCCGGGCCGCCGAGGAGGATCTGTGAACAAGGGTATATCTAGTATACTCAATACGCAGTACGTGCCTTGCATAGCCTGATCCTTCGTGTCGACCCAAAGTGGATGCTTTGCCCTTGTCCATCGTAGTCATTGTGCTTTTCGAAGGAATCATGGCGCGGAATAAACCTGTTACGTCTGCTCCACATGACTTGGTAGGGCTAACTAACTAATGCACAGGGACAAAGTTCCTTCCGGCATGCAGCATTGGATTGTTCTAAGCCACATGCTGCGCTGGCCAGGATCTCGGCTGACGGGAGTTCCCGTGGCTTTCTCCGCGGAACCTTGCCCTGCTTATTGTGCAGGGGTTCCATTCGATCCTCCCTTTCAGGGCAGTGGGCAGCTTTCTTGAGACTCAATGCGTGTTGGCATCTGCCAGTGAAAGGTGCACCAGTCTCGCACATGTGAAAAGAAGAATTGTTCATTTACCCGGCTGGCTCGATTCGAACGGCCTCTTTTTTTCGGACAATTATCCTTGGACGTGGTCTGCAGGCTCCGAAAAGCCCGCCCATTCTCGCGACTCACGATGATCAGACAGCCTTTGCCCTGGAATGAAAACGCCGGCGGTATCCGTTGAGCCTGATATGAGCGTTCTTTCTGCACAATCCCCTCAGGACTAACTCCGTACACGCAGTTCATCCAGGCACTCTTCTGACTTTATCTTGGGTGCCCAAACTGAGCCGGCGAGCGAACCCTCGGAAATTGTAAGACCAGATTGTAGAAGCTCGTCATATATGTATTGATATTGGTATTGATAAGTGCTCGCAAGATGCTAATGGCTAATATGACTGGGACTGTTGTGAAAGACTGCGAAGACAGCCTTATCCTCGACCTGTTTCTTCTATCTGTTGGTCTTATGCAAAATTGAAATATCACCCTGTCCACCTCTAGGACGTCTTGACCTAAGCTTCCGGCTACCGAATGGACTCCTGGCTGCCGCTCGGTATCCTGCTGAAGCGCAGTCAACGCTGCTGAGCGCGGCGTGCGGGGAGCTTACTAGAGATTCAACAGCATCACGAGAGCCTCGATGCACCACACGAACCATCCCGTCAACCCTTTGACGATCCAGGACATCATCAGAACCGATTCAACACCCAGGAGGAGCACATGAACCACCACCGACACGCCTAGCTCAAGTCAAGAGATCTTCTTGGCCCGACTCTTGGCCACTTGGATCTTGGCCGTCGTGGTTTCGACCTGGTTGTTGACATGGTCGAGCATCTCGGTCTGCTCCTCGACCTCACGGTGTATGCTCTCCGCGATCTCACGCTGGCGCCGCAGGATCTTGGCCAGCGCATCCACATCCTCGTCCTGCTCATTCATCATCTGCCGTTGCAGCTGTACCACACCTTCATTGTCGAGCTCGCGCGTGCGCTCTGTCTCGGGCAGCGGCGCACCTAGCACCCGTCCTCCAGCTCGGGGCTTGGTGCCTATCAGTGCGGCCTTGTCCGCTGCCGATGGCATGGCTTTCTGTGATGTCTTCGCGCTCGCCGATATTGTTGCGCTAAGCTTCTCGAGATCTTCCCGCTCCACCCGAGCAGCAGCAATCAGGTCTTTCCGGCGCCTTATCTCGCCCTCGCCGATCCGCCGCGAGTCCTGAATGTATCTGAGACCATCTGCAAGGACGGCTAACAGCCCGCCGGCTTTCACGAGAGCCTTCTTTGCAGCCGACCCAGCCTCCAGCGCGCTCGAGTTGTCCATCGCGCTATCTCTCTTGGCCAGGCTGCGCCGCGCCTCCTGGAAGTCCCTCTTCATCTCGCCATGCAGATCGAGCCATGTCCCAGGGTCCTGGGCCGCAGCCTTATTGGCTACATCCTTGTTGGGAGGGATTCGGCTGTAGCCTGTGCGGACGCTGGCAGCGCTGTTGCCGGTGCTGCCGACATTGTTCGGCAGATTGAGGAACGTGCGCCAGGCGGATGTGTCGCGCCACCGGCGGTCTGGTGACTCGGCGATGGCGCGCATGTACGACTCGAGACCGTGCCGGCGGTTCTCGGTCAGCTCGGGCGACGACACGGTGGATTTGAACCAGGACTTGCCCGGCAGCGGGTTTGGAGGCGCGGCGCCGACATGTGAGGTGAGAGCCTGGTGCAGGTTTGCGAAGTCTGAGTAGCGCTTCTGGACCACGAAAGTGCGCAATGGCAGACGCAGCGTGATATTGTAGAGAGTGTATGGTTTCGAGTTGTCGGCTGGCGTGTGTAGCGACGTCGAGGGGATCGTGATCTCGGCCGGAGGTGCCATCGTGATGTGTGACTCGCAGCCACTTGTTGACGGGGAAAGTCGCTGACAGAAACTCGATGAATTGTCGATGGGCGTTGATGCGTGCGATGCGGGCCCCGAGAGTGCCGTGGAGATGATGATTGCGTGTCAAGGTCGAGGCCGTTGTAAAGCAGGCAAACAGCCAAGTCAAGGCTGGGGTATCGAGTGCAGCAGCTGATGCAAGTGTGTGATGTGAGGTCGGAAGGCAGAAGAGGATTGCTCATGTGAGCCCTGCGTTGCAGTTGGGCAGGGCAGGTGTGATCCGTCTTAGCTCAGGCGCTGTGCCTGCATGACGACAGTGGCCCCTTCCGGCCGCTTACCCAGCTGCCTGGGCCACAGGCGGCTTTAGCGCCTCAGGTCTCACTCCCTGCCTGATGACAGGCCGCCTCGACAGGCACCCTCGAATAGGATCTTCTGGCTCCGGGCAGGCTTATGGGACAAGGATCAAGGTGAGACTTCAGAGTCCAGAGGGCCGCAAAATCATTTCAGGCTTCAGTTTCGGGGGCCTGTATTCCTCGAGCGGCCATTCAGTTCTTGACCACGAACGGGGATCTACCTGCCTGGACAACTTGCCTCCGCCGCATCTGCTCCACGCTGCCTCCTCGCTTGACCGTCTGCTTGGTGAAACACTCCAGCTCTATGCAATAGACATCTTCATGCCTCCATTCGCACACACAACACTTCCCGTAGTCCACCCCGCCTCGTCCGAGCACAGCATCTCGATTGTCCCCGCGATCTCGGCCGTGAATCCAGGCCGACGACCTCCCATCTCCTCCCTTACCAGCCTGTCAAAGCGCTCACCATCCCCGGAGAGCGCTTTGATATTCTCTTCGCCGTCATACGCCGCCAGCGGGGCGGCATCCACATAGGGCTGGTTGATATCCCAAAACTTCCTGCCAGCTTCGGCGTACATGTCCCCCCAAGCTGGGCCTGGGTTGACGGCATTCACGGTCGCCCGCGAAGCGAGCTCGCGGCTCCAGCAGCGTGTCATGGCCTCGAGAGCGGCCTTCGTCCCCGCGTAGACAGACTGTCCTTGGTAGCCAATGGACGATGACACGCTCGACACGTTGACGACCCGCCCCGAGCGGTCTAGCGGTAGATACGGGGCGACAGCCTGCATCAGCAGCAGCGGCGCCAGGACGTTGACACGGTAGACCCGGTCGAACTCGGTCTCGTCGATGGGACCCTTCTCCTCGTCGTTCAGGCACTGGTTCGACGCCACGCCCGCGTTGTTGATGAGGATGTCAACTTGGAGCTCCCCGCCGTCGTGGTAGGAAGCGTAGAAGTCCTTGGCGGCCTGTACAATCTTGACAGACGCCTCGGCGGCTTTTGAGAGGTCGGCCTGCGTCGAGGCACAGCGAATGCCATGCGCGGAGGTCAGCTCTTCGCAGAGAGTCTTTGTTGGAGCCGTAGAGGAGTCGGACGTGTAGACAAGCAGCAGATTACATCCTCTGGCTGCGAGACGCCGCACAGTGGCCGCGCCGATGCCTCGGGAGCCACCTGTGACGATGCCCAGCTTGCCGTCGTGAGTGCGTGTCGCAGCCATTTTCTTGTCATATAGTGCTTCACCGACACGGCAGGTTGTAAAAGACAAGTTCAAGCTCAAAGTCTTGGTTGTATTCTGGTTTTTTGGCTTGTCGCTCCTGGGCCGAGCTGCAACGTGCCGCCTCAAGACTGAATTCGGCGGTCTCTGTTACATGGTGAACGCATGCGTGCCCGACCTCCGCAGTGCGGAGGCGGAGCCACCAGAGCTGTCTAGTCCAGAGGGGCTCTTGTGATGTCAGGGTGGATTTCAGGGTCGTTCCTGGCCATCCTTCCCCTTCTCGCGAGGGTGCTTCACAATTGGCTGCATGGTTTGCAAAGCGCGATGGAGACCGCACAAATGCCGACAATACGTGCATGCGACAGCGTGAGGCATCCAGGTGTCTTGGTGCTGATCCAGCGGGAGTAAAATCTAATTACATGGGAGAGGATTGGAGATGTACCGGCAGAAACATCGTGAAAAGGTTTGGTGTGAGGAAGAGACGAAGACCCAACAAAGCCTTCATCTCAGTCGCTGGTGGGGCACGTACGAAACCCCGGGCTCATCAAAAACCTGGGGTTCGGCGCCTCGTGGGGATACGCCATCAAATTGTGGTCTTATGAGGCCATCATTGAGTTTCTGATGTTGACTTGACGAATCGCCCGTGTAGATGGCGTGCTTCGATGCAACTACACTAGTGTTTCTGCGCAAGGTTAGAGCAGAGACGGGGCTGCCGGAGACATTACCGGAGATTGGCCTGGGCACGCACGATTGAAGCTCAGGCGACCTACAGCAAATTTCAGCATTCGTGGCCACTGGCGATCTCTGTGCAAGAGCCGAACTCTTGCATGGTGCTGAACGTTGAGTGGTTTCTCTCCAGCCAGTCGAAGCATTCCGTGACATACAATTAGGTAAATCGCGTCACTTCAGTTGAGTCTTGCAAGACTTTTTCACGCTTGTGCCACAACAGTCCCGCCCGTGCCGGTACAATCATCAGTCTGCTTGTGCAGGAGGGACGGCAGGCAGGCGCAATCATTGCGAAGATTGTCGACGGCAATACAAGTCCCCAAGGTCCCGACTGTAGCCACCAGATACATAGCGTCCTTTTGGCATTACGTGATAGGAAATGGGACATTGGCTCGCTCTCGAAATTGGCGACCGTTGCGATTGAGCATTCTTAGGTAATCGGCCAGATCTCAGCTGTGACTGGTGGCAATCGTGGGGTACGTGGGTACAAGAGCGGGCCCCGACAGCCGGGCATGGGCCATGGCCGGCGCTCGGTCACGCAATGCCGGCCCGGCTTGCAACACGCTGGGGGCGAGTCAGAGCCACGGCGGCGATTGGGCCTGGCGCGATTGCACAATATGGTATCATCCAGCAGCATACTGGCGGTGACAGGAGCCCCTATCGCACTGCAGTCTCCCTGTAGGGCAGCCACCAGGACCCAACGACCCGAAGTCGTCGTCGTTGCACGACGCTGTGCCTGCATTTGTGTTGTGTCGCCGCCGTGATCGCCCCACTGTCTGTCCTGCAGCCACCAGGCGTTGTCTCCGACCCTCCAGCTCAGCCTCTTACTGCAAACTGTAGACTGGTCCGGCCAAGAAGTGGGCGGTGTGCTGACGGCAAACGCCAGCCCAGTCCTCAGCGGAGCCAAAGCAGACATTGAAATCCTCAAACGAGCGTAGGCTATCCCATATCTCTGGACAGCACCCCTTGCTCTGTCGGCCAATACCCGACAACTCTCTTCAGTACTAGTGACTCGAGACCCGATCCACCAGCAAAACATCATCGCCCGTCGTCTCGCAGCTCCCTGTTTGGCGGGGCTCCTCCGCAAAAGCCAAAAAGTGTTCCTTTGCTGAGGATCCGCTCCTGGAAGCACACCATCGCTCGCCATCCTCGTCCACGGCCCGGCCAGGCCTCGTCTCACCCCGGACACCTCCAATCCTCCTCGTCGCAGAGCCACGCCTCGAGCACGCAATCGCACACTCGCCCGCCTGTCAGCACCTTCTGACCTCAGATGGACGACATTTGAGCAGAGGCCGTCCCTCGCGCGCGAGCCTGCTGTCAACCTCATCATCGACAGAGACCATCAACCGTCAACCACCAGCAACCAGCGCATCATCAGACCACAACACCGTCGCCTGACACTGCCTGTACGCCACTTTAGATTCTGCATTACGCTATGCACTTGCCTCTGACAGGCTCAGACTTCAGCTCGGCAATCCTACCTCACGACGCGCCCGCCGTCTACGAGCACGACACCAGCGTGCGACAGAGCACTCACCAGGCGCTCCAGACTCCCAAGGACAACAGCGACATGACGATAGGCATACATCAGCATCAGACCCTACCACCCACACCACCGCTCCATCCTACAACCATAAGAGCGATGGACGACCCTTCCGCCGGGAACAAGCCCTCCCGCGACAACTGCGACCGGAGGAGGCCCGGAGAAGGAGAGACATCACGGCTGCCGACCATGCCCGAGAACGTCATGAGCAAGACAGTAACGCCGTTTCTGCGAGAGCACATTCCCACGATATATGCGCCTGTTGGCAAACCCAGCGGGATCATTGTCAACAGCGCAAGGAAAGACCCCAACAGCAAATTCTGCTACCGTCATCGTCCCGACTCGAAGTGCAGGAAAGCGGCCGACGAGTCGAAGATGGCTGTGATCCAAAGTGTAAGGCAATCGCCGACATCCTTCAGACATACACAGAGACATGCTGACATAAAACCTCTGACCCTTGACAGTCTCTCGAGACGCTACCAGATGCCGATCGGCAAGCCATCACAAATGTGTGGTCCTTATTCTCAGCCGCACCAACAAAACACCGCGACCTGATGCTGCAGGGCATTCTCACCCAGTGCTGCTTCCCACAGCTATCGACTGTGGCCAGAGAACTTGGAGAGCAGCTCAAAATAGACTTTATTGCCGCCTTGCCCGACGAATTGTCCCTCAAGGTCCTCAGCTATCTCGACTGTGTGTCGCTCTGTAAGGCCGCTCGCGTGAGCCGGCGATGGAACACACTCTCGTGCGACGACATCGTGTGGCACAGGCTGTGTACTCAGCACATCAACCGGAAATGCACGCATTGTGGTTGGGGCCTGCCGAAGCTCGAGAAGAAGCGCTTAAAAGAATGGCGGCCTCAACGACTGGTCGACATCCGACCGAGCGGAGTGTCGGCCACCGCCCCCGCCCCCGCCCCGACGAGCGAGCCAACTGCTGCCCCGGCCCTGCCTCTGACGCCGGCCACAATCGTTACCAGCCCCGGCAAACGCTCGGCATGCAGCGATGAGGAAGAGGAGAACTCGAAGCGTGCGTGCATCAGTGGTGTCGGGGAGTCAGCGGGACAGGAACTTGCACGTCGCTACAGGCCTTGGAAGGACGTCTATCGTGATCGCTTCAAGGTCGGCTCGAACTGGAAATACGGACGCTGTTCAGTCAAAATCTTCCGCGGGCAGCACACTAACGGCGTGACCTGCCTGCAGTTCGACGACAACATCCTGGCCACTGGGTCTTATGACTCAACGATCAAGCTTTGGGACATTGAGAAGGGCGAGGTCATCCGTACACTGCAAGGACACACCAGTGGCATTCGTGCCTTGCAGTTTGACGACAGGGTCCTTGTCAGTGGCAGTCTGGATGGCACTGTAAAGATCTGGAATTGGCGAACCGGCCGCTGCCTGAAGACACTTGACCACCAAGGTGGCGTCGTCTCCGTGCACATGGAGGGCGACCTCCTGGCATCTGGATCCATGGACAAGACGATCAAGATCTTCAACTTCCGCACTGGCGTCTCGTGGTCCCTCAGAGGTCACACGGACTGGGTCAACCAGGTTCGTCTGGACACGGCTTCCAATACGCTCCTGTCAGCTTCCGACGACTGCACCGTCAAGATGTGGGATCTCGACACATGCAAGGTCATTAAGACCTACGAGGGTCACGTCGGCCAGGTCCAGCAGGTCTTGCCCCTACCCGACGACTTCGAGTTTGAGGACGAGCACGGCAACGAGGTTGACTTGGCGACCGTAGCTAGTCCCCGCAGCAACACGCCCCCTCCCAGTGCGTCGAACGACACCACGGCGGTCAATGAGGAGCGCGCCGCATATGGCCCGGCCTTTGAGAACGACCCCACGAGACAGTTGCCCCCCCGGTTCATGCTCACCGGCTCTCTCGACGCGACCATGCGATTATGGGATACCGCTACCGGGAAGACCCTTCGCCCCTTCTTTGGCCACGTTGAAGGCATCTGGGCTCTGAGCGGCGACACGCTGCGCTTCGTGACCGGCGCCAACGATGCCACCGTCAAGATCTGGGAGCCAAAGGCCGGAAAGTGCGAGCGCACATTCACCGGCCACGCCGGTCCCGTCACCTGTGTCGGTCTCAGCGACGCGCGAATGGCCAGCGGCGGCGAGGATGGCGAGGTTCGTCTGTACTCATTTGCCGACAGCGGCTCGCACGTCGAGGAGCGCGGCACACCCTCGTGAGCTTCTTTCACTCGTTTGCCGGTCCCTAGGTATCGCCCCCGGCCGCCATTTTGCATTTCCTCTTTTTTTTTGGTCCGGACAAAGGGACACGGAGACTGTGGTCCTTCCCTCCTCCAGTTTATGGATTTATATCACACAAGCAAGCCTCTGGAGTTCTTCCCCTCCTCGTACTATTTTACCTTTGGGGGCTGGCATTATTCGCATACCTGGCGGAGGTATATGCGACAAGGCGTTTCCGGAATGTCTACTCGTTACTTGAGGCGGCCTTTGCTTTCGTGGGTTGTCAATTTCATTCTCGTTTGGTGTCTTTCTCTCGTTTGCGGGCGGCGCTTTGCGTCGTTAGGGTCGTCGTACTTCGCGGGCGGGACGGTGTGCTAGAATTGCGTGCTACGTGGTAGTTGGTCACGTAGCATTATGGAATTGAGAGAAGATATGCTCGCACTTGTTTTCCGTATGGCCACAGGTGATATATATATATAGTATGTGCATGTACTGAATGGCTTCGAACGGCAAGGGGGGTGACACCTCATCTGCGAAATGCAACTTTGATCGGAAGCTTGTGTGGCATATGTGTAAGCCTCCCGCATGCATGCACGCACGCATGCTTGCCGGGCCGCCCTCCATCTCTATCTGCCCTCCCAGAATCTGGGCCCTGGCTTCTACTCTTGGACGCTTATGTCCAACCCACCAGGGTCTCAAGCATTTGGGGAAATCCATGCCTTCATCTCACCTCGCCACGATGTCGGGAAAGATTACCGCTCCCTTGACGACCACCACGCCCCCAGATCTGGGGTCAAGATCCCGTTCGTCCTTTGCGTGGCACTTGCTTGTGGGCAGGACCACCATCTGACAAGTGATGGCACGATACTTTGCCTACTTCAGGTATATGCTGCTGCCTCTGATGCCCGGGGTTCATACTACGGCGCCTTTGCGCAGTGTGGTTCTGCTTGGTATCTGAATACGACTTGTGGCTCTTTTTCCTGAGGTGAACGGGGATACGGCCGGCATTTTCTTCTTTTTTTGGCATGTGAAATTCACGAAACTATGCTGCGGACAGTTTAGGCCAGGTCAGCTCAGCTCGACACGCCCAATCGGCAAACCCTCCAAATAGCTCCTCTCTGTATGTGTGTGTGCACGCATGAGCCAGAGACAGCGGGCAAGTTCCGGAGCGAGCGGCGTGGGAATCCCTCAATTATGACGACACACAGTTGGCCTGGGCTCTCAGGTGATGCCAAAAAGTTAAGCCGCCAGGGCGCCCCGCCACGGTTTATGGTCTCGCATGGCCGTTCATTTTGACATGTGATGAGTGAGACAAACATCAATATCAACAGCAACAGCCGGCACGCCTGCAGTAGGGTGGACTGACACATGCAACGGGTGGGTTTGCCGACGCGGGGGGAAAGGCTGCTGCGGCTAGCCCTGGGGGCTCTCTCTCTCTCTCGCTTCGTCTCCGGCACCGGGAGGAGTGTTTTCTAGATCGGCATTCTGAGTCAAAGGGTGATGAAGATTCCCCATGTGTCAAAGACCTCTTGCAAGAAAGGGAGGCGGGAGTCTTCCGCTCCCTGTCCGGGTTGGCGGGCGCCTCTCTGTTCAAAGTCCACGCATGTCCTGCCAGGACAGGACATTTTCTTTTTGCCTCGGCTGTCGGAAGCTGCAAGAGTACAATGGTATCGAGGAATGTGCTTGGGAATGGGAGACGCGCTACCCGCTTGGGCGCGAGCGACTGATTGGCGGCAGGGGGCCTTTGAGAACGAAAGAGTCTGGATGTCGTGCATCCTGTCTTTGTGTTTCAGCCCACTGCGGAATTCGATCCGTGGGCGCTGCTGGGTGTCAGCTGGGCAGCAGAGTCTGGGATTCTGGAGCATGGCCAGTCAGTCTACGACGACCAGTCAGGTGTCACGCAGGCGGGTTTCTGTGGCTGATCTCAGATTTTGGTCCAAATGTCCACACGGTGTGGGATCCTGGCCAGAGCCTCGGTCCTATGTGTACAGGGAGTAATGGGCAATGTGAATGATGAGGTGCTGGCGTTTGTATGCAAGTTGTCATGGGCGTCCTCAGGTTGACGCTGCTCCGGTTCCGGAATCCTCCGCATTCTGGGAATTTGGGGTCTGGCGCAGAATCGTGGGGAAGAAGGCACCACCGAGCAGAGCAACGAGTGCGTGCCCCGCAATTGTCACAAGCTCGGTTGTCCCCTCGGCAAAGGCGAGATTTGCATGCAGCCCGATCCCCATGCAGGTGCACCACCACCACCACCACCACAGCACGAACCGCGACGTCACCAGGCAGGCAGGCTTATCGATACCGGCTTGTCCTGCGCCAGTCGGCTTAAGCTCCAGCTTAGCCGATCCGAGCCTGACTGATTCATGAACGGGGCTGGCTGCTGTTGTCACGCGCATGTGCTTGTGCTTGCCAATGTCTGCCTACCATGAAGAAGGTCCTTCTCGCGACCGGGCGAATGTGCCACCAGTTCCCCATGTTCCGAGGACACATCCGCGAGGGAGGAGCTCGGAAGAGCAGCAAAAGGAGTTCCGGGGCGGCGGGTATTTGAGGGCCGAGCAGGGACGGACGGGGCCCAGGCCAGCACGCTGGGGAGAGCTCCGGTCCGCCGAGCGCATGGCACGCCCACTCCCGCCCAGCCAGCCAGCCTAGCTTGACTCTACCTACCTCCCATGGCAGGTCTGGGTCCCCGTCCCCGTCCCTGAACCCGCCAGCTAATTACGGGATACACTTTGAGCGTGCGTGTCGGCGAGCGTAGCCGCGGGTCGGACCTCTCTGCCCTCTCTGAGCCTGGCCCAGCTTCCCCGTGCTCCGTCCAGTATATACTTTGCCCGTCCCCGGCTCGTGCCTACTGCCGCCTCCCCCTTCTACTGCTGCTGCTCTTGCTTCTAGAATGCCCTGCTGCTAGTCTTGTCCCTCTCGTTTCCTTGTTCTTGCTCCCCTATCCTCTACTCTACTCTCCTCTCCTCTCTTCGTCGACCTCGCTTGTCATCGCCGCCGCTCTCCTTGGTGTCCCACTGTCTCTGCACCTGACGCTTGTCCGACTGCCGCGGCTACACAGACCGTGGGCGATCTTGGCTTCCGGCTCGGCGCAAGAAGCTCTTTCGAACAATTCGAAAAAGGAAGCATCGTTTCTTCCGTGCTTGGGATTGTGGACAGACATCCGGCCGACAGCTCGCCTCCGAGCATTATATATACATATATAACAGCAGAGTTTCCGGCCCGCGTCTCACACACATAAAAGTCCACAATGGCTACAAAAGTAGGCGGCAAAGATGGCAAGAAGCCCGCCTCGGCGGCGACCAACCTGATCGGTAAGCTACAGGCGGTTTTATTTTTGTTGGAAGGGGGGGGCATGCACAAGTCCGCGACTTTTGGGAAAGGGGAAAAGCAGCAGGAAGCTAACCACGAGTTGACAATTTGCAGCGGGTGGTGGTGCTGGTATGATGGAGGCCCTCGTGTGCCATCCTCTAGGTAAGCCGTCGTCCTTGAAGAAACTCCAACCCTCGGTGTAAATCCTGCAGCAGCAGCAGCAGAAGCAAGAACCGCGGCAAATCCTGGAAACTTAAAAATTCTGACCCCCATGCTTGCGGCCTCGCAGACACAATCAAGGTGCGCATGCAGCTGTCCAGGCGCGCGCGGCAACCAGGCGCCCCGAAGCGCGGGTTCCTCAAGACGGGCGCCGAGATTGTCAAGCGCGAGACGCCGCTGGGCCTGTACAAGGGCCTGGGGGCCGTCTTCACGGGCATCATCCCCAAGATGGCGATCCGGTTCACCTCGTTTGAGGCGTACAAGCAGATGCTCGCGGACAAGGAAACGGGCGTCATCACGGGGCGGGGCACCTTCGTGGCAGGGCTAGCGGCGGGCGTGACCGAGGCCGTGGCGGTAGTGACGCCCATGGAGGTCATCAAGATCCGCCTGCAGGCGCAGCACCACAGCATGGCGGACCCCCTCGACGTGCCCAAGTACCGCAACGCCGCGCACGCCGTGTACACGGTGGTGAAGGAGGAAGGCTTCGGCGCGCTGTACCGCGGGGTGTCGCTCACCGCGCTGCGCCAGGGCTCCAACCAGGCCGTCAACTTCACCGCCTACACCTACTTCAAGGAGACGCTGTACCGCCAGCAGCCCCAGTACGAGGGCGGCAACCTGCCAAACTGGCAGACCACCCTCTGCGGCCTCGTCAGCGGCGCCATGGGCCCCATGTCCAACGCCCCCATCGACACCATCAAGACGAGGCTCCAGAGGAGTGTGGCCGAGCCGGGCGTCAGCGCGTTGCAGCGCATCACAAACATCATGGGCGACATGTGGAAGTAAGTTTTTTTTTTTTTTTTTTTTTTTGCTTTGGGGGTCGTCACCCTCCTAAATCCCACGGGTCCGCAGCCTTTCGGGGAAGTTGTCGCTGACCCGCTTTTTAAAACCAACAGGCAAGAAGGCTTCCACGCCTTCTACAAGGGCATCACCCCGCGCGTCATGCGCGTCGCCCCCGGTCAGGCCGTCACGTTTACCGTCTACGAGTTCCTCAGGGACAAGATTGAAAAGACCAAGCCGAGCCTCAAGTCTGGCGGGCAGTTTGAGGAGTAAAAAAACGGACCGACTTGCTTCAGCTGCCGAGTTAAAATTGGGGCGTGGGCGGGTGGGATCTCGAGAGGGAAACAGCAGGTGCTTGATTGGAATGAACTAGGAATGAGCTCCGATGCTTTATCTCGCAGAGAAGGAGGGAGAGAGGCCCGAAAAAAGGGCGGCGCATATTTTTTGACCTTGTATATACAAAGTGTATACCATTCCTTGGATTGGGCTCGGGAGGGTTGATACCATTTTTCCAAGAACATAGCGATGAGCATCGGGAAAGCATATATACACATCCGCAAAAACTGCCATGCTCATACTGTCTGTGTTCTATTGGCCGGGTTATGAATGCAGTTTTCTATAGGTATTCGTGCTAGTACGATGCTGCCGAACACCTCATCCCGGGAGGGCTCCAGCAAATCATTCGCTCGCCAACGAAGAAATAATTGTCAACTCGTTTACCGACCAGGCCGCTTGGGCCGGCGGAACGCCTGCTTGACCTCGACCTTGGGGTGCAGGTCCGCAAGGACCGACTCCTCGGTAATCTCCTCGGGCTCCTCGACCTCAAACTTCTTCTCAACCTGCACGCCGGCCTCCTTCTCGGCCGCCGTGATGACGGCGCGCTTCATGAGCGGGTACATCATGCGGTACTTGATCTCCTTGCCCGCGACGGCGGGGCAGGTGTAGAAGAAGAGGACCGGGCTCGACTCGGCGCCCCCGTGCGTGTGCGTGAAGCGCCAGAAGGTGAAGCGCGGCTCGGTCTTGGAGATTGCGCTCACGAGGTCGGATACTGTAGAGGGCTTGCTTCCAGTGCTGGGGGCGAGCTCGACGGTCTCGGTTTCGCGGTTGATTTTCTGTGAGGAGGGGATTTCGCAGTACCGTTAGTCTTTCTGGTTCACCGTGCCCGGGAGCGAAGAGTTTTCAGGATGTTAGTTTGGATTTATAACCCACCATCATGACGACACCCTCTCCCTCGCCGCGAGCAAGCTCGCCGAGCCGGTTCAACACCTCCTGGCTGATGGGCATGTTCATGTTCTTGCTGAGGTGGATCTCCCTGACGCCCGTGCCCGCACCGGCCTCGGCCTCTGCGCGCTTGACCTCGCCCAGCGTCCGCTCCTCCTCGGTGAGCGGGGCGTCGAGGGCGGCGTGGCGGTCGAGCTTGTCGAAGCCCGCGGCCGTGAGCTCCTCGGGCAGCGTGCAAAAGAGCGACTCGCGGAAGTGCTCGCTTCCCAGCTCGCGGGTCAGGGTCAGCCGCGTGGCCGCGAAGAGCATCTTGGCGCGGACCTTGGCAATGTCGGGGACGTAGGTGACGGCGCTCAGGCGTGGCACGGTGTCGAAGCGGCGGAGGATGATGTAGAGAGGCTCGTTGGGCTTGATGTGCGGCGAGAGCGCGGAGAGGTTGTCTGAGAAAGACGAGGCGGGGGCGGGCACGAGCGCGACGGGCGTCAGGGCCTCGTTGGCGATTGTGACGACCAGGGCGAACGCGGAGCTATCGCTGAGCAGGTTGTTGAACTCGGAGACGAGCTCCTTCGAGGCGGCGATGCCGGACTGCATGTTGGCGAGCCGGTGGGAAGTGTCGGCTCGTTGAGAGTGAGGTGGACGGGAGCTTCGGGAGTGCACTGGGAGGATATAACAGTGACAGGGGAACCGGAAGCCTGCGAGATTGCCAATTGGAGAAGACCAGCTCCAGGCAGCTGTTTCTGTCTTTGGCAAAATCGAAGAATGAGAGATAGAAAGGTCGGTAATACAGAGAAGGTGTCGTCAGCGGTCAGAGGGGTGCCTGGGCAGGACCAGGGTGGTGTTTCGTGGCCCCGCCCGCGTGTCCCGCACAGCAACAGCCTCAAGGTGGGGCAGCTGCCGGCCGAGTGCGGGGGAGCTATTGTTGTGCCTGGGAGTTCCTGAAGTCCCTGAAATGGGCAAGACATGCCGCCAATCATGACTTGCTTTCTTTCACCAAGCCAAGTGGACCAACGGCCACAAATAATCCTTCGTGCATTGTCTTCACTAGAGTTCTCTGCGCGGCAACGCCTCGACGACATGAACCACAAGAATATCCAAAGAATGATATTGGTCGGCTTCTAGATTTGAATTGTCTGTGGCCACAACCACTTACACTAGCGCCGGCCCAGTCTTGACTTCCTTCAATATCACGCCCCGTTCCGCCAGCGCTTCCACGAGATCATACAGCACAAAATCACACCCGGCCGCAGCGTTTATGCTCACCGCCACCGGCAGGCATTTCTCTGTCTCAGACACCCGGCTCATATACTTGACCTGACCGATGGGCAGTACTACCTCCGGCACCCCACCCAGCTGGCTAATACTGTACTGGTTCCACCCAAAGTATATACCGACCTCCTCAGGGCTGCCCGCCGGGTAATTGTCCCGATAGGACGGATTGCCCGGCCAGATCGGATGGATCAGCAGCGCGGACGAGCAGTGCGCCGAGTCGTGCTCGGGCACGAGCACCTCGGTCTCGAGCCAGGTCTTGAAGACGGTCTTGTTTGCCACGCCCTGGGCGAACGTCTCTGCCGTCGTGTTGCGCCCATAGTCGCGGTTTAGTCGCACTGGCGGGTCAAAGTACGGCATATCGCCGCCGTGGGAGACCGCCCAGTCCGCAGACAGCCGCGAGAAGACGTTGTGGTACTGCTCGTAGCTCGTCATCATGCTCCACACGGAGCCGAGCTGGTCCACGGGATACAGCCCGTTGGCGTCCTTGTACGCCGTGTAGAAGTCGTACACGGTGCGCTCTGTGCCGAGCAGCGCCTCGAGTCCCGCGGTGAAATTGTCGTAGAGCGCTTGCGCCTCGTCATTTGAGGTTGGAAAGAAGCCTGGCGACGGGTATTCGGTCGTGTTAAGGCCCGGCGTATCAATTGGGTAGATGAGCTTCTTGGGGAATTCTGGGTACGACCGCAGTGAGGCGTTCCCGGCTCCGTACCATGCCTTCCCCCATGCTGCGAATGTAGCTGCGGACCGCGCAACGTACGCCGGGGTATCCATGGACGCGCTCATCGGAATTACCCCTTCGAGCGTCATCACATACTGACTCGGGCGGTTGCCAAAGACACCCCCGACCGCCGCAGGCGCGCGCACAGAACCGCCCGTGTCAGACCCAATGTTCAAGTCGATCCAGTCGTAGTTGCTCTCGGCGGACCCGGCCCCAGCCGACGAAGACGACGGATCCTGATAGCCATCGCCTCGCGCATTAAACGGGTCATGGAAGTCGACCCAGTCCGCAGTTGGCGCCTCGCCATTAGCAAACTGACTAGTCCGTGTTTTGCCGACAACCACAGCTCCCAAACCAATCAGGTATTGTATGCTCTTGGCCGTCGCGTTCGCCGGCTCGTATAGCTCGAACCACGCCCGGCTACCACCAGACGTCTTGAGCCCTTTGAGATCGTACAGGTCCTTGACACCCACGCGGACGCCCGAGAGCGGCTTCTCTACCGAAGGAGCGGGGAAGTATAGCCTGCTCGGCACGGCGACAGCTGCGGCCCCGCCACCATTGGTCAGTGGTGACGCAGACGACAGGACGTCAAAGGATCCATCGTGGTTCTGGTAGACGCCGTAGTAGAACGCTCCTGCGTTGTCGGCGTACACGCGGTACGCTTTATAGACAGTAAGGATGCCGCCTGGCGAGACCTGGACGAAGTATGGCCCTGGCGCGAGCGAGTTGTGAGCTCCTCCAAGGGTCGAGCAGTCACTTGTGTAAATGATGCTGGGGCTGCACTCATTGCTGCCCATCGACGGAGGAGAGGTTGTGCTGCTGTTCGTCACAAGTACATCTGGCACGCCTTCAGTATGGCTTCTTACTACGGTGAGATTCCACTTGACATCAATGTCCACTTACACTCGCTGAATGCGGTACTCCACACATCATCCGCGGCACCGTAGCTTTCAAAAATGGCGTCAAGAGACTGCTCGTCAGATTCGCTGCTGCTGTTAAGGACGACATGAGTGACTGGCACGAGATGAACAGTGTCAGGTGACAGGCCAAAGAGCCCCTGCTGTCCTTTTGCCGTCGTCTGTAGAGTGACCTGTACGGGAAAGAACTTTGCTTAGTCTGGAGGTACGCGCCGAGACTCTAAGGCAAATTATCACGTGTTGAAAAACACACCTCTGGCGTCCCAGGGAGATAGTACGTAACATTCCCCACGTCCACAGTTCGTCCAAGATCACGGATTGCCGTTGCCGTTGCGCTCAGGACTGGCCGCGCGAGTGCGGAGAGGAGAGCCCCAATGGCTGTCTTGGTGATTGCGACCATGGCCGTGCCTTGGTGGACTGTGTTTCACTGAAGATATTGTGACCTGGCCAGGGAAGGACGGCAAATCTTCAAACCGCCCAGCAAGGAGCCGAGATTTGGAGCGTATGGTGGGACAATTGGGGAGAGACAACGGCGTTCCGCAGCACAACCAGACGACGACACAGAGAGAACCATGGGAAACTGGCCAGGCTGGGCTTGCACAATCCCAACAATGTTCTGCTAGTGCTAGCTCGAACGGCTTTGGTCCCCGATAGGGCACGACACTAACAGCAGCTGAGCTGCGGAGAACGGATGTTTTGTTCCTGGATTTAAGGAATGCGCGGCTGCGCGCCAATCAGGTCCATCGCTTCATTTGCGGGGGAGGCGCTTTTGCGGGCATTGGCAGGGCCGACCCGAATTACAGCCATTGCAATTCGGTCCTTGGATGGATTGATGGGTGAATGGAGCAATTTCAGGCTTTGTCTCGAGACAATTATATCAACATGCGCAGGCAATTGAGCCTGGCGACAATTTCATAATGCCAGTCCGATTGTCTGGACGAATGCTGCTCATCGCGTTGCGTCAGAGCTGAACCGTGGCGGCGCGGCTGTGGAAGCAAGTCATGACGTAGCGCTGGGGGCTTGCTGATAAGCAGCCCGGCTCCGATTTCTGCGATTTCGGCGGCACGCCCGCTGCATGACCTGCATATGCACGTCGTCCATGCTTGGAGGCCAGAGTAACACTGAAGACTGTGGAATTTTCAGAGTCGTGAGTAGTAGCCAAATTGAGACTGCGGCGTAGCGTTTCGTCTCTGGGAGAATGCGGCCAGGCTTTTCTAGTCATAATTGACGGGTTCTTTTCTGCACCGCCCTTCAAGTAATAAGCATGAACAGATGGCGAGACGCCACCACTGCGACCAGTCGGACGAGTGCTGACATGGCTGAAATTAGCGCCCGTTGTTTCCGGGCGGTGACAGCTGGCTGGAGCTCTCGTGGGTGGATTACCAGCTCTGGCAAAAGCCAGCACCTCATGGCTGTCGTCGCAAAGGCTCTGACAGTGCTGACAAGGACTTGGAAAGGGGATCAACGACACCAATGAGCACAGCAGGAAACCAGGCATGACGTGACTAATCTTGCTGGAGAAAAGTGCGCTCCAATCGACCAGGGTGTCCCTTGGCGGATGGCGGGCGCCATATGCGCCTCAGCCCTGCCCGGCCACTGGCAAGGCAAGTTTTCCGATAGGTCTCCATGCTGCCCCTTTTGCCTGTTGCGGAATTGGTCAGCGAGACGCATGGACTCGTGGGCGTTGTTCTGAGACGGCTTGGCCAGGACTTGGCCGCGACTTGGAAGCTGCCAAGGTCAGAGAAGCAGTCAATCACGCCAGCGACCGCCTCGTAGGGGCCAGGCACAACATCTCATGAATTTAGGGCGTGCTTCCTTACGAAGCAGAGGGACCTCACACAGGTGGCGCAGGGCAGGCAGCGCATGGGAGAAGTGGAGGTTTGGGGACCAGGCACGAGGCGCCTCCTCTTGGTTACCCACGGCGAAATCTAGTGGCGCCTCATCCCGCCGCTAACCAAAGTAACCTCCACCTCGCGCGTAAACGGTGCAATTAACTGACACAAGGTTTTAAGCTTGGTTGTGCCTCCATTGTTCATTCACCTTGGATACACTGACCATACCGACACAAAGTCTGTTGATTGATTGAAGCAATACTGCAGTGCACCGCAGTTAGTGACGAGACTGCCCTACACCAGGGCCTTTGGTAACCCAGCAGAGAGATCGTCGGAACTGCGCCTCACCCCCCCCCCCCCCCCCGCTAGAACAATAAGTCAGACCACCACAGAGGCTGGCTTGCGTCGCGCCGCAGCCGTGAGAGCGATGCTGACCGCGTACTACTCGCTACTGTATGTATGTGCAACCTGGTATGGCATCCCCTGCCGCCACCCCCGTCTTGGCCGCCCGTTCCTACAGGCCCATTCGGGAGAAGCTCCACTGCTACTGGGCTCCAAGCCCACCAGATTGGGTGATTCCAGATGATTATAATGATGATCCCAGGATGGTCTTGGATGTCTGCTGTGGGGGATGTCAGCGCTTGCGCACGTTGTGGCAACCGCCTGCCCGCCTGCCTGTCTTTCTAGTCCCGTGTTTGACCTGTGCTAGGCAACGGTGGGCTGTTTCCCTCTCGCTCCCTCCATTGTTTCCTGTCCCGGTCTTTCTCCAATGCTACGGCTCTGAGGCAGTCGTGAGACCAGTCCTCAACATCTTGGCTCGGACAATCCACCAGTCATGGCCTACCAGCAGCACCAGCAACACCAGTACGGGTCGCCGCACACGGCCTACTCGGCGACAGCGACACCGTCGCCGGGAGCCCAGACGTACAGCACTCTCGAGCACGACAGCAGCGTCCAGAACGGCCAGTACCCAGAGGTCTCGGCCTACTCGACGCTACCAGAGGTCGACCACTCCGCCAACCCGACCGCTGCCCAGTACGCGCACTACACACATGCGGCAACTCCAGAGTATTCCCACCCAGTCGCTACCGGCGGAGGAGGCGAAGTGTACAAAAAGGAGGCCGACGGCGGCGCGTATGCCCCCGGGGCGGCGGCCGCCGCCGCTGCCGGAGTAGGAGCAGGATCCGCGGGAGCTGGAGGGGCGGAACTAGGAGCAGCAGCCGGGCCCGAGCGGAGGATATGCGGCGTGAGGCGGAAGCTGTTCTGGATCCTCCTCGCCGCGGCGGTCGTCATCGTGGTCGCTGCAGTGGGCGGTGGCGTTGGCGGTGCTCTCGGCTCCCGCACATCATCATCCTCCGGTGATCCCAACGCGGGGGCGAACCCGGTGCAGCCACCAGAGCCAACAGACGCTCCCTTGGCCGTGTACCCGGGGACGCGGCTCGCGTCGAGCAACTTCACCGACCAGTACGGCAACGACAACTACATGGTCATCTACCAGGTCAACAGTGGCGCGCTCTACATGTCGTCGTGGAACACGTCCGTGTCCAAGTGGGTTGTCTCTGTCGTCGCGGACGGCAAGACCAACGCCATCAAGCTCGACGAGATTGCGCTGGGGACGACGATATCGCTAGACACGTACTTTGACACACAGGTCGGTAATCTGGACTCCCGGGGTACGGCAAGGTTTGTAAATGCCAACTGACATTTTGTACCAAAACAGTCCCGCATCATGCACCTCTACTGGCTTGCGCCCAACGGCGTCCTCAAGTCCGCACGCCACGACGAGCTCGTCACCAACGACGACGCCGTCAAGGCCGCGTCGAAATGGTACAAGGCCCCGGCATCGGACCTGTATACCGCCGCCCCGGGCTCGTCCATCGTCTCCTACGGCAGGGAATGCCTTGACCAGTCCTGCCCGGTATGGTCGTACCTGATCTGGCAGCGCGCCGACGCCTCCCTGCAGTCCGCAGGCCTGGACCCGGGGAAGCAGTGGGCCGCGCTGGGCACGGCGGGCCAGGGCATCGCCAAGGCCGCGGACAACACGACCATGGCCATGGCGATTGCCATGGCGCGCCCTTCGGGAGGCAACAACACCGACACGCAGTTCCGCTCGCTGAGCATCTTCTACCGCGAGGAGAGCGGCGTGCTGGCCCAGCTCATCTGGGACCGGCGCACGCCCGAGGGCGGCTGGAACGGCAACAACCTGCCCCGCGGCGTCGGGCCCCGGACGGCCATCGCCGCCTTCAGCACGGGCAACAACGACACCGACTCGTCGTTCCTGCCGCTCGGCTTCAGCGTGCTCACGGCCGACCCGGACGCCGACAGAGACGAGGTGCTGCTCACGTACTTCAAGGACGGGAGCTGGACGAGCGGAGCCGCCGTCGACAGCATGGCCGACTGTGCGGGCCCTGCGAGCATGGTGGCGAATCAAGGGCGCAGGGTGTACTGCGTGGCCAAGCAGGGCGGTGGCGACGGGAGGAAAGTCGAGATCAGGCAGTTCAGGTGGAAGGGCGACCCCGCGGACACGGGCAGTTATCGCGACTATGAAATGACGACGCTCAACGCAGGTGCGGCGTGATCTAAAGGCTCGTTCAGAGAGGTTGTCAAGTGTCTTGACCAGAGCCGTGGTCTTGAGTTTATGAGGAGGGGATGATGTCACTCATGGGACAGGAAGCGGGTGACTTTGAGCATCATGAAAGGGATTGCTTCCATTTGTTCTTTTCTGGGTCAGAGCAGGTGTATCATTTGGTATGGCGTTTCTTGATGATAATACACATACACATACACATCTCTTACTATTGTTGCTTGTGTACTAGAGGACAGGCAAGACCATTAGATGTCAGTTCCGCTCAGTCCATCACTCTATTCGAACACACCCCCATAATGAGAAATCACTAGACCATCGATCCCCCCGCGCACCCGATATTTGCACCCAAACAACTGCTACTCTTTCTCGCCCCTCGCCGCAGGCGGCAGACTCCTGAGCGATATCTCTGCCACTAGCTTCTGGAACCCACCACCGAGCGCGTCAATGACAACGCTCACGTCAGGTGGCTCAGGGGTGAGATTGCTCGTGATGCTCGACGTTTCGCTGCCGCTCGCACCGCCGGATCCAGCAGCGCTGCTCGTGTTTGTCGTGCTTCCAGCCTTGCTGCCCTGAGGTCGCCCGGCCTTCTTCTTGGACGATCCTGCTGCTGATGATGATTTTGAAGAGGACGAGGAGATGGACCGAATGCTTGGTGTCTTCCCAGGCGTGTCCCGACCCTCTGGGGTGCTCTGGGAGTCTGCAGCACCAGGACCAGCAGGCCCGGTCTTCGCCTCGGTCTTGCCGTGGCCGAGCTCCGACTTTACGTCCTTGCCTCTGCGCGGTGGCCCTGTTGGCGTGTCGGGCGTGATCGGTGTGTTGTTGAGCAGGTGCTCAAACATGGCAAGGTAGACGCCTGGTCCAGCCATGTTGCCGCCGCCACCGCGGCGGCGGCGGCTTGCTGTATTTTTGGCGCTTGTGTCCGTCGCGCCGGGTTGGGATGATGTACTGGTGGTGCTGGGCGTGCCGCTGGTGCTGATGTTGCCGCTCTCATCAATGAGACGCTGCATGCGCGTATTGGAAATCTCCTCTAGATCATCGAGAAACTCTATGTATTCGTCAATGGCGGAGATGATACCGGTCTGCTTCGAGGCGGGGGCTTGTGCGAAGAGTGTTTGGAGGTCGTCGCTCATGCGACCGACACCGTCGCTGGAATCCGCGGAAACCCTCCTGTCTCTTTCAGAGTTTGATGGTTCAGTTGTATCTTTTTTCACTTGCCACTGCGAGCCAGGCTCGTAAGTGTCTCGGAAGATCTTGACGATATCTGAGATCCACGCGCACCACATGTCCCTGATATCCGGACACGACTTGGCCACGTTGTGAAGGTAGTCATACATGAAACCCTCCTTGTGCCTGTGCAGAAGCGCCACATAGTCGTCGACGGTTGCCTTGCTAGGCGCAGATCTGGCCTTGCTGGATGTCTTGTTCTGTCGGTTGTCGGGCGACTGGCACTTTGCCACAGCAATCGCATCGTTCATGAAATTCTCCGCTGCACTGATGAGCTTCTTGAGATCGACATTGTCATGGACGCTCCGCAGCATCGGCTCAAACGCCTTGATGCTGTCGCGGACCATGCCCGTGATATAGTCTGGGCTCTGCTCGCAGGTCGCTTTGATGGTCACCTCGCGGTCCCACACGGCGAGCTTCGCGGCGTAGTAATCCAGGCATTGCTGGTGGTCCTCGGCTGAGAAATCCTCCGGCACATCCAGATCGGCCGACTCCAAGATGGCCACGATGATGGACCTGTTCCCCCTCATGCTCTTCTCGCGGACTTCTTCTTGCTGTTCTCTTGATGCCTGGATGTGCTTGTCAATGGCATCTAGGTATTGGCTGTTGACGTGGCCGTCTGCATTCCTGATGCGCGCGGCCGCCTTGCGGAAGTCACTTGCATCCCAGTCTAAAACCATTGAGATTATCCTGGGATCATAAGTCAGCACTTATCCAACATAGAGGCTTGGATTCGGGAGTGACCTTACCGCTGCATCAAGTTCATGCCGTCGCTCGCATCTTTGGTCAGACCGAACCAGTTGGTCATGGCTCCTATACCCATCTTCGCCAGGAACAACCTGGCCATGCCGTTGATCATTGTCGCCGCGTTTCCGACGCGGAGGGTCTGCCTGATCAAGTTGTAGGGGATGAGGCCGTGGATATTCTCGACCATCTTGACCAGATATGGACCCTCGGCGGAAAGCACAAAAATGTAGTGCAGCAGTGTCGCTACATGTATGATTGCATAGTCCATCGCACCCTTCACGGCTGGTGAGTGCGACTCGAAGTCCGCCGTAGTCGCCAAGTGGTCAAACAGCTCTTTGACCAGATCATCGTGGATGAGTGCCGTCAGGGCATCCTCATACGCCTCCGTAATGTCTGTTGCTGAAGCAAGGTCGTAATTCTTGTGCAGATCTGGCTTCTTCTCGCCATGGGGAATCCCAGCAAGAAGACCCCGGGTAACGCCCTCATGGATGACCGTGGCAGCACAGGCCAGCCGTTTCCTGGTACCCAACGTGCCCTTGTCGTAGCTTTCGGACAGGTTCGCCTTGCCAAAACGTTCCATCATGCCCTTGAACTTGACGCTCCAGAACTCGGGAGGCAGGTCGCGGAAGCCAGGGGCCGAGAGCACGAAGCTAGTCAGCAGCAGTTGTAGGAGTGGTGAGTGTGAGAGTGCGGCATCGTGCGTGGAGTCATTTCCCGGTGAGACCTGATCGACGAAAGGGTAGCCATAGCCCTGGATCCCTATCGTATCCTTGAACTTCTCGACCTCAGAGTAGGTCTCGTGGTGGACCAGGATGTTGAACAGGGCGCTGAGCTGCCGGTCCGACAGCTGTTTCCCCTGGGGAGCCATGACGCCTGCTGAGCGAGGCTGAAAGGTCCAGAATTTGCCCGCCTGATCGATGCGTGTAGAGTAGCCACGTTCTCCGGGTCTTGGGATAGTGGACTCGGAATGGGCGTAGGCAGAACTTCAACACTGACGAAACTCGAATATGGGGGAGGTTCTTTGTGGTCTGTGTATAGTCCCATAAACACATTGGCTGCTGGAATGGGGCCTGTCTTGCCAACGAGTTACAGTTTGATGGAGTGTCAACAATAGCCCGAGGCAGCAGCAGCACTCTCTGGCAGGCACACATGCATCACCGGTGCCTGGCTACCTTATTGTGACGTCATGAGCTTCGCTAGTCCTTGGCTGAGTCGTGGACGGCGATGGCGAACGAATGGACGATGCTGTGACTTGGTGCACACTGCTGCCGGGCGTTACGTTCTCACAAGGGTTTGGCGAGCCTTGGAATTCATCCGAGCCCGGTGTACTGCCTTCCCCCAGGTCCGTTTAGGCATCCTCTACGCAGAAGACGATGGCAAGGTTCCGCGTGACAGGATGGCAGAGGTGTGCCCGCCTTACCCCACCTTTGGGTCCCTGAAGATCTGGAGAGGCGTCACGGCGTGCCCACGTTGTGCTGGGACAGCGCCGCCTCGCAGAACCCCTCCCTTAGCGCACTGCTTATCGCCGGAGTCTAGTGCTGCGCAAAGGGTCTAAAGAGAGTTCAGACGCGCAAGGCGCACCTAGAATTCAGGGGTGCCTGCATCGCCATTGGTGCACGAGTCCACAACACAATCTGGCCGCTGGTATCAAGCAAAAGGACAAGCAGTGATGCATTCATAGTCTATGTAGCGGTATAATCAAAATGCTACGAGATGTAGTCTTGTGAGAGGCGTGGTCGCGTCACGGAAATCATATCAATCCCTTGGTATACCTCCAAACGCCAGAAGTGCTGGCCACGAAAAGGCTACAGCCAGGAACCCCTTAATGTAGCAAGATGTCGTATTTGTCACCCGATATCCTGACTTCCTCGCCGCCCATGCCATACTTCCGTCGGACGAGCTCAAATATGATCAGGCCTGCGCTGGTGCTGGGTACTTGGCGAATGGTGTTCCACAGAAAGCCTCGATAGAGGTACTTGGTCACGCCCAAGCCCTCGCGTGCAGCTTCAGTCTTGCACCACGCAAACGTTTCCTGGTAGGCCCGGTAGTATGCTCTCAGCATGCGGAATCGTCGGTGTGGCTTGTTTGGGTCGGCAGCGGCGGAGTCGCGTAGGCGGTTGACCTTGGCGTCAAGGTCTTCGAGATGGTCCCAGTGGCGGACCTGAATGTGCGTAAGGGGATGTAAAACGAATTGCTGTGCGAATGATGCGCTCATGCCTGCAAAAAGCAAGAAAACAGGCTCTATCGCATAGTGAGGTCTAATGACGGTCGTGTTCCTCTTCTTCCTCTTGCTACTGTGCTTGCTGTCCTCATCGTAGATGGCGATGTCGTCTGATGTAGAAGTCTTGTCTGTCGGTCGTTTCCGGGCAAGGATATTGACGATGTCCTCGCTCAGTTCACCATAGTACCAGTGCACAAATTTGTAGTAGCTCTGTGCCTTGACGTACTCAAACGTGCTGAAGAATACGGCACTGCCCAGACTGTCCTTGGTGAGAGACAGCGTCCAGCCTGCGAAAACGCCGCGAACGCCAATCTCGCGTAGTTTCTCCGCGCTGAAAGCCCACATACTCCTGGGCTTGCCATTGCCAGCGGTGCCTAGGACATCGCGATGGTCATATCTCGCCTGTATGGCATCAAGCGGCGCCGCGACTAGACTCTGAAGACTGCCAGCAAGGAGGCCTGCTGTGAATGTTTGACTAGGCTCGGGGGGCGGATATGCCCGCTTTGTTGAGCGGCCAGACTCGGGATGGAGGTTTCCTGAAATGATGTGAGCCGGTTGACTATGACAAGGCGGCGCATGGCTTTGGGATGTGTGTATGCTTGCTTACCCAGTATGTGTAAATACGATGTGTAGAGCACAGCGCCGACGGTGACGTTGGCAATGAGGGGAGGTAGTATCTGGTCCGGCACCACACGCCAGCCGTGCTGCTGGATGACAGAAGTGAGCAGACCTGGTGTGGTGCCCCGCATCCACATCCAAGTGTGCTTCAGGCCGACTGAGAATCTCGACGCGTTGTGCTCGCTGGCCGCAGCCTGGGCCAGCGCCGCAAACTGCGCCTGGTGCACACTTCTCGCATAAGCCAGATAGTCGACCCGCGTGCGAAAGAAAGCTTTGACGGGTGCGCGGAAGTAAAAGGCAATCGCCTGAGCGCTCAGAGCGCGTACGCCAGCCGCCGAGGCGGCGGTAGCGGCGTTGTTGCGTGGCACACCGGCGCCATCGCCATTGGGGAGGACGGGGAGTACGCCTGTCGAGGCGTTTGGGAAGCCGGCATCGAAGTCATCGCGGCCAGGCGTCATGGCTGCCGAGAGTCATCTTGAGTTGATCAGTCAACCAAGAGCGCAGACGACCAAGATCTTGTCTAAATGGAGGTGAGAGAAAGCTCTTTGGCGCATGACCTCGCTTCCGGCTGGTCGTCGTGAGGCCGCCGCAACCCGGGCCTTCTCGCGCCGGGGCTCCACCACATGGGCACTTCAAGGCTGTCAGGCACGGGTCCTCCAGAATCAGGCCCCGCCAGCCAAGTATCAGCCACACAGACGTCATTCTCAGCCACAACGCCACGATCGAAAGCTCCTGTCAAACACAAGCCAGCTGGAGCTCAGGCAGGGGCAGCTCCATCCACGCCAGGCACATGCACCCGCAACGGCCAGGGAAGCTCCAGCCCCAGGGTCTTACAAGCTGACCTCGGGAGGATCTAGTGGGCCATCGGTACGTTCACATTGACAAACCACGACGCCCGACTGACCTTCGAGCAGCAAACAACCACTCAGCGTGTGCCGGCACGACTATCTGCCCAGGTACCTAGCTAGCTCGGCCGACCTCATGAGCTGACGGTAGCAAGCAGCACAGAGTTTGCTTTGCCCTGGCCGGCGGTCTCGGCGTAGCCGACAATCCGCAACCTGGCTCGACCATGCGCGAGTTCATGGACTACATCCAGTCCGCCTTCTACTCGGCAACTGGCTGGAATCGTGAGAGCTCATACTCGACCCTCAATGCCACTTCCGATGCGCTTCTCAACTTCCCGACACCGCGTGGTCTGCGTTTGACTCTCAGTTCCCTCGCGACTCCCCAGTTCGCAACCACATACCAGCTTGGCACTATTGGAGTTGTCGACGGCTCGATATCGTACCTCTACTCGTCGGTGCCATTGAACGACACTGTCGCTCAGAGCGACCGCATCCCACTATCGACGGTTCTCAAGGGCTACCGAACCTTAGCCGAGCTCCCACGACATGAGGTTGACAGCAGCCTCGAGGCCACCGCCACCAAGGTGAACTCGTGGTCAGGTTTCAATCTTATGGACACTGAATCTCTGGCATATGGCCGCCTATACTTGCCGAGGTCTATGCTCGAGGCACTGTTTGTGAAGCGAATATCGCCGACCTTACAGATGCAGATGAGTGCGGTCTCTGATCAGTCACTCCGAAACGGCGGGACGGTGTTGAGCATGCTACAGTACGATACTGGTCGGTACGGCGTGGAGGGGCTTGCATCCACTGATGGAGGGCTCTTAGGCATTCGTGGGCTATACAACTTTGGGGGTGACGTTGCGGACACGGACCTTGTTCCAAGCCCGGTCGAGGAAGGATCAAACCACAATAACAACAGCAACAATGAGCGAGACCGCATCTATGGTAGATTCAGCGCGGGCGGCGAATTCTACTACGGCACATTAAACAAGTCTGGTGGCATGAGCCTCGGCGTGCGATTTGCAACACTACCGCGGCACAAAGGCACACCTCTTACGGCCACGATGACGATTAACCCGCTGATGGGCAACATGAGCTGGACTTATGCCGTCATGGCCGGGGAAAACTGCTCGCTTGCGACACGCACAAGTTTCAACGTATATAGCTACGAGAGTGATTATGCCGTTGGACTCGAGCTATGGAGGAAACGATCTGCGTGGCAAAATCTGGAATCCGAAGATGATGTCAAGGTTATTACGCCCACGATACCACAACGAAGCTTCCAGTCAAAATTAGAATGGAAGCTGGACGAGCCGACAATCGCCTCACCACTGAAGGAACCAGTGGCTGCCGATGCTGGTCCGACCGTCAAGTCAGTCAAGCCCCGAGAAAGGAGTTTCCAGGCCAAGCTGGAATGGCGTCTAGACGATGCAGAAAGCATGCCGGCCCCTGGTGCGGACACGTTCGAAGACCCTTACGCCGGCGTCCTTAAAGCACGCCTCGATCAACACTTCCGCGTCGGGCTGCTTTGGGAGGGTAGGATAAAATCTCTACTTTTCAGTCTCGGCAGCAGCATTGACCTGAGGCGGCCCGACTCGCCGTTTCGCAACCTGGGATTAGAGGTTCAATTTTCCTCCTGAACGCGCCAATCTTACAAGCCTTGGCCTACACGAAAACCCAACTTGATACCATCAGCCTGGTCTTGCAGGAGGCCGAGACCCGACGATCCGCATGCACAGCGGCAGCGCCCAGGGGTCTCCGAGCATAGTCTATAGACTTGCGCGGCCACCCTCCCTGCTTAGGCAAAGTTTGACGCAGCCACCTGCCTCAAACTGGTCTACAGCCGCGCTTGCGATGCAGGGATATCGCATTATTGTAGATGCATCTACCAAGAAGAGAGTATCATCCGATATTAACCCCTTCTGCCAAACAGGCATGCTGATCGCAGCTTTCTATGAACACGCCTCTACCTTCCCGGCACCCTCTTGGATACAACAGAGGCAGTCTCTTGGTCATGCTTGTCATAATGCATACGTCTGGACGATCCTGCCTGTTGATCATGCCGCACTTTGCAGCCAGTCGGGTCTCCCTTGTGCCGCGTGACAGCTTGTCGCTTCGTTCTCTGTGTCAACCCGTTCTGCAATGGAAGTGTCCGGCTCAGGTGTCGCAGGAATGAGTGCTCAAGTGTCGACCCATGCCGACTAAGCCGTTATGAAGACCTTGATGGCCACTCAAATTAGCGCTTGAGATTGGGGCCTGAAACGGCCGGTCCTCGGTGACTGATCTAGTCGTGAGCGTTTTTCCGAACCAACTAATGCGAGGGCGGCGCCGCTGACCCAAAAGCAGGGTCCCATGGCTCGAGGCTGCATTCCTGACGAGACTGGACAGGGCCACGGGTCCACCGAAAGAGCGAGATGTCGTTTGCCGGCGACTTAAGGGCACTATACTCGTTCACTACGCACTTACTGCGGGACACTATGGCATGACCAAGCTGCAGCGTAACGCCCGAGACATTGCAGAGGTATGCGCCGTGGTGGAAGCAAGCTCGTGAGTGGTCTACACAACGGCCACGAGGTGCTGGCATAGACAGCGAATCCGTGGTCGAGGACCACCACACATGTATCGACATGAGGAACAGGGCTGACGTCGAGTGGGTGGAGTCGAGCGCCGCAGCAGCGGGATGGTGGGCGCCGGTGATTTGCGGGCGTGCGGGAGCTAGCTTGTCGTGAGGACCTTGATGGCCAGCCAGCCCTTCAGTAACCCGAGCACATGCAGACTCTTGCGCCCACGACCGCGTCATGCCCACGTGAACCTTGGGTTGCAACACATGAGCGAGACGATTGCTGCAGACGGAGCCAGGATGTTGCGTGGCTCGCCGGGGTCCTTGGCTCGTCTTGGAAAGAGCTCGCGATGAGGAAGCCCGTATGTGACGAGCCAAGGCCGGCAATGCGGTACCAAGAGTAGCTTGTCCGCAACAAGCTCGCCCAGCCTGGCGGGCCTGCTGTCTCGGCAGCCTGTCCGGCCAGGCGGCAGGGGCTGGGCTGCCAGGAATAGCAAGCAAGCAAGCAGCCTGCAGGCTAAGCGAAAATCACACCACGCACATACACACACATTGGCCCTCCAACCACCAAACTTTCGTTTTGCACAAGAGCATATACCAAAACATTTGCACAGCCGTGGTGCCTGGGCTTGGTATGCGGACCATACGTTTTCCGGCATGCTGCTGGCAACTTCCGCTCTGGCTCAAAGTTGGAAGGCAAGCTCGGTCCCACTTGTGCCGATAAGATCCATGGATGAAGGAGAAAGCGGAACGGAGGTCCAGCGGCGCTAGCTGGCGGCGGTGGGCCCAGCAGAGTTTCTCCTCCGCTCTGGACATCAAGGTCCTCTCTTTCTGCGTGTCTCGATGCCCACACCCAGCTCCAGTTGCGGCGGTCCGCCCCTCGGCCCTGCCGTCCTTCCGGGGTCAGCCCAAACTCATCTGCCGCGCTTTTCAACCATGGCACCGCCCGCGCCTCCCTCGTCTCTCTTGCCTCATATACCACCAGCCTTGTCACCTTGAGGGATCTCCCTGTGGACCCTTCCTCCCAGATCAAGTGCGAGACACAGCTCTTATTTATACCAGCACATTCCGCTCTTCGTGACCGCCTTGCTTGGCTGTTCTTGGCATCACGATCCCGGACTGCAGGCATTGGGGCCCGCCTGCGACTACACGAACCCTCTTCACAGAGACTACCACGCAACGGTATCGACAATGCTTGCTGATACTGCGGCGCAACTCTTGTTCTCCCTAGCCCGGAGACAAGATGACGGAAGCACCGACGCGTCTGGCGGCGGCGGCGACGCTGCCGCGCCGGAGGTCCCAACCGTCACGATCGAGTGTGACACGGGCAACGACTTTGACGGCCGGATAGGCCTGCGCATCTCGGCTATCTTTGTGATCCTCGTCGGCTCCCTCCTCGGTGCCATGCTGCCCGTGATCCTGGCCCGGCACTCGAAGCTGCGCGTGGGCTTTGCATTCTTCGTCGCAAAGTACTTTGGCTCCGGCGTCATCATCGCCACGGCATTCATGCACCTGCTCTCACCGGCGCACGAGGCCTTGTCGAACCCTTGTCTGCCCGATGGGCCCATTACAGCCTACGACTGGGCGACGGGTATCTGCCTCATGACCGTCATGGTCATGTTTACGGTCGAGCTGCTGGTCAGCCGTTTCGACTTCTTTGGTGGTGACCACAACCACGATGTCGTTGAGCACGACCCGTCTCTCGATGTCCTCGCCAAGAAGTCCGCGGCCAAGCCCGACACGCCAGTCTCCGGTGGCGAGGACCACCAGCTCAACGACATCGAGGCCACGGCCGCGTCCACGGCGGCGCCGCGCACCAGTGGCTTCCAGGGCGACGTCAGCTACCCTCCCGGTGGTGAGGACCACCTGGGCCACCGGCGCGAGCACAAGGACGACATGAGCCACACGGAGTTCGCCGCGCAGATGACGGGCATCTTCATCCTCGAGTTCGGCGTCCTGTTTCACAGTATCTTCATCGGCCTAACCCTCGCCGTGTCCGGCGACGAGTTCATTGTGCTCTACATTGTCCTCGTCTTCCACCAGACCTTCGAGGGCCTCGGTCTCGGCTCCCGCCTCGCCACGGCGCAGTGGCCCCGCTCAAAAGCGTACATGCCGTACCTCCTCGCGGGCCTGTACGCCCTCAGCACTCCCGTCGCCATCGCCGCGGGCCTCGGCGTCCGTGAGACCCTCGAGCCGGGGAGCCCCCAGACATTGATCATCAACGGCGTCTTCGACGCCATCTCGGCGGGCATCCTCATCTACACAGGCCTCGTCGAGCTCCTGGCCCACGAATTCATGTTCAACGAGCACATGCGCAAGGCCGGGCTCAAGCAGCAGCTTCTCGCCCTGGGGTGTGTCTTCTTGGGTGCTGGACTTATGGTGAGTCCCCACTTCCGCCCCTTCTTTCTGGGTTCATGAATATCCTTTTCTGTCTGGTGAACGTGACAATGCTAACATGTCTTGAAATCGCAGGCTGTCCTTGCCATCTGGGCTTAGAGGTAAATAGAACGGGCAACTGGGCGAGATGCCAAGTTGAAGACACCGTGAGAGAGAGAGAGAGAGTCCTTCGTCTTCGAAACTAGACATGTCTCACTCGTCACACAAGGTTGACAGCCTGCTGATGGCTGAACTGTGCTATAGCGGTCAGAAGTTGATATTTGCCTGCGTGTGCATTATTGATATCCAATCTCGCTTTTATTGATACGCATAACTAGTCAAGGCAGCTCGGTTAGATACCCTTCTGATTATAATTCATAGATTTGAATGTATTCCTTGTCGTCGCCTCGAAGAGGGACTTGCTCGTTTCTCATTTCTCATTCTATGCTGCGAGAGATCCCCTCAGAGATCAATGTGTCGGTCTCTTGATGTCCGATTTGGGATGTTATGGGCTCGGTCATACTCTATACTTGTGCTCGCTGCAAATTGGCACACATCAGTTGCCAAGACCAACACCACCACGACTTCCCCAATTGTCAATAATCTCGTGGATCTTGGGGTCACGTAGCTGTCTCTGCTGCTGCTGTTCGCGACTCCCACCACCAGCAGCACTCCGCATTCCGTCGCGACTCTGCGCAGATGCCGCCGCCAGGGCCTGCTGGTACGCCTTTGCGACAAAGTCGTAGGGCACCACACCGCGAGCACCACCATTGCCACTACTGTCGTCGTTGGCCTTGGTGTCGCGCAGCAGCACTACGAACTCGTCCGCGACACGTCTGACGGAGCGCGTCTCGTCAGCGGTGATCTTCTGCAGCTCTGCGTCGGCGAAGAACGCGCTGCGCCCCGCCACCTCGCCCTCCGCTGGCGGATCTCGTCTCGTGCTATCACGCGATTCAGCTGTACTACCATCATCATCATCCTGGGATTCTGGCAACGTTGGCTCCGGCAGGAGACCACCGTTGCACTCGGCCACAAGCGAGCCTGCCAGCATCCTCGTCGCCTCGAGGGCGTCGGTCATGTTCGTCTTGGCGGTGGTTTCGAAGAGCACCTGCATGTCCGTCGCGAGCACGTGGGTCTTTGCCGCGCGGCGCTGGATGTGCTTGTCGACATGGTGCGCGAGGGCGATTGTGTCGTGGTGCTGGCCGCCGCCTTCCGCCCCGCCAGTACTGGGAGGTGGGAGGGAAACGCCGAGAGCTTCCATGGCGGAGAGGAGGTCGTCTAGCGGCGTGCTCGAGCTTGGGATTAATCCTCTTCTCAGCTGCTTGGACCTCGTCTTTGGTGCAAGCTGGGGTCCTCCTTGTTGTTGTTGTTGTTGTTGCTGTTGTTGTTGGTTTTGAGCGCCTTGGCTGATGACGCTGGGCTTGTTCGCCGTCCGAGCCTGGAACACTTCAAAGGTCTTGGCAAGAGCTTTGTGATGTGCAACTAGTGTCCTGATCCGTTCGGCGAATTCTTCTAGCCGCTCGTTCATATATCCTAGCATCGCAGAAGTCTGGGAACAGGGCGGAATCAGCTTCGTCCTTAGAACCGAATTGGGCATTCCTTGAGAATCACCACCGAGAATGGTACACTTACATATGATGCTATCAAGGCATAACGCTCTTCGCGTCTGTCACTCTCGTTGCTCTTGGATTTGATGATAGGACCGACAAGCTGTTTCTCCACGGCCATGTGTGCCACAGGCACGACCTCTTCCCACAGTGAGCGTAGATCAGCAACAATGGCTTCCCGCTCGTCATTCGCGGCCCTGGCTTGTGCCGACATGCCTCGTCTTGTTTTTTCCTGATAAGAATTGCATGCCTGGATGAAGACGATGTCCAGCACCATGCGCTGGTGGGCAACAATGGCAAATATGATTCTGCAAGTGATCATGGTTAGTTCGTGACCGTATTGTTAAAGGGCTGTCACACTGTCAGAGAAATAGAGAGGCACTCAACTCGTTGGAAAGCCGCCGCGCATCATTCAGCACCGCCTTTTGCTCTGAATCGTCATACTGCAGCTCTGTGCAAAGGGCATCCAGCTTCTCTAGGATCCGGTCGTGCGGGACGAGAAGGCCGTCTAGGGTCTCCCTAAGGGCCTGAGTGGATGCCGATATCTCGACCGACACACCATTCGCCGAGCCCTGTCGATCAGCATGACGAGCATTCTCACCCGATGCAGCAAGATAGCGATCCAGTCTCGAGTCCGCATGAGCAGCCAGTTGTTCACACTACTCCACCGGTGTCAGCCTCGTACTCCTCGTCACCCTATTTCCATAAGTAGGATTTGCTGCCTGAGCAAGCACCGTACCTCTTCGGTCAATTCCTGCTTGCGGGCCTTTAGATCCCTTGCCTTTGAGCTCAAGGCAGTCCTGGCTCCGCCGCCCCCAGGCGCGTTGTTGCTGCTGCCGTCGCGGATCGCACTTAGCCGGGTGTTGTGGCTGCGCAGCGTGTCCACGAGTGACTGCGTCTTCCTGTTGAGGTTCTCGAGCTCCGCCTCGGTCTGCGCGATGCGGTCCGGCGTCAGGCTCAGCTGGTCGTGGAGGCTCTCCACGCCGGCGACGCGCTCAAACTCGGCAGACTGTGGGTGCGGCGCAGCGGCAGATCTGCTTCAGTAGACGGTCAGCAACTGACTCTTGATGCCAAAAAGAGCGGGATTTGACTAAGTAGGGGATCTGCTGTTGCCTCACCTGCCCGTGGTACGAGTCTCATGGTTACTGGGGTCGGAGCCGTATATTCGGTGCCTGAGTTGTTGCCACAGATCGCGGGTGTCATCGTCGGAGATGAGCGCATGCTTGTTCTCCTGGCTTAGCTCTGAGAGTGCGATGCCTGCCTTGCTGCATATTATGCGGAGGAGGCGATCATTTGTTGATTCTGGAGGGGCTGCTGAACCCATGGCAACGGCTGCCATGCTTTGCTCGTGACGGCGCGAGTCCGTCTCGATTGTGCTGCCCTCGCGCGATAAATCCTGCAAGAGGTTCGGGCGGGTCAGAAATCAGTGGCTGTGGATTTTTTAGGAGGTTTCCGCGATGCAATTCAAGCAAGAGAAGGTGCGTGCAGTTATGTGATGCGGCATGTAAACAATCCACGAGTGTTTGATGGGGCTATGTACGCTGTCGTTGCCAATTCTCCAGTTAGAGCGATCCACCGACAGTATTTAGCGGTGTGTGTCGCTGTACGGCTCCAAGGATTAGTATCACCTTACAACAAGCTGGCCAGGCGGTGGAAGATCGAGGCTCCCGGTTATGATAAAGGAGACCCGATTGATTGGCAGAACAGTATTTTGCGCCTGTCCCTTGACAATGCTAACTGTGGTTTGGGAACACGCGCGACAATTGCGGCGGATGGGTCTGGATCTGGTTGGCTGCACACTGATGGACCCTTCGAAAGCGAAGCGGCATGTTCGTTTGCAATGCACACATTTCAGAACATGGGATGATGTAGTTGAAGCATTACTTTTGATCCAATTCAAAGACATGAGATCCAGACATTGTCGGACCCCTAGTTTGCGCCCCTCTGCGACCAGGGCAGACCTTGTCTGCTCTTATGAAGCGCAAGTCATTCGGCACAGCAATAGCCTGTGCGCCAACTGGCTTTCTTGTCCTCTCCTCGTTATCCCCGCTTTTTAAACCATATCCTACATTCTCTGCTCATTCCAAGCGCTCAATGAGGTGCAGACCGCTCGCCGTCTCCACGATGGAGCTCATCTCGCCTGGCCGCAGCGCGAAGGAGGCTTCCTCGAATTCGCGCTGCATGTCGCCTTTGCCAAAGTAACCCAGGTCGCCGCGCTTGCGCGCCGAGGTGCAGTCACTCTCGCTCATGGCAAGCTCGCCCAGAGAGACCTCGCCCGACTTGATTCTCGACTCGTGGCCCAGGAGGATCTGCCGGGCCTCGTCCTTGGTGCGCGTGATCTCGCTCTCGCGCCAGCTGGCGGGGCGCCGGCTCTCGCGATGCTTGATGAGCAGGTGTGCGACGCGGATCTTGCCTTCTGGCTTGCCGACGGACTGGCCGCCGGCCGTGGCGCTGTGGTGCGTCGCCATGTACTTCTTGAGCTTCTCGGTGTCGGTGCCTGAGGGCGGCTCCCAGCGAGATACCTTGTCGGCGGCATTGAAGTAGTAAGGGAGGTTCTTGGAGTTGCTGTGGCGCACCTCCCAGCCCTGTGGCAGTCCAGTCTCATCCTGGATCGCGAGTCCCGCTGTTAGAACCGTTCTGTCGCTTGCCATTCATGCTGTGGCTCGGCCGAGGAGGTCACTACATTGCAGCTTACCATTTTGTCTTGTGGGTGGAGTGACGAGCTAAGTCAGCCCAGTAGCTCAGCTCAGTCTAATGCGTGTAAGAGATCGCGTGTTGCACTGGCTTCCCGCAAGGTTGGGAAGGCGTATCAAGAGCTTCTCGGGCGGAATATGGACAGAGGACGAGTAAAACAGCGTCGCGGAAGGATCAGCAGTGGAGGACGCTTTAAGACGGAATTGCAGGCACCGAGGCGCTTGGTGGTGGACTGCGCGGGCCTTATGACGCTGGACCTGACAAAAGGGGATCACGAGGCACTTGACCAGGCCGGGGGCGGGGGCAAGCCTTGCAACCATCCGGAGCCCTTCTTAGCGCACAACCGCGGGGCAACGGCCCTGGATGGCGAACTGCCTGCGTGCTCATTGGGCAACTCTGCCCTAATGGCACGGCTGCCCATGCAGGTGGGATAACACAGTTTCGAAGACTGTGAATCCCTCGCACAGGGGATGCAGGAACGCACCGTGTGCAGTCTCTTCGCCTACTGTCCCGCAGACCTCACTTGGATTGCCACCACTGTGAGGTCACCGCGGATCACCCTGGACTACTGTGCCAGCCAAGTCTGGTCGAGCTGGACGACTCGGGGTCCGACCAGTCCAGTCCAGTCCACTGAATGTTCTTGGTACAGAGTCTGTGCCAAACCTCGCTGGGGTTCAGGTTTCCTTCCTGAATCCTCACCCTTTTCCACAGACTGGTGCATTTGCCGTCGCTCAAGCACAAACAAGCCTACAAGGCCACCTCCTCCTGGGGACTCAAACCTGCTCAGCACCCAGTATCGCAATTTCTCGGAGTGGTTTCGTGTCCGCGTGGAACGGGCCACTAAGAAACTTGAAAAGCACGCACACATTTAATCCTCTGTGCTGTTGACCAGCCAGGGCAAGCAAGCAAAACGATCCAAAGCTGGATGGCACTACTCTTGCCCACGCCACGCCTCAGTCATCCGCCTCGCCCCACTCTGCACCCTATTCCAGATTTCGAGGTCAGCCAGCTGCGCGCACCGCTGGGCCTCTTCCGCCTCAAACCATCCTCACACGCCGCCATCTCAGCAGCATCAAGCAACCACCAGCCTGGTTCATCACTGTTCAGGCCTGCACTGCACTGCACAGCACAGCAAATATGGCATCTCCAGGCTCAAATGCGGGAGCTGACGACAGCGCGGCCCAGAACAACCTCGAGCAGATCACCTTCCGTTTCTGCTCGGAATGCTCAAACATGCTGTACCCCAAGGAGGATGAGGATTCTCACAAGCTCCAGTTCACCTGCCGGACATGCCAGTACACCGAGGAGGCCACCTCAACCTGTGTGTTCCGCAACATCATGAACAGCACGGCTGGCGCCACCGCTGGTGTCACGCAGGACGTCGGCTCAGACCCTACGGTTTGTCACCACATTCCCTCACGCCCCAGTGCCTCTTCACCTACCTCCCATGCCCCGGGCGCCAGCCCAGATCGCCAGCCTGCGCTGCCTTCCCGTGACGATTCATCCCTTGCCGTCTGCCTGCGATGTGGCAACATCCTCCTGCAATGCAGCAAGTGCCAGGATCCGGCCACCATCGAGGAGTACAACGACTTTGTGAAGAACGACCCAAATTTTGCCGCCGCGCGGTCGCTAGGCATAATCCGCAACACGAGCCACTGGAATGCACTGGACGGCGAGGGCAAGGACGCCTGGGACTCTCGTTTCGTTGAAGCAACCCAGATCGACATGAAGCATGTGGCCCAGGAGAGCATCGCACAGTATCTGCCCACAGATCCGGGCACAGATCAGTACGACGATCCGCCAGAGGCCCTTGGAATCGACCCAGAGGACTACGAGAACGCGGCCGAGCTTGATTATCCTTGACGTCGCAACCCGCCACTCAGTATCTCACGACATCCAGGAGCATCAGGCTGAGGCCGCATCCGACCATGGCTTCATGGCCTAGTGCGACCTGGTTGTGTATCCAGCACAGCCTGCTGGGATGCACTTCAGGCAGACTTGGACTGGCGGAGCGCTAGTCACTATTCGACACGGAGTGCATGGTCGCGCAGGCTCGGCATGGGCACTTGCTTTTGAGGAGACAGTCACTTGCCACTCTCCTACCGGAACTGGGGCTGACATGTGCTGTTCTGTCACATCTAGCTTCCGCGGTCAAATAAGACCTGTCCTGTCTGCAAGCATGAGGAGGCAGTCTTCTTTCAGTCACAGCAGCGTAGCGCCGAGACCGGAATGGTGAGCTATACTCTTCTTGCGAGGCGGCCATCCTACAGGTTTTACTAATCCAACGAACAGGCTCTCTTCTATGTTTGCTGCGAGTGTGGTAACATCTTCCAATGATGAGAAGCGTTCGCTTCGAGCGACTGACGTCGCTCGCTTGGCGACTCGCTTTGGTGTGCGCCAAGGTTCGCTCCAGGGGCCGGTCTAGCTGCCGAGCGGGCGGGAAAGTTCTCGCCATTTTCAACTGGAGAGGAGAACCACCACGACCCCAGTCTCAGAGATCTGGCTGGAAAGGACACAATAGCAGCGCGCTCCAAGATGCTTACTTTGCAAAGCTAGTATGCACGGTTTGCAGCCATACCCGTGCTTCGAAGAAGAGTAGCAGCGGTCGTGAAGAAAGAGGTCTGGCTGAGGGCTATTTGGGTCTGTCCTTGGCGGTATTGGAGCTCGATACGGGAAACGGCGCATTATGGAACATACAATAAAAGACTGATTTGGGATTTGCCTCGGTGGTCTGGCTCGTGTTTGTATTTTGTGCGTGCAACAGTGGATTTCAAGTATGACACGATCTTCAAAATCCCACCCAAAATATTTATGATCTCTATTTATACAATGGCCTGGCGCCTCAGGCACAGTTCAGTGTTACTTGACCTTCGTAATTGTACAATTGTCATTGATGTCGTGACGACCCGCTCGTTATGCCGTCATCCTCCTTCTCATCGTCCCACACGAAGCCATTGGGACCGCCCAGACAAGTGTCCTCAAGACACATTGAGCTCTCGGAGATGTTCTGTTTGGGCACTGCACTCGGAGTCGGTACGGTCATACGGATTGGTTAGCCGCCTGCAAGGACCCTGGCCTGACAAGGACAACTTCTCGTCCTTTCTCAGGAGTGCCAGGTCGCCCTCGATCATCCCATGTGATCCCGTTCTCTTTCCAGTCCTCTACGCATGTGTCGGCGCCATACTCAATATCTTGGCCCACTTCTTCCTCCGCAGCTCGGCGCCGACGACGCTGTTGACGCGTGTGCCGACCGGGTCGCCGGCCTTGTTGATGAGCACGCAGGCGTTGTCGTCGAAGCGGACCACGCTGCCGTCGGGCCGCTGGACCTTCTTCTTGGTTCGCACGACGATTGCGTGCCGGATGTCGCCGCGCTTCACCTTGCCCGCCGCGCTCGACGCGTTCATGCCCGCCTCGGACGAGTTGCGGTTCTTCTGGACGACTGCTACTATCCTGTCACCTGTTTTTCCGAAATGAACTCGGGGTTAGCCTGGCGTTGAGAGGGGATTTCCGCGGTGGTGATTGTTCTCGGATGGGTTTTGGGGTGGTGGATAGAGTCGGAATCTGGTGGTTGAGCATACCGATCGAGGCGTGTCTCTTGCGGCCGACAATCATGACGCATTCGACGAGCGAGGCGCCCGAATTGTCGATGCAGTTGAGCATGGACTGTGTTGCCCAGGTTGGTCAGCTGGGCGCTCTGCAGAGTCTAGAGGGGTTCTTCGTGGTGGCCGCACCTTTAATTGAATCATGTTTGGTCCTCTTGCTTCTTTGCGGAGTCCAGCGACTTCGGTAGGCTGTCGTCGGTCGGTGGAAGAAGACTGCGCTCGGGAGAGCACGGGAATTTGCGTGAGTATGGTGCTCTGCTCTGGCGTGAACGACCCCTTCTCGTGACTGTGGTCGTCGTCCTCGTCGTCGGTGGTTGTCCCTGGCCACCCAGTCTCCAAAAATTCGAGATCGACGATGATTGGGCTGCCAGCATAGTGGAGCTCAGCCGTGGTACCAAGGCCGAGCGGCCAATCCAATCTCAAGCTGCCGCCTACCCTGCAGCGACGCTCCTGCCAGACCAAGCACGCAAGCTTCCCTAGGAGAATTGGGGGCCGTGAGCTAGACCTGTCCCAGATCAATGCAAGGCTGTCGTGCGTGGTTGCCATGGGCAGCATCACGCGCTCTTTCCTCTACAAGTCTTGGACGGCACTCCTGGTGTACGAACAGGCGCTTGTGGCTCAAACGCTCGCAGCCATGAAGCGATTCCTCCTCCTCCACGAGCGCCCACTTTCACGGCAGAGGTGCCGGCTCTCATTGGCAAACGGGCATCCGTGCTCAGGAGCATCATCGCACCGGGCCTGGCGTTGAGCTTGTTGGCGGCCGCCGGAGCGGGTCCAGCCTGAGCCGGTTGCTGTGGGGTTGCGACCACAGGGGAGTTGCGCTCGCTGCGCCGTCCAACTCCTGATCGCCCGCGGCCACCCGCACTTGCAGCTCTCACCACTTACCACTCACTCTCACGCTCACTTCCAACCTTCACTCGGCTCGGCGGCAACACTCTCTGCTCTGGACATAGCGACACTCTCTCTCACAACTACTCGCAGCAAGACAAGCCCTGATACGGTCATCTGAGGCCTGTCGACTCGCCCTTCTCGGCACAACCCGATGTCCTAGACTGGTCGCTCATTCGTAAATTCCAGTCCCGTCTTACTGGCATCCCAGCCTTCCACCCAACTCCCGCCGGGCAATACAAGCGACAGCAGAAGCCATCGTCTCCAAGCTCCTTTTGGCGCATATCTCCCTTGTGCACAACGGCTTCTCGCCACGGTCCAGAAAGCGCAGGGGATTTGCCCACAACCAAACACCTTTTCCGGCAGGCGGATACAGGACAGCTGGTGCATTCTGTTGAATTATAGGGAGCCGTCTGCGAAGGTCCTCGGGGGAATTGGAGCTTGCACAATTGGCTCACCATGCCTCCTCTGGCGGGTGCGAAGAAGCAGTCCTTAACATTGGCGCAAGTGTCACAATATGACGACCTTCTGACCGATGCGCTCGTTGACCATGTATGTGCCGCAGGAAGGGGTGGCGCAGCGTTTCGGGCAGGAAAATACTGATGATGGCCACTTTCACAGGTTTATTACTGGACGACGATTCCAAAGAATCGACCATCGTATCACGCAACTCGAGGTGTCACCGAGGAGGAGATTGCCAAGATCGTACAGACTCATCTGATTGTAGAGCCCAATGTCGAAGTAGCCGAGGCCAAGCTTCTGCAGACTGCAGGGTTGCGCAAGTTCGTCAACGGCCTCAAGACGCCAAAAGAGAAGGACGACTTCCGCCGTCATCTCCGCCGATATATGCAGATATATCTCCCAGATTGCCCCTTCGAAGTCAGTACAACCAATCGATACACAATCGTCACCCAGGAGGCTGCCGTGACAGCTCGCCAGTTCATCAAGAAGGGTCAAGCCGTCAAATACCTTTCAGGCATCCAGGTTCTAATCACACCAGAGGAGGAACAAGAATTGTCGCACAGGAAAAAGGACTTCAGCATTGTCGTTAGTTCAAGGAGCAAGTGCGCAAGCATCTTTATGGGACCGGCTCGCTTCGCCAACCACGACTGCGGTGCCAATGCGCGCTTGATGATCACAAGTCAAGCATGCATTGAGATTCTCGCTGTACGAAATATCGAGGTTGGAGACGAGATCACGGTCACCTACGGCGAAAACTATTTCGGCGAAGACAACTGCGAGTGCCTCTGTCAGACCTGCGAAGATAATCTGGCAAATGGCTGGCGACAATCTGATGGTACGGGTCCCGTGAAGAAGAGCATCGAAAACAACCCCCTGGAGGGCTATTCTCTACGCCACAGGCGACGAGGGGACAGCTGTGCGTCGGAGTCACGTACACCGTCGCTCGGGCCCGAAATCCGACCTCGGATTCGCAAGTCTCGCTCGAAGCTGCTTCGGGCCGATTCCAGTAATCTATCTGCGGTCAACTCGCCCGCTGATGATCCCACCGGCGAGAAACGCAAGCGAGAAGACGAGTCATTGAGAACGCCACCAATCACGCCTGCAAAGAGATTAAAGCCTCTGAAGTATGAAGTGTCAACGCTCGTGTTGTCGCAATCCTTGCCAAGGCAAAGCAGTGAGGTCGAGTCTGTCGCCCGAGCAAGTTCATCCTCCAGAGCAGGAAGTGCCGATGCGGTCTTGACCGACGTCACGACGCCCGAGGCTGAAGATCACCCTCACAGCCCATATGTGGCGAAGCGTCTCAACCCTATGTCGATCGAAAATCTGACAAACACCACAGTGATGCACTCCATCGAGACTTCACAGATCAGAACCTCGGACATCGGGCCAGCAGGCGGGCTCGAAACTGAGCAGAGCGTCGTAACCACAATATCCGATGATGTACACCTGCCCGCGACACCCCCGTCATCTCTGCCTGTCGAGTCCCCCCTATCACCCGCTACAACCGAGTCGCCTGTGAAGGAGGCCACACGTGGACGGGGTCGGCCGCCCTCTCGAAAGCGCGCCCTGTCTTCTACACAGACTTCAGAGGAAGCGCCTGCGATGTCGCCTGAGACCAAGCGCCGCACACCCGGCGACTACACGCTTACTCCAGTGCTTCTCTCCGAGCCCAACACGGCTTGGATTCATTGCATGAACTGCAGCGAGGCGTTTGTACAATACAACGCATATTATACGCGGAGCTCATGTCCCCGCTGTGAACGCCACTCCAAACTTTATGGCTACATGTGGCCGAAAACTGAACCTGAAGGAAAGCACGACAAGGAAGAGCGTATTCTCGATCACCGGACTGTTCATCGCTTTTTAGACCGCCAGGGAGAGGCTCGCGTGCGAGGCAGGCAATTGCCAGTAATGGAGACGGGATCCTCGAACAGCACGACCAAAACCACAAGAGCCGCATCCATTGCTGGTGTCGGGCGCGTCAAGAGTACGAACGCGAGGTCAAGCAGCATCGCAGCCATAAGACGAAGCCGCAGTGGTCGTGTCATCAGCGCACCACGCTTCTCAGATGAGTTATGATGACTGTGACACGATTAAGTAGCGTTCTGGAGCCCAGTTTGGAATTTGTGGAAGCCGGTGTTAGAGTGAGGAGTCGATTTGTACATATTCATGGTAGTTGAGCGAAGATCACGGGTGTGAAAGGGGAGTTCAGGGGCATGAATATATATTATACATTTTTTTCTTTCACAATGCTAGATGGGCTGGTCAAGCGACGTGTCACTATTCCCCACTTGTGATTTCTGTGAAGATCTTCTTGATGATACACAACAAAAGGAAGAAAGAAAACGAAAAAGAAAACACAGAGGAAAGGAACTTTGCTATATCGAAGCCACCGGATCCTGTTCTCACTTGCAAAAGACGAAACGAATTCATTTCCAAGACAGCAGTTATCTTATTCCTATCGAAGCCATTGCTACAAGGCTATATTCAACCACGGCCCACTCAGAGTAGGTGACCCCGGGGGAAGGAGAAGAAGATATCTGGACTGCCCTGGCCCTTGAAGAGGAAAAAAGCCTGACTGCCTTGCTTCCCCTCTTTCGGCCCCGTTTGATGTCGAAGACAAAGAGAAAAAGTTGCATTGACAGTACAGGCTTCCTCCTCGTCTCTATATGTAAAAGGAATGTCATGAAATCATAAAAAGCATTTGCTCCGTGAGTATGTGTCCAGGGATATGATGATCCTCGAGATCCAGTCCCGAACCTTGCTCCAAAAAAAAACGCCCTTTCCCTCTCTCTGTGTGTGCCTCTAAGATGTATTGTGTTACAAGTGGTTGCATCAGCGATGTCCGTGCTGAGCCGCTTTGGGTTCACTCATTGGAGCTTGAGCGGATATACGCGTTGTAGCGGCGGGCGACGGCGTCGCGCTTCTCCTCGGCGCGCTTCTTGAGGCGGTACTCGATGGCACGCTTGCGGGCGGCAGGGGACTGGGTGAAGGCCGCGGAGCCACCGAAGGGGCCGGCGGGGGTGTTGTTGCGCAGGCGGACGATGCAGACGTTGCTGGCACCACCGACGGTTCCGTCGCAGGTCATGCCGGCGGGCATCTGGATCTCGACGGGGAAGTCGGTGTTGGTGGCGAGAGAGAGGCCGGCGACGAAGCCGGGGACGTTCTGGACGACGGTGGCCTTCTGGAAGGCGGACATGGTAGTACCACCAGAGGTGCCGTCAACCATGGCCTCCAGGGGGCCGGCTCCATCCTGGTTGATCTGGCGGTAGGTGACGGTGACCTTGCCGTCATCCGAGGCGGTAGGGAGACCGTTGGTCGCACCTTGGCCAGCAGTGGCAGCCACGCTGGTCTCGCTGGCGGTCGAAGTCTTCTGGCCAGCGGCGTTGCCGCCACGGCCACCGCCACCGATGCCGCCGAGAAGACCACCCAGGAGGTTGCCGAGCTGGCGGCGGTTGTTGTTGGTGCGGCCGCCACGAGAAGCACTGCCAATGTTGGAGGGGATGTTGTCCTCGACACCGGGAGCGCCTTCAGCGCCGTTGTTGGTAGGAGCAGCAACGCCGCTCATGAAGTTGGCGATCATGACACTGGCGTCGACGGGACCATTGCCCTGGGTGCGGCCGAGAGGACCGCACTGGCCAGACTGAATCTCACGGTCACGGATGATGGAGGTGTCGGCCTGGGAGCCACAGCCGTTGCTGGAGCAGTCACGAGGAGTGCCATCGGCAACTTGAGAAGGCGGTTGTTAGCTTATGAACTGAATCATGTTTGCAGTCATTGCGGGCCGGCTACTCACCACTGAGACCAGGCATGGTGACTCCATTGGCGCCCTTGATGTTGACAACAAGGCCGTGGGAGGAGACGACAGAGAAGAGGCCGAAGGCGGCAATGGCAACGGAGGCAGGGTTGGAGTACATCTTGAATGTGAGTTTGAGGAGATAAGGCACTGCCTGTTGGGATATATTATGGTAAAGGGAAAAAGAAGTGGGTATGAGTGATCAGATAGAAGTCGAAAAAAGAGATCAGGAGGCCACCGGGGCGAAGAAGTGAAGAAAGAGAAGCGGGAAGAACGGAGAACTGGCTGAGGTCTGGAGATGGAGATGCTGATGCTGATGATGGGAGAGATAGGTGAACTTGGCGTGGTGGGCGACTTGGTTATATACGCAATGTAGTCGTGATGGACTTGCCCGGCTGCCAGCGCTCTGCGGGAGGTTGTCCGCATCATGGGAGGCGGCCTCCTCTGTTTCCCGGTCAAGTCTCTACATTGTCCACTTTGGGCACAACGTTGCGAAGCAGCGACGGGAGGCACTGCCACAGTCGCTGCGCTTCGCCGGGAGCCCTGAGGGCATCGTGCGGCGCCAAGGAGGCGAGGTTGGAGGCTTGCAGAGGGCAAAGGGAGCAGCTGACAGGCCGCGGCGAGGCTGGGAGGTGATTCGACTGATCTACGAAACAAGCAACAAAACGTCAGGCTCCTGGGGGCGGTGGCCAATCGCTCGCCGTGGACGAGGCCAGCCAGGCGGCGATTGGCAGAGCGAGGCAAAGGGCCCCTGGCTCTGGGGCTTCGGCCTGTGCCGTTGCAGCTGTGCGCTTTGGCCCAGCGGGCTGCTGATGGTGAAACCTGGAGATGGTGCTCCTGAGGCCCAGAATGGCAGAGAGTGGCAGCTGCCGGCAAGCTTGAAGTTAGCGTACTTTTACTTAGCGTCCTGACTAAGGTACGTCCTGAGTTTAGTGTTGGCAGAGTTGAGCCTCATCAGTCAGCTCCGCAGATGCTTGCTGGCCTGGGGAGGGAAGGTGCGGGTCCCCGTGCGTGCCTCCCGCCACCTTCCCTGCAGCCAAACCCCCAACCCACCGCTTCGAAACAGCAAAGCAACTGCTGCCACCATCAACATTTGATCCGCCATCCGCGGGGCCTCGGCAGATCTGCAAGCAAAAAGCAAGTCGGCTCCTCCTCTCAAGGCTCGCGTCTCTTGTCGAAACGGGCTAACCGCCAAACATCTGCTCGACGACCATCACCAAAATGGTCTGCTTGCCGCATGCGGGCACAGTCACGATAGGTAGATCGCCCAGAGTGTCGCACCTTTGCTCCTGAAGCTGCCGACGTCAAACACAAGCCTCACCAGCAGCCGCCGCCACCGCCCAACACCAAAAGCAACAACGGCCCGCGAGTCACGGGCAGGCGACACGAGAGAGGCTTTGGTCGCCTGGCCGCCACACAATGCTGTGTTCTATTCCTGAGGTTGCATTCGGAAGATATCAAACGTGCAGCGGGCATTCTGGCAGGTCTCAGCACCCCTGCTCCCTGGCACCCGTGTGGCCCCTGGCCCCTGGGAATTGCCCAATGGGGCAATCCTGCAGGCATGCTCTGGGGTCTCGTGTGCGACTGCGCCGACAGGCATAACTTAACGTTATTCACCTATTCACCCACGGCCCACACATCTCCACTCCTTCGACGCTCCTTCCTGGCCCCGTTCCCACCCTCAACTGAAACCAGGCCCAGACAAGGGCCCTTTTGTGCCGCAACCACACCATCACCACCACTTCACCAAACATCCCCAATACCACCTCTGCCAGCCTGCAAAGGATCCCTCGTCACCAGCTGCACCACCTGCATCCCTCTGCCAACACAGCTCCCTCGGTTCAACCAGCAACAGCCTCGGAACATCTCTACGTCACAAACACCCATACAATGCACACTAGGCGACCTCATTACGGCACTAACAATTGACCTGAGTGATTCTACTAGTACATTTACACTACGGCCAAACAATGAGCTGATGCCGTCTTCTCTTGTTCAATACCGCATCATCAGCCACATTTGTTTACAACCTTACTTCAACTTGTAAATCTACAGTGTTCCTGCCCTAGTATCAACACTCACACATTCCTCATCTTGAAATCACCAATGACATCATGGACCTAAAACACATGGCCCGCATGCTGGGCTTGCTGCCACTACACTTGGCGTGCCTTGCCGGTGACACTGAGGAGGCCGTCAAGATCATAGCGGTTACGGGTCCGAAAAATGACGTAAACGTGCAAGTGATTCCCAAGTTTGCACAGCCTCTCAACGAGACATCATGGCCAAGGCATGAGACTCCGCTCATGCTAGCTGCCATGATGGGCCATTTCAGCACTGTCGAAATGCTTCTGTTCCACGGGGCAAGACCTGTACAAAGGGATAAAGATGGTTTCACAGCCGGTCATTTTTACGCCGAAGAAGAAGCCTCACGTAAGCATCGTACCTTCTATCTTACAAAGAGCCTTGCGGCAGAACACAGAGATGCGAGAAATTCAAGAATAGCCATCAGAAGAAGCCTGCTTTCGGGCAACAGGCCAAGTCTACACCCAATTCTCTTGGCGAAGCAGGGCCGCAAGATTGTGGCCCTCGAGGTTGTGGATGGAGTTGTCGTAGATGCCTTCATACCCAAGGACAAAACAATAGGCTGTCTCCGAGCAGCTGGTGATCCTACCATCTTACTATTCGCCTGGAGCGGCTATCGCCCCAAACCCCCAGGTGCAGACGATCGCTTTGTGGATGGCAGGGCAATGTCTACTGTAGCACTCAAGCAGATACAATACCTTCTACCGCGAAAATTGGAGTTTGCCTTTGAAAAATCAAAATGCGATAATGGTGGGTACACGCCTCTGCCTGAGCATTTTGGCCGCGCGAATTCCTCGCATACAGAGGTGGTGTTAGCCACCGCATACATTCTGCAGCTGACCAGCCAAGTATGCCCGAATGAAGATATGCTCCTCAGGGATAAGTTGGCAGCTTTAAGTAAAGCAAAGATTGGCGATGCGAAGCGCTCGATTACTATCTTTTTGAATGACCAACCATGCAGGTCGTGCGACCGGTACCTTGCAGCACTTGGAAGTCTCACCGGGGTTATCTTCCATGTGGAAGGTAATGTCGGATGCGCCCAGATCCGACGGAAGGAAAACAAACATCGCAAGCATACGGATATACCATACGAATTGTGGTATGACGATGAGGGCGAAATTGAAGACGTCCAGAATGTCGAGAACGTTAATGACAGTTTTCGCGTCAAGCCTCCTTTCACGGAGCCTAAAGACGGCGGACCTTCGTTGCCGCAGCAGGTTCAACAACCGCGCAACAAATCCCCTGGACAGCAGGCGCTCCAGCAAGACCCTTCAATTCAGCGCCTGTTAGACTCGAGAATTGACGAGCCCATGGACGAGGACGAGTCTTATGACTCGGATCAAACAATGAGGGAGGATCCCAGCTCCACACAGCAAAATCGCTCTACACAGGCGTCAAAGGAATATCACGATGACTTGACCCAACCGGTGCCAACTCACAGTCCACTCCAGATGGACAATAACAGCCCCTTCTCAGTGATCGGCCGGTCGCCGTCCAATCCTTTCGAAGTCCTTGATGACTCTAACGAAGATCACGGCTTACTTCGTGCCAGGCCTGAGAAGTTTGTACTCGCGCGCAGGTCTGTACCACGAAGACGCTCGCCATCGCCCTTCCAGACACCGTCCCGAATACCTCGCGACTCTCGCCCATTCGCCGGAGATTCTGAGGAAGGATCCGAAGGAGATGACGAAGCAGAAGCCCTGGTGCGTGTATCAAGGCTGGCTGTTCGTGAGGCTGACATAGCACCCTTTGGTCCCAGATCAAAGCAGAAGAAGCTGGATGATCGTGACTCTTCCACGGCCAGCTGGAGACCTTCGCGCCCGTGGCCAAAGCTGGGAGCTCGACCCGCGACACGGGGAGGAAAGCCAGACGAGGATGCACCGCCCGGTACAGCGTCGGCAGGGTTCAACCAAGAGGGCCAGGAAGGCTGCGGCCGCGAAGAAAACCATCAAGGAGGCCCGCGCGAGAGTGGCCAAGAGGACCGCGCGGAAGCGTGGCGAGCCGAACGTTGAGCCGCCTACGAAGACTTTTGGTAACGCACTCGAGTCCTTCTGGTACACGAAGCAGACCTAGACTGTTGTCACCGCATATGCGTCGCGCGATGATCGATCCTGCACTAGAAGTTTCATGGGCGGTTCCTGCGTTCTACGGACATTAAGTAACGAGTGTCTCGCTTCATTACCGATGACCAGTGGGCGCCGTCTTGTTACCAACATCACATCCACGAGAGTGGGATCAATATGACGCACACTTGAGACGTAGGTTGCCTTGAGGAGCGAAGAGTTACTGCAAGAACCAAGCACAGATCCGTCGCCTGAATGAGGCCTGGCCGGTGTATCGTGATGACGAACAAGACTATGCGACTTCCCGCAGGAGAGCAGTCGTATATCGCGGTCAGTAATTCGGTACATTGTCACCATGGTTCGACGAATGAGACAAGCTTAGTGACAGAACGGACGATGGTGGAACCAGAGAGCCCAGGAAAAATATTGCAAAAGTCCAAACCCTGGGAGTTCACAGGAATCTATGAATAATGGGGTGAGATTGAGCTAAATCACAAATAATAAAACTTGGTAATGCACGCCTTCGCGACTACGTGAGACCATCTCGAGGTTTGGCCCAAGCAGCCATCTGTGAAACATGCTAATGGTTTTGTTCTCTTACATGAATTTTCTGGTGAGATTGTGCACAGCCGGATACCCGTAGTCATAATTGACTTTCATTATGATGTCTGTTTCCTGGGTCTGACCCTTGACGTTCTTTCATTCAGTTTTTATTTTTTATTTATTTTGGCAGAGACACAGCGTCACCAACGACGCCGTCCATGTCATACCTCATGAGATCATAAGTCAAGCAGGCTCAGTAGTGACTTTACCGAGAAAGAGGCAAGAGGGAAGCAAGAAAGAACTCGTTAGTGCTGACCACGACGACGAGCCTGTCACTATGTTGGTCGAGAGAAACGGCGGACAGCTCCCCTCAGCAGCCGACGAGCAGGCAAGGCACTTTGGTTGGTAAGACAAGTGGAGCCAAAAAGCTCTTCCGTTTGGGGATGGAATCGCCAGTGACAAGAGGAGCACGACAGCGAAGACCGCACTTCACAGAGGACCAATATCATGAGGGTGAAACGTTTTGTTGGTTCAGGTAAAATCTTGACCGTCATCAGAGTCAGTCATGATAATGCAAAGGCGCCAGTGGGTATTGTTCTCCCTTTCCAGGAGGCCCAACCCGCACTGGTCATCCTCTGTGAAATTCCATTTTTGGTTTCAGAAAACGCCGATTTCCCTATGCTTCCCAAAAAAGAACAACAAAAGTCGTAAAACCCCCGGTTACGTTTTTTGTGTGTGTGTCATGATTCCGAGTGCCTAAAGCCCCTTGCCCAAACTGATTTTTCTTTTCATTTCTAGTTGGGTATCAAAAGATTTACTCGTCATCCTCCTCCTCCTCCTCGGCCTCAGCGGTGGTCTGGGCAATACCTGTGGAGCGGGGTGTCAGCATTTATCTGGGTCGCAGTGAATTTGCATGTGTGGTTTCAAGTTGAACGTACGGTCCAAATCACGCTGGCCGGACTGGGTGATGCGGCGGCCACCCTTCTCCTCGTCCTGCTCAAGGACGCCAATCTTCTCGAGGGACTGCATGACCTTGCGGTCGACGGAGCCGGAGGCGTCGACGTGGTGCGAGGGGCGGACACCACGGTTCTTGGCAGTGCCGTGGACCTTGCGGAGGCGGCCGACACCGACAGTCTTGCGCATGTAGACGTGACGGGCGACGGCGGCGGCGCGGACGTAGTACCAGTCAATGTCCTGGGGAGGGAGCTCGCGGGAGGGACCGGTCTTGACGGTATCGACCCAGCCGGGGATGGGGAGCTTGCCCTGACGCTTCAGGAAAGCGGCATAGGCGTTGATGAACTTCTGCGCCTATATTGGGGGGAAAGAAAAGACCATAATCAGCAAATATTCCGTCGTCAGAGGTCTTTCGACCCCCTCGCGCCTGCTCCTTTCTTGTATTATGGCCTTGTATGTGTTCCCTCTTTCTCTCATGTCTTGATCAACTCTCTCGCGTTCCCACCTCGTCGGAATCTGCGTGTTTGGCTTGTGCGACACCGAGCATTTACAGTCGACAGTATCTGCTTTGTTCAAGGTGTCGTGGTCGCAAAGGGACGCTTCCGGGTCGATTGAGGAACGTTCGAGGTGTCGAGACATGGATCGAGACCGAGTCCGTGTGTGCGCGCACCGCGATCCATGAGGATGCAAGGCGCGCAATCACTTCTCTCAGCTCATGGTGGAGTATTCTTTTCCTTCTGATCCTCCTCTTCTTGTAATAGTCGGCAGCAGCGGCGCGAGGTCGTCTTTTCAGGGCGCCGAGAGCGTGTGGTAACCTACATCAACATCGCGAACGGTGACACCTCCAGCCATTTTTGCGGTTGTGGATTGACGTGTGGGAATGGTTTGTCGTGGACTGGGAATCTTGCTGTGATCACGGTTGGGCGGGCGGGCTTCGAGGCTGGCAGACTGTCCAAGCTCGAAAATGGAATGGGGTTCGACAATCCAAGGCGAAATTTCTCGTGTGGCCGCTCGAGTGAGAAGAGTGGGGCGCGCAAGCGATTTGGGTTGGGGCTCGAACAATTTTTTGTGCGCTGCTGCATGCACTTAATTGTGGCTAAGGTGGCTCTGTTTGCAAGTGTGGCTGGTGCCAGCACCTAGTTTCGGACACCGCACTCTGGCACAACCATCACGTCTTATGGTGTCCTGAACTCACAAGGATCATGGTCGTCAGTTATGTCGTACACTTTGCCACGACCGCATGATATCCAAACACCATCAAGCATGTTCTTTAGGGATGGGCAGCACGAAATTGAGTTGAGATTATGCTATTAAGCTCTGTCTCGACATATTAAACTCTTACCCCAGCTCGTCACCATTTCTTGTACCAATTTTCCTTTGGGTCATTCAGGCATTCGCCCACAGTGACGACTTTGTATCCAGTCTCTTTGGCGCGCTTGAGGATATGCGGGATCAGCACCGATGCAGTATACTCCTTGATATCGTGATCAAGAACAATGAACCCAGTCTGACTTTTGCTGTCGAACTGTGAGTCGAACAGCTCCACCGACGTCTTGCATCCTTCCTCGGAGTCGCAGTACATCCAGTCCGTCGTGTCAATGTTCCAATTGACGACGTGATACCCCAAATCTCCCATGTCCTTCAGACAGCCAGACTCGCCCCCACAGGTGCCGTACGGCGGGCGCATATAAGTCGGCGCCTTGCCGCCGAGGTCGAGCACCTTGGCCAGGGCCTCCTTGTTGAGGTTCATCTGCTCGGCCCTGGCGTCCGTGCCGATCGCGTCGAGGTCCTCGTGCCGCCACGTGTGGCTCGCGATCTGGTGGCCGGCCTTCAGTGCAGCTCTGACTATCTTGGCGCACCGGTCGTCCGTGATGGGGCACATGTTGTTGCCCGTGACGAAGAATGTGGCTTTGAAGCCGTCCTTCGCGTACTTGGCAAATTCGTCTAGCACCCGCTGCGTGTACTCGGATGGCCCGTCGTCGAGGGTGACGGCGATTTGCTTCTTGTTGGCACAATCCTCAATGAGCGTGCCGTAAGCTACTTCGCTGTCTGCACGTCGGCTATCATGATGTCAGCGTGCTTACGTGTAGCCATGGAGGATGTGCGGTGGCCCGAGCCTGTAACACTTACATCTGACGAGAGGTGTCCGGTCGAACCGTGTCAAGAGAAGACTCTTGCGAACCGCTGACTGGCCATCTCGGCGTACGAGCCCAAGCACTCTCAAGGCTCAAGGCCGCCAATAAGGTCAGATGTATCTTCATTGTCAAGATGCCGGCGAATTCGCAACGTGCGCAAACACCTGTGCGTAGATGTCCTGTGCGTCCCCGGGTGCAGACTGGTTGTCATATAATCGAGCCAGACAACCATGGACCGAGGTCGCGCCAGACAGGTCCGGCATCTGCTGTAAGAGATCTAAGGAATCTGTGCATCTGAGCCGTGGTTGAGCTTGGTCTGTCAGGAGCAAGAGGACTACTGACAACAGAATGACAAACCTTATACCTGATCCAGAAAATGACACGCCGCGGTGACGGGACCTGCTCCCTGCAGTACAACGACACGCCGTCACAATGTATTGTGCAGCAAAGGTCAAGCATCGCCCAATCACGGGCTTTCCAACATCAGAGAAGTCACTAAAGCGTCGAACATTCCTCTTTGAACCAATACGGATTGAGTGCCTACCCGCAGAAGCTCTCAAGGTTAATGTCTTATCAGTCTGCACGGTCGTTGCGGCTGGAGGTGCACGTCAATGGTGCGTGGTCGAGAAGCTACAAAATGCATACATACTTCGTGTAGATAGACCGACCGAAGTCTATCTACTGTTTTAGACGCCAGTCTTACCATGAGTTGCTTGTTTTTTTATGCTCGTCATTTCGCTGACACGGCACTCCGTTGCCCACCGTTCTGTGGGGATGGCTGGGCCGGCTCCGGAGCATGGCAGCTTAGACTTGGAATACGTAGCAGGTCAAGAGGATGATGAACTGGAATTTCATGGTTTGGCTCCCAATTTGAGTCTCTGACTTGCGCGCATGTACCATAGTTGAAAGGGAGATACACGCAGCAGGGCAGGCAAGCATGCAAGCCGTCCTAGCCGTGGACCGGCAGGACCCTGCATCACCACGTCCGCTGCAATGGTCCACCCGGGGCCGGGCATGTCTCAGGTGACGAGGACCAAGAGCAAGACGGCCTCAACCTCGTGTTCTTGTTTCTCGGGAGGGAACAACTCTCGAAACTCTCATCTCCAATAGTCTCACTACACTGCAGACACTGTCAGAACCTACCTCTTCCAACTATCTGTCCGCGCGAGCGCAGACACAATGGCGGCATCCTCAGGCACGCCGCCCCTCAATGCCGTCTACTACCCCAGCTGGCGGATCTACAAGGGCATCGCCCCATCACACCTGCAGCTCGACTACATCAACCGGGTCTACTATGCCTTTATCCTCGCCAACGAGGACGGCACCCTGCGCTCCCTCGACACGCATGCTGACCACGCCATCGCCGTCGACGGCGCGAGCGGGTGCATCACGGCCACCGCGCGGCTCAAGCACATCTCCCCGCTGGGCCACGGCCTCCAGATCCTCGCCTCCATCGGCGGCGGGTCCGGCAGCGCGCCGTTCCCAGCGCTAGCCGCGAGCCCCGCGGCCCGCGAGACTTTTGCCCGCGAGTGCAGGCACTTTGTCGACGCGCACGGCTTCGACGGCGTCGACATCGACTGGGAGCACCCGCAGGACAGCGCCGCGGGCGCCGACTACATCGCTCTGCTGGCCACCCTGCGCCAGCACCTGCCCGCCCCACGGTACCTGCTCACCACCGCGCTGCCCGTGGGCCAGTGGGTGCTCCGGCACATTGACCTCCGCGCCGCCGCGGGCTTGCTGGACAGCTTGAACTTGATGGCGTACGACTTTACTGGGTCCTGGACAGAGGTGTGCGGGCATCAGGCGCAGCTGCTCGCCCCCGGCGCGGGAGCGATGGAGGACTGCCACCCTGTGCTGAGGAAGTCCGCGCACGAGGGCGTCGAGTATGTCGTGTCCCGCGGGTTTCCTAGGGACAAGATCGTCCTGGGCGTGCCGGCCTATGCGAGGAGCTTTGCTGGTGCGAGGGGCGCCGGGCAGCCGTTTGGGGGCGCGGAGGAGATGGACTATGTTGATCTGCCGAGGGAGTGGATACACCACGCGCAGATCGACCAGAGGACAGGCGCCGCGTGGTATGTTGATGATGACGGCAATGGCGGCGGCAAGGGGTTTGTGAGCTTTGATGTGCCAGAGACAGTCAGGCAGAAAGGTGCGTACGCGAGGACGCTTGGCCTGGGCGGGCTGTTCTACTGGACGGGCGCTGGTGATATCAACGGCCCTGAGAGTTTGGTCAAGGCTGGATATGAAGGTTTGAGACGGTGAGTCGTGAGTTGAACTTGAGCGGTGGTAGGGCCCATTCTCTGATCTGTCTACCTTACAAGTGTCTCCTCGCACACACATCACTATCCCGGTGGCGAAGCAGTAGCTGGGAACGAGTGATTAAAACTGATTTGATTATGAAAATTTCATACCGCGCCATCTTCTGATCAGAATGTCTTGTCATTGCATGAAGAACCACTTAATTTTCAGACATGCAGGTGCTTACTTGAGGATGGGGATCGTCGTCTGGTCAGAGTGCTTGATGTATTTGGCAAGTTCTGGGGAATGTATTTTTAGTTCCGAGACCCCACAGCTCTGTGAAATCCTTCCTTGGTCAGCCTCCGCTGCCGGACCTGCATGTTCTCGGCTGCGGCTGACAGGGGAAGATCTAGCACGATCGCACAGCGCAGGAACATCGCTATTCTGGGACCAATTGGCTCCATACGAAAGAGGCCCCTTTTTGTCTTGGGGCTGTCGTGATCTCGAGACTGGTCAATGGGTGGTCCTCGGCTGAAATCCCATTCCAGCATGCACAGGTAAACATTTACCTCCATCCATGGACGTCAACGAGAAAGACTCGCCATTGAGCGTGACCGCCAACATTGCAGGCATTCTGACATTCCTCGTCGCCATCGTTGCGGCGGTCTACGCCCGTCTTACGTACCTGCGCAACAGCGATCAGGAGTACTTCCGGGTCAAAACGTCGTTGTCGTGGTACAAGACGGAGTCGACATGGCTCTCCGAGCTTGTCAGGGCATCGGCGCCGCTAATGCGCCCGGCACGCTCGCCCTCGGCCTTCTCAGGGCGGAGTGCCTTCGAGGGGAGCCGAGATGAGGACGCCGATACGGAATGCGGCGAGTCTCATAACAATCGACAAAGCAATGACGACGACGAGAAGAATGCAGAGTTCCAGCACAACACATACCGCGGCCAAGAAGATCCAGCTCGGCGAGCTCAACACGAAATGTATACATTTGTAATGGACGACCTCATCAAACTCGAGCAGCGTCTACTGGATCTGGTCGAAGAGACGGAAGTTAGAGCTGCCCAGGGAAATGTACCGCAACTTAGCGAGGACCAGCGAAGGGACTGGACGCTCGTGCCGAGCGGTTGGGGCTTCACCACTTCTGTTGCGCTGGCCTGGCTTCCGGTGCGCAGTAAAGCCCTAGACCTCGTGAGGCAGCGTGATGCGTTGACAGCACGGGTGTCTTTCACACAAATGAGCATGATAGCCTCGTAAGTCCTCGAAGCCTGAGGTGCCTTATGCAAGGTCGTTCGAACAAAGCAAAATACTTGTCACTTTGGCTGACTTTGCTGTCCCTGAACAGGCGCATAAGCGATCTTGAGCATCGCAGTGCAACTCGTGATGCCGTCGTGGACAGAACACTCAAGAAACTTGAGGCCATCATCCACCATCAGAGTGGTGAGATCCACAGACTGGAGGACAAGCTGTACCGTATCATGCATAGGCATCGGGTAGAGCAGGAGGACGACCCTCAGCCTTGACTATGATCATCACGAGATCAACGCCGAGAGTACGGCGACGCTTTGACTGGTGCGAGCATATTTCGCTGTGGCCGACAGCAGAGCACCGCCTCGATGTTATCCCTGTCAGTCCTTCTGGCTTCCTGGAAATGGCCTCATCTATTTCGGGGCGTCGAAATTGTAGCCTCCTTGCCAGAAAAAGGCTCCGGTGCAGGCCAGCGACGCGACTGCCACTGGCAGGTCGAGCTCAATGACAGCCCAAACCCAGAGACATCCCAGTGGTGGCGATCGCTTGAGAACAAATAAGTATCCGTACTCGTTGGTAATGTGTACCAAGTGGCAGCTTGAGGCGACGCTCGTGGCGAAGAATATGGCTTGTCGCAGCGGTTCTTGAAATCGACGAGGAAGACCAGGAATCCAGTCGGGAGCGGATGCGTGAGGATGGAGCACGTAAAAGAATAACAAGAAGACTATAGACACCCGGAGCGTGTCAGCGAAGCACAACATGGGGACTTCCTCGGGAAGACATACTGAAAACAATCTTGGCCGATCTCATAATGACATGGTACCACGAAAAGTCCATGGCATATTGCTTGTGAACCAGCACGTCGAGAGTAAAATGCAGCATGGTCAGGCTGACGCTCCAAAGGACAGCTTCCATAAGCCTATCGGCCGAAGTTGGCACTGCATCGCCCACGCCACCATCGGCGTCGTCGCCGTCGCTGTCCGAATCGCTTCTATCTGCGCCTCGTGCGAGCTTGGCCTGTCGCTTGTCGGCTTGGGCAAAGAGATTGCGTTCCTGGGCAATGTCGAGCAGGGTCTTGCCCGTTGGACCGGACTTGTCTGGCTGCGCGAGCTTGTAGTTTGGGTTGGCTGCCTTCTTCTCCTTGCGCGTGACAACCATGTTGACTTGTCGATCGTGGTGGCGGCGGTCACGCTTGCGTTGCGTCTAGCTGGTGTTCGCGAAATCAGGTCGTCAGCTTCTCAGGGTGCTTGATGCTTGCTGGCTGCCAGGGACCACACCCGTGGCGTGGGAAGGTGCGGAACGGCCCCGGCACGGGAGGCCCACCCTCTCTCTACGCGTCCACTTCCGCAGCCGCAGAAACAACGACAAGCTCCATGGGATGCCACGCTTAAAATCACCGTCGCGCCATGTCATCGTTGCCAATGCAGGATTCATCCTGCATTAATGAAAACATGAAATGCACAAGAACCAAGATTTCGGCCGGACTGTGGTGGTCTTGCAGATGTACACATCATTGCACTTATTCGCATACTTTCAATTCGTGTCATATTTTCTGCCACAAGTTTATCCAACCCTTTCCGGGTCATCACGAACTCCAACCTTGATCCAAGACGGCCTTTAATGATTTCAGTTTCCCGCGCCGATCCTGAGCCCCTCAGGTGCGTTGCTTGAGCCACGAGTTGGAGCTCTCCAACTGGACCCCTGCCGATTTCCTACCCCACACTCGGTCGTCACAAGCTTGTCCCGTCACAACTCAATCGGAAGCTCCAACTACCATAGTAAGTCGCTCTCAACAACGTGTCGACCTCCGTCGACTGCAGCTGGCTGCTGCTTGCTTTGGTCAGAGTATAGCAAACTGTTGCGAGCTTCTCTTAGCTCATTGAGTGGCATTGACGCCCATTCGCTGCCGACAAGCACAGCTCGATCCCCTCCCCTTGCCGACTACTACACAGGTGCACGGCCATGCTGGTCGTCGTCCTGCTCAGCGTCCTCACAGTAGGGCTTCCCTTGCTCTACACATATATCGCGACCTCCTATGTCAAGAGCGTCTTCCCCGTCCTGCGCAACAAGAGGATATGCCTGCTCATCGCCCACCCCGATGACGAGGCCATGTTCTTCGCGCCGACAGTCCTCGCCCTGACTCGGCCGGAGACGGGCAACCACGTCAAGATCCTCTGTCTCAGCACTGGCGACGCCGACGGGCTGGGCGAGACACGCAAGAAGGAGCTTGTTAAGAGCGGCCTGCTTCTCGGCCTGCGGGACGAGAGCGACGTCTTTGTCATTGACGACCCGTAAGTATTTTGTTTGCGGCAGAAGAACCTACATGAGCTCTCCGGATTTGCTAGTCGAGTTTGGAATCTAACTTCCTCGTCCACACTACAGAAACAACTTCCCGGATTCAATGACAACTACCTGGAACGCCGACGCCATCGCAACACTACTCCAGTCCATCTTCGTTCCGTCCCTCTCCTCCGACTCCCCGAGCACCGAGACCACAGCGACAGTTGATGTGATACTTACCTTCGACAAGGGGGGCGTGTCCTCCCACCCAAACCACATCTCACTGTACCACGGCGCCCGAGCCTTCGTCGCCTCTCTCACAGCGGGACATCAGTCCGCGGGGAGCAGCAGTGGCACCACCGCCTCCCCCGTCGATGTATACACCCTGACTTCCGTCCCGATGCTTCGCAAATATGCCAGCTTTTTGGATATCTTTTACACTCTAGCGTCTGCTGCATCGCCCAGGACCGACAAGGATGGCAAGCCGCGGACGTTGATAAGCGCGAGTTCTTTGTGGTCCTCGGGGAATAGCCGCATCGGCAGCAGTGAAGCTCATGCTGCGGACCCGCCATCGTACGGCACGGCGAGAAACGCCATGACGCAAGCGCACAAGTCGCAGATGGTGTGGTTCCGCTGGGGCTGGATCGGTCTGAGCCGGTACATGGTGGTGAACGATCTGAAGCTGGAGACTATTGCGCGGCGGTGATGATGTAAGGGGGGCCAAGGACGGGATATACCAGGTGGAACTACTCAGAGACTGGCTGAGACATGCTTGCGGGTAGGAAGCGCTTGCATGTCGTCCTCGCGGTCCTCGATGTTTGACAAAGAAATCTAGTAGCTGCATTCAGTAGTCTGATCTGCAGGGTCTGGTGTGTGGCTGTCTGACGCTTTTCTCACGTCAAGTACAAGGGAATCGTGAACGACGTGTAGAGTCTTCTGTGATATTGGTCAATCATACATGAAAATCAGCGTCCTAACGTTCTTGATAATTATTCTACGTTTAAAGTCTTGAAGAGTTTAGCTCTGAAGATGTACCTCGATGTCTACCTCTTGCCTTTTGAACTACTTGAAGGCAAATGTTTCAAGAACGGATCATTTCTCATGTATATTTTAGGCTGCTCAAATTTGGGGAAATAGCCCTCTAGATCTGAAAAAGAGTTGTTCTCCCTCAAGGGCCTATTCTGCTCCTCCTATACTGATCGGGCACCGATGTAGAGGATACTCCTTGACAAACTGCTGCACGCGAGAAAGTTCAAACAGTAATCAAACATGTGGTTCGATAGAGTCTTCAATGCCTCTAATCCGCTACGAAGGAAATGTACGCTTGCCGCTCACGTTTGGGAGTCACTATGATTTTGAGCCCATGAACGCGAATATTTCTGAGAAAAACTACCTTTCGTCGCAGCAGGCTACTCGTCGTCATTCACGGCGGTTTCCACGACGCCCCGCGCCCTTCGTGACGTTTGCCGCTGCACCGCCGCAAATGCGCCTGTCATGCGGAAAGAAGGGCGTACGTCTCGGAGTAGCCTCTGTGCCTTGAGCTTCGTCGACCATTGACCTTCTAGCGAGCGCCGCGATAGCATGAGCAACTTCCTCCGTGTGACTGCCTTTACCTTCGCGCTGTCCTGGCGTTGTCCTCTGTACGCGATATCGAGCGTCCTGTGGCCCACGAGAACGTGCTGGAGAAGCTCGGTCGCCGGGTCGACGAGGAATAAATGACCGGTAGCAGTGCGATATGATGCCGGATTGGGGACGAATTCTCGAAACTTCTGAATGAAGTTAGGAATGAAGCGCTCCGTCAAGTCATTGTCGATCCGAGGCAAGGGCCGAAATTTGGTGAGGAACTTTCGGCACAGTTTGTAGATTTGATACCACTGCGACTGTTTTTGAAATCGGGCACACTCATACCGGTGGATGGTAGAATTCGATAGTGCACCGTCGCGCAGGCTCTGTGTGTATTCGAGCCCAAGGTGTTTGTACTCCTCACATGTGACTCTGTACAAAGCAAGGGCAGCCTCCATGAAGGCATACGCATCCCCTCGGCGGCCACGTCCCAAATATGCCTGAGCCATGATTATCAGTTGCTGGAAGTCTGGCTCCTTCATTGGGTCGCTTGCGCGCAGTTTTTGCCAGATGATATCAATAGCATGCGAAGTGGGTATCTTGCTCTCAAGGCCAGCAATTGTCCACATTGTCGATTGCGGTCGACTCGACATGATGTGCGTCCATTCCAAGAGATCTGTCCAGACCCTTGTTGGTATTGTGATGTCGTGCTCTCGTGCTATCTTTTCCACAAGCTGCAACGCAACGGTGATCTCACCATTGGACCCAAAGGCTTCGACGATGGCATCCATCAGTCTCTCGGTAGGCCGCAGTACCTGTCGCGGTTGCTCAGTTGGGATATGCTTTTTGGATGGTCTTCCCTTGGCTTTCTTTGCAAGCACTTCTTCTTCTATCTGAGGAGAGTTAGGCCATAATATCGGGTGGTCGATGCTGAGGCCATAAACGTCCATAAGAATGTCCTGTGTAATGGTCCGCAACGCACCAGCACGGCCAAAGGCAGTGATGAACGCACATGTCAGGTCTTCAGTCAGATAACCCCTATAATTCACTTGTCGCCACAGCTTGGTCGCAGGACCGACCTTCCGCATGGTCCTCATTTGATGCTCAATGTGATTGACGGCCTTGTTGGCACCAAGCAGCCCTTGGCTGAGTGCAGATTTGTACCTGAGTCGGTCGAGCTTGCGGACTCTGGTTGCCGAGAGTAAGAGGCGAGATCGATGGAGGTTGCGCGGCACGACCACTCTCTGCGTCTTGTTCCAGCCATTATATAGCGGCTCTGTCAGGAATTTCGCCCGAACAAACTCGGTGTAAGTGGCTGCATTGCGACTTTGCTGTATTCGTGCCGTAGCCATGCTGTTCCAGATCTGTCTGGCAGTAGATGTCTCGGCTGCTGCACCAGCACATCGTAGGAGACAGTGTATTTCATCGTTGTTGAGTTTATACCCTCCCATCCGCAATGCTTCAGCAAGTAGCAGGAGCCGGTCAAGGAGTCTCGAGTAGAGCTTGCGTACCCCCCACTCATCCACTGTTCCTTCCAGGTTCAGTCGCAAATGCATTCCACGGGATATATGGACGCCTGCTGTTGGGTCGTACGTATTGGAGAGAATGAATGGGTCCAAGACCTGGAACACCTGAGTGAAAAAGGGTCGTGGCAAAGTGTCAATGCCGGCTTTCAAGTCCGTTGGGTGGAGCTCCACGACTTGGCGAAGGTATATCAACGCTTTGCGTACGTCCTGCTGCTGGATCGCGTCAACCAACTTCCGGAATGACGAGTTGAGCCCATCCATCAGCTGGGTGACCGGAACGGTCCCACTTGTGCCGGTCTCATTGCCATTGCTCCATGTTCTGCGAGGGAGCAAATCGTCGCTATAGTGGCTCTCTAAGTGCTGTAGAAACGATCTGCCGTCAAGAGACACCTGGGCATCCTGTGTTGCTGTTGATGCTGGTCTGCGCTGGACAAACCAGTGTGGAGCTGCACTGATGCCTCGGCTTGTCACGAATGAGTAAAGAGCACAGGCACGGGCAGTCGACGAGGGTGTCCATGGTGGTCGCGATCGCAAGAGTCGGTGCCCACAGGTGTCCACTGATAAGAGCACAGGCCCGCTCATGTTATAAGAGTGGACAGGCAGGTGGTCTATCGTCGAAGCACGCGATAGTTGCTGTCAGAGTGTAAGGTGGGGAATTTGAGCAGGACGATGCTGGCTCGGGAGGCCAGGTACGACACCCTCCACAGTCGCAGGCGCAAACGTTCGTTGTCCAGGAGAGTGCGGGAGCAACTTGTGCCGGGTAGGCACCAGCGACAAGTAGCCCTAGGCCGCAGTGTCTTCTGGTAGCAGTGTGGGGCTGTCTGCACTCGGCCCAGCATCACCATCAAGACGCCCGTAGCGTGTCAATTCTCCTGTTGCTTCTCTGCCGCATCTCCAGATACGCTCCTGCAATCGTAGCAAGAGTTTCTCGCACGTCAAAAACATGGCCGATGTCAGCGAAGGACCCGCAGGCGGCTCTGTATCAGAGCCGCTCGATCTTGTCCGGTTGCTGCTGGATGAGGTTGTCTTCGTAAAGCTGCGTGGCGACAGGGAACTGAAAGGACGGTTACACGTACGTACAGTGTCATGCGGTTGCTTCGCATACACAAGCGACTGATTAGCGAGCAGGCTTACGACAGTCACATGAACCTCGTTCTTGGTGACGTGGTTGAGACCATTTACTTGGTCGAGGAGGACGGCGACGAGGAAGAGATCAGGGTAAAGCCAGGCCATCTTCCATCAATGTGGCTTCGGAGCTAACGAAAAGCACAGACGAAGACCAAGAAGTCCGAGATGCTGTTTGTTCGAGGTAAGTGTCCAGACTAAGAGGAAGCAAAGCGCTCGCTGACTTTGGTAATAGGCGATAGTGTAGTGCTCGTGTCACCAGACTCTCCGGAATTATCGTGAGGCGGAAAGACATCGTTGGGTAAACGACAAAGAAGATGCCACTGAGTCTGCGCCGAATCAAGAGCACAGGCGATCTTGAGCACTGCTGGACTCGGCAGACTGGAAGCTAGATTCTACCAGGGCCTTGAGCCTCGTATTTCCGAGTCTTCTCTGCACGACCACGGGTTCTATTACGTGGCTGGCGAGGCTTCACGAAAGCTCTGTATTGAGCAAGAGACAGTCACAGAAGTCAAGCAAGGCAGACTCGAGCTGGCCACTCCGAAATCAAAATCCGAGGGCTGTCAAGAGTGCCATCCTTCCGCTCAGCGTGATGATTATCAGCATTTCTAGCAGCATCATAATGAGAGATGCAACTGGCAAGCCTAAATCATCCGACGGCCTTGATATTTGTGATGATGACTGCATTCATTTGGGTGAGAAAGGTCTATCCAAGAACAATCTGCGCATGAGCGAACCGACAGGGCTGGGGGACAAGAAAGACATGGGAACAAAAACGCTGTAATTGTTCACCAAACGGCGAGCGCAGTCTTGACCCTCATTGAGAGGAATTAACAGGCAGTGTTTGTAGGCATTATCGCCATTATCTTGCGCGGATAATTCGTGACCTGGGTGGTGTGTTCTTGAGATGCACAAAACGTCCCGAGGTCGTTGGAATCGCCTTCATGCATGCTTAATGCCGGACGCACTTGATTCATCAATCACGCCGTGCCTTCATGTCACCTGTTCTCGCGCCCAAAGTGATTACCCCACTCCCCGCAGCGGCTCTTTGCAGAGGGCCCTGTCGCGTCCCACAAGCACACTGACGCGACTTCACCATCAACCACCATTCCATGCGCCTTCTTAGCGAGGACACCCTACCATCATCAACAGGAGGCTGTTATATCGCACTTGCGTGGCACATCTTCCGAAAATGTTCTTCAGAACGCGACACCGCACACAGCGCTGCTAATAACTATTCGAGGCTGCATCATCCATGGCTCCCGTGCAAAACACATTCTCAGTCGTGCCCAACTATCCTTCGGCCAACAATCGCAACGATGACGACCCTACTGCCCGGCCCAGCAGGCCGGCGATGACCACCAAGCAAGCCAAAAAGGCATACCAAAAGGCGAATCGAGGTCCCAAATTATCCAAAGCAGAAATTCGACGACAGGAGCTGCTCGAGCAAGATCGCATTCGGAAGGAGGCTGAGAAGGAGAGAAACCAGGCCAGGGCACGGTTGGCACGAGATCGCAAGAGGGAGAAGGAGGAGAACGAGCGCGCAGAGAAGAAGAAGAAAGGTCTTCCGCTAGTCAGTGTACGGCCATCTCAAGACACGATTGCTCGGTTCGTTCGTGGCTTCAGTGCGCCTAGGCAAGCCGGCAATCTTTCGACAAAGACTACCCCAGCTCAGTCGCCAGCATGCTCACCAGACGGGTCGCCAACTCGGGAGCCAGCGAAGTCTTCAGCACAAGCACCAGCCTGTCATCGTACTGCATCTTCAGGCCATGCTCCAGCTCCGTCACCTTCCCAACGGCCCACTCCCTGCATAAGACAGTCCCAAGATCAGGCGCCAATTCGTTCACCACCTCGGCCTCACACCACAGCAGTCGGTCCGCCAGCAGAGAAACCTCCCACTGAGAGATGTGCAGGGTTGATTTATTTTCAGGAGAGCTCTGATGCAGCTTGTGCTCAGGCGCGTGCGTTGGATAAGCATGTTGTGGACGAACAAAATGAGCCATCCTTGAAACGGCGACGTCTGAGTTCTCAACACGAGCCGAGCAGAACGATGGAATGCCAGGCCGAAATATCATGTGTACCGTCATCGAGATGTAGTATCTCACCACCCGCTGTTGTGACTACCTCGCCACAGCAAGCAGAAACGGCTCGCGGGCCAATCCAAACAACTTTGCCTCACGCGTCCCTCGAAGTCGTGGCAATGACATTGAGTCAGGAGCTTGATGATATTGCCGATATTCTCACCGCCGATTACTTGAACGATTCCTTCAGCTCATTTCTCGCATCGCCTCAAGCAGCAGAAACATGCAGTACGATTCCTCCAAACAAGCCTGTATGCTCGACGACAAGTCCATCAATACCAGACCAGCCTGGGGCCAATATTGATATCGTGCGCGTCAACAGTGGAGAGAGTGCTGGCATCGTCGGCAAGGAATCAACCGAAACTCAGCCACATGTAGACACTAGTCAAAACCATGACAGGGCAAGTAGCGAGCACCCTGCGTCATGCGCACCGTCACAGTCCTGGCGTCGCGCCAACATGAGTACTAGTCCCTCCTTGGCACCTCAAAGACGCCGCAATGCTCTGCAGCTTGACGCGAAGTCATCGGAGAGTCTCCGTGATGAAAATGGGAGGCCCTGTCCACCACCCGATCAGAAGTTGATGGCACCGCCACCAATCCCGTTGAAGTGCTCAAGCCGGAAAGCCCCTGTTCTCGGTTCGCGATATACGTCAGTTCATGCCAGTCCGAAACTCACTGCCTCGACATCACAAGCGACAAGTCTCGTAGTGGAGGGGTCAGCTGTACAAGAATTGGCGCCACCGCCAAGCACACAGGCTTTTGTTTTCGATCACTTTGCGGATCTGTTCCCAACCCCATCTCAGGAATTGCATGAAGTCTATCATGGAGCAGCCGCTTTTGAGCGAAGTTCTTTTTCTAGACACCCGCAACATTGGAGTACGGGAAATTCGCAGGCTAGATTACCATCATCTGCTAAGCTGAGCGTATCTTCGTCTTCGAGCCAGGCTCTAGCCAGCGAACAATCACGCGGGCTGAACAAGAAATCTGTCAAAGATTCATGCGCGAAACAGCCCTCGGCAGGCTTCAACGACCCAGCGAGTACGCCCGATTTCGACTTCCCGTTTCTTTCGACACAAGACGTTAGTCTCTCGTTCGAGGACATTGAAGAGCTCGAAACGCCTGTTCGTTCTCGAGTATCAATGACCACTGGCAGGCCACCGCTTGAAACCTTCAAGCCTGCAAAAGAAGCCAAGTTGCTTGCTCGTACAGGCAATAACTCAGCGCAGAAGATGTCGAGTAGACCCCTCCGCAACGTGGAGCAAAACGCGTCTCGCCCAGCTACCTCAAGAAGTGTGCCGAGATCCTCATTTGATTTTAAGAGTCGGCGCACCTCTGCAAATCCGCCTGATCATTCTCCACCAAAACCAGTCAGCCAAGGCCACAAGAAGAGCACACCACTTGCGCCGCAAGAACAGAGCCAACCCGTAGTCTCACTTGCAGACAATAGCAACTGTCCGCCACGACCGCGACTAATCAAGGCTGATCAAGCAGTCCAAGCACAAGCTATGGCTAGTACCTGGCGTAGCGAGGGACAGTCCGCCAAGGCTCACAATGACAATCTCGTGCCCGAGTCAATACCGTCGGTAACAGAGCCCTTGGCCACTCGCGAGCCATTCTTCACGTCAAGCTGTAGACAGCCACTCTACAAGTACGCAATCGAGCGCAATAAAACTAGTGCATGGGCCTCTCGGGATTCGGACCGCCAATCAGAGACAGCGCTGGACCTGTTGCAACAATTGGAGAATGCACGCTTCGCAAACTTGTTGCAGGAAACGGAACCGTGTAGCCAGAAACCAGGGAACACGCAAGGGCGCAACCTAGATGTGAGCAATAAGCAGCAAGCCACTGAAACATACCACGAAACGCGGCACAATGAAGACAATCGCAGCCAATCTGCGCGTAGTGCACTAGATGCACGATCGGCCGTTCGGCAACGGTCACCACGACCGACCACGAATAGAGCGCCCGAGCCATCTGAGAAGCCAGCACGACTTTTGAGCTCTTATGAGAAGATGATAGCCGAATTGGATAAGGCTAATAAGGAGAATATGGACCCCTCACGACTTAAGGACGATGAAACTCGGCCCGGTGGCTCGCAGGAAACTGATTACGGAGACCTGGGCTGGGATGACGAGATGCTTGCATTTGATATAGATAACTAACCAATGATACCCCATATGTACACCTGTACTGCCCGCGCAATCACTCCGCCTGTGTAAAACTGAACAACGAATATCGAGGCCAGCGACCTAGTGCAAAGGAAAACCAAGGTTCAAGCCACAAATCCAAGCTTCAGCTCGCAGCCGAGCTGTCACAATCTCTGCACGACCATTCCCTTCCCTTCCCAAGAGACTTAGCAGGCAGTCCCTGGAGCCAGCTGAGATACCGAAAGCTCAATGACGCCGTGACATTAGATCTTGTGCATTTCTTCCTGATTGGGATCTATATCTTTGTTCGTGGCTGCACTCTCAGTACGATCCCGTTGCAACCCCGTGGATTTCGTATGTGGCGTATGGCTTGTTGGACTTGTCCTGTGCGGCTAAACTTTATTCTGAGCCGCAGCTGAGCGTTAAACCCCATGACCCTGATGACCATGGCGTTGTGTCCAAGAGCTTGCCATTGTCTCCATGTTGCGCCTTGTCGAGCTGACTGAGTGACATAATCCTTCATGAGAGACTTCCAAAGTTGGCACTTGCAGCCACCTTGATCTGAATGCATCAACATGCCAAAGGGTGGGACGGGGTAGACACAAATCAAGACTAGGACAACCATATCGGTTCGCCTTCTGGGCAGAACATCCCAAAAGGTTTCCTTGGAAAACCTGATTATTAGGGCAAGGCAGTGACGATGGTACAAAGATAAGTGCGCCACGCCATCATCTTTGCTTGACTAGTTAGCTTTGCGATGCAGAGCCAAGAGGAGCAGCGCGTCTAGTCACTCCGTTCTAGTCTTCCCCCCTCCTCCCCCCCACGCTGGAGCTCATTGTCCGCCCCGGACGAACTAGTTGGCTTAGCGTGCCAACGCGTCTCGGTGTGACCGTTGAGGACTCCGGCTAGTTAGTCCCGGGGGCTCTTCCCTCCCTGGGTGAGCCTAGTCCCTGCCCAGGCAAGATCACTTTGACGTTGTGTAACATCTACCCGTATGGTGTTTCACCCTGAAAACGTGTTGGCCATATTCGGACTTTTGAATTCCTGTCGAAGGTTACACAAGCTTTGATGGAGTTCAAGCATTGAAAATATTTGATAATACTGCAAGATTTGTGATGAGCGAGAGTTATGCTTGTCTTAGAGATGAACCGCTGATCTCGTTTATGTCTCAGAAATCGTACTTACTACCGGCTACGCTGCTGATACGTGGGGACGAGGTTGGATGTGGTGACCGGCCTTGGAAACATACAGAGAGCCGACAAGACGTCCAAGACCGGCCATGGTGAGAGCTGATCCGAGCAGCACGAGCGCGAAACGAGCCGCACGCTCGGATAAGGGTGTGCAGAGCCGGCTTGGCGAGACAAGCGAGGCAGCCAAACTAGACGAAAGACAGCAGAGATATCGTAGAATACCCCGATCTAGGGACCAATCTGCCTTGTGCAAGGAACACAGATCTTGGAAATCACCAGATTGATCATCCGATCAGGGCCAGAATCATCGATACGCGCTACCTCACCCCGCAAGCCAATCTGACGCAGGGACTATAAGACCAGACCACAGCTCATCCCTGAACGTTGTATGCCGGTCTGGACTTGGTCCGGCTAGTGACTTGGGTGGTGGTTGGGGTTTCTGCGACTAAGGTCGGATCGTGCAGCTTGAGCCGAAGCGCGCTCAGACTAGTTCTCAAGTCAGACCGTAGTAGCTGTGCCATGGCTGGGCGCTAGACGTTCTGCCTAGAGAGAAAACCTGCTGTGACAACGCAACCTCCTAGCCGGGCAGCCGGGTGGCCATTCCTCGGTCTAGAAGTGACATGTACGTGATGGCGTGGTTCGGTCGCCGCCCGAAACAAGGAAGCACAAAGACGCTGGAGATTCTGAAGGTTAATCAAACATTAGGGGGGCATAACGCGGTAGTAGATACAGAGAGAGCCTTGAGAGCGAACGGACTCGACATCGCAACTAGAAAGAACCTTTGTGGTTCATGGGCGAGATGAGTTGCAGCGCAAAAGAAAACGGATGGCGAGGAGGCCTCATTTTCATTGTCATTCGGAGTCCTCTCGCTCATCGAAGCTTCGCTGGCCACCAAAACCAGATTTGTCCAGCATCCCTCTGATGCATACTAGCACTGATGAACCAGTCTAAGGTTGTGTGTGTGTGTGGCAGTGTGGCTGGGCCCAAGACACACCTTCTTCTGTGCGGTATGACGAAAGCGTGCATCTGGCCATTCGTGTATGATACTCGAAACACGTTCGTCCGATGTCATGATATCAAGGCACGTCCGGGTCATCTGGTCCAGCCCTGCATGCACGCTGCTCCCCTTGCACAAACTCACCCATACCCCTTTGTGACGAGCTGATTTATCATATCGGATATCCATATACATACCAAGTCATAGTACCTACAGGGATTTTTCCCCGGTCTGTTACCAATCTCAGTTATTAGCTTGTCACACAGGAAGCCTGGACATCAGAAACTCGGAAACCACGTTCCGTATCTCCCTGTCTGGCAAGAGCATCTCTCACAAGGCACAGCGACAAGGCAGAAACTCATTGTGCCGTTGAGACTGCTGGCCTCGCGAAACTACAAGAGCAGATATTCCATTCTCACCATGAATAACGACACCTTCCACGGTCCCGCATCGGAGGTCTCTCCAGTGAGGTCCTCCTTCCAGCAGTCCGAGACGCACCACGCCCACAGAAGCAGTGATGGCATCACTCATTCCGCAAACCAACAGTACACAGCGGTGAACGGAGACCGCTTCAATGGGAACGCCGCCGACATCGGGCTTGCTAATGAGGCCAGTGCTCGTAGCGATACCACTATTGCCAACAACAGTAACAGCCCCAGCAACAATCTCACCAACCAGCCAAAAGCCCGAGGAGTCTCGACAGACCTCGGGCCCTCAGCAACACACCTCTCGCGTGACTTTTCTCCTGATGGGATGGTCCAGGACCCCAAGGGCCCTCTGCCGCATGGGCTAACCAAGCACCGCCTGCTCGGCCGCCTGCCCGTGAGCGTCAAGAATCAGATCGTCGCCCTCATCGCCGAGTTTGTGGGGACGTTCATGTTCTTGTTCTTCGCCTTTGGCGGCACGCAGGTGGTCAATGGCCCTGCCAATGCCGCCGCAGGCACCGGAGGCATCACGTACGCGGCCAACGACGCGGCCAAGCTGCTGTACATCTCGCTGTCGTTTGGCATGAGCCTAATGGTCACGGCGTGGGTCTTTTTCCGCATCTCGGGCGGGCTCTTCAACCCGGCCGTCACGCTCGGGCTGGCTCTTGTTGGTGTCGTCACCCCACTCCGTGCTGTGCTCGTGGCGTGCAGTCAGGTGCTGGGCGGCATCGCGGCCGCCGCCGTGGTGCAAGGACTGACTCCCGGCAAGCTGAATGTCAACACCAAGTTGCTCGCCACGGCTAACGACGTCGTCGGCATGGACCTGGCCCGGGGCTTGTTCATGGAGATGTTCATGACGGCGCAGCTCGTGTTTACCGTTTTTATGCTGGCAGCTGAGAAGCACAAGGCCACGTTCATCGCCCCTGTTGGCATCGGGTTGAGCTTGTTCATCGCCGAGTTGATGTAAGTTTTCCTCGTGGAATTCCCCCTTTGGTTCAGATGGGCCGCCTCGCATGAACGTGGCTTCCTTCATGGCAAATCAAGACAAAGACAAGTTGTAGGACTGACCGTGAAATACAGGAGCGTCTACTATACCGGCGGGAGTCTGAATCCCGCGAGATCCTTCGGGCCCAGCGTCATCCAGGGTTTCAATAGTGACCACTGGGTGTATTGGGTCGGTCCGATCCTTGGGTCTCTGGTCGCATCAGGATTCTACGCGCTGGCCAAGGCTATCAAGTATGAAACCGTCAATCCTAACGCGGATGGCCCAGCAGATGACGAGTATCGTGGCGATCGTAGCATGTCTTCACCAATGAATCCCGGTCTGGAAGCTGGTCTGGGAAGTTGGGTCCCCAATCCTCAGCAGGATGGTGCAGTGGACGCTCGTGAAGCCTTCGAGAAGAGCAGTGGCAAGGGGGATGGCCAAAAAGATATCAATGAGAAGCACGTCGGTGGGCCTGGGCCCGGCACGAGCGGTACCGGTGTCGTTAGGGATGGTCCCTATAAGGATGGACCAGCACTGGAAGCTGGTCGGGGGTAATGCACAGCCGAAGTTAGAAGATGGTCGGAGACTGCGAGAGGACATACATTGGCCCGGGTTGATGTTGTACGTTACGTGTTCGAAGAATAATTGTTGCGGTCGTTGGACGGTTCGTGGCGATGGTGACATGGCATTCTTGCGGGACGATTTCTGAGTTTGAACCTTGCTTCACGCGTTGACGATTGTATATAGTGTATTTAGTGTCAAAATGACTCCTCCCAACGTGGTCGTGACCGATTTTTGCTAAATAACAGCGATTCAAATCGTGGTGAAGATGGTCCGGGCTTGTCAATCCAGATCTGAGGCAAGTTCGAACGGTGCCGGATGTTGAACCGCATTTTGTGTGTGGAGACTACAGAAGAGCGTTCTAGATCAGACTGGTGGATTGGAAACTGTTAAGCAGTGACTATGACTTTTAGTGGTCCGAGTCTGGATTTGGGCCTGCAACATTGGCACGAAGGACAATGGTATGCTAGGTGAAAAGACGGAGCATCTTGAGCTCAGGCGCGGGTATCCGAGGAAACTGCAACTAAGCATGAAAGCCTTACGTTGCGATAAGACTCAGAGTTAAAAGGACGTCTCCCTGATGCACTGGATCGAGTTAGGCCATGCAGTCTAGTACAGTACGCCCATGATCCTGGGCACGCAGCACTAGTGGAGCGTGGTTTATTGAAGCCCATGCTGGCACGTGCCTAAGGCTGACCACGAGAGGTGTGGAGATTCTGGAGATGGGGGCGTAACCTTGAATGGACACAGAAGAACAGGACATCCGATGAGGCCATTAATAGAGGGCGCTCTCGTTGTTCATGTCGAGTCTTAAGCAAGGATTGTCGCTTCATTGGGTGGATGATGGACCTATGGCAAACACCCATCGGGGCAACCGGCAACCGGCGACCGGGTGAAATGTAGGATATGGATGCTGCCGCTTCATTAAAGTTTGGCTGCGACTTGAGTGGTCGCTAAACAGTATCACCTTTATCGATGTTGACAAACTTGCAATGTCATGGGCCAGCCGACTTGACTGACTGGCGCCACCCCAACGCATGCCGACGGGGACAACATCTCGAGGCAGACAGCACCTGCCAGTAATTAGGACACATAATCAAGCGTAAGTCTAGTCCGGATCCTGTGGCAGAGGATGGTTTGTAGGCGGCGCCGCACTACTCACAGGCGCGCAATAAATGTGGTTTGCACCGTCTCGGCTGCGGAGCCGAGCCGGGTGGCATCGAGCCGCATGGAAGCCGGAGATGACATTGTGAGATGGGACGACCAGGACCCATGGCATGGCATGGCATGGCATGAGGCGACGGCTATGGGGAGGAGGTGAGACAGCAGCAATTGGCCGGCTTGACAACCTTGGAAGTCCGTGGAGTGCGGGATGGATCGTTGCCAAGCTGCCAAAATGGCGGGCCGTCTTGATGCTGCGCAGGCATGCCCCGAGCTGTCTCGCGCTGGTGTGTAGCAGGCGACGCGTGAGGCCGGCCACTTTGAGATGAATGCCCTCGACCTTCCGCTTGCAGCGGTAGTCCAGGAAGCAGAAGCAGAAGAAGCCTCGACAAGCTTTTCTGCGCGACTTGGCAACTGCCTCCCGCTACGCGCCCCACTCCCGGTGCAACCCCACTGTCCTCCAACGCCTCGCCCGCGCATGCCCATCCGCGCAAAAACCTCGTCCAGACTTTTGACACCTCGACTCTCGCACGTCAATCCCTCCGACTCGACCGTTGCCCCTCCCGCTTGCTAGTGCCCGCCACCCAGATCCTCCGGCGCTCGACAGCCACACGATCTACTGCGTATGTTATCAGTCCGTCCCGGCCATCGCCTGCCCTTCCCTTCTTATCTCGCTGACGCGTGGCACGGCCAACAGCTCGCTCAAGGCTCAGATACGCCGATTCCAGAACCGCCAGCCAGGCGTCAGCACCGGGGCAGAATGATCCGAGCTGCCCGGGACCCCTTGCAGCACCTGACCTGCCTTGCCGCCTGCATGAGGGCCACCTGCCATCAAGAAGTCGCTTGCGAGTAGGAAACCCTTTGTGGTGGAGCCGCGCAAGCACTCGTCAATCTCAATCTGGCACCATCAAGCGCCGCAGCCCACCTGCCACTTTCCGCATCCTCACTGCAACGACCCACTCCCGCAACGGTCTCAGCAACTGCCTGCAAGTGGTTTCCGGGGATACGAGGGTCCTGCCTGCTCCAGCTGTTGACGCTGAAGCGCAACCTCGATTCTCTTCTGTCCTTCTGCTCATTCTCCGGTGGTAGCCGAGCGGTCGCCTCCCCCGCAGGAACTCTAGCGCCAAGTCGAAGCATGCCGTGCATTGTTGCCACGAGAGTGTGTGATTGCCTCTCCAAGCACAACTCTCGCGCTTGCGCTAGTCGGCGGCTCTGAAAAGCTTGTCCCACACCAACGGATTTCCAGGGTGAGGAGGGGCAAATGCTTCTAGAACAGCGGCGGGTTGGCCTTGTTGCGAATGGTGGTTGGCCCTGGACCCCAAAACCGGCCGGACCACTGTCCACACGATGTCCTTGATCACTAACCTACTTGCGGGAGGTCCATTTTTGGTCTGGAGACACAGTGGTCGCTAGGCCCTCTTCGGGGCTTAATCACCGGGCTAACACAATCTTCTTACGGCATGGTTACGGCCTGGAAATTTGCCCCTTGCAGAGAGTAGCGGCGATCTCCGCAGGAGTGCTATCTGCGCACAAGCATGGATTGCCGTGCAGACATGCTTGACCACTGTCACAGTGGTGGTGCTTTGGATTCCTTCCTTACGATCCGTAGAGAGTGGCATTCATTGACTTTAGAGCGCGTCGTAAGGGCCGTCTTCCTCTATCCTTCCTTGTGCAGGGAGCCTCATGGCATCAGCCGCAGACGACGTGGGTGGCACCTTGGTTGGCAGCTCCACATTCTTGGCAGCCGTCACGGGTGAGGACTTGGCTCTCTGGGCACAAATCTTGGCGACATGCATCTGAAGCTTATCCAAGCCACCACAAACACAAGGCAAGACAGGGGGGCAAGCAACCACCACAGCTCCTGATGGAACGTCGCAGCCTGCACCTCGGCATCGTCGTTTCTGCTAGGCTAGCCTGGGCGCGGATTTGCAGGGCACCGTCCCAGATGGGTACCTCATATGTAAAACACGAACATCCGTGCCACCACGAACCACGAGATGGCGAATTGAGTCCTCCGTGGCCAAGTGATGGGCGAGCGGCGAAAGCCACGAAGACGTCTCGAGCACGAGTAGCTCGCACCAGTCAGGCTATCTGACAGATGCATTTTCTTACTGGTTTTATGTTGTCAGTCGTCAGGTGGGATTATGCTCCAAGGATCACTTACAAATTTCCCCCCAAACTGCCAGGGCGCACATAACCCAGGCCAGACGTACGAGGTGCGCAAAAATGATGCTGATGGTGGATTGGTTTAGGCGCGGGGACTTTTCCCACGCAAGAACTAGTGCCGGGGCCTAGCAGAGAAGCTTGATTCGTCCTAGGCGGGTCGTTCATGCAGTCATGCCCTTTCTTGGGGCAAAACCTAGTCGAGACCCGTTTGACCAACAACCAACCCCTGGAGGAGTCGGCCGCCCTCACCAGCGAGGCAGCCCAAGATCAGCGATGCTACACACCACCGAGGAGCGCCCTCTGGCCTCTGTGGCGAGCAGGTGGCCGGATTGCTCTGGACGACCGTCGGCTGCTCGCGTCTGGGGTTGGCTAGCTCCACAGCCATGGACTTGCCGTCGTTTGAGCTGAACCCGAGTCCACACACCCACAGGCAAGGCTGGCTGTTTGTTATCTGGGGGTCACGAACAAGCTGGGCATGAGGTCCGACTAATGTCCGGAACCGACCACAATCCCCCCGGCTCCAGAGATAACGACAAGAGTCGTGGGTGGCTAATGGCTACAGGTAAAGCCTCGCCGCACAGACGGATCGCCGCCCCCTGCCACTGGCCTGGACACGCGATTTGACTGCACCCACCTGCATACCTCCGGTCTACCCCAGACTCTCTTGTGAGGGGTCCATTGATAGACGGCCGTCAATCCGTTTGCACATATAACTAGCCATCCCCTCGGATGCTCTTGGCCTCGGTCTTGGCTGCTTGCTCTTCATCCCCTTCCAGACATCCTCCTGGACATCGATCGCCACTCTTTGCCCTTTGATCTTCAGAGAGATTGGCAGCCATGGAGTCCACCGCTGTTCGCCCGGCTGAGATTGCCGACCACACGATGGCCACTCCCACCCTGGAGAAGGACACCCTCCAGCTTGGCCAGACTTCTTCCAACAACGAGAAGACCCCCTCTGACATCAAAGTCGAGGTTGACTCGGTCGAGGAACTCGACTTGTACCGTCCGTTGAAGCTCGATGACTCCATTCCCCACGAGGAGTCCATTCTTACCGCCCGTGCCGTCATTGTCGGTATCATCCTTGGTGGCCTCGTCAACGCCTCCAACTTGTACCTGGGTAAGTCTTTACATCTTCTTGCTCGAAAAGAGCGTGGTCAACGTACTGACATGATTCGCCACAGGTCTCAAGACTGGCTTCACTTTCGGTGCTTCCATGTTCGGTGCTATCTTCGGATATGGAATCCTCAAGTTCTTTTCTCGGACTAACCTCCCGATCATTGGCGGTCCCTTTGGTCCGCAGGAGAACTCCATTGTCCAGGCCGCTGCCACGGGCTCTGGCGGTATTGCCGGTCTCTTCGTCGCCGGTCTTCCTGCCATGTACCTCCTCGGCACCATGGGCGACGGAACCCCCAACCCCAAGGACGACTTTGGCAAGCTCATCACCATCACCATCGTGTGCAGCTTCTTCGGCCTTTTCTTCGTCACCCCTCTCCGCAAGTTCTTCATCATCCGCATCGGTCGGGAGCTGAGACTTATGTTCCCCAGCCCTACTGCTGTGGCCCTGACTATCCAGTCCATGCACGCCGGTGCTGCAGGCGCTGCCACTGCCGTCAAGAAGCTCAAGGCCCTTGGCATTTCGTTCACTCTGGCTCTCGTCCAGAAGGTTGCCTCTCTCTACGCTACTGGTGTCTTGTACGATTGGCACTTCTTCACCTGGATCCACGTCTGGTCCAACTACACCAGCTGGGCCATGCACATTGAGAGCTGGGGCTGGTGGTTTGAGATCACTCCTGCCTTTATCGGTTCCGGTATGCTCATTGGCATGAACAGTGCCCTGTCTATGTTTGGCGGTGCTTTCCTCGCCTGGGGTGTCATTGGCCCTCTCCTGGTCTTCACTGGCGAGTGTGCTGGCAAACTCCAGATCCCTGACGACCCCCTGTGGAAGGATTGGTACAGCTATACCAGCCTTAAAAACCTCGGCCACACCACTCCCTCGCCCCGTTACTGGCTCCTGTGGCCCGGTGTCATGATCATGGTCTGCACATCCATGGCTGAGCTGTTTGTCCAGTACAAGGTCATCTGGTACGCTTTTAAGGTCGTCGGCCACCGCATGTCTGTCAGCATCAACGACTTCCTCGTCAAGCGTGGCAAGCACTCCGAGTTCTTCGCCAAGCGTGCCGCCCAGGACGTCAAGGGCACCGAGGATATGGTTGAGGATCCCGCCACCCCTGAACAGCAGGTCCCTGTCGCCGTCTGGTCAATCGGTCTGCTCGTCACCATCGTGCTTGCCATGCTCATCTTCCACTTCCAGTGGGGCATGCACCCTGGCTTGACCATTCTGGCCTGCATTCTCGGCTTCATCTTCTCCTTCCTCGCCATCCAGATTGGTGCTGTCACAGATCAGACGCCTCTTACCGCCGCCTCGAAAGCTTCTCAGCTCATCTTCGGTGCTGCCACCTCTGGCAAGGGCTACACCATCAAGGATGCCCAGAGACTTAACCTGGTTGCTGGCAGTCTGGCCTCCGGTGCTGCGGACGTTGCCACCTCTCTCACTGGTGACTTCAGAACCGGCTTCCTGCTCGGCACCCCCCCTGTCAAGCAGTGGTACGCACAGGCTTGCGGTACTCTGATCAGTGTCTTCTTGGCCCCTGGTCTCTTCGTTCTCTTCACTCAGGCGTACCCCTGCATCCTCAATGGCGACGACCACTGCGCTTTCGGCGTTCCCTCCGTTGCCGCGTGGGCAGCCGTTGCCAGCGCTGTCACCGACCCTGAGGTGCACATCCCCCTGTCTGCCGGTATTTTCGCCATCGTCATGGGTGTCTTTTCCGTCTGCCAGGTCGTCTTCCGCCACTACTACCTGGTTGGTGAGCGCGAGAAGTACCGTGTCTGGCTCCCCAACTGGGGTGCTGTCGCGCTTTCTTTCGTCTTGCCCAACCCCGTCTTCACCACCGCTGCCATGTTTGGTGCCATCATCGCCAAGCTGTGGCGCCACTACAGCATGCACACCTTCGACATTTACTGCTACGCCATTGCCGCTGGCTTCATCGCCGGTGAGGGTCTGGGTGGTGTCGTTGGTGCCGTTCTCCAGATTGCCAACGTCTCTGGTGATGTCTACGGCACCACTGTGGGCTGCCCCGGTGGTTTTTGCTAAATGGTCGACAGGAGTTGAGTGGATGATAGGAGAGAAGTTGCTCAAAAAAAAGCGTGGTGTCCCACCGGGACTGGTAATTAGTCATATACCCATCTTAGTTACTATCAAATACAGTAACGTACCTGAAATGATTCTGTGTATTCTCTCTCCACCTGATCCCAATTCTGTGTATGTTCGTGGCACCGGGGACATTGTTTTCAACTTGTTAATGGTTGAACAACTGGCAACTGGCACCTGGCACAGACTCCAAGAAGTGCCCCCGTCGCATGCCAGGCTCGATGGCGTGGTCGTCGGATGTGGACCTTGATCCAATTATTTCGTCTCGTTGTGCTTTCAGAACCATGTCAATATAATGTGAAAACCGTGAGAGCTAGCGCATTTCTTTAACCGATGTGTACTGCTCCTCCTTGATCTTCGGCGATGGTCTCTTTCAGGATGGTGTGTATTCATCAGGGCAGGGGAAACAAGAGATGGACAATTACTGTTCGAGCCTGTTTACGGACTCAAAGGGAGAGATATACATGTATATATGTAGATATATATATGCATGCTTTGACAGAGGTCTCAGGTTGGCGCGTGTGTCAACAATGGCGGACATTAACAACAACCAGCATGGTCGTACCATTCCTTTCTCCGTCCCCTGTTTGTGGGTATATATTGTCCTTTTGTGTCATTCTTGGCGCCATCGATTGATACGATGGAAGGTGGAAGCTGTGCTGGCGAGCGAGAACAATGTAAGCATTTACGAGAGCACACGGAGACCTCACGTCTGTGGAAGTATCCGTAATGCGTCAGATCCTATCTCGACCTATGAACTCACGAAAAGACCCTGATCATTTCGTCCCCGAAAACGATCGAGCTTCTCTCTCTCTCTCTCTCTCTCTCTCTCAACTATCCAGTTCAATGCAAACACCTCAAAATTATATGCAAAAAGCTACCGAGTCGCCAGCTTCTCCTCCTCCTCCCTGACCACCCTCCCCACCACCTCGTCCAGATCCTCATCCTCCAGCCCCAGCATCTCCATCGCGAACCCTTCGCGGGTAGTCCAGTCCCCATCGATCGCGCCCAGCGCAAAGACGAGGTCCTCGTTGGCCTCGGTCTCGCCCTTTTCCACGCGGGCCTTGTTCTCGGCAATGAACTCCTCGGCGTCAATGTACTTGGCCTGCCACTCCTTTCCGCCGCCGCCGCCGCCGCTCGTGGCCCGCTCGAGCGCCCGCAGCACGTCGAGCTGCGACACGCAGAAGCTCTGCACGTAGACGATCATGTTGCGCGTGCGGGCCTCGTGCTCCGGGGAGAGCACCCTGACGACGGCCTCGGCGACCCGCGCAAGGGTGGACGTGGAGCTGCGCATGGTGCCGTCGCCGAGGATGTCAGCCGTGCGCGTGCGCAGGTTGAAGTGCAGGAAGTTCTCGCGCAGGCCCCAGTCGAAGAAGTGGCCGCAGACTATGCTCGTCCAGGAGAACGACGACGACGACGACGATGATGATGATGCCTCGGCCAGGCTCTGCAGCCGCGCCCGGACCTCGGCCTTGCGCTTGAAGATGGGCACGAGCTCCTGCGCCCGGGCCGTCGTCGAGTCGCAGCTGCCATAGTCGGCGGGGATCACGCGCCGCATGCCGGGGGTCGCGGCAGCGGCGTCGGCGATGCGCAGCTGCGACTGGCCGTCGCCGGGCCGTGTGGCCACGATGACGGCGTGCTGGCCCCGGAAGGCGGCCTTGAGGCTGTCCAGGGACAGGTCATCGTCGATGTTGACGGTGATGAACTTGTCGCTGGGTGCCTTGGGGCCGGGCCGTGATGAGGAGGAGGCGCGCTGAGCGATGGTTACGGTGAACTGGCCCGAGTTGATGAGGGCGTTGAGTATCTCGGTGCCCAGGTTCCCCGTCGCGCCGAGCAATATGACGTTCTTGATCGGAGGAGAGGCCATTGTTTACTGTCCTTGGGACTACAGCTCTAGGTTCTTAGGCACGGCTCGAGTATGATGGCTTGTCTTGAGGGAGCGGTCTCGGAGTTGCAGAAGCCGACGATGAACGTGTGTAAGTGCTGTGAGATAGGGCCTGGAGTTTTAGTCAGCTCTTGCGTGAACGCTTGCACGTGTATGATGATTCGAAGAACGGCTTTTGTGAGACTCACTCTTAACCGGCGTGTGAAGCTCTGATGTCAATTTGCAGAACCACGGTTGTAGTTGCCAGCGAGTTGGGGAATCCAAAGTGCGGGGTTTCGCAGGGTTCACGTCACAGAGGGACTTGGTTGGAACCAAACCGGTACCTGGCTCAGACACAATTCTCATGGGCCCCGAGGAACAGATGATACTCACTTTGCATATGGACGTCTGTTGTTCACGAGCGGTTATTCGACAATTTGTGAATGCTCGATAGTATGGAGCCCCAAACCGCTAAAGTCACCTGTGGTATCCCCGAAGACGCTGGTGTCTATTCCAGACAGACACCCATGGACACTTCTAAGCCAGTGGGCCCCCTGGTCTCGCTTGCCCAAAGCAGCAAAACGCCACGAGCAAACGACGACAAGGTCCTTGAGTAACCAATACCTATGACACAACGAACACATATGTCGGCCTCGATAGAAGAGCCCTCATCCTGCCCCCTTCAATGTAAGAATATCATGGCGCATGCCAGTGCTATGATCCGCCACAACCCCTGAAACGTGATATCTGAGTGAGAGCCAGAGCTCACAGCAGATTCCGACGGGCCGATGGCTGTTGAGGACGTAGGCGTATTGCCACTGACAATAGCTGAAGTCACCTCGGGTCGGTCCGTAGCCAATAGCGGACTGCAATCGCCTCGTGTGGACTTGAAGTCAAAGTCAGCAGTGATCTCAACTGCACGACTGCCACAATTGACATATTGCGCAAGGTGGATGGCATTGTTGGTTTGATCGAAAACCACTGCGATCCAGAGGGGAATCATCGTCAGCATCAGAAACAACCAGTTGATGTGTGGCACTCGGAAGAGGGTTACTCACCATAAGCTGAGCGCAACATTGAGCCGCCCAGCAAGACAAAGTCGTCACTGCCACGAACACCCAGATAACACTTCACGCTGCCCATGCCAATGCCAAACTCCCTGATCATCTCAGAGTATGGCACACGGATCGTGGTCCCATCAAAAGCAAAGTCCAGTGTCCTCTCAGCCTGTGCCATTGCGCAGTCAACCACGAACTGGCCATTGTCGTCAGGCTCGCTGCCACCAAAGTCGGCCGCGATTCTCTTGGCCAGCGCCATGGGCAACAAGGTCATCGTGGACCCGGTATCGAGAAACACCGTCAGGTTGCGGGACTCCTCGTACGTCTTTGCCTCGTTACTTGCTTCTGAGCTCGAGCCGATTGCCTTCAGGTTTATCCAATACCGCGGGCGCTGGTCTGGCGATTGCGAGGGCGGCAGGATCGGCAGGGTCTGCAGGTTGCCACTGAATTTACCAGCATCGAGCCCACCAAACATGAGTGTTCCCTCCTCCTCCTCCTTGCCCCCTAGCGCAATGCTGAAAACTTTCGTACTCGTGGTTCCTTGCTCAGCAAGCTGATCGATAAAGGTGGGATACTTTGTGGCTACTTCTTTGCCGTAGCCCAGGCCGAGAATGCCTGACGGAGCATCCTCGGTTTCCGTGGCTACCCCAAACTGGAGGTTGTTCAAACTCAACTCTGTACATGGTCAATACGAAGACGTCCGAGCGACTGGCACAGAAAGATGCGTACCTGTTGAGTTCGAGACACCCACAGTGTCTTTGTGATACACGAAGGTGGCATTGCCTATCCCATACTGTAAAGTCTTGCTCTCGCCCAGCGAGAGCGACGTCGATGAGGCAGAAGCGTTGTAACGTCCAAGTGCCTGGCAAAATCGTGCGTCCAGCTCGTTGTTGAGGGCCGTGCAGTCTGGATTGACCCAGAGCTCGTAGGAACCGGTGTCGAGGAGCACGAATTGTGGTTGAGGAGGCGTGCCAAAAGTCACTATCAAGCGCACCGTCAGTCCTTGTTGTGCTAGGTGGCTCGGTAGGAGGGTCATAGATCACTTACAACGAGCGTAATATGCAATGTCTGAACGATTTGCAACAATAACACTCTCGAGTCGTCTACTTGGCCTGGCGTATTCTGGGGTTGGTTGTTCGATAGAACGGACAATGGGAAACACGAGCTGACGGCCTTGCCTGTTCTTGTTGTCGACATGTGCAGTAACAATTGCAAGCAAGCCAAAAAGTGCAGCGGTTGACGTTCGCATCGTCGGCCACATCCAGGACGAGTTCTCACTGCTGCTTCCAATCTCTGATACCAAGGCCCCTTACCACGACACGTCTGGTTATCCAGCCAGCGGGAAACTCAGATCTCTATCGCGCGGATAAACCCAAGGGAGGGAACTTTCCAGGAAGTCGACCTGGCAAAAAGAGGTGATTCCAGCCACCTGAGAGAGAAGAAGAGTATTGCAAAGTACAAAGCCACCCCAGCACGACGAGGTCACTTGCGAAGCATGGGAGAAGTGGAATCAGGTCATACAGCAGCAGATTTGACGAATATACGCGTCAGTGGCACAGCCAGAATCTGTTCGAGTCATTGTGATGCTTTTCAGGTACCGTGCCTGAGACGGTGCTGTCGATCACGGCGAGCACAGTAGAGCAGAATACAGTAGGGGAAGACGTTGGAGATCAAACGCCACTAGGTTTAGCGAGGCGCCATCACTGCCATGAGGTAAGCATGTGTGCCTGAGCCGCGCGGCGCCAAGCACGCCAGCCAGGGCCGGAAAGGAGAAGAACACCCATAGGGGCTTCGAGACATGCTGTCGCCAGGTACAGGCGGCTCACTGGAGACAGTGGTCGAGTGGTAGTCATCGACGATGTCCGTGGCCGTGAGAATGGATGCTCGACTCGATGCCCGGATGCTCCTTTAGATGTGCAGGATCGGGAGCAGAGGCAAGGAGAGCCATCGCAGGGGCAACGGAAAAAAAGAAAAAGGGGGAAAGCGTGGCAGGCAACCACAGCCACGATGTGCGATGAATGAGTGGAGGGACGGGTGTTCCTGCGCGGTGCCTGGCCTGAGCAGGCGGCGAGACGCTGCCCAGGGCGTGCCAGCCAGCGCCTGCCAGGGCACAATGGGCGCCGCACCTTCCGCCTCAAGCACCCTCCGGCAGCCAGCCAGCGGTCCTGCAGGGTTGCACCTTGGGAGGCCCTTCCCGCGGTCATTCACGAGTCATCAGCGCAACCACCAGCCTGCCTTTGTCGCTCTTACCATCGCATGCATCCCGAGCGTCCGAGTAGCGCAGTCAGGCTATTCTTTTCGCACACCCGCCAGAACCTCAAGCATCCCGCCAACTAAGGTTCTTCACACTGCTCTTAGCGCCACTGTAACCACAGGTCTCCATGGCGCTTCAAAGTTCCCGGACCCCACGGCGGACCCAAGTTCCCCATCGCGCGCATGCACCGGCGCTGCCGCACCCGTGTGCCCCGATCTTCAGGAACCGGAGCCGCGTGTTCTGCGCCCCACTGGCCGGCACAACTTACCCCTCTGATCTCGGTGTGCCAGGCCGATAATTAATCACACACTGTTCTGCTCCGTGCTGCTTGACAGAAGAATTCCAACAGGCTTTGCACACCGGTTAGGCCAAGGCCTTGGCGATCGGCTGGGTGGCCCGGTTCCAGTTTCATGCGCAGGCAAGGAGCGCGCGGAGTCACTTGCTCCCACTCCCCGCAGCCAATGCTTCTATGCGCCCTGAAGATGCAGCAAGTCTGCACGCAAAAATAAATGACCCTTGAAAACGCCAGTATGCGCGCTCGGTAGTTGAATAGGGAAGCTCGCCTACCTGGCTTCGGCACCGGCAGCGTATAAATCATCCGCGGGTAGCCGGCGAGAACCTGGCGGGCAAGGTTCTTTGCCCAGGAGAAATGGAGGTGATGTTGCATTGCAAGGACTTCTGTCCCCTGTTTCTCCTCGCCGCGGGACTGAGCCGGGCAGAGCCTCATGTCCACAGTCGGGGGATCAGACGCAGGGATATTTGCGCTGCGACCTCGAGGCTGAAAAATTCGTTATGCCGAGCAGGCATGTGACAATGGGCGGCACTTGGCAAGCCCAACGAGCACGAGAACCTGTTGGCGCAAACGGCGATTCGCATTTCTGCGTCACACATAGCCGATACACAGAAGAGGTGTACATCTAACAAGCAAGCATGATGGCCCGTAAAGGTAGGTGGCAGCACGATTGATGCATGTCATTGTACATCCACAACTCAAATTTGCGATCTGGGGCAGTGCAATAGTCCCCGACAAGGTTGAGAGACAAACGTAATGCAGTCGGGGTTGCTTTTCGGCGAGTCCCGTGTCGTCGACTTTCACGATACCTTGTGCCGTTCGCAAGCCATCGTGCCTCGGTAACATGTAGGTTTAGAGGTGGGCGACACTGTAACCATACACACAGAATCTTGGGGTTTTGGGCCGTGCATGCTAGTGACAAGGCGGCCCGGATGAACAGGCGCTGTGACTTGCACGCCGGGTCATGTCAGGCCGCATCGCCGACTGATATTGTGACTCACACCTCCAGCCTTCTGCACAACATTACAGACTGTAGACTGGCTCACGTGGTGAAGAAGAGCACTTGTGAATGGTGCCCACAGTTTGGCAACACGCCCGGCGAGACCTCCCTGTTCCTGAATTGGGCCGGTGTGCACGTATACCTTTGTGAAGACCACACAGGTACCATAACTGCTTGCCATGTCTAAATCGATGACGACCTCATAAATGCGTACCTGATCATCACGTCCCCGCAAGCCAGGCTCTGGAAACTCTCAGAGCCGCCGGTCCGGGATCTTCTGGAAGGTGACTGGGCTCTTGGCATACTCTTCAGAGGGTCAACCCGGATGCGGTGGTTATGACGTGGACCGGGGGGGTTAAAAGTTGTGAGATGTACGTTTTTATCATTGACATTTGACGAGAAGCAAGGAGAACAGAGTTGCGTTGTTGTCAGCGATGCTAGGGGCATGCCAGGTGACAGGGACGGCGAGATTCGAGGCAAGGCGAAAGCCGGCCAGTCGATATTAGTGGGAAGGGGGAATTGGGAACAGAGCAAAGAGGCGCGCTCGACATGGGAGCTTGTGAGGTGAAGTCGGAATCCCGGAAGAACATGCTGCCTGGCCTAGCGAAGAGGCTCTAACATAGCAGTTGGTAGGTGTGGTGATTGTTGAGTTTGAGTTCACGGGAGCTGGACAAAGGGCCACTGTGCTACGTGCTTTCCGGGCGACGGAAGGAGTTGCATAAAGTCTAGTATGGGAGGACAGGTTTTGCGCTGGTGTCATCCTTACTGAGCGATGTGAGGTGTCTGTCAAGACGTGGCTGGGACTTTGCTTGGATAGTGATCCAAAGTGACGAGTCCAACGAAAACTGATGAAGCATATCCCACGTGGTTCACATTGATCAATACACCGCATAGCTGGCAGGAGTCTCCTGAGGTCTTTCCCTAGTCCAATAGGGGCGAGTGTCCGCAGATACACTAACTGACAGAGATAGCAATGTCTACATGTTTCGCGTTGGTTCACTTGAGGCCAAGAGATCATAGACGAGTATGGAGGCTGGGTTGTCCTTCATCATCTACCTCGCTGTTTGTCTTGCTTGTGAGCTTTGTCTAGAGCCTTCATTGGTATCGCAAGTCCACAAGGCTCCTCAGTAGCCGACTCCATGGAGCCTGAGTTGTCTGTATCGAATCGTCTGGGGAGGTTTGGCGCTTGGTGGTGTTTGTATCTCAAGAACGCCGCACTTATGTTTGCTGCGACTGCACACGAGATACTAACATGTGCGGCATGTTCTTACTTCTGGAACCTCATTTCCAGTGAGGAGCGAGCCACAAGTTCAGACAACATCAGGATCGCGAAATAACCGAGGTATTTGGACAAAGGATGCAACAATCCCCCGTAGCTTGTGAAGGCATCTAACTTCCTTAAGTAATTCTGAGAGGCCTGGTAACTATGTTTTTTTTGTTAGTTACTTGGTTTTGGTAGTTACCTGTGTTTTGCAGTTGACAGTTATCGCAGGTGTTTTTTGTCTTTCGCCAGTAGATGGATTTGCTTCAACTTGGAACGGCATTGTGATTTCACGTTTGGATCTCCAGCACTCACTATCGCATGGGCATTTCGTAACATCAACTTGGACTATGCAGCGCTGCGACACACTGGTCGAGTTTTCACGTAATTTAGAGGTCATTTTCGCCTGCTTTGAGTTGAGTCTTTCGAGCACTCAAGAAAAACATCATTGTTTTCCCCCGCGAATGACAGTGCGGCAAAAAGATTGCCTGCAGCAACGAGGCACTGAGCCACTAGGTCAGGTGACATAACTTTCATACTTGTCCTTTCGAATATCATCAGAGAGACTGCCATATCTTGATGTGACTTGTAAAGCTTTACGATGGTAGACGCGGATGACACTGGCTCGGAACCGCCCGTTCTTTTCCGGACCTTGAATCTTCGAGAACCGAAGATCAGATAAGGCGGGACCTCAGCTTGGAAAGCAAGCAAATGACACCACCCCTTCCTTGTACGGCTACCTCGCCCCGTTGCTTGGACGCCACGGATGGCTGTCGTCATCCTCTCCGTGATCACACCGTCTGTCTGACTGACATCCTTCCCGAAAATGAGTAACCGAGCAAGCAGCCACCGCATGAGGTGGAGACGGCGCGAAATCCTGAACGCCGTGTCACTTTTTCCGAGGGGTTTCCTGCCCAATCTGCTTCGTTGGCGATTGAGGATCTCACGGGGGGTCCTGGAAGGCACCAGCAGCAGCACCAACAGACACCAACAACAACAGCCAGGGCACACATAGGCACTCTCGGTCCAGCTGACTCTGGTACCCGGGAAACGAGGGCGTGCCACCCTGTATCCATGCACACACAGCGTCAGAGCCCACAATGCTCCGGACAGGCAGACAACCAGTTCCCACAACGCAAGAAACAGGCGAATGTTCGTCTCTGCCTTGGGAAGGCATATTGCCTATTACGAAAGAAGATCTGTTCTTGGCATGCTAGCCGACTTGGTCTTCTTCGCGTTGGAAAAAAAAAAACGTGGCTACATGGCCCAGCCACGGGGCAGGACTCCCGTAATTTACGTGAAGTCGTGGCCTCCACAATTTCAGAGGGTGCGAGAAAGCCAACCCGGACAGCCAAGGATAATGGCCAGGATCCGCCCGAATTGCCCGTTTGGGCCAATTATGCGTTGTGCGGCGCTATGTCCTTTTGCGCAACAAGGAGTTGCACATCAGTAGAGAACGAAGACGTTGTGGCGTGCTTAATATTCTATGCTATGGACGGCAGAGCACTGGAACGGCTTCGTGTTTCTTTTTTCCATCCCCCCCCCCCCTTCGGTAATTGTCAGCAGCAGCGTCGTCCTGTTCACCTCGGCTAACACATGAAACGCAAGGGCAAACTGTGATGGGGTGCTAGTGCCGTGCAGGCGTACGGTGGGTTGTAGGATTGTAGTAGCAGCCCAGATATGCACGGCAATTATGTCGGCGACGTCGGCTACCTAGGATCCATGGTCCGGGCTGCCTGCATTCACACGGGCCCGGGGAAGTATGGATCGGTCTTGGGAACATTCCCTGTACGGGCTGACAACATGCTGCGCCGTTCATCTATCGTAAAGCCAGACCAGGGCTGGTGTTAGCCAGACCCCAGTCGTGCCTAGGGCGGAAAAACCTAGATGCCACGGGCACCGGGGCCCGCAGCTCTGCGTACAGGATATGTCCACACTACTGGAGCCCTATACGGAATGCGGAGCTGTTGGATGCATCAGCAATATGCGACGGTTACAGAATGATGAGGAATATCGGCGGCCGCATTGCCCGCCGGTGGCGCGCAATACGTCCTATAGCAGCACGGCTTATAGCCATGACAAATTTGTGGCAGGATGCAGTATAACCGCCTGTGCTCCGACGCACAATTACCCTACGAATGGCCCCCCTGCCAGTGACGCCTAGGTGGGACCCCATGCGAGCTCGGCCTGGGTTGCCAACCACACATGTTGTCACGATGCCTGCAACTGCCGATTGTGGTCGCGCACTTGCGGGGCGGCTCCCAGCAGTTGCTGTGGCTCGCCAACAAGACAAGCCAGCTCGACGACGCGGGCTCGAGGAAGCGCAGATTCGACGAGTTCCTTCCTGGTCGAATGGGATCACTTGATCTGTGTTCCACAAGACGCATTCTCGCCGCAAAGTCGAGTGTGTGTTGGTTTTCAGCCGAGATTTCAAGGTTCACTGTGACATTTGATGTGGAGCGTGAGCTTGGTACGGTGTGCCACACCACCAACGAACATGCTAGAAAACCGGGGAGGCGATATTTGACTGCCGTCAACCAACCAACAAACAATTAGCAGAAGCAGGACCGGACGAGGAACCAACAAAATGTTCTGCTGTTGCCCGCAACCCGTACAAAAGATCCTTCTCAGTCGCTTCTCATTGATGGCATCGACCTGTCTCTGGGAAACCCTGCGTCAAGTCCACGCCACCCTGGTCGGCCTGCATCTGGAGGGGGTCTCGAGGGGTGATTACGACGCGACGGATCAAGAGCACCACCAATAGCACCTACAAGCGATGAACACTATGGTAGTGGCATACTCAGCAACCAACCAAACGCAAGTTGTTACATGCGGCCTTGGCGACTTTTGCCCAAGCAAGAGGACGGATGACTTGTGCGGCTGACCTGTGGAAGTCGGCCAAGACCGCTGATGGCTTCTTGGTGGCTTGACCATGGCAAGCAAAACCCTGCAAGGAGGGTATCGCAGACTCAAGTAGTTAGATTCAGTAGAGTTCATGCCACCAAGAAGCCCATGGACAGGGCTGGCGGATACCGAGGGCAATAATCAGCAGGTATCCGCGCCAAGGCACAGAGGGTTTGTTGGTCAACCCCAGCTACGTCGGGATGTGATCTGGCTTTGGCTTTGGCTACACGCCATCGGGCGGCCAGAACCAAGACCAGTGTAATAAGAATATATGAGTAGTACTGGTCAGAAACTGAAAGGCTCATGTCAACAAACGCGACAACCGAACGATGAGCCTGATCCTGCTTGGACATGGCCGAGACACTAGTTTGAGAGGTTGAAGATGCTGAGTCAGCGGCATGACCGCAAGACTGCCGCCCTGCTGATGCTGCTCTCTGCTAAACAGCATTGCTCTGGATCCGCGGTGCGTTCGCTGGTCATGGTGCATATATTTCGTCAAGAACACGTTCTTACTTGACGTTGACCGTTGCATTCTGGACACAACATTTTGGGATAACGTGCACGATGAGCGACGGAAGAGTTGGCAACGGGTGCAATACCGCACGAGCAGTCCCCACAAAGGGCGTTTCTTAACTACCCGGTAGCGCGATCACGTGGCTTCGACGTCGCCCAAGGCCCGCCGAATGTGGTAAGCACCTTGGCACGCTGGCGACGGAGCGTGCAGGAGCTCTCTGAATCTGTCGACAAATCAGACGATTGGGAAATCCCTCTCTAACCTCGACCTCAACCGACCACACCACCACCCCGACGTCGCGACCCCAGAAGACCGCCGTCATGTTCTTGCAACGCACCGCTGTGGCTGTCGCTCGCCGCGCTGCCGTCTCGCCCGCCGCCCGCCGTACCTTCATCGCCTCCGCCATCCGCCGTAAGACCGCCGCATCATAGCCGAGGATAGGATCGTTCGATGTGCCCGGGAACTAACTCTGGGACGGTAGGGGATGCCAAGGACGTCGAGCCTCGTGCGCCCATCAGCCAGAAGCTGAAGTCTTTCAACGGTACGAGCTCCCGTGAGCCAATTGGCACGGCAGATCCGATCCCCGCCGCTGCCGCTGGCCACTACAATTTTCGACTCGGGGCCGGATGGCATTGACTGACCTGCAAATGCACATATGTAGAGATCAAGTCCGAAGATGACCTTCGCGGACCCGGTGCCCCCCTGGAGAGGTTCCTAGCGACCTCGACCAAGCCACTGGTCTCGAGCGTCTCGAGATTCTCGGAAAGATGGAGGGTGTCGACATCTTCGATATGCGACCCCTCGATGCCTCGCGCAAGGGTGCGTCATACACGATCCATTCCGCAAAATGGGACGGGAACAGCTGGAAGGACTGACGAGGATTGTATGCAGGCACTGTCGAGAACCCCATTACCATTCGGTCTGCTGGTGACGAGCAGTACGCCGGCTGCACTGGCTACCCCGCCGACTCCCACGTTGTCACCTGGCTCGGCGTAAGTCCAACCAACCCTGGCGTAGGCCCGATTGGCATTGGCAACATCCAATGCTACGCGGTCGGTGCATTCACAACTAACATACTCACCTCGCAGATGAACCGCGAGCGCCCGATGGAGCGGTGCCCCGAGTGCGGTAGCGTCTACAAGATGGAGTACGTTGGTCCTCAGGACGACCACCACGGCCATCACGACCACCACGGCTACGAGGAGCCCAAGACCTTCGCCGACTTCGTCAAGCCTGAATATCGCTAGATGCTGCATTTGACGTCATACGGCCGCACCGCCCTTCGTTTTCGAAAGCCAAGCCAAGATGGTGGGATGGGAGTTGAGGACACATTAGAGACTATTGTACATTGTTAACGGCAGTGTAAAATCCGTTCGAGTTCTAGTGCATTGCTGCACGATGGCATGTCTGTCGGTACTCTGCTTACCTTTGGCGGATGATCCACCTGGGGTGATTGTGTCGTGTCGCTTGAACTGATGACTTTGACTGCAACAAACGGCCCCTCATGCACTCACCGAGCGCAGCCATTTGCCCAAAACCTTGACCTGATTTTTGACATGGCGTCATTCGCGGAGGATGACTACACCCACGACCTGGCAGCGCTGTTTGGAAATCGTAGTCACGTTACACCTTTCCTCGAAGTCATGCCCTGTTCGGGCGCATGTCAGCTCCCGCGTTCTCACCTCCCCACCTATGGCCAAGTGTCTTCGCTACACACCCACATGCCCGGGACTGGACCCGGACCTTAACGCAACGGCTTGATATAAAGACCAGCCCCCCCGCCTCCTTCCGACGGATCAAGTAAGATTCCCAAGCCCTCGGAAGGAATAGGTCATACCGCTAGTTCCAAGCGCAAATAGGATCGTCTGGAAACCGCGAATCGGCATTGCCAAGTCTACTAACTAGCTGGACACGTATGCTCGTCTGTCACCGACTCGCAGGACATCTACTTACTCTGCGCGAGGCCTTGACCCTGCCCACCAACAAAAGAATGAGGGGGTGTATGTCCGCTCCGCCGCCTGGCAACTCAAGACGGCATTTCCGCCCTCTACGAGGTGCTATGGGAAAAGCCGGGGGGGGGGGCGCCCCCCAGGAGTGCCACCGCTGACCAACGCAACAACAACATGTCGTCATGCAGGGACCTGTTCCCCAAAATTGGCGAATGCCAAGAACTGATATTTTCTGCATTTGTGTATGTCAAGTATTTATGTCGACGTGTGTGTTGTAGTAGTGTGTTTTTGTGAACGAGCTGCCACGATGCTTGTCAAACGAGCCACGCTTTGCCTATCCGCGTGCGTCTACGCTATGGTAACAGCACGGAGGAGCGTTCGGCCGGGCAAATCAGGCTTACGGTTCACGCTTGCCAATGTCATACAATGCAGCGAAAGTCTACTTGGTCACAGTCGGTCCGAGCAACCAAGACCGCGCGCGCGCAGGGGCGGCAGGAAAGAGGAGGAGAATGAATAGCCGTTGTGGTGGTGGAGGTGGAGGTGGTGGTGTAAGCCCCGGCAATCCAGGAAGCCGACCTGCATGTGGGTGTGCTCTTGTCAACAGGTGCCAGGAGACCAATCACACGCCTGCCTCTAAATGCTCTGACGACGAGTTGCTGCGGCGCAGGGGGGTAAGTATGCTGCGATGGATGACTACTCCGCAGGGCAGGCTATCATGTGCATGTACAACATGCCTTCCTGGAATCCGTTGTGGAAACGCAAATTCCGGCGGGCATAGCCAAGCCGGGCCAGGGAGGGGTTCCTGCTTGGACTTGGTGGTTAATGGTTGTTGGTTACCTCAAGGTACGAGGAGCAGGATGTGCCCCAGCGGTTGACATAGGCTGTAGTGCTCTCGGGCTTACACGCTTCCCCGGCGTCGCCGTCTGGTCCGCTCTGCCTGGCTGGCTGATGCAGGCCAGATCCCGTTGCCAGAACGGCTGTTCACACAATTCACTACCTTGTCGTCGACACTGGCGGCCTGGAGGGCTTATCGGGTCACCTGGGCAGATGTGATGGGGCAAGGAACCGGCAATCTCGAGCCGACACCAGTGTTGCTCGTATATACTAGTAGTCATGGTGGGCATGATTCTAGAAGGGGCAGCCTGGAAAGCGACCCCCTGGCTGGGGAGGTACAGGAGTACAAGGAATTGCCTAGGTTGTGCGAAAAGTGCACTTGTGCTTTGCAGTGCAAGTCTTACTGATAGTGATGATGCTGGCGATGATGCTGACCCCATCAACAGGGGAAATTAGTGGGCGCCTCGTACAGACGAGATGCGGCTCTTGCGCCCGCGAACCAGGGAATAACCTGCACCTCGCACAGGACCCTCCACCCACGACGTCCCCTCTTTCGCAGCTTCTGGTTGCACGTGAGCACCCGCTCATGCAAAGTGGCTGGCTGGCGCCATTGTTCTCGGTCGGTTGGTGACCCGAAGAAAGAAAAAAATACTCGAACCTTGTGGGCAGACACGGGAAAACCTGCCGGTCCTCGGCTGGCACGCGGGCTTAGACTTTGTGTTTGTCGTCGCAGAGCTGGGGCGCTAATGCCCGTCCAAGAGCTTGTGTTTGTGCCTGGCATGGATGGGCGCGGCCTGCCTGCCTGCCGTCTCGAGGGCAGGATTGGCGACTGCATATCAGGCCACCACCCGCCCGCACAGCGCGCCATCAGAGTGCGTCTCAACACAAAATGGCTTCCCAGGCGGTGGCCGACTGGTCACCCCCGAGTCAAGTCAAGCCAACGCAACAAGGTCGGAACAAGTTAGGGATTGCCCACGTTCTCGTCCGTCTCGTTGGTTGCGCTTCCTTGTCAGGCCCGTCAATGGTGCCGTCCGTCAGCCCTGGCAAGTTCCGAGAAGTGGTCCCCGTATGGCAACAGTTCCCCATTGGCATGGGATTGGCGTGCGTTACGGCTCCCAGGCGCGGCCGCCCATACTCCGTAAGGGTCATAAGCACGAGCAGCCCTGCTCCGGCCTTGGCGCACGTTATACTCTGTGACAATCTCCCGGGGTTCCGGTGCCTCCAGGGGGTTTGGTTTCCACCCTGATGATTCGAGCTACATCTCCCGATGCAGGCATCTCTGCTTGCTTGACCAAACACCGCGCCCCCCGGAATCATTCTTTGTCTGTACGAGATGACTCTCGCAATTGGCAGTTGCCCGTTCTGTCAGCGGGGCTGACTTGACCCTGCGGCACGGACGCGCGCCCTTGGATACCTGACTTTCAGCCACGCTCGTAGGGAAGCTCCTGGCCAGAATCACCGAAACCCTGCCCCCCCCCCCCACGACATTGTCACACGTGAGTGTTGGCATTATGGAGGATACTCATCCTACCGAGCCCTCGGATGATCGACCTTTCCGCCACGGCCATGACGTGAGCAGAAAGGCGCAGGCAAAACTTTTCCTTGTTGCCAAGGGGCATCAAGATGCATCCTACCTAGTAGGACTGGTGTAGACGTGGCTGGCAGCAGAAAAGCTTCCATGGTCGATCCAGTAATAAATATCACATCATCCAGCCCACATCCACATGCAGACACTGACATCTCACCCACGCCCCATGCATATTTTAGTATAATAGACTTTTTGCCCTCCTTTGCGAAGGGTCCCCGGCCCACCTCACACAAACGTAGAGGTCAAGAAAAGCTCGTTCGGTAATCGCAGCCATTGGCTACGGCGAGTACAGAAGCCCTTGTCAAGGTATGTATGCCAGGTGTTTTCTAGCCGGTTAGCTCTCCCACCCACGCGCACACCCACACGCCCCCCTTTCCACCTTCGACGCACCCCTGTCCGCTGGTTGCAAGCCTCTGCCCGTAAAAGTCGACGGCCCACTGGCTAATTATCCTGAGCTGACGCCAACACCCCGTGCAACTCTGTGTGTGTATGTGTGGCGGTCCAACCGTGTGTCGTATACCTTCCCAGTCCACATTACTGATAGATGATACGGTGGTGCGTGCCCCAGCCAAGCATGATCATCTGGTTCCATACGAAACCCTCTTTCCTCGTCGTTTTTCTCGCGTGCACGCTCGCCAGCCAGCTCGAGTAACAACCAGACATAACCAAAGGTGCACTTACCCAGGTAGTGAATGTGACGCGGCCGCCTCGGCCGTTTCGCCCGGCCAGCCCCAACCCAGCCCGCCCCCTCCTCCGATGAAAGTGCAGTACGGTACTCCGTACAAATTGTAGGCTAATAGGCGGCCCATCCAGTCGTCCCCTGTCTATCTTCTCAAATACTACTACGGAGTACATACGACGCTAAATAAATATGACTTCAAATGCTAAGCACACGCCTCTTGCTATTCCCGCGATCCCACTTTGCACCAATGTCTGAAGCCCGGCCCGATCGGTGATTCAGCGTGCTGGACCAGGCGGAGAAAAAAAAAAGTAACTCGGCTTGTGCCGGTGTCTCGCGACAACTATGCGCAGACCTGGAGGCCAAGGCCGGAGCTCGCTCTTCACGCCTTCTTTGGGCAAGTAATGAATACAGGGAACCCCCCTACCCCCCATGTCCAGGGAACTCGCATAGTCAATCCGCATCACACAAAAGGAGCGAGCAAGCAAGCAAGGACCATGGATCGCATTACGATGATGATGATGCAGCATACCCTCGCTCATTACTCATCGGCACTCGAGCCATCATCTCCAAAGTGGTAACGGACCGCACAAAGGATCGCCACTCACCACACGTCGTAAAAGTAGGCCACGCACGCACACACATATACACTTTTCAGGCACGCATGTCTTTCCCCCCGACCGCGCGCGCGTGCTCCCGGCCCATCCGCTTTGCCCCAGCAGCAGCAGCGCCTGGTCCTTTATGTATGCTTTTGAGAGTCTGCATATGCGAAACGTTCCCTGCCGTGCACCACCAAAACGTTCGGGGATCAACTAGCGCTTGGCACTTTGCCGCTCCACATATAAACTTATACCTTCCAGGGGATCACCAACTCTTTTCCAATTGACCGGGATCCTTTTTCATGGTTGATTATCATGTACGTGCAATTGGGAAGCTTGGGGCACGCACTGAGCAGCTTCCACCGCACTTGTCGAGGCTGCGCCGCAAGCAAACAAACAGACGGACGGGCAGCAAAAACCCGCAGCGGCTAGATATTGATTTCCCACGGGGGTCTACTAGGCCGGCTTTTCAATCACACTGCGATGGGTGTAGTTGCCTGGAAGGAGCTCGTCTCAACTGCCAGCCAGCGGAGCAACTTCGCTCGAGCGGCAGACTGGCAAGCCAGACAGCAACACCCATGATGTCAAATGCCAGATGGGGGGTGCCGATCCATGCTTGGATTGTGCATTGTACATGTTTCACTAGTTAGTCAAACCCGCGTGGAGTGGGTGAATATCCATGCCCTCGGCACTTGTGAGTCTAGTGCTGGTGCCATCGGACCACACATAGTCTCGTGTTTGTATGCGTGCGGCTGGAGACCGGTGCGGTGGGTGTCTGTGGGCGACCTGACCATTTTGGTGCTCCAAATCGCCTGGTATCAGTCATCGCCAGAGTGGGAGGAGGGGCGTGCGTGGGAGGAGTACCATAGTAGATCCTCGCAGCATTATGAAGTGGAGAGATAATTAGGTTGGGACTTGGCTGCTTGGCGGCACATGGAGGAAAAAGCCCTGTGGCCCGGCTAGGCGAGACGTGCATGCAATACTGATGAGAATGATTAGCAGCATTAATATGGCATTCGATAGTTTACTGGGGGGGGGGAAGCTACCAGACCAGTGTTGCTCAACTGGCTTCGCAGATCATGGGTGGCCAAGGCGGATGTTGCCTGTGTCCATGTTTTTCATGCCCATGAAGCAGGGGGTTTTCTCAGTGGCCAGCTCCGTAGGTGGGATAACTACCACTACTGACACACGGACAGGCTGCTGACGTATGGCTGTGGAGTAGGAATGCCGACCTCGGGAGTCTACCATGGGCCCCTTTTACCGGAAAGGGCACATGCGTCGCACTTTGGGACCAGTGACCGGCTTCTCCACCAGTCTGATGTGGTTGAACCAGCCCTGCGCCTCCTGGACAAGGGCGCGGAACGTGTCTTCGAAAAATCTCTTTGATCTATCATCAGCAAGACAGCCCTTGGCATTTCTGGGCTCAAGTGATATCACACGTCAGGATGTGGTGTGGTGGGGAAGCCGTTGCCAGGTGCACTGCCTGGATAGGACCAACGAGTCACAACATATGGAGCCTGCTATGATCCCAGAACCCTGGAAATCTGGCGGCCGTATGGCCTCTCTCTGGAGCACCCACCATCAGCTCCGTAACTGTGTTGGGTTTGTAGGATATTAGCGTTTGGGCTCTTGGACAAGAAAACCCAGCCGCACATGCACATGTCTAGCAGGCGCACGCCGGGAGCTGGCGGCGTGATGATCCAAGACAAACCAAATACGGAGTATGCCGAGCAGCAGCAGCGCTAATTAGTGGGCGAGCTGGTGCTGCGTGCGCCCCCACAGGCTTGGTTACGTGCGGCTGGACAGAGGCGCGGCCGCCTTTCCGCAGTGGAAACGAGCATGGCTGGGCTGGACTGGATGAGACGATGGAGCAAGCCAGATGCTAGCTGGGAATAGCTGAGCGAGGGATCGCTTACGCCCGAGGCACCTGTATAGGCGAGTTGCGATGGCCTAGCGGCGTCTTGCCAATTTGTCATGGTGGGCGTGACACGAATCATACGACACGGAGAGGGACCCGGCGGGCATGCGCCTCACGGCCATGTTGCCGGCACTGGCAGGCCACTGGCAAGCCATGCCCGAGATCCAGGCCGAGTAGAGATGCGCGTGTCTGTCTCGCCGTCAAGCATCCCTATACCTGAGGCTAGGCCCTGGGGCTTGCGTCTTATAGACCTGCACCACTGTATTGAGTTAGCCCGAGAGCCCTCGTGCACGAGGCATGATCTGGGCATGCCGGGTTCGTCTCCGCCAGACAACAAAGCAGCACCGAGACCAGCCCAAACGTGGCAGAAGAAAGTTCATGCTGCGGAGCCTCGAGCACGGTGGCTGTCTCGAATGTCGGTGACAGCTAGGCCGCCATGATGCGGAACATTGTTGCTGGCCACAGAGCCAAAGACAGGTCTGAGATGCGGAGCCGCATGCGCGAGCGTGCACGCACGCTGGTGCATCCCACGCTTCTTGTCATCTGCTGGCGACAAAAGCAAACCCCTGCTGAGAAAGCGTGGTGGCAGGCAGGAGAATCAAGATCGCCTTTGCAAGTAGACGTGGATGCAGTTTCTCCGTCAGGTAAACAACACGCATGTCAAGTCTGGTCTGGGCGATCGCTGGCGCCTGCCCTTGCGGGAGCTGATATCAAATCTCCGTCGTGCCTTCCCACCGCCGCCCAGCACCCGGCTCTGCTGCTCACCACGCGCCCAGCACAGCCCGGCCCAACTCTGACTTGCTCTCCGGCTGCGCGCTTCAAGTCTGCAGTCCTCCATTGTCTTCCCCTTCCCACACGAACCGCGTGCTGCACGCCCTCCCATGGCACAACCTCAGCATCAAATCTTCTTTGCGCGTCAGGTCGCGCATATCCAGACGGAACACACTGCTCAGCCTCCTGCGGATCCGGTAGCTGTCACCACTCGACCAACAACCTTCTGACTTCTCCCGACTGACGGCTGGACGTTCTCCCGACGCAATACCATACCTGCAACCACACTCGCCCGGAATCAGCCAGGTAGCCGGCACACACGTGCACAGGTGTCCATGACGGTGCGGAACGCTAGCAGAGGCAGAGGCAACGTGCGCGGGTCTATCGCGTCTTTACACCCATTATCGACTCGCTAGACTGCCCCAAAGTTCCATCCACGGGTAAGTGCGTGCTGTGGCATTTGTCGCCTATCGCAGTGCCCTCGCATTGCTACTTTATGTACGGATGCATGGCTTTGGTATATCAACGGTCGTGCGCTCCAAGATTCCACACCCTCCCACACCACCTACCTCAAAGCGTCGCTCGCATCCCCTGCCTCGTGCCCCTGTCACGGTTTTTTTGGCGCTGCATGGCCGATGGCACCCACCTGGCCGCAGGTCTTCCTATACTGAGTTAATTCCCATCTGGGACGCTTGGTGCTGCGCTCACCCCCCCCCCCGATCGCGTCCCCTTGCCCATCGTCCCCGTCGCCCCACACCGTCCAAGGGTGCCCCAGCAGTATTCCCCGTTTCGTCACGGCCCATGCCAGAATAACTTTCAGTCAGACTGGCGACATCAGTCTTTACGGCAAGCCATGCCATGACCTGGATAACCTTACGGCCAACGCCATCCCACCAACGTGCGCTTTTGGTGGTCCTGCCTCGTCTCTTATTAGCCCTTTGTCATCCTCCCCAGTACTTACATCTCTGCTTGTCCCACTCATCAAAACGGCTTCCCTCCCTCCACTTCGGCAAGCACCTGCCGGCAATAGCCTGTCTGGTCTTTTCTGCCTAGGATTCCTCACAGGCCGTACCACGCTTCCCCATACAGCGTGGATTTTGAGAACAGACATTCACTTCTTACCTTGACCCGTCATGCTTCTCCAACCCTGACTACTGTTGACCTGACATCAGGTTCTCCAAGGGAGAACAGCGACCCAATGATCGCCACTACATTTTTCCGCGAGGCTGACTTGGCGAGGAGCAGACCAGATCCTCACCTCCGCTGGCTGCCTCCTGTAAGCGAGATGACTGCAAGGCGGGAGCCTGATATGGCTGCTGCTCCCAGGGATTGGGACGAGTCAGAACGGCAGTACTGGCAGTCGACCAAGGTTGCTAGACAAAGACAGGATGCGAGCCTCAGCCAGGAGTACAGCGCGCGCCAAGAAGCCATCCGAGCCCGCTTGATAGGCATGTATGACCGCAAGTCACAGCTTCAGAATGAGTTACAGTCCATCAACGCCAGCATCGAACTGCAGGAGAATGAGCAGGAGAGGCTTGCTGCTGAGCACGAAGACAACTGCGTGGGACTGGCTTCCCGGAGGCAACAGGAGGACCGGGCTCAGCACGAATGGTTTCAACGAGCACGCAGAGAGCACCGGGTCGACAACACTGGCCGACCCAGCATCCGCCCGCAGTCTAGCGGTCCTCGTCCCGGCTCTGGAGGTAGTGCAGCAAGCACGGCGAGCGGGCCCGCAGCATGGACGAGCATCAACGGCGCTCGCACTCGGAATTCCCACGCACAGGGCTCCGAACCTCCCACGGATCCGGGCAACCTCCTAAGCAGCGTATTTCACAACCCCATGGACGAGACGGAAGCGAACGCGCGGTCCATGCCCTTTAGGACTAGTAAAGCAACGAATGACTTGGCTCACGAGCCGTATCCTTATGTCACAGACGACTATGCCAGCCAGAACAAGAAGTTGGCAGAGAGACCACTGAAGCCGAAGCAGCGGCACAGCTTGCCTGGGTTTTCAAGTATTTCTCAATCGCCTGGCTCTGCACCTCGTAAGTTTGCCCACATCGCATCGTCGAAGCTTCGGCACACTGACCCATTCCGTGCCAGCCTTAGCCGACGGCTCCGCTGCGGACATGAAAACTAGATCTCCGTCCGGCCGGAAATCCCTTCCTGGACCCAAGTCCTCTGGTACACCCTCCAAGGACACTTTCGATATTGACGATGGCCGTGAAATCACCAAGACTACTTCAACTTTGCGCGATGATGGCACGATCATTACTGCTCCGCCAATGTTTGCCGGCTGCCCGTTACAGAAGATTGACGAGAAGTCCGAGTATTGGGACATTGAATGGCAATCACTGGAATCGATCATACAGCCGCAGCTTGACAGATGGAAAGAAAAGCTTGTCGGTCTGAGACAAACACCAGATGCTGTGCGCCACACAGTGTTTCTCGCCAACCGTCAAGTCAACCGCGGTCAGGCCGTCATGGACTTCCTCGCTGACAAGGAATCCCCCTTTCACCCTTATCAGTTCGTTGGCAAAGACATGATGGCCAAGTTCTACAAAACTTTCATCAACTACGACACCATGTTTCGTCTGGTCAATGTCCACGAAGAACTCAAGAAATTTGACCTTGATGTATCCCCTCTAGAGTGGCTTCGCCAGAGGATGCACGAGATCGGGACTGCTCAAGGCGACAAGTTCTCGCTATCTAAGACGGTCCATGATCTATACCACGACCCCAAACTCAAGTATCTTCGCGAGAAGCATGGCTTTGGGAACATTGGCCGCCCCTCCGGCTACAAACTTGGAGAGAAGGCTCCCGATCGTGCCCTGAACAAGGGGAAGGCTCGCCGCGATGCCATCCTGGGTGATGGCTCTATGCGCAGAAGGGGACGCCGGTCGATCGGGCAGGTTGATTCGGAGGCTCCTTCTCCAGAACTGGCTTCACAGCAGGCTCACCACACGAAGCTACCTGGTCCTGACCAGATTGCCGCACAAGCCATGGCGGCAATGGACCCATTGGCGCCCAGACTGCCGAAACGCGCCCGCCTCGACGGCCTTCCCCTCCCCGTGCCCGTGTTGCCTCCTCGAGACCTGGAGGAAGACTTGGATTTCTCTGGGTACACCTCGACCGATTCTTTCTCGTCTGGCCGCATTATGCATCTCGATTGGCGAATCTATCAAGTCCGTACTCGCGCCATGACTACAAGCACAGACGTCACTCAGTACTGGACATGGAAGAACGACGCGAACAAATTTGAGCATCAGGTGCTCCGAGATGTACAGCCAAAAGTCACATGGGGTATATATCAGCGACCTCTCAATTTCAACGTGACTCTGGATGAGACGATCGAGATCCAGTATGCCAGGGATTGTCCAAAGATCGTTGTGGTCACCAAAAGTGAGAAGCGGGGCAACGTGCTGGCTCACTTCAAGAGAGAGCGGACGAAGAAGCGATTTTTGTCATTCGCGAAGAAGAAGGGTGTGAAGTTAGTCACGACGAGCCGGTAAGTCTCAAATGTCTTCACGACTACTAGAAATCTGCCTATTAACGAAAGAACAGTGCAATTATTCAAGAAATGTGGGACAGCATGGATTCAAGAACCCTTCCATCCGACGAGTCGGCTCCCTGACGCGTTTGCTTTGAACACTCCGCATGAACTGTGGTCAGTTAGGCCAGGCGTTTTGGTGTTTTTATTTTAAAAGTTCGGTAAAGAGAAAGCACCGCAAGGGCCCCCGATTTGCAGACGCTTATCTTTGAAAGCGTCTTGTTGTTTTCCAGTTGACCTCTTTCCCCTTTTTTGTCGCTGCTCCTGATCCACCTTCAGGGTCATTTGTTTGATACCCATGGCTTCCAGGACTTGCGAAAATGGTTCTGTTGCTTCGTGGCAAAGCGGTCAGATATCCCCCCAAGGTGGCACTTATTGCCCATGGTATGGATGGCGTTTGTATTTGTTTTCTGTAGAGCATTTGGTGGCGTTCCCATTGAGGAATTGGAAGATAAGTCGGTTATGCAATAGAATGTCACTTTTGTGCGCGCCCGGGTCCAAATACTCTCTGCAAGCAACTCTGTCCCTCATGGCTGTGCTCCAAGTCTTGCCGTCAAGTCCCGAATGATGATGTGTGCTCAGATGGAGTGGCAGCGCAGGCCGTGAGAACGATACCGTGCTTGTATAGTCGCACTGTGCGCGATAAGGTGGGAAATCTTCCTTGGATGCGGGTGCATTTTATGGTGGAGCCATGGTGTAGACAGACAGACAACCTCGCTCACAGCGTTCCTTGCCTGAAACCCCACGACAAGTAGGGACAGAAGCGACTGCAATCACCCGGCGCCGCATCCGAATCTCATAGAAGCAGCTGTGAACCGCCAGACTCGAGTCGCCCACAGCTACGACAATTCATCGCGAAAGTCAGGGTCCGTACCCATCCACTCGACGAAGACCTATTCGAACAGCTCGACCGCACAAAACGGTCTGCCTTGCCCGATCCGTGTTGCAGCGAACGTCCCGGGCTGTCCGTGCCACGAACAACTACGGGCGCCGATTTTTTTTTTTTTGGGTCAGGCGCGGCAACGATAACGACGACTGCCACTGCCGACGACAACGAGGCTCGCCTGCCTTCCGTCACCCCTCCCCAATCACGACCAGCGCTGAAGTCGCCCAGCAAAAAAAAACACTCTGCAAAGGGGGCCAGAAAGTGCTATCAACAGTAGCCCGTGGAGACGGGAAACGGAGACGAGAGAAGAAGAAAGAGAAGAAAAAAGAAGCTCAGAACTCGGAAACTCAAGACAAGATGCTTTACGAGCTGATTGGAATTGTAAGCACGCCGCGCGTCTATGCAGCAATCCTGATCTTTTACATGGTGTGAGGCACAGACGGGACGGGACGGGCACTTGTTCTTCGGAGACTGTTGGCATTGCGCCGGCGGGCCTGTGTTGGAACCGGGGGGGATGGACAAGTTGTGGTTGGCATGACGTCGAATGGATCGCCAACAAGATCGAGCTGCATGTGTGGCCGGAGCGAGAGAAGTCCTCTCAATCACGACTGCGGTTGCTGCCTTTGGAGCTCTGTGCTACACGCACCAGTCTCAGCGTGACGACCAATGCCAGCTTCCAGTTCAGGTTGCGACGACTACGGACTGGGAAAGGAGCGGAAGAAAAGAAAAACGTATAGACGAGGATTTGGCTAACGTGTTTGTTTGCTGTTGCAGGTTCGGCCGGGCAGCGCTGCAGAAGTCAAGGAGTAAGTCTAGTTCTCTCTGACAAGTCCACGTTGCGGGAGGCACAGCCATGCGCCCAAGGCGGAGTGCGATGGAGCAAAGCATCAGCAGGAGCGCTTGCGTCACGGGTTTGAGACGCCGCCGACGGCAGGCGAGGCGACCTTGGTAGCTCCAGAGATTGATTGGGTAGTGGGCACAAGCCGTCCTCATGTGATATTGACGGTTCTCGTTTGATCATACCAGAACTCTCAAATCACAGAGCCAGGCCTCGCCAGTCGGAGGATACCCGATCCTCGCCCGCCTGTCCCTCGCTGCCAGTTCTCGGCCAGCTCCACGCTCTCCCTCATCGCAATACTTGTCTTCTCCCTCCATCAGCGAGCTTGCCGACCTCTCGCATTTCATTTACATGGTCTCTCAGATTGCTAACCATTGCATTGTTCTTTCTCCCCCTTTTACAGAATCGTCCTTGCCACAGGCCAGCTGATTCTCCAGCAGCGCGGCGTGATCCGCGGCGTCTCAAACTGGGGCATCTTTGCCCTGCCCAAGCCCATCAGCGTGCACCAGATGCGCCACCAGACCGGCCACTACTTCGCCATGCGCTACGACTCGTCGTCCTCGACGCAGGACGCCGTGCGCAACATGCTGCGCCTCGACCCCCGCATGATCAGGCACTCGAGCGTCAAGATCGGCGATGGCAAGCTCGAGACATCGGCCGCCATCAAGGGCGTGTCGTGGCGGGAATAAAAAAATAAATAAAAAACAGAACGCGCCGCGGTGTTTTTAGTTGCTGTAACGTTTGTACGACCAGGAGAGAACAGCATTGAAGGGGGCCAGAAAGGCGAGGGCCCCGATGTCAAGAGGCGCGGAAAGGAAGCCAAGCAATCTGCATCCTCAGTGAAAGGGGGCATGCTTGAAATAACCTTGAGTCCAAGATTCATCATGGTAGCGGCCATCCGAATCATCACAAGCCGGTTTGGGGCTTCAGGGGCCGGAACAAGCCAACTAACCGTCATGGTGCTTCCGTCTGCATGGAATGGATGCGAAGGGGACACTACTTACGGGGTCTGGTCAACTATTGCAGGCCTCGAACCCTCGATAAGGATACAACTTGTACAGAACGGAGTTCGTTGTTTTTGAGAACTCACGGAAGGCACACACGCACGCCAAGGCCAAGTTCCTGGTGCTATTTGTTGTATGAATAGACAGTCATGATCAAAGAGACAGACACAGCTCGGACCTTCGTGAGACTATAGGACAATGAGATGGTCTTGATTTGTATTGTTCGTGTCATCATTATGTTCGTCCGGTTTCATATGCCCCACAAGCGCCGCCAGTTATGGCCTCATATATTTGATACCTGCTCCTGTCGCGGGGTGGCCTCGATTCGCGCGGATGCAGACATCAGGCGTCAATTTCCATGGCATTCTTGGATCGATACCACGCGACAAAGTCGTCGATGACACCAGGCCATGATCCTTCTGGGCTGTAGAAGCTTAACGACTCGTCCTCGGCGCTCTTGGCAGCGAATACCTGCACTTGCTGCCACATGTCCCTGCTCACCGACCTTGTCCATTTCTCCTCAAGGAAAGCTTTCCACTGTGCCAGCCAGTTGACGCCGCTCGTCCGTCCAACCCAGCTGAAGCCGGGTGCTGCAAAAAGCATATCCCAATAGATGGTGGCATTCTCAAGGGACAGTGCCCGCTGGTCGGCCTCCTTGCCAGCCACAAAAGCATGGCGGTAGACTTTTCTGAAGAGATCCGGATCCCTCGACAAGTTGCTCTCGAGCTGTGAGAAGTATTGTTTCTGTGAGCTCAGACTCGCTTCCGCCCTGTAGAGCCCGTTAGTGGCGGGAAAATTCTGTGGATTCGACTCGCGCATTCCGAACATAGCCTATGGCGCCACTTACGGTGTTGATGCCCATCCCTTGACGAAACCTTCACGAGTTATTTGACCAATATTCTCTGCTTGGACGAGTTCTAAGGCGATGAAGAGGGAGGCGTCTTCGAGGTTCGCACCAAGGTTCTGGAAATACGACATTGTCGAGTCTGCGTCGAGCGCATCTTTACTGTCTTCGGCACCTAGGATTGAAAGAATCGTGAGCACGCAGCCATTGAACAGATGATCACAAGCCACATACCCTTCAACTTGTCGAACAGCTCGTTAAGCTGTGTCTCCTTGCCATGTGCAGGTGCGCCTCCGGTGCTCATGAAATAACTGCCAAGCTTTCGCGTTAGCCCATCGCTTGAGGCCCGGGCTCCTGTGGCCGTCATGTGGACGGACTTCAATGTCTTCGAGAGAGTCCCAGTACATAATCGAGGACAGTGGGAGAACTCACGATTCTACAGCATCGTTGAGCTTGTAGCCAGTGCTCTTCAAGTACTGCAAACGAGAAAGAGAGCCCGGTCAGCCAATTTATATGTCAAACTAGAGAGAACAACCCAGATATCACAGGAACATCCTGATCCTCCTGGTGCGGGTCTCTCGAGGCCACCGACTCCAGCCTCGCGATTTCCTTGTGCTTGGGGAGCGAATGCTTCCACTGGACCACAAGCCCGCGACTCAAACACCAACGGGCACCGCTGCTGCGCGGACGCTCTTTCCTCCCTCGTTCTCTTCACCTCCCGAATGGAAACTCAGCTCCGGTCAGACATACCTTCTGAGCGACCTTGTCCGTCGTGCCGGTGATGCTGATAAAATTGGCGACGGCAGCCTTCTGCGAGCTACTAAGAGGCGGCATGGTGTTCGCTTTCTCTTTTGTCTGTCTAGTTGCGAGCGAGCGAGCGGCGCACGTCTATGCAGTCGTGCGCGTGGTCTATACGGGGGTTCGTGACAAGATCGTGATTGTGATAGCTGGTGGTGGCTATTGCTGCCGTCTGCACGTGTGCGTGTGCTCTCCGTCTTCTTGCTCGAGAAGATTGCCGGGAGCAAATCCACCACGTCCGAAAGAAACAGGTCGAGGTGGTGAAAATGGTGCTTCAAAGAGGCCGAGAGTCGGGTTGGAGCTTATCCGTGTCCTGGAAGCAGATCCGCGGTTGCTGGCTTGCTGGCTGGCTGGCGTGGTGCCTGTCTCGAGGGCACACTGTCGAAAACTGCTTCCTTGTCCTGCAGCGGAGCTTGTCTAGCTGTGTCGCAGGACCAGAGAGGTCCAAAAGGCAGGCGAGAGCAGCGCTTGAGTCGCAATCAGGCCACTTGACACGAAGGGGCAAGGCAGAGTCGCTGGGCAGCGTGGTGTCGTGCGTGGGGGAGCTTCGTCTGGAGTTTGCGATGGCCTGCCTATTCGATGGTGGGGTCGACTTCTTTCCCCCTCTGCCTGCCACTTGCGGGTGGCCCGCTCCTGCTGTTCCAAGGTTGCCTTCAGGGCCGCTCCGGTGGGACATATGCCTCGGGCCGGGTATCCACCCACCAGACGCCCACGTTGTGGTGGTGAGACACGCGCAGCTTCATTACAGATTGAGGGCTTACATCTAGTGTAGGTGATGTCATCACGAACAAATATCACATGAGTTCCTCACGATCCATACCGCCTGTTGGACAAACGACCGCTGCTTACGAACGACAGGAAATATCAGCAGAAGAGAACAGGGGTATCGCGCCCACTTCCCGCCCAGCTATGTATATACCTCGAGCATTCCAACTGCCCGTGCTTGCCCACGTATTCCTCCCGTCGCCAACCCGCAACCGTCATCTCCCACACTCCCGGCCCATCACCGACACTGACAACGACGAAAATAACAATAACTGGGAACAATAGCTGCAATGCAATGCAAAAGAGAACGATAAACGAGCAAACCAGCCACCACCCCTGCCAATAATCAGACACAACCCGCATGGCGTGAGCTCTTGGAGCTCTCACCCCACGGATCTCCATGCCCAGTACGTGCATCGACATTTCCACTCAGCAGCGAGCTCGGCCGTCGGGAGTCTTCGAAAACACTGGCCCCGTCCTGGGTGGAGACCACGGAGCCGGCAGCCTGCGTGTCCGTGAGTGCCAAGCCTGCCTCTCCAGCCTCTTCGTGGTCATTTTGCGAGAAAGCTACAGATGCCTGGGCCGACGACTAGTCGCCCAGAGGCATGCCCTCGAGCTCGTCCAAGAGGCGCCGCCAGTTGTCTGCCAACATCTCCGAGTACTTGACCCGTTCCTGCGCCCAGTCCTGGTTCCATCGGCTGACATGGTACTGTGTCTGCTGGAAATAGATGAGCTCGTCTCGCAAGCACTCCTTGACAAAGATGGATCTGTTGTGCTGGTTGACGATAGATTCCTTGTCCTGTATACAACCTCTAATTAGCACAAGCCTGTGGGTTGTCATTCCACATGGGGAGAGCTTGCTTACCTTGATGATAGCCTCGACGACCTTCTCAATCTCGCCAGGCTTGGCACCATCCGGCTTGGATCTCAGACCAGCCAACTTGGTCTCGTTGGACTGAATGCGTCGTTCCAGCTGAGGGATGTTGTCCCTGTCGAGTCGCTCCCGACGATCAAACATGTCCCTCAGGCTGACCAGGGCGTCACGCTGCCTCTTCAAGTCTTCCAGTACACCGGCATCCCATGCCTTGCTCTCGTCCTCCAGCAAGGACTGCGCGGTCCGAAGATGCTTACTGGTCGCTGAGAGGCCATCATTGAGCAACGGGACCTCATTCGTGTCTGTGGCGTATGTATCGGCGCTGGTCTCGAGCAGCGAGGAAAGTGAGAGCGCCAGGCGTGCATGGTCGGCAGCCACACCTTCAGTGCGCTTGACCAAGCGATCGAGGAGGTTGCATGCGGTAATGTAGAGATCGGCAGACCGCCGCACACCTTGACGTGTACGGTCGAAGAGCTCGCCCAGAGACTGAGGAAGGGACTCTTCCAATCCTGGGGGGAGGGCTCGGTCGGTGAATTCGTCGGTCACGGAAATAGTGGCTTGTTTCCTCCAGACGGAAAGCTCCTGGAATTTGTCAGCATCATCACATTGTGTAGGATGGCTCATTTCTCACACTTACGGTGGGCACAGTCAGGAACATGACCACCAGTTGTTCCTGCCCAAGGATAGGGTGCCTGACGACTGCGTTGAGATATCTAGCAAGCCCGCGCCGCCTCTTCTCAATGAAGCCGTTGTCGTTGGACAAATGTGTCCCATTGACCCCAACCCGCTTCGGAGGCAACAATGGCAGAGCTCGGAAAGGATAGCGCTTGTGCAAGCAGTCCAGCAGCCAGACAAAGTCGCTGTACCGCCGAATGACCTTGCTGCCCCTCCGATTACTCGTGACCTCGTAGTTGTGGTGCTGGAACATGAACATGCCTTCCTTCTCAGGCATCAAGGTGACGAGAATGTTCTCCTCAACCGCACTGCCGGTCCGCCCAGCGCTGATGGTTCGTGTGTGCGAGACTGAAGGCCCATTACCCGATCCCCGGCCTCCAAGGCCATTGCTCGCCGGGCCAAAGGGGCTTGACGGATTGTTGTTCACATTGTCACCAAACCCAGCCTGATTCGTGCTGCCGTCGAAATATCCCCAAGGTGCGCCGGGATTGGAGGGGACGGATCCGACCACGGGTTCTGGTGCAGGAGGGCTTGCAGATCGTTGAGTGGATGTGGTGAAAGTCGAAGTCGTGCGCGTGTGTAGGTCCGGTTGCTGCAGTGCTTCGTAGCCATTGCTGTCGCCGGCAGAAGTCCCATTGAGGCCCTGCCGGCTTGCGCGGGGTGTCTCTGTTGTCGCATGGTTGTGGTTTTTGTGCAGGTCAGGTGATGCCCACGGGTCGTCTTCGTTGACGTCCATATTGCCCGCTCCCCTTGTGGCAGGAGAGGACTTGGGCTTGGTTGGCGTGACTGGCGCCTGAGGAGGCTTGGCGGCAAGGTCGGACACGTCGGGAAGCTTGGGCTGGGTTTTGTTCAATCGCGCGGGCGGCGAGAGCTTCGGCTTTGGAAGATCTGATATACAGGATTAGTCAAGGCCAGCGGGAAGATGAGAACAAAAGCCTGTCGCATCAGGCCTGTTGTCACGAGGAAGAGATTGGACAGCGCTGGCAGCGCAACACAGACCCCCGCTAGCTCGCCCTGGGAGCTATGCGAGCTCTCATGCACAGGCCCGCTTTGATAAGCCTGGGGGCGAGCTTAGTGGTTGCCTGTCCGCCGACAGGGCCCCGAGTGGACCACGGCGACCAAGGTGACGACATGGGACGATGGGCAGCTCGATTGGCTGGTCGTGTTGATCAACCAAAACATGGGAGAATTGAGATCGAAAATGCAATGGTTTGAGGTGGGATGTGTGAAGGGGTAATGCGAGAATTGCAAATCCCCAGAAAAGATGGAATCAGAGAACAGGTCGCCATGTGACTTACTGCGTCGACGCTCATCCACGCCGTCGAGGCTGACGACCTCGCCCTCCTGCGCCAAGCCGATCATGGCAAGGAGCACGTTGAACTCGTTGCGTCCCAGCGACATATCCTCGTCGTCCGAACCTATTATGCTCGCAATGCGTGCCTGGTCGTCTGCATTGAGCTTCGCAGCGGCCAGAGTCTTGGTGATGCCTGCGACCGTGACTCTGCCATTGACGCCGTCGTCGGCAACGGCATGGTCGAAGACCTCGATGTAGCTGTCGGGCACCTCGGTCGATGCAAGAAGGCTCCGGAGCAGCTCGGCGCGCGACTTCTGCTTGCGGGGTGTGGGCATGTCCCAGGGCGACCGGGAGCCGCTGCCGCCGAGGTCGTCATCGTTGAAGAGTGTTGAGGGCGTTGAGCGGGTCATCGGGTCCTCTTCGCCAAAGAGAGAGTTGCGCGACTGGGCGATAGCCGGATTGCCGAGTGACGGCGACTCATCCGGGGACGTGCCGAAGAGTGACATTGTTCGTGGTTTCGACGGACGAACTGGCTTGTGAGACTTGGTGGATCAAGCTGCAAAGGTACCTAGGTGTGTCGGACGTGCGAAAGGGAATGGTAAGCTTCGCGATTAGTGTCGCAGTCGCGGCGCGCAGTAGTGGTGCTAGGCTGCCACCAAACGCACTCTGGCACGAAGAAACACAGGCTCGCCGCGACAGGAGCTTGCGCAAGATGATAAGAGGCAGCGCGTAGAACTCTAGCTGCTCATCGTCAGGCTGACAGCCGATAAGGATGACTCGGCACGCGGGGCCGGCAATGCAGGAGCAAAAGCAAGATGAAGACGAGGCAGAAAGCGTGGAGAATGAGGGGAGGCGCAGGCAAGGTGGTGGTGAGGACGACGACGATGGGGAATAAGCTCCGCATCGAGTCCAGCCTCCGACAATCGATGATACAAGACTCGTGGTGCTGCTCCCTCCCCGCTCGCTTGCGACGGGCGGGCCGGACTGGGGGAGCTGGCGCGCCGAGCTAGCGACGCTCGCGGCAGTGTGTGGGGGCGCCCAGCAGCGGCGGGCCTCAAGCACTCGGGTGCTACAGTACGTGCTTCTCGACTCCCTGCCTGGCTCTCAACCATGATGACCAGGTCACCGTCAACCATGCAGGAAAGCCATTCCTTGTCTCTATGCACATACGCAAATCTCCCGGTGTAACTTCATGTGTGGTATTTCGTGCCTTTGTAATATACACATTGGAGGACCTCCATAATTGGACACGAGGATTCTCGTTGTCCAAACCAGCCCTGCTCAGCTGGGTTCTTTATTGTACACACGAATCCGCCTTCGTAACCTCTGGATTCATCAAGCACGACCGTCAACACCCCCACAAGAACCACACTGCCACCAAAAAAAACCCATCTCCATCTCAACTTTGTGGGCAAGCCGATCAAGTCCGCAGCTTCTCCCAGAGCTTGACGTCTTCGACCTGCGCAGACTTGGCCTTCTTGCTGCGCTTCGCCAGCTTCGAGGGCGGCACCCTGAAGTACAAACTGGGCGACTCGCCCGGCTGCAGCTGGTGGCTCAGGTATCCCCTGTGCGCAGGATCACGGTAGTACTCGATGTCCCAACGCGACGTCGGATCGGGCAGGCGGTAGAAGAACCCTCCCTGCCGGACCTTCTCCAGCACGGGCTCGACGTGCTCGGGCCCGACGGGCAGCGGGAGGTCGGTGTTGATGCTCTTGCCCTGGACGAGCCTCGTGATCGATGCCTTGGTGTAGTAGCGCGTGACAATCTTGCCGCCGGCGGCCTCGATCGCGGCAATGGCCGACGCGGACGCCCGCGACACCATGATGTCGATCGGCTGCTTCAGGCTCTCTGGATTCCGCGCCAGCAGCTTGATGCCGTCCTTGATGCTGCCCACCAGCTTCGACTGGATAATCTCCTTTGGGGTAATGGGCTTGCTCGGGTCGATCCGCCCTTGGTCGATCCACAGCTGCAGCTTGTCGAGGTTCACTTCTGACATGACGTCCGCCCGGCTGGAACACTCTTGCTGTTAGCAATTCCGGTCTTCCTCCACGCGGCCCCTTTCTCAGCTGCCACCGTTATTCATGGAATCAGAGTCTGCAAGACGTACTGGTTCTTAAACCCCAGGCGTCCCCTCTGGAAAATCAGAGGAGTCTGACCACCCTGGAACCAAGGCTTTACTTTGCCATGCGCCTTCTGACCCTTTGTACCCCTGCCGGCCGTCTTTCCGTAGCCCGACGACGGCCCGCGACCGACCCTGATGCGCTTCTGGTACGCCTCCTTGTTGTCACGGAGGTCGGCAAGGATGGATGCACTCCTCCGAGGCGTTGTTGTTGTCGTCGTCGTCGTTGTCAAGGAGAGGCCGGCCACAAGGCTCGTGAGGGGCAAGGCGGTCCTGGTGCTGAGCGCCGAGGGCTGGGCCCCGGCAAGGCACTGGGCCGCCAGGCGCGCTGGTATCCGGGGCGGCATTGTCGGTATGAGTGTGAGGATGCGGTGGTGCAGGTTGATTAAGAGGTCGGGTCTGCAGCTGTTCTCGCCTGGTGCAGCGCTGCATCCAAAACTTGCAGAGAGAGGCTCTGGAAATTGTTGCGGCATCCACAAATGTGGCCCGTGCTCAGCATCGCTCACTTGCACCACACCTCACCCGCTCTGCAACAGAGTACAGCAGACCGTAACACTATTCCCTGCCCCAAAGGTGCTTGAAAGCGCAACATTACAATCCGAGACGTCTGTTGTGCAACCTCACTGCGAGACAGTTGGGCATTGACTGAAGCCCTCTGAGTACTGAACAAAATGGATCCAGTTACGAGCACTGGGAATTCCACGGCCCATAGAGATCCTTGCCGCATGAGGTAATCAACTCGCCTGGCCGTCTTATGATCTACATCCAACTTCCAGCCTCATATCTTTGTGCCTGCTTGACAGAACTCACAAGTCCCTCAGCAAGCGCTGCGGCGGAACAAGCCATGACTACACTGAGCCGACGTCCTTGTGCCTATGCGCCAAAGAAAGAAACAAAGCAGGCCCTGTCGTCGGCATGCATACCGACAGACCGGCCGGAAGTCCGTCGCCGTTCCGATGGCTCAGCGGAAGGCTCCGGTCACGATGCATGGCGACCACCCTTACTGCCCTCAGCACAGGATAAATCCCGTGAAAAAATAATTAGGAACAGAGACCGCTCAGAGTTCCTACCTCCTGAAATACCTCTGTAGACCTTGAGCGATACGTGCAGTCCGCCCCGGCGTGCTCACCGCTTGTGACTAACACGTGGGCCACGCGAGGACTACACTGCTGGGGACCAGTACAAAACAAATCAACTTTGTACATCTCGATGCCAGACAAGAAGCATAACACCACGGAAACCACCGTGGTGGTTGTCCCAGATGGCAACACACGACAGCCTCGGCATCCACAAGAGTCCGCAGCAATCGACAAGGACGACGTCAACTTCGACTACCCCGAAGGGGGCTTGGAGGCATGGCAGCAGGTCGCAGCGGGTTTCCTCGCTCAGGCCATGTCTTGGGGCTTCCCGACGACATTTGGCATCTACCAGCTATACTACACGACCACGATGAACCTGCCCAACGCCCAAGTCTCGTGGATCGGCTCGATCCAGACATTCTGCACGTACGCCTTGTGTGTAGTCGCTGGTCGGCTCTCAGATGCCGGGTACCATAAGACAACGCTGCTGGTGGGTTCCGTGCTGGCGGTGCTGGGAGCTTTCATGACGTCTCTGGCGACCGAGTTCTGGCAGATCCTACTTGCCCAGGGAATCTGCCAGGGAATTGGTCTCGGCCTCATCTTCATGCCCACCATCGCCGTCATGAGCTCGTACTTTTGCCAGAGGCGAGCACTAGCCATATCGATTGCCGCCAGTGGTGCCGCCGTAGGCAGTATTATCTTCCCAGCCATTGTGCAATACCTCGTCCCACAGATTGGCTTCCCCTGGGCAAGTCGGTGTGCGACGTTTGTGATGCTCCTGCTTGTGGTGGTCATGAATGCCATCTTCAGGCCTCGAGCAGTATCTCCTGTCGCTGAGACAGTGCCAATGCCCTGGATCGACTGGTCGGCTTTCACAGAGGTACCATTTCTTCTCATGCTAGTCGCGGCCTTTGCTTTACACATGGGTTTGTTCTATGTTGCGTCTTATGTAAGTCAGTCATCCGTCCTGTCAATACAATGTCATTCGACATGCTCAATGGACATGGACTTACCTACTTTTCTCCAGGTGAACGCTTATGCGGTCTCAATTCTTGGCTTCGACGCCCAACAGGCCGTTGTCCTGCTTCTGGTCATGAATGCAGCCAGTGGTCCGTCTCGACTTGTCTTCGGATTCGTCGCTGACCGCTGGTGCGGACCTTTCAATGGCCTCATCTTCTCAGTCGTGATGATGAGCGTCATGATTTACGCATGGATCGGGGTCGTAACGTCCGCGCAGATCTATGCCTACGTCGTATTTTTTGGGACTGTGCTTGGCCTCGTTATGGCGGGGTTCGCCTCCGCGCTGGCAGCACTCTCGACAGACCCGGCCAAAGTCGGTGTCAGATTCGGCATGACGCTCTCCTTGCTGTCCTTCGCCACTCTCGCCGGCCCGCCGATTGCCGGAGCACTAATAGATCGGGCAGCAGGCAGTTACCTTGGAGCTCAGATCTACGGCGGAACGGTTCTGATACTGGCTGCAGCCATCATGGTCTGCTGTCGTGTGTCTATCACGGGCTTCAGACTTTGTGCCAAAATCTGACAGATGTCTTGTTGGTGTGTCCCGAATCTCTTTTCTCTTCATTCAACATCTGGACCTATGAGCTCAAGCTTTTTTCATCCGCCGCGTACACACATGATCGAACACACTTCGTCACGCACGACGTTGCGCTCAATAGCCACAGAAGTGTTGTTTCTGACATCAAGCTTGCTGCACCTGCTGGGCTGCCATCACTGGAGCGAGGAGTCTGTGTCTGCCGTGGATTTCGAAATCAAGTTCTTGCAGACCTCGCCCAGTGGTATCCTCTTTCTCCGAGATCCTCCATTTGGCACAGTCGCTGCTTCGTGGATGCGTGCATCTTCGCCTGGTGACGGGGACTCGACAGGGCTCTCGCGACTATTGTGCACCGATCCGTCCGGCCTGAAAATTTCCCCTTCGTGCCGATGTCCTCCTGCCTCTGCTGCTTTTCTGGACCTCCAGCAGTCATGACAATCATCGGTCTCCAACAGCGTCGTTCTTATCGAGACTAGCGGGCATGGACTCTGATCCAGTGACACAAGCATGCGCGATGCCGGAAAGTCGTCGCGAAGTAGCGGGTTCTCTGGCAGTGTGTGGTCTGTGAAGGTGGCCGTCTCGCTACAGCCGCATCGATAGATGAACCAGACTGCGCAATCTAGAGTCTGACTGCTCTTGGCTTCGTTGCACTTCATTGTGCGTAGCGTAATAACGTGGACAATGGAGTCAAAGGTCATATGTTGCGGGTTATATACGTGGACTGCGTAGGTGATCTGGTGCTTAGAGACAATTATGGACGTGTTGTACAGAAACGTCTGAAAAGCACGAAGAATAGTATTCGTCGTTCTCTCCGTTTGTTCGGGTCGTTTCGTCTGCCAATCTCAGGTACCTGGAGGTAGGCGGCGGGCCTCATGGTTGACACAGCAGGAGCGAGTTTGCTGTCGCAGCTCAGACATCAAGGAAGCAGCGATGGGCCGCTGCACCACCCGAGAGAATGCAAACGTACGCGAGCGTCGGCGAATTCCATGCGTACTGAAAGTACTCAAGATGCGATTCAAAGGACGCCTTTATTCCTCATAATTCCTGTGAGAGCATGCGCCGAGAAACCTGAAAACAAATGCAACTATAATGCAGCACCTCTACCGCCCCCAATGGGGCGAGAGAAGACCTGGCCGCGCAACTTCCGTCTGCACCAATGCGCACCCTGCTGTATGACATGCCACACCGGCAGAACATTAGTCCTATGATTCCGAGGCTATTGTCTCAATTGTACGAGCGCCATCATGACTCCTCGAAGATAAGGGCCTCGCCACGGCGTCTCTTTGTTCTTGGCTTGCTGTAGGCACGGCTCCCTGCTCTCCATCATCTCTATTAGCCGCAGCCATCGCCGTCCTCTGCACGCACGTGCTCATGGTGTCAGCCATCCGCATGGCGTTCCGAGCCATGGAGATCGCCGCCGCGCTCGAGTTCGACCGGGCTCGGGACGAGCGTGCACCTTGCGCACTGGCAAAAGGCTTCCGCTGCAGCCGCTCGAGCGGCACCTCCGTCTGGCCCGTCTTGACCTTGTAGCTCGCGAGGCCGAGTCGTAAACGCAACATCTCCGCCTTCTGTTTCACACAGAGATATCAAGTTAGCTAGTCGGTCCATTACAGAAGGTTTGGAATAGCTCCGTCAGGTCTGTAAGCAAAGGGAGGCCACTCACCACGCGTGCCTCCTCTCGCGTCATGGCACGTCGCCTCCGTGGCGGAGGCGGCGATGATAGTAGAGCAGAATGTGTTGTCGTCATGCCGGTACCCTCTGTCCTGGCGTCGTTGTCAGGTTCCGTGATGTTGGTGACCTGGGTGATATCCAGAGACGACTGGTCGAAGAACATGGACGAGTCGGCCGAGTCGGCGGGTTCTGGTGACGGCGAGCATGCCCTCGAGCCTGACGGTGCCGGAACTGCCGCCCGGGCGCCTTCTATCCGCTGCGGGGTACACGTAGCAGAGGAGACCCGGTCGTTCTGGTGATTTCCGGCACGCGATGGTGCCGTGGGGGAGCTATCCAAGCACGCCTTCTTATCACGCCCAGAACTCGTTTCTGAGGAACCCTCGCTAGAGACAAGGGCACGCTTGAGCGGCGAGGCCAGCTTGCCTGGGACTCGAGTGGCACAGGACGGCGACTTGGAGTTGGCATCGATTGGAGCTAGAGCTCTTCTTTTGGCGGGAGAAGCCGCCGAGGTCTCCATGGCGATGGGATACGCGTTGGCGAGGGGAAGTGTCGAGGGAGATACACTCGATGTGTTTGCAAGGCTGTATCAACAGGCCTTTGACCGTCTTTGTGCCTGTCCAGGTGTTGTGGCGCGGACAAGAACGCGATTGCAACCCCAGGGAGCGTGGTTGAGCCGAGTTGAGTCCGTTCGGCCTGCTGCTGCTGATGGGCTGGCTAGCTTGTGTTAACAAAGGTCAGTTGCGTGTCAAGCTGTGCAGTCGGACATGAATAAAGTGCAAGCGTACCGGAATGCAACGCGTCGTGGTCTGTGAAGAGAGCAGGAAACCACAGGGTCGGGATTGCTCTGGCCAAAGGTCTACCATATATTATCCGTGGTAGCTCGTCACGAGTAAATGGGAAAGCCAATGGTCCAGGTCTCATGCCAGCCAGCCCTGGCAGGCGTGTGCTTCCCGCGCCGCGGCGGCGGGGGGGCGGCTGTGGGCGGGACCCCTTGCTGGGCTGGGCGATCCACACCCACGCACGACCAGCACCCGGCAGCGCGTCAAAACCGCGTTTCTCCAGTGGCGGGCGGGTTGCTGTAGAAGCACTCTATTTATTGTTTTGGTTGGGTAGTGCGGGCCCCCAGACCCCTGTCCCGCCGCCGCCGCCCCATGGCGATCACTTATGCAGGTACAAAACTTGGATAACGATTTAGCGCCCTAGGGACGTACTTTGACGCTATCGCCCACAGGCTCACCCAAGAAAAAGGGCATTGGCCAAGTTTCTTTAGTATTGATTACCTGCAGCTGCAAAGAAGCCAGGATGCTCGTCTTGAGGTGCTTCGTTCCGGCGGAGGTTGGTGGGTTTGGTTGCCGACGACGGCTCAGGGTCACGGGCGTAGCGTGCTGAGCCAGGTGTGGTCGGCCATGTATGTTATTGCACTACTGAGCCAGCAATAACAAGTACCGGTGTTTTCACTGCTGATGGACACATTTCGGGCAGATCACGCACGCTGCATGTTTGACAGTACGACTTCAAACTCGATTTGGGGGTATATCTGGGCTGCGCCAAAAAGCCAATATGTCGAAGAGAAACAAATTCCACCAGAAACCAATTCCGATCAACGTCATAAATCCATGTCGCCCCTCCAATGCTCGTCCGCGCTGATTTCCTGGTACCCGAGACACAACCTCCCGAAAATGCTCCAAACAGATCATATCCCTCAACGCCATCGCCATCTCCAAATTCCATTCGCCACGCCATTTTCTTTTGCTCCCGACCTCGTCTACTTCCCGTGTATACATTAAAGGCCTGACCCCGCGCCTAGCTCGCTATTTTGACGGTTTCACGTCGTGTCAAGTGAATACAAAGACGCGTCAAGCGTAAAGGGCTTGCCAGCATCCAACGAAACATCATCCCAATTCGTGAACTCCGCAAACTCGTCGTTTCCAAATCCTTGTCCGTTGCTCATCTGCATCATAGTGTCGACATCGGTTGCGTCGAGGTTCATGTACTGATCGCCACCAAAGGGCGTCCACGTGTCAAAGCCCATGTCCAGCGTGACATTGAGCGCGACACCTTCTGAAACATCACTGCTTGGATCCGACGCGGTGCTCTCCTTGCTTGTGCTCGAGTCGGGCGTGTCATTAGGCGTAATGGACCGATACACGCTCATGTTGGAAATGGCGCCACCGCCACCACTCTCGAGGAGTCCCAGGGTCGAGAAGAGATCTTGCGGGTCGATCGTCGCTGCTGACCAGGACTGATCCATTGCCTGTGTGTCCATCTGTGTTGTGTCGACAATACCATTCGTCCCTTGGTTTGTCTTGGACGATCCGTTTCGAGCAGCAATGTTCTTCATCAAGTCGCCAGATTTCGGCCCTGCCGTACTTCCCTGTCTCATCATCGTTGAGGATTGCGAGGCAGGAGTTCCTGCAGGGGTTTGGGCCTGTTTGGCGCCATCCACCCCGGCGCCCTTGGGCTGTCCATCGGCATCAATACCAAGCACCGTAGCAAGATTATCCGCTGCGAATTTGAAGGGATCCTGATATGGCTTGGTGTGCTCCTCGTCTACATGCTGTCGTCGAGCTTCCTCAGACGCAAATCCCACGATGTTTGACTCGCATCCCTTGTGAGGGCAGGAAAAGTGCGGCTTCGCCGGCGCCTTGACTTCCGCAGGCGTTGCCTTCTTGACCATTTCCGCCGAGGTCTGCTTCGACACCTGAGGTGACGAGCTGTTACTTTGTGTGGCAGAGTTGGCTCCACTTGCCGTCATCTTCGCCCTCTTCTTTGCTGGCAGCTGAAGGTTGTCCTGAGTCACAGTCGGCTTCCCGATATACGTCGGTTGACCAGCCGGAGACTGCGCACCGATAGGAAACGGTGGCTGCGCTGTTGTCGGTGGTGGTGGAGGCTGACCACTCTTGCTTGCTGTTCGCCCATGCGCTTTCGGAGGTCCAGAAGCTGCCTGCTGTGCTGGCTTGTCGTTATTTGGCGCAGTCACGGAAGCTTGGGCAGCTTGCTGCGATGTCGTGTCCGGCAAATTCTGTTGGCTGGCATTCTTCTTCAGCGCTTGAGGATATGAAGCAGCCAAGTCCTTCGCCATGCTTTCCAGCATGCCTCGAATACTGTCCACATCCTCAGACTTGATGGAAAATGTGTCTCTCAAGGTCGTCATCTTGTCATCAGTAAATTGCCGCAGTAGTCGGTTCCGCTAACGCCTTGTTAGTATTCTATGTAGAAGTCATACGCAGCCTGGTGAGTAGATGACTTACCTGCTTGAAGAACATCCTAGCACGTGCATCATCGCGGGTAAGACTGTACCAGCGGATCAGAGCCTTACCCAGTCGGCCCATTTCAACAGTGATGTGCTGAAGCTTGGCGCCCAACTCTTGGTGTTCTTGTGGGGTCATAGGAATATCCTGCAGTTGTACATTGGAGAAGAGCTGATATTCCTCAAAGCCCATGGCACGAAGATGCGCCGCATCCTCTTGTGTCTGCGTCGGCGCCTGATTCTGGGCTGCGTTAGAAGCCGGATTCTGCTGCTGACGACTTCGCAGCATTGCTTCGTACTTGGCTCTGCTTTCCGGGCCCATCGCAGCGAGTTGCTGAGGTGTGAGGTTGGGAAGCCCTCCTAGAGGAAGATTAGAAGCGCTTGCGGGTTGCTGCTGTTGACTTGCTGGTCGCTGGACCACTGAACTTGTCGCAGAGCTGGCATCAGTCATGTCGTCAGTGCTTGGCCGCTTCAGTGGGTTCTTCTGCGGTGGTGCGGGCGAAACGTTTGGCTGGGGACGACTATTCGCAGCCTGCTTGTTATTCTTGGGGGGACCCGCAGGCATCGGTGCGTTGGCAGTCGATGCAGGAGGCTGCGCCTGAGGCCCGACATTGCTGACCGGAGGCACTTGGTTTTGCCCGGGCATCAGAGCCTGTTGAGCTCCAGGCACAGCTGCCTGGTTCTGGCCTGGTTGGGCTTTGCCGCGCATCTTCATATGTATGAGCATCTGTCTGATGCGCTCTTCCGGCCAACCTTTGAAACGTTCGTGATTCTTGGCATTTTGCATCTCCTGGGGGGTGATGACGGGCTGAGGACCTGTAGTCCCAGGCATGCCGGGATTCATCGGAGGTTGCTGCACCAGACCTGGGGCTCCAGGACCGACAGCAGCAGGTTGAGCTGGCATGTTGTTTTGTTGCAAAGCACTAATCTGAGCTCGGTGCTGCTGCTGCTTCATTACGGCTTGGAATTGAGCCGTCTGGTAGTTGCCAAGCTGCTGGATTACCGTCTGAGATGCATTGTTTTGCGTCAGCCACTGCTTGAGCTGGGCCCACTTCTTGATCTCGGTGGGCAATGCCGATGCCATGGTGCTCCGAATCTGTTCCATTATCTTGACTGGAACATCCATGCTGTCCATCACCGTCATGGCCTGCGGCGGGGTCCGGCCGGCTTGGCCCGCGCTATTCCTCAAGCGCTGCAGGAGAAGAGCCTGGTTCTGGGCGTTCATGGCGTTGGTGACGTTGGGAGGTGCAACATTGTTGCCAGCCTGAGGGAAGGCAGTGATGGGGTTGGGCGGCGCTGGTTGCCCCGACTGTGCAGCGACTGCAGCCGCAGCGGCGGCATGATTCCGAGCCTGCATGCTGCGGACGTATTGCACAAGGATCTCGTTGAGCTTTTCAGGAGGCATAGTTTGGAGCTGTTGGCGCTTTTCTGGTGGCAGTGTTGACATGAACTGAGCTAGAATCTGTTGGCGGTTCATCTGGTTCATAGGTTGCTGCTGCTGCTGGTTGCCGAACTGCGGATTAAACCCAAGCCCAGAAGCAGCATTGTTCTGACCAAGGGGCGTTTGCCCTTGACGGACCGGGGCGTTGAGAGTGTTCATCCCCTGACCTTGTGAGACGACTGTCTGGTTGTTTGGCACTCCAGCTTGACCCTGCATTTGCTTTTGGGCTTGGGCCCTGATTTGTGCTTGTGATTGCGCAGCGGCTTGGTCCATCTTTAGCTGAGCCTGGTTCATAAACTGTTGCTGTTGCTGTTGTTGCTGCTGCTGCTGCTGTTGCATTTGTTGAGGTCGAGCGCCCTGGTTGCTCGCTGCGTTGGGTCCCCCCATATTGCTGCCCATGGGCTGTGGTGTTTTCTGCGGATTCCCGGGAACCACCATCTGTCCATTTTCTTGCGCGATGAGTCCCGCCTTTTGCTGGCTCATTATGCTTTCCGTTGTGAATGGTCCGAATTCTCCATTTGGACCGGGGATCTGCTGCTGCTGCTGGCCCATCTGTCTCTGTGCTTGTTGCTGCTGCAACTGCTGCTGAGCCTGTTGCTGTTGCTGTAATTGTTGGAGCTGTTGTGGCTGAGCTCCGGGCTGAGATGTTTGCATCGTCATAGGCGTCGCGTTGGCGCCTGCATTCCCGCCCGCAGCTGCCCGCATGCTCTGTATGATTTGTGTCTGGAAGAAGTATAGTAGAGGATCCATCCCAACTCCTTGAAGCTGCGCCATCTGTTGTGGGCTCATTCGTTGTTGTAGCACCATTCTGAGATGATTCCGTTGTGCTTCGGAGGTCGAGTTGAGCTTGGCCACTGCCATTTGATGCACTCTGGACCGGTCCTGTGGTGGGATGCTGGCAAGAGTCATTTGGAATCCGTTCGGCGGCCGCATCTGACCAGGCCCACCCATCTGCAACGCTTGCTGGTTAGGGTTCATGCCTGCTAGTGCCGCATTGTTCATGCCCATGACGGCCTGTTGCTGAGGCTGTTGGGTTTGCTGCTGTTGTTGCTGAGGCATCTGAGCAGCCTGCATCTGCTGCTGCAAATGCGCGAACCCTTGCTGGGGCTGTCCGAGGCCTCGTCCCATTTGCATTGGATTCTGCTGCTGCATGAGCAGTTGAGCCTGTGCTTGTGCTTGGGCCTGAGCTTGGACCGCGGCTTGGGCGTTGAGACTGTTCTGTAGACCCTGCTCGTTTTGCTGGCGCTTTCGGTATAACTCCTGGATCCTGCCACTGAGCTTGGCTTCATAGGTTACCTTCAAAGCTGAACGTCAGTGAATGTGCGACACGTCAGCGCGGCGTGCTGGAGACAGACCTTGTCTGGAGAGTTGAGAAATGCCTCTCGCTCGAAATTGAGACCGTGTTGCAAGAGAGAGTGGGTATCATGCTGTGGCATGGCAAGGAAAGAGCTGCTGATTCTGTGGAGGTGTTAGTTTGTCATGGTAAAAGTCGATGCAAAATGCAGTGCTGGGTGTGGAGCGACTAACAGAGCTCCAGTTTGTGACAACCGCTGGTTGTCTGAGACTTGGTTCTGCCATCCATTGGTGGCCGGCCGGTTCTGGATCTGCTGCTGATAAATGATGGTCGACAGCTGCTGCTGGGGGGGACGCGCGACTCTCATGCCAGCTCCTCCTGCACCACCTCCACCCATGTGCGGCATTGCAGCGGCCATGGCCGCTACGAGAAAGCTTGTTGACCAAGTCTGCTATTGAGGGAGACGAATCCGCCGTGCTTGTGTGTGATCCAACACAGCGTTACCACCCGAGTCCTTGAAAGGACTAACGGTTCCGTGGGGGGCTCGTGGTAGGCCGCCAGCCGCCAAGTCGACGATATTTGTTCGAATGGACGCTGGGCGAGGTCCTGGTGACGTCAAATCGTGTCATACGCAGCAGCCGAGATCAGTCCATGCGAATCGATGCGTCAAACTTTGCGCGTAGCCACAGCCGGAGTGGTGCACAGGAAGTCCGGGACTAATCAAACGTCGGTAGCTTCGGACTGAGGGGCCGTCCTTGGGAGAAGGGTCTCTGGTTACAGGCTGCTGGTAGTGTTTGCGAAATGATGGAAGACTCGTGGTACGAAAAGGTGGCGCGACCGGGGTTGCTTCGCAAGATGCGTTGTCGTCGAACGAGGGACCTTGGAGCTATCACTGGAACAGCAGCTGATTGCGCTTTTGGTCACTGGTCAGGCTATTACGACACGGTGTAAACTGCAGCGAACGTCCAGGATTGCCTAGGATGCGAGGCACTGTCAAGCAATAACGTCAGTAGGTGGCTCGGAAGAGGCTAAACACGTCTGTGATAATAAGCAGTTGATGAGCACTGCGAATGCCGGCTTGCCTAAGCTTAACCTGCAGTGATGATTGTGCAGCGGTTGTGCGCTTCGTCGCCGTGACGCGCGAACAATGGGGGAGCAGGATAGCGGGGAGGTGGCCGGCTCACATCGAGAAGCAAGATCGTGGTGGACACGGACAGGCGCGACGACGGGACGGAGACGGCGTAATGGTGAATGCGGCAGATGCGCGCTTGCAAACTCGAGAAGCGGTCTGGGAGACAGGTTCGCCTGGTCGTCGAGGCGCGTGTTGCGACGACAAGGTGGTATGGTGTAAAGGCAGAGCGGCAATGGAAGAGAGCAAAGGAGCAACGATGTCCAACATGACAGAAGGAGACGAGGGTGGGCTCCGGTGGAGCAAGCCTCTCTGCCTAGAGCGTCGCCCAGGCAGTGGTGTGTGGGTTCTGTGTCGTGGGCTGGCCGGCTAGGGTGACAGGGCGCCCGCCGCATGTACTGCGTTGGGCGCGGCACTGTGGCCATTCTTAAGGTTTGTGCTCAAGTCCCGGAATCCCCCCCACACCCTACGACAGGCATCGTATGGTTTCTCCTTGACCTGCATCCAGAGTCTGTACTACTAAGCGCCTCACTGTCCCCAACTGACCGCCGGCTTTGCAGCCTTGCCCTGCCCTGCCAGGTGCTCGTCTGTCACCCTTGAGCTGCGTGCACACCGCACCGTCGTTGTGGTCAGGAAGAACCTCCAGGGACTGCCGGCCGTCCCCTTGCCGCCAGCATGGTGATTGGTGTTTCGCGGCAAGGAGCTGGTGGTGGCCTTGGGTTGCGGTGAGGATCGTCCTGGGAGAGGACGTCGTCCCTGGCATGGCATTTGCTTCAAGGTTGGCGGGCAGGGCAGGGTAACAACCTTGAAAAGCAGTGGCAGGACTCTGGTCCGCCCACAAGATGAGCTTGGCGATGATGCACGCGTTCCTGTGGATGCTGTCCGTCCTGCCTGACGATTCTCGACCATTTCTGGAAGAGGCACACGCTCTACACGCGCAGGTCACCTCAAGCAATCCAGGGAAGAATGTGGCCTCATCTGTCATTACAGCCTACTCTCCGGGACAGCTTTCATGTCAAGATGATTGTGTGCCAGCCTGGAGGGAATGGGACGTGTTGACAAGGGGATATCATGCTTCCTTGATCTGCTGGCCCTGTCGCGCATTCTCAGACACAGGTGAAGACTACGCTACGTAGGTAGTGCTTCTCGCGGGCATGCCTTCTGCGCTTGAGCTGACCATGCTATCTGAATTACGCACTCATTATCGGCAGGGATGCCTTCAGTAAACATCACTCAAAATGTGCCAGGTGCTCACCTCGTGTCGGCCATGCCCGCAGCCTCTCGCATCCTTGCGACAGCATTGCGGGAAGACCCAGGCCATATGAGCCCTTTATCAAGACGAACCATGCTCGAATGTGCAAAAGCGCGTGTGGCGATGCTTTCGTCCGGCCGAGCTGCCTCTCGGCAGCCGGAGGCACTCGATGTTGGGCTGGAGGTGTTTAATAAGCACCACAATTATGCCAGCCACGTCAAGGGACTGGCATTCAGGCGACATGGGTCGCAGCACGCGCAACATCTGGCACCGCAACCACAACGAGACTGGGCAGCGCCATCTAAACCCGGCTGGACCACCATGACCCTGCAGCTGTCAGTCCCTCTGGTCTGTAGGGTAGTAGCGCATCAGGTTTTCGACGAGCAAGACGACGCGTGGCCGGCTTATAAGCCAAACACTCGGCCAGCTACGTACGTTACCCACTGTCCTCAATCCTCAATTCTCAATTGCCCTCCTCGCGTTCTTGCCTGAGCTGTGGCTCATCCTCCACAGGCCCACCTCGAGTTAACTAGAGCCGGGGCAGGAGAATGGTGGCTGTCTCGACGGCACTCCTAGCTCAGAGCCTCGCAAGCGCCTCCCGGTCGCATGGGCCGGCCGATCCTCTACTGTGGCGGGGCGCTAACGACTTTGAGAAACCTATCATCCACGGCACAAAGGGACGAGGACGACCTGCCACAGCAACCTTCTGGCTGGCTCCCGGGCACAGCAATGCAGCAGCGCCGCATCTTGGGCCATCTGGGAAGACATTGATTCCCACGGTACGAAGCGGTTTTGAGATGGACAGACAGGCAGTGGTCAGTGTAAGTACTGCGTTGATCATGCGCCCTCTTTTATTTTTCCAAATCATGGAAGCTGTACTGTTGACGAGCGATGGAAATCGGACCCCTGTTCCTCAAGGCCGCTGCACATGCCACTCAAGTCTGCGAGTATCTGACTCAAACTCACACTTTGGTGTATTTGAGGTGCCGTGACATTGTTTGGTCTGGGCATATCCACCTGTTTTCCACGGTTGGCCGGAGGCATTGCAATGTCATGCTCCGACCATCCAGGCACCCTGATGAACCCTGGCCGGGCCTAGCCTCGTCAGTCGTCTCACGCCGAGCCCTGAGCCACAACGCTCTTCGCCGCGGCGACACAAAGCAGCACAGCTGGTTGCTGCAGAGAACCGCCTCACGCAACCACGTCAATGGCAGTTTTCGAAATCCAGCAGCAGGTGCAATAGTAAGTGACTCGTCATTAATGTCCCTCGCGTGCTCAGTCTTTTCCCGCCAACTTGTCGGCCCTCTCCACCTTCATCATTACATCAGGACAAAAACACAGCAAGCAGGTCATACTACAAGCTCGCAGGTCGACCGTCGAATAGACAGCTTCCGATCTTGGCCTAGCAATGGCATGGACAAGTACCGACACCAACGAGCAGAATTGGCCACGTACAAGGTCCGTTAGTCGCAAGGCATGGCAGCTGGTCAGTCTTACTGTACGTCTTGCACCTGCGCACATGGTTGTTGTCCGCTTCGTGACGGACGGCGACTCCCCGGCCACTGCTAGCCAGGGTCCTCATCCCTCAGAAAAAGAGCCCGAGTAATGCCGAGACCAGATTGACTGAAGGCATTTTCATCTGACTACAGTACCATTCACCAACTGCCCGCAGATGATACCTACTGGTGTTTTGCGGCACTCAATTGTTGGCCATCGCCTTTGTGTGTGTGCGTGTGTGCGTATTTGAAGACGATGCCGGGATCGACAATACCCTGCCCAGAAACCTGATGTGGCGCGATCTGCAATGCTGGTCCACAGTCCCAGCCAAAGTCGTTACAGTACACCTGGGCATACTTTACAGCTCGTTGTGAATCCCTCGCTCACACAGGACAGCATGATCGTGGGGATAACATCTCGGCCGCGATGCACGACATTTGTGCGACCGACCCGTGCAACTGCTTCTCCGCAGCCAGTCTGTACACCCAACGGCGTCTCAAACGTGTTTGGCGGCGGCAGTTACTCCTTGCATGTATCAGCACCCCGATCTCATTCACGAACCCATGCTTGCGAGCCCCACGTCAGGTTTACGACAACCGCTCGAAACAATCTGCCCACTGCCCACTGCCCACTGCCCACTGCAGCGAGAAGGGATCAGGGTCCCGGGTGCTTCAGTAGCTCAGGGCATGCTAACATTGCTTTTCTGGGCATTTGTTTGGGGGTTCCTCTGTGCCTTTGTGCGCATGGTTTGGCAGAGTCGTGTTTTTGGCCGTGATCTGCCCAGATGCCTAAGCACGCTCAGTAGCGTACGTAAGCGCATCTAAAGGGACGCGTAGGTAAGCGTACGCTGAGGTTGTCCCGTTGAGGATCTGCAGCGTCATGTGCGATGCCGCGCACACTCGCTGTGGCAACCCAGGGAGGAGGGTCACGACTTGTGCCAGAGGCTGGCGCAGATCAATGCAAAATGCTCAACTTCAGCGGTCGCCCACCACGCCGCTGCTAAGCCTGCTGCGCACGTCCCCGGCCAGATGCAGCGAGTGAGCACAGGTACAGCTTTCAATGGGCAGAAGAGTCATGAGCACCACCACCACGTCGTCTTCGTCGTCCTACTCCTCCTCCTCTTCCTCCAACAATAGCCAGGCAGCCTCTCCACGCACCGGCGCGAGCCGGCCGGAACAAGGAAACAAGAAAAGGGCATGCGCCAGCCAGTTGGACGGATGGCGGACAGTTGAGGCGCCCCGTGAGAACCTGTCCTGCCACTCGCCCCCGGCTATGCCAAATAATGCCAGGGCCCCCTTGCCTCACCAGGGTCTGGAGGGCCCGAAGGGGGCCATGCCCAGGCCACCCATTGGCTCAGTCTTGATGGTCACTGGGTGCACGGGAGCTGCCAGGTTCTCCAGCTTGTACACCGTGGCCGGCTCGTCGTTGTTCTCACTGTACACAATGTCTCAGTTGTTGCGTGGGGTTGCCATGGTACACATTATGGATGGGCCCAAGTCCAGGCCATTTCTGGATCCCCCCAAACGGCCTGCAGAACGGCCACTAGCACGCACACACCCACCAGCCAGTCAGCAACTCCACGGTTTCGTGACCCATCCAGCCCAGTCTGCCTTTTAGGGCGGTTTTTTAAGGTTGTCGATACAGAGACAATCAGCGAGGCTGATCATTTGAAAGACTGGCAGTGGCAAAAGGGTCCCAGATTGCCGCGCCCCGGAGGAAAATGGTCGTCTCGGTCTTTTGCGTCCTCGTCCGCTAGCAACGGCCCGACCAACTCAGCCCGAACGGCTTCAGGCACGGCGGCCGGCCACGAGACGCACAACTTGGGCCGCCACTGGGGCCATGCTGCTGCAACGACGTGTGCAGATATCACATGGACGAGGAGCAAGTCAATTTCGAGCTTCTCGACGCATGCATCCAGCAAGTCAGGTCGCTGAACATCGCGAGGCGGCTGGGCAGCTTTCGACAGGCCTGCTTGAACCTTGGGCCCGACTCCCGGGGTCTTGCTTGGTTTGATCTCTGGCATATTGTGCACCGTGATTGCACACCTGAGCATCATTCGCAACCTCGGCACTCCTGTTCTTGCCATTGTTGAGCTAGGCCCCTATGCTTCCGATTGAGATTCCAAGTTGCGCTCCTGTTGTTCGCCCAGGTGAGCTGAGACGAAAACGTACCTGGATGCGACGCCTTTGCATCAACCGAAAAGGTGTCGTGTCGGCGGAGCTGTGCCCAACGGGACTGAAGAATGTCTGCCGGGCTTGGAACTTAAACGGATGCACGTAAATGTGTATTGTGCAGCCAATGCAGTGCCCTTGACATGAATGTGCTCAGACGGGCGATCATGGTCGACTCCATTGGGAAGGCTGACAAAACACGACTGCCGCCATGAGGGCAGGATCGTTCGTGAGACCCATGCCATGCCCACGGCACTTCTTCTTGACACCACTCGGCTGGGGTGTGTGTGCATGGACGTGCGCCACGCCAGTTTGTCGACGTGTTGGAGTGCATTCTCTCTTGCAACGAGCCCGGCGCGCAACCCTCTGATACCGATCGACATGACGCGAGTCTTTCCGCACATAAGTCATTGGATTGCAGCATCATTATCGCTGCATCATCTCACTGTGTCGTCTTTGCAGGGGCCAAGGCCGCCATATGCGCGAGGGTCTCTGGCGCTTGCACACCTTGGAAAGAATGATGTGTGTGCCCCATGTGACTTTCAGCTTAGTCCACGCGCGACACACTCGTGATTCACCGGCGGGCATCATGACAGGGCGACATGACGCCTTTGCCTGAAGCCAATCCGTTTGAGCCACAAGACTATGGCGGGCACTTGGGATGTGCCTGGATTTCCGCAAAGGCGAGCAGCATTCAGACCTCGAACGGCTCAACCGCAGCGGCACTTTGCACATCTTCTCATCCTCGCCATCTTCGGTCTGTCATCCATGCTGCCTCTGGCCGGAACCGCCTCCAGTGGGGGAAAGCAGGTTCGACAAGCATCCAAGACTGACAGCATGGGCTGCTGCATTCGACCGACTTGGTCAGAAACGAGAGAAGGCACTCATTCACGCCTCTGATGCTTGGTGCACAGCTGCGCTGGGGATTCTAGCATACAGCCGAGACATGCGGCGGCTGGATTCGGCGTGTGTGTCTCTTGTCTTTCTTTAAAGGCTAGAGCTTGTGACGGGGCTCTGGCACAGAGTGAGGCGCAAGTTCCGCACCAACCGCTGCAGACGCGGGCTGGCATGAGACTTCGCTGGCAAGAATCGGCACCAGCGGTGAAGAGGAAGCGAAGTGCATATGTCGCCCAGTATTTTGCCTCAAGTCAAGAAACTCCCAGATAGTAGCGGTCAAAGGCCAGAGCTTCCTGCATACCGGCCAGCGACTCGCAGTGCAGAACAGCGCACAGAGTGGCGCTCTGAGGACCGAGAGCACTGTTGGAATGAAGGAGGGGATGATGGATCGCCTGGTGGTGGTTCGGGTGCCGGCGGAGCTCCACACCTGCGGACCTGCCAGAACCTGCCGGGCGGCCCTCCCATGCCACGATAAGATAACGAGCCACTATGCCGCGATGAGCTTAGCGCCAGCCTTTCCCCATCGCCTAGGCCTCTTGTTGGAGACTTCCCCGCCATCGACCAACCCAGCCAGCTCAGGCCCTCTGGAGACAGACGTATGTCGAATTGTCCTTTGCGCCTCTACAACCGTCCCGGATGCCCCCTCGAAACCTGGCTCTCCGTTCCTGCAGCTTTCAAAGACCTCTTGCAGCCCTCCGTGCTCCCCCTGTCGTCTACTTTCGTGCCGCACACAGCTTGGGCCAGCGACCACGGCTCGAGCGCCGCCTCGTCACTCTCCCCCGGCCCCAGACTCGCCTTCTATCCACGCCGAGCTTGAGATCCAAAATGGCCCCTCCTCCTAAGGCTGCCCTCGACTTTCTTGACTTTGTCAATGCGTCGCCCACTCGTGAGTTCCCCCAAGCATACACATCACGGCAAACACGAGCCCAAGTACTAGGCCGGAGCCGGACTACTGACACTTTGGCTAGCCTACCATGCCGTTCAAGAGGCCATCCACCGCCTCGAGGCGGCCGGCTTCACTGCTGTCAAGGAACGCGACAATTGGTCTTCGACCCTCCGCCCCGGCGGCAAGTACTACATGACCCGCAACGCCTCAACCATTGTCGCCTTTGCCATTGGTGCCAAATGGAAGCCTGGCAACCCTATTGCCATGATTGGCGCCCACACGGACTCGCCCTGCCTACGCCTCAAGCCCGTCAGCAAGAAGTCTGGCTCTGGCTTCCTCCAGGTCGGCGTCGAGACGTACGGCGGCGGCATCTGGCACAGCTGGTTCGACCGAGATCTGTCCATTGCGGGCCGCGTCATGGTCAAGGACGGCAAGGGCAACTTTGCGCAGAAGCTCGTCAAGGTCAACCGTCCGATAATCCGCATCCCCACGCTCGCCATCCACCTCGACCGCTCGACCAACTTCGACCCCAACAAGGAGACGGAGCTGTTCCCCATAGCCGGCATGATTGCCGCGGAGCTCAACCGCACTGGGCAGGCCGAGACACCAAAGACTGAGGAGAAGTCCTCCTCAGAAGAGTCCTTCACGCCCCTAAAGGAAATGAGCGAGCGTCACCACCCATACATCCTTGAGATCGTGGCTGAGCACGCCGGCGTCAAGGTCGAGGACATCGTCGACTTTGAGCTCGTCCTTTACGACACCCAGAAGTCGGTGCTTGGCGGTCTCAACGAGGAGTTCATCTACTCTGCCCGCCTGGACAACCTGAACATGACCTATTGCAGCGTGCTTGGACTGATCGAGTCTCTGTCCGCCTCGAGCCTCGATGACGAGGCCAGCATAAGGCTGATCTCCTGCTTCGACCACGAGGAGATTGGCTCGACGTCCGCCCAGGGTGCCAACTCGGATCTGCTGCCCGCCGTCGTGCGGCGGCTGTCAATCCTCGCCGGTCGCGGCCACGGTGACGCTGCCTCCGACAAGTCCTGGGAGCATGTCACCAGCTCCGACCCAGACATTGACCTGTCCACCGCTTTCGAGCAGACCATGGCCGTCTCGTTCCTCGTCTCCGCCGACATGGCGCACTCTGTCAACCCCAACTACGCCGGCAAATACGAGTCGAACCACCAGCCTGAGATGAACAAGGGCACTGTCATCAAGATCAATGCGAACCAGCGCTACGCCACCAACTCCCCGGGCATCGTGCTCCTCCAGGAGAGCGCCAAGCGCGCGGGTGTCCCGCTCCAGCTCTTCGTCGTCCGCAACGACTCGTCCTGCGGCTCGACCATCGGCCCCATGCTGTCCGCCAAGCTTGGCGTGCGCACCCTCGACCTGGGCAACCCCCAGCTCAGCATGCACAGCATCCGCGAGACTGGAGGCACCCACGACATTGACCATGCCATCAAGCTCTTCTCCTCTTTCCTGTCGCACTACACCGAGCTCGAGGCCAAGATCTTTGTCGACTAGAAGCTCAGAGTGAGAAATCAGCGGAAATAGTACAGATGCATCCAAAAACACAACAACATCCACACAATAAACATACTGCTCGAAAAAGAGAGTCACCACAACTCAACATTGTGTTAATCATGTGTATTTAATTGCTGTGTTTTTTTTATGCTCCTTGGTCTCGTGAAATGTGTCTAACGTGGAACAAGTGGCTGTCCTCCATGAGTTTTGCCCGGTCATCATCCGTCTCTTCACGGGATTTCTATATATACGAGGTCGTGTAACGTAAATGTCCTGCCGTCATCGCCGGCTGCCTCCCCCCCCCCCCCCCCCCCATTCCGACCTCCTACTCGTGAGCGACTCAAAGAGGCCCCGACGATTTGGTATCTTTTGATTTCGATGAAAGATGATGACGATGGTGAAGAAGATAATATGCCCCCCCCCCCACCTCCAACGCCGGTCTGAAAATGGTATGCAATCAAGTCAAATTTGTTCCCACCATGATCACGTGGTTTGTGTATGTTGACGAACCCCTTTCTCGTGGTTTTTTGCTTCTTCTTAGGCCTGCCGGCTGTTCTTGAGCAGATCCTGCAGATATTTGCCAAATGACTTCTTGTCGACCGCCGTTGTCATGGAGCGCAAAAAGTCGTTGCCATCTGTTCCCAGAGCCGGGAACAAGGAGGCCTGCAAGTGCTGAATGAACCGCTCACCAGTCTTGAGGTAGATCGCTTGCTCGAGGCCAGCGATCTCGTTGAGCACCTGCTTGGTCTGCGCATCTGCCCATGGCTTGAATTGGGGGTCCCGCAGCACCTCCCAGCACACAGCATGGAAACGATCGATTAAGAACTGGTCAAAGCCCGGGATCGTCGGCGCCGGAGATCCTGTGGGAGCAGAGGGATTGGCTGAGATGTTGGCAACGTCGGCGCCTCCCCACACGTTCGCCATCTTGGTAAGAAGACCGAAAGCAAGACGGCTTGCCGCTAGGTTGCCCGAGGCCGGATCAATCTCTCTGGCAAGACCGAGAATCGAAGTGAAAAGCGCGTCAAAGAAGCCCTGGTTTGCCTCGGATATAAGGACGCCTGCGAGATCATTATTCAAGATGATGCCCAAAAATGTTAGATACTCTCGACGAAGCTCAGCGAGCTGAATCTCGTCGTCGGTGCCACTGATGGGCTCGGAAAGACCACCAAATATCCGTTGGAGGAGAGGCGTCAGTAGGAGGTTGAGAACGTCAAAGATTTCCGACTTGAAGCCGTAGACGACCTGGTCAAGCAGGCGCAAGAACATAGCCATCTCGTCCTTGGAGGAGCTCTGGGACAGGAGGCCCTCGATCCACTGGGGCAGCTGGGGGAGAACGGCTGCTCCGAGAACGCCGAGCAGGCGCGAGAAAGCAGACCGGCAGGCTGTTCGGATTTCGGAAGAGCTATTCAACTGCCCAAGCGCAATCAGGATGGCCTCGGCGGCGCGCGCAAACTCATCCGAGAGTACCTTGTCCGGAGGGGCCCGTTGAGAGGAGCTATTTGTGCCCGGCATCCAGTCAGAGAAGCCGTGCGCAAGGGTGCCAAGGGCCAGAATGATGTGATGGATCTGCAGTACAGCTTGTGCGTCGCCAGATTTTGCCTTTGGCAGGTATTGTTCCATGTCCCGAAACAAAGGTGTCAGAACAGATCTCGCATAAAGAGCCTGCTTGTCGGCAGGTGTGCTCGATGTGGACGAGACACAGCCAATTGCCTCAAAGAGGTACAACTGGCTTGTGAATACAGCATCGGCAGAGTTATCAGTCTGATCAGATGACATGTCATCGTCAGCCTCATCACCGGGAACTTCCGCCTTGATGGGTAGCAAGTCGCTGATGGATTGAATTATGGTCTCGGCGACGTTTCCGACCTGCGCGCGAAGATGCTTGACGAAGCGGTGAAACAGGTACCATGATCTTGTGCGAATGCGAACATGGTCGTGGTGAACCAGGCGAACAAAGTTTTCCAGGACTGGCGCAATGAATTGTGTCTGTGTTTCAAAGAATGCACAGTAGCGCACACAGATCTCCATGTATTGCAGCAGAATAGCAGGGTGAGGAAAGTTTGCAATGCCTGAAGTCAAGCTTGTTAGCATATCGGTCATATTTTGGAAAGGAGGCGCAGGGGGGTGACGCACCGGACTGGACCATCTTGGTCATCATAGCCATGAGCCGTTCCGAAGCAGCAGGATTCGGTTGGCTCTTGGCATTAAGTCCTTGGTTTGGCATCGCAAGTTCTCCGAACAGGAACATCTCGTGAAGAGCAAGGTCCACATCTCTCCAGTCCATACTCGAACCTTGCTCGTCCAGCCTCTGGAAGGTATTGGCAACCACGTTGCTCAACACGTCAATGTACAGGTTCTCGTCAACGGCCGCCACACTCTTTTGCAGTACTTGTAGTCTCTTTCTGAGCTCCTGGAACTCGGCCTCGTCTGTCTGCTCGTCTTCGTTGCCCCAAGAACATGTCTCGTCGTAGCGCATCTTCAGAATGATTGCGTCCAAAATCGGCGGCAACGAGCCCGAGAACGCTTCGGGCAGCTTTTGGAGTCGCCGGAGATACGTGAGCACATCCGTCAAGGACGGGATGACTGTTGAGCAGATTTCGTCGTACTCATCCGAGAAGAATCGCAGGAGGAGTGGGATGAAGTCGTGGAGTAGCTGATTCGCCTTCGATCTCGTGTTGTCGTCGGTCGCCTTGTCCTCCAACACGCGCACCAAGTCGGCGGTAGTAGTGTTGACCAACTTGGCGACGGATTCGCCCAAGTCTGTGTCGTATCGTGGTGTGCCCTTCCACTCGTTCAAGGGCGGGCTCGCAATGAGCTGAGAGATGATTTCGCGCAAGTTCAAGAACGAGATCATCTCGGTCTTGTCTGCTGGGCGCATCTTCTTGCCAACAATCTCTGTGAATGCATCAACGGCGGCATGTCGCACCTTGTCTTCGCCGCCAGCTTCATTAGTGCGACCAACCAGAGGCAGGATATGGCCCAGCATATTATCGCTGATAATGAGGGAGATATCGATCCAGCTGGCCCAGCGTCCGATGACTTTGAGCGTCATCTCAATGATGGCATCGTCCCGGTTGGCGAATTGGGAAAGAATGTCCTGCCATGACTGGGCAACCTTTGGCACGTCTCTGGATCTCAACAAGTCCTTGAGCTCAGAATGCAACCTGGATTGGTTGTCTTGCCGCATTACGAGCACGTCGGCGATCTCGTCGTGAATGGATCCGAGAATGCGCAGGTACATGACCACGCCCAACGCGTTGTCTCTTGCATTGCTTCCGGGAAGAACGGTCAGTGCCAGGAAGTCGTCGATGGCGCTGTCCCAGCCATGTTGGTAAAGAGTGATGAATAGCGTTGTAAGGGTTTGCGTGAGCTTGTTTTGTAAGTTTGCCGGATCTGCCTCGGACGGCTGGCCAGATCCATAGGTGTTGCGCACGTACTCGAGGAGCGAGTCCTTGAGGTACGTCAGACTTTGTCCATCGAGTGCCTGGATTTGCACGGCATTGTTGACGATCTCAAGGGTGACGTGCCGAACGACATCAGAGGTCTTTGGTGTCCTTGTGAACAAGGTCAGACATGCTTGCCATGCTTGCGGGTCCGATCGAAGCTGGTTTAAGAACTCGAAGGCCTGGCCCTTGAGGGTCTGGTCGGAAGATGGATTCCAGGCTATCTCGATGGCATTCTCGATCTAGACACGGAGAGTATTGTCAGTCTGCAGGCCTGCTGAAGTGATGTGCACCTGATTCTTCATGCTGCCCCCCAAACTAGCATGTTGGTCACAAGGAAAGAGTCAGCATACTTGAGATTCCATCTCGCCCAGAACCCAGATCCAGGGATAAGATCCAGGCTCAAATTTGGATTGCTTGCGGCTTTGCTGACTGGGGATAGCTCTGCTTGCTGGTTGCGTTCGGCAAGCGGTGTGAATTTCGGTCGGCGTTATACACAGACGATGGCCGCTACCTGTATGACATGTGACGCGGCTCGAAGAGATGAGCTTGCGAGTGACTTGAAGATCGGGACGGTTCGGCTGTTGATACTACAGTGGTAAGGCGGCGTCTGTGATAGTCCGCCAAATCTGTCAGCATCGCGCTAGCTCGAGGTATAATAAAATGATATGTATCATCAACAACAGATGGTTGGGTACGGGCACCTACCACAGTCGAGGTCGAGAATGTGCTACGTAGTAAAACGCAGCGGGTAACGTCCTGAGTGAACCACAAGGCACCACCGACACGTCGGGTGAGTATGGTTCTTGGGACGTCAGGGCGGGCACTGGTTCTTGCAGAGCAGACGCTGTACAGGCCGTGGCTGTAGAGACGAGTTTGCTGGGTGGTGACCGAACTCGTGGCAAAGTCAGGATGGTGAGACGTGGTAACGGTTCGTCCGGGGGAGGGGTAAGATCGAGCTGCACGGAGTCGGTAGTCGATCAGTCGGTGGGAGACGGATGCCTGTGACGTACCAGGGCAGTGGAAATGTTTGCCTGGGTCCCGGCAGTGTTGAGTGTTTCGCTGGCGGTCTGGCGAGGGGTCGAGGTGGAAAAGCAGCGGAGCACAGGCGGCGTTGGACGAAGTGCCTCGCCCGGCTTTCTGTGATGTTAATTAGGCCGCGACCCACACAGCACGAGGCACTGGCGGCGGGACAACGGGCACAGTTCTCGGATGGCAGCTGCTGGGAGCTCGCTCAGGACATGGGGATCTCCGAATATGCATGCACCAAGAGAAAGAGAGGTGGCAGAGCAGCAGTTGCCAGCATTCACGAATTCGTCCTATGCGTGGTCGACTGCCGTCACCACAAGCTGGTTTGGGCCGTACCGCTCCAGAGATGCAGACCCCACCATGGGTCAATATTTGATGCTGCAACTGCCTTTTTTCAGGGCTGGAAGTGCCGGGAGCCAGGCAGGCGGTGAGGGGCTCGGGAGCTGGACCTCGATCACTGGGAGGGGCAGCTCCATTGTGCGTTTCTGCCCGCCTTGACAGGCACTGGACCCCTGCCACCATATCGCACCTTGTCTCTGTCTTATCACGACCACCCAGCCGGAGCATAGCCTTCCACGACATGCATGGTCCACCCATATTCGGAGGACGTCGACGGCCATCACTGGACAAGCCACGACATGCAAGTTGGAATATCCTGTCCACACACACACAAACCAGTTTTGAGTGTACGTCAGTCTCAACGATCTGAACGCCGACTTCCAGCAGTAACACGTCGGGTCTGACGTCGTCAAGCATCATGAGGTCCACCGAACGGATGATGGCTGTTGCGCTCCTTCAGATTTCGTATCTCGCGACTTGGCGATCTAGCCGTGGACCTCATTGATTATGCCAGCAGCAGGTTCAGAGACGGCCTTTGAGCTGTGAGGTTGGGGGTCATCCCAATGCTGTGGCACACCCTCACAGACTCCCGAGTCTGTAGCAGTGCGACGGAAGGCCGTCACCACGGGGCTTGAGGTTGATGAAAAGAAATTTCAACCACAGATCTTGGATGGACATGGGCGGATGGGTCACGACGATGACTGTCCCAGCTTTACCGGTAGCAGCGCGACACTCCACGTGAATCTACCTGGGACGCTCTGGAAGGACAAAACTGGCTGAGCTGGTAACCTAATGAAATAGCCCTCGAAGTCGGATCACGAGATGGACTGCACGTGTCATCCTCAGACAGTGATCTCGTCAGTCTGAGCCCCGAAAATGCAGCATGCCTTATTTGCAACACATGCGCTGTTGGTGGGTTGCTGAACGGTATGCGAAGCAGCTGGGCACAGTTCCCTTGCCCATCTTCTTTACACGACCTGGCTGTTTCCAGGCCACTGATGAAGGGCGTGCGGGAGCGTAAAGCCCAGGACTCCATGGTGGTTCATTGCAACACCATTTAGGAACAAGTGAGTAGATCGCAGGGACCTCCTCTGAATGCCTGTTATTCGAAAGGGACACTGAAGAGTAATCGACTTTGCGCGTGGAATAGTCGGCTGGACTGGCAATGGTACTGATAATGAGTGAAGAAAGTCGCAAAATAGGAGGATCAGTTTGTCGTAGGTTGCACTATGGTAGATCACCGGCAAGCTTGGTGTGGTGTTTGTGGTCGGACAGTCAGCCTGACCTGATCGGAGAATTATATTGGCGACAACCGTGTCTCTTTCCGTGGCAGTATCAGTGAAGACATCCGCTTCGGGTCATTCCACCAGCTCCCGACTGTCCAGCAATCATGACGCCATCTGGACGAGCACGGTAGGCGGCTGCATGTGGGTGTTGATCGCAACTTTACGCTTGTCGCACGATTGAGAAACCCCTGTCGACCACTGGCAGCATGGCAGAAGTAAGCGTGAGATCGTCTGCCGATTGGCTAATGGTCCCACTGAGCCTTCCGGCGATGCAGGTGTTTTGGCTTGTGGTAATCCCCATCAACCGACCCTGCAGGTGGTTTTGTTTTGTACCCGTACAGGCCCGTCTCGGCTGTTCTTTTTTTGGTCTTTTCTTTTTCTTCTTTTTGGTCCTTCTCGTCTCTTCTGCTTCGCGTCCTCGGGCTGCCCTGAAACACATGTCTTCGACATGGTCTTGCACTATGCATTGCTTTCTGAATCAGAGGGTCACAGCAGGACGACGCCACTTTTCACCGATCCCGCGAAGCGGGTCATGCACCCACAGTCCGCGCGGCCAGGTGCCAGAGATCATCGGATGGCAGGCGGGACAGGTGAGGCGGGCACATCAAAGTCGGCTTATCGGCCTCTGGAGGGCGAGTGCCTTTGCTCAGTGCTCTATGAAGCTACTTGGCGTAGTTGACCCAGCCAGCCAGCTTGCCCGCTTGCTCGGGACCGTGTTCGCGGCGCGCGGATGGATGATCTGTCTGCGAGTTAGCATGGCTCATCGGGCCAGGAGGCTCTGTTCGTCGATGGCGAAGGGCCTGAAGCGAGCCAGGCGAGGAGACACCCGGCTTTGCCTCAGACTCTGTACAGGCGGGGGGCCTTTCCACAAGGGGCAGGCGAACGTTGGATGCCCGGTTCGGGCTCAGGCCAGGCGGCGGCCAGGCCCCGATGCAGGGCTGGGATTGCTCGAGTTTTGGCGCCCAGCACGCGAAAGGCAGCGCGCACTGCGGCAGGGGCACACCAATCGTGGCGCGCAGCCCCTGGATCATCGTTTCGGCGGCGTTGTGTTCCTGCATTAGCGCGGCAGGGCCTCCCACACCCCCAATTTGCCTCCACCAGTGGCAACAATTTACCCCTTTGGAGTGAGCACGCGATACCTGCCATCACAGTAGGCTGTGCTGTGGGAGTGATCAGCGGCCCTGAGCACACCATACCAAGTAGATTGGCTGGCAAATGAGCTCTGATTTCGCCTTATGCTCCGGCCTCCAGCACAGAGAGTTCTAGAGGCGTCCGGCAAAGGCCAAGGTACTTTGCTACCCGGTATCTCGATGAGCTGTGGCTGAGGTGAGTGCTCAACCGCTGCTGGTTGGTTGGCTGGCCCCCCGGGATGACGAAGCGGCGCTGGTGCGCTGAATAAGAAAGAGGCGACAATCGTCTCAGCGCGCACGCGTCCTCGAGTGAGGCAGCGCGTGGTACATGGCCCTGCGTGAGATGTCTGGCTTGTGCGTGCGTCTACGGGGCGTTATGCATGATGCTGGTGGCTTGGACCAGATCACAGCATCGCAGCGTGGCGCGCGCTTGTCGTTTTGGACTCGATCACCGCCCGCTCTGCGCCTTCTAGCCTAGAAGACTCATGATCCATAAGCATACGTGAGACACCCTTCACTTCCCGGTGGACGACAATGGCCTGCAGTTCCGACCTTCTCACAATCTGGACGGCAAATGTACTGTTCTCGGAAAATCGTGGCAGCTGGGCTGGATGCGAAGCCCGGCCCGTCTTTTCCCCCCCTCCTGTAGCAAGCTTTTTCCCCTTGTGCTCCGCGCACGTTTTGGGTGCGATGGCGCAATCATGGGCACTACTCATGCTTGGCATGGGTGGGCTGCTCGCCGAGCCACGGTAGGTACTTCACGTTTCGGTACCTCTCTTGGAAAGACGATGTCGACGGGCTTGGGCATGGTCGTGGACCTCTGGGTCCGGCGCTGTTCCAGGTTGACAAGCCCACTCACAGATCGATTCGTCCACCACGCAAGCCTGCACTAAGGAGACGCACAGGCCAGGAACTCCTATAAGCCGCAATGTGAGCGAGCAAGTAATACTGCAAAGCCGATGTCCTTTCCGACCGGCATTAGGGTGCAACGAGCAATCCTACTGGTTGGCTGCTAGGCGCCTCAAACGAGCTCGCAGGCCAATGGTGACGGCGCTTTGTAGCCTCGCAACATCTGGCAGCCCAACAACATTGATGAGGACTACAGGCACGGCAGGAGCGACAGCTTCGCACTTGGTCCGTCCCTACGCGCAAGATCCAACACTGCACATGTGCTTCAATGTCCAGCTCATCATACATGGTCCTCCGGGCAAGGGCAATGCCGACATGAATCGAGTGCGCCATGGCATTGCGTGGAGCAGGCGAGTGTCGAGCGTCCAGATGGGCCTCGCATGGAGTGCATACAGGCGGTGCTTGGGCCCACCGCTCCTTATTCTCCACCCGACCACGATACCAGGATCCACGGCCCCCAGCGAGCATCCCGGCGCGGCTTTCCTCGCCCGCGAAATTGGCCGGCACATGGTGGGCAGGCGACGCCCCTGGACCTGTGGCTCACCTGGCTCCCACCTTTGTGCAGTGCATGCTCCACCGCGAAAGTGCTTGTCACGCCCCTGTTGGACCTGGTCGCGCGCGAGGATGGCGCTGGTAATTTCCCAGGGTCACGATGCCTGCTCATCAAGCTCCACAACGCTTGCCCGAGGCGGCGCCTCCCCCAAAGCCGCCTCCCCAAGGCGCTCCTTTCCCAGATCAACGCTCTCGAGGCTATTAATATGCGTCCTCGTCCTCCCGACCTGGACAGCTTCTTTCTTCCCTTTCCTCCTCAGCCCAACAGCCAATAACTCACAGCTCTGACCTCGGTCGTCCATTCTTTCAACCACGCTCCAAACAGCCTCGCCGCTACCACGCTCTTTTAAGCACCCATATATTTAATTCTCGTCTCTTCGACAGAACCAACCCCCCAAACAACCATCAAAATGCGTTTCGCTACTGTCGCCGTCCTCGCTGGTGCCGCCGTCGCCAAGGCCGCCTACCACGAGTACCCCGCCTACCCCGTCGCGCCTGCGCCCACCACCACCACCACTCCCGTCGCGGCGTACCCTGAGTACCCCGTCGAGACCTCCTCCACCGCCCCGGTTGAGTCGTCCACCACCGCCCCCGTCGAGGAGTACCCCGTTGTCACCCCCTCGTCCTCGGCCTCGTCCTCCTCCGCCGAGTACCCCGTCTACTCGACCGCGAGCGTCTCCAGCAGCGCCCCCGTTGAGGAGTACCCCGTCGTGACTCCCTCCTCTTCCGCCCCCGTCGAGTACCCCGTCTACTCGACCACCAGCGTCTCCACCAGCGCCCCCGTCGAGGAGTACCCTGTTGAGACTCCCTCTTCGTCCGCTCCCGTCGAGTACCCCGTCTACCCCACTGAGGGTGTCTCGACCTCCGTCGTGACCTACTCGACCTGCGTCCCTACCGTCTCGTACTCGACCGTCACCATCTACCCCACCACCTCTGCTGCTACCTACCCCGTTGGCCCTACCGGCTACCCCACTGGTGGCTTCTCTACCGGCGCTTACCCCACTCCCTCGTAAGTTGCTTGTCTAAATATCTGGCTGTGCGTGTATAACGATTCTAACATGGTATCAACAGTTCGCCCGCCTACCCCACCGTCCCCGTTGCCGGTGCCCCCAAGATGGCTGGCTCTGTCCTCCTCGCCGCTGCTGCCGGTGTTGCCGCTGTCCTCCTCGCTTAAGCGTATCTCCCCTTGTGAGAGCGTTGACTGCGGTTTGACTTGGAGTTGAGCGTCCGTCCGATACCCCCTTGGAATGTCTCGGCGGCTGATGGCAGGCTTTTTGTAATGGGGAGGAATGCCAGTGGCGCGTTCGAGACGCAGATTTATACAACCCTGTACCTAATCTTCTAATTGTATCTATGGGCGGGGAGTGCCACATGGACAATATCTCGCCATTTCTCCCGTATCATATTTGCAAACTGCCATTTGACAAAGGGCATTTCAACCATATCTTTTCAACAATCTTGCTTGCTCTCTCTATGCGTGACGTGAGTTGCTGTCCAAAGTGCATGATTTTGATATCTTGATTTCCATCGTGGTGGCCAGCGCCTTGGTAGAGGAGGCTTGAGACAGGCTCCCCTTTTTTCTAGCACCCTTATGGTGGCTGGACCAGAGCGGCGGGTCAGACAAACGGCGGCCACATGGCCATGCCCCTTGGCGCAGGCGCTAGTCTGAAAACGTGTCGCGGAAGTGTTCGTCTTAATTTCCGCATTCCCCCGCTCACAAACCCATGTTTCTTTCGAGCTAGACAAGATAAACAACGCCGTCATTTTCAGAGAGATTGTCCTGTCGGATGCGATACATGTGCCCCTCCTTTTCGACCCACGAGGGCCTAGCAAGGTCTGTGACCGGGCCTCCAAGGTTGACTCGGCAGTATGCAAAGCACGAGGACGAACGGAGCCCCCAGGCATGGTTTGTTCTTGAAGTACAGCTCATGGAACCGACACACTGCTGGCCGGCTGTTGTATGGACCCGGCCCCCGGATCTGGGACCATAGTTAAATGAAATCTTCCGTTATTGTTCTGTTCAGCGGGTGGGTTCTGGAAATTTTGACCCGCTATACATATGCCAGCTGGGAACTAGCCGTTTGTGTAGGATATCAAAGTTATTCTTACGTCTGCCTTTCTTCGCTCGGTAGCAACAAATTTACCTCATTTTCGTCGTCTTTAATGGGCCGTTCGACTCTATTAGCATGATTGCTCGTGGCATGATCCTTCCTTTTTAGACCTTTTTTTTTTATTCTGGAGAGGGGGGGGGTTTGCATCTTGTACGACGCCCTTCCCATCGTATGCCCTAAGTATTCAAGTAGCTTTCGGACGGCGACCTCTGCGAAGTAGTTCTTCCGCGATGCTACATTACTCTGTGTCTGCACAAACACGGATTGTGACCACAACGCTCAGACAGTACTCCGCTACATACTGCGTGACCTGGCCCTTCTAGTCCAGAGCATCGAGCTCTATGACGTGGGGAGATGTTCAGACAATGAGTCAGACGAGGGCACCCGAATATTCATTTATACAGTCCAACATGGTGCTTGTGTGGGAAATTGGAGCCTCGAGAACCAGCGCGGATATAGAACGACAGCAAGATGGAAGGGAGACGAGAGCGACCTTCATGAGCTAGAAGAGAGAAGAAGGCCTGTTTTTGTGCTCACCGAGCTCTCGTGGACAGCTCGGCGACTGTGGGAAGACGGCCAGATGGCTGCATTGGGATGGTCATGTCGTGGGCAGGGATATGCTTCTTTCTATCATTTTGTTGTTCGCCGACACAGCCTTGATTGCAGCCAGCACTCTGCGCTTCTATGGGGATTCAAAAGCTGCGTATTGTTGTTTGAACACATCGACAAGAGCGTTTTCGAGTACGCCTGACAAATAGAGTTTCGTGGTGGCCTGGAGGGCGGACGCCATTCGAGACCTGCATGTTTTGGCAGCGAACACGTGTATGAAATCCGTCTCGTGGACTCCTCGAGCACGCCTGAGAAGGATCGGGCAGTTGACAGAATTTTTTCTGCACAACAAGGGCCATCGCACTGCCTCGATGATAGCGATGCGAATCCAACGGCCAAGAGCATCTGGGCGTTATAAGTGATGCAGTGGACTGTGGGAGCAGAAGTCAAATGGGCAGGCAGGACTCTGAGTGGCACGCAGGCAGCAGTATTAAAGGCACAAAACCGCTCGCACTCGCATTCAGGGCACAGAGAGGTCGATTCGTCTGTTGTCGTGACCATGTCCAGATCATGACCGCATCCCAAGAGGCTTGACGAGCGGCAGCAGCAGCGCAGCGGGCACTAAAAAGCTTGGCATAAGCTAGCCAACGCCCACCCCCTGTCATGTCAAACCACATGCGAATGCGAACGCCATGCTGATTCGCCACAGGGCGTGTGTCTCGTCGTCAACATCTGTCTTGCGGAGGCTTGGCATATGCCCTCGAGTAGCGCGGCCTCATGAGGCTTCATGGTTTCGAGATGTTTTGGGAGGCGCAGATGCAGGGTCGCAAGAATGGATGACGAAGGCCAGCTGCTTGCTCATCTGTGTGGTTGATCCAAGCAGAGCATCCTGGCAATTCAGGACTGAGCCAGGCTGCTGCATCCCAATTGAGGCTGTGCAGGACGTATCTCGGATAAAGAAGGCAGTGATAGGTGCGGCGTTGTGTGGCACTACTCGGAAGTAGTACAGGCACCAAGACGCTTCAAGGCACTCCGCCAAGCCCTGATGAGGCTGTCAACGGATGCCAGGAGACCCCAGCACAGATCGACTTCTGGGCGATTTTCGGCGAGTGCTTGGGATCGGGTCATTTCGAGACATGACAAGTCCAGCAACCGATGCCTTACTGGACCCTTGGGGGTTATAAAGACGTGACAGGCCGCCCAAGGTCGTTGTGGTCTTTGAACAGTACATCAAGGGGTAGTCCTCCTCGCATGACACCGCATTCACCGACAGAAGTATTGTTAGACACTCCTGCGCCGACGACGGCGACAAAACCAGTATAATCCTCGCCATGGATCATCCAACGTTGATTCCCTTCGGGCCAAAGTCCAATTGCAACCTCGACGTTTGCCCTTTAGAATGGACCATCTTCAAGTACCGACCGTCCATGGCCGCCAGCATCTCCTTCATCGCGCTCTACTCCCTGCTCATGTGTTTCCACATCTACCTGGGCTTCCGCTGGCGCAGCTGGTGGTTTACCATCTGCGTGGCCCTGGGCTGCGTCGAGGAGATTCTGGGCTATGCCGGCCGCATCATACTGTACCACAACCCGTTCAACTTTGCCGGGTTCATGTTGCAGATTGGTGTGTACCCATCTCCTACCCGCTTACAGCCAAGAGAATGAGAACAACCGCTGACGTGCCGTGTCCTTTGCTCCTCACAGTTTGCATCGGCTCTGCACCAGTCTTCTACACGGCAGCCATTTACGTCACAATCTCAATGGTGGTCGAGTCCCTCGATGTCTCCCTGTCGAGACTGCCGCCTAAAATGTACTATGCCATCTTCATCAGTTGCGATGTGATCGCGCTGGTGTTCCAGGCTGTTGGCGGGTGAGCTTCCCAAATATGCCCCGGACCTTGACAGCAAAAACACAAGCACTGCCGCTGACCACGCTCTCCTGCAGAGTACTTTCCACAACGAGCTCAGGCCAAAGCACCATTGCCGTCCCGCTGTCCCTCGCCGGCCTCATCTTCCAAGTCGTCATCACCTTCATCTTCTCGGTCCTGTTCGCAGACTATCTGATCCGCTATTTCCGCGCCCACAAGAGGCAGTCGCCCTCCTCCGTCAACACTAACAACAGCAATGAAAATGGCAGCTCTCCAGCGGCAAGAGACAGACCAGACCTCAAGCGCCTCAAGATCTTCACCGGCTTCATGGCTGCGGCGATCCTGCTCATCCTCGCGCGCTGCATCTACCGCGTCGAAGAGTTGCGCGAGGGCTACACTGGCAAGATGATGACCAACGAGCCCTTGTTCATCGCGCTCGAGGGTGTCCTGATTGTGCTGGCGGTGTCATGCCTCCTTGTTGGCAACCCGGGCTTTGTGTTCATCGCCCCGGAGAAGGGGTTGAAGGCCACACTCCGCGGGAATGGCCAGCAGACAGACGGAGCGGGGGTTGAGACTGGCAGTTCGAGCGACGCAAGCGCTGAGAAGGTGCAGGTGTGAGGACAGTTCTGTAGATGGCTCTGAGTGAGGAAACATGGAGCTGGGGACGGGGTGGCGAGCGTCCTTTCTTTCCCTTGATCATGGGAAGGTCAATTATCCAAACCCAAAGGGCCTCTTTGCGTCCTCAATGAGGCGGGCATTCTAAGTCGGACACCACCCACAATGATTATTACATGGCATTTCCTTCTACGTCATATACCAAGATAGAACAGACGAGCACACAAACGAGATTTACCTACAGACCATTACCACCCCTGGCAGGAGGGCCAGGCACAACTGCCCCTCTCCGCATTCTGACCCCTGTATCCTGGTCGAGGTGCTCCGAGGTTGCAAGGGTCGACCACCGCAAAGTTCCCAGATCCGTCGAATCTAAAGCATGCACATGTCCCCAAGGGCAAGGTTGCCTCGCCCAACCACCCAGCCAACGAGGCCTCTCTTCTCCAACCCTTTTGCATCTAGCCATTCGTCGCAAAGTACACCGTCTCTCATAAGCTGCATAAAGGTCAGCAGAGCTGCACTTGCGCCTAGGAGAACTTACAGCACGAGAAAGCCTTACCCACGGCGTAGACGATTCGACCAAAGTGGACCTCGGTAATTGGTGCGAGCACTCACAACAGTAACGACCACTCGAGACTCGACAACACGGCGACACGCGATGGTCCGCTCTACAACCGGCAGGTTTCTAAGCCTGCCCGTCGCGCTCTTGTTCAGCTCGGTGGCCCATGCTTGGGATCATCTTGATCACGACACCTTTTCTCAGACTGTCCAGGCGCACGATGTTGCTGTAGTAGCATGTATGTACCCCCGTCCTGTCACGGTCGATGCCAAGCAAAGATGCGCGACCAGTGTTCCTACCAGGCTTATAATACTGACCGTTGTCGTGGTGTGACACCCAGTCCTCCGTGTAAGCTTGCATCCTGTACCGCCCGCACAGTCGTGATCAAAGGTGAACTAACAAAACCCACGACCCTGAATCACACACACAGTCTGATGAGTGAGTCCCGCCACACCTACTCTTTACCGCAGAGCATAACACAACTTCCTCGGGAGAAAGGCGAAGATGGTGCTGACCGTACGCTTGCAAAGTCCCGGGAACTCTGCCCTCAAGGAGGAATGGGACTTGGTCAAGACACAGACCTCGGTCCCGCTGCTAAGCGTGGGCTGCCTGGCCCAGGGCGAGCAGCAGCCGGTCCTCTGCTCCTCGCAGAGCGTCGACGACCCGGCCAACTTGCCCGTCATCTCCATGCTCGAACGGGGGCAGCTCAAGACTGTATACCCCGGCCCGCGCAGGGCTTCAGCGTATGTTTTTGCCCTCCCTTGCTCTATTCTCCCGCTACTCGTACTCTTCCTTCTCTTCCTCCTCCTCCTCCTCCTCCTTCCTGCTCCTTCTTCTTCTGCTGCTGGTATTGCTGCTGGAGGGACTGACACAAACCGGTCTCAGCATCACCCAGTGGATCAACCGCGCAAAGCACACCACTCCCACAGTAGAATTGACGTCGTCCTCTCTGACGGTCTTCAAGACTGCCGACGAAGCCGCCTGTGTCGCCTTCTTGCCCAAGCCGGAGCCCACCACCTCATCCGACAACGAGGACGACGACGGTGGCGACGGCACCGTCCTCACCACCACCCAGTCCGCTGCCGCCGGTCTGCTGCAGGAGCACTGGGCCTACATCGCCGAAAGCACGACCCTCGGCGGGCGAGTGTCCATGGCGAAGCTGGTCGACCCGACCTCACAGGTGCTCGCTGCTGAGGGCATCCCGCACGTGCCGGCGATCAAGTGCTGGAAGAACCCCGAGGGCACCGGCGGGGGCAGTGCAGAGGATGCCGCTGCGGGCGTGCTCAAGAACAACCCTTATGTCAAGACGAACAAGTGGCTGAGCGGCGGCGCCGGCGGCGCAAAGGGGGACAGCTCAAAGACCCTGTCGGGCGCGGCGGCGCGGGACGCAACTGTGCAGCAGCTCGAGCAGTTTGTGGTTGACGCGACTAGGCCGGTCATTGGCGAGCTGACGGCGGCAAACCATGGCGAGTATCTGAACGTGAGTCGTCTGGTCTCTCTCTCTCTCTCTGTCCACCTTTTCTTTCTCGCTTCCTTCCGACTTGGAAACCCCACTACTCCATCTTCTCCTTCACCCAGAAAAGAAAAAGGACATGCCCCCCCTTTTCCAACCAACACACTGAGGACGCTGACCGAGAAAGAAAAAACCCACAGCGCGGAAAGCCAATAATCTACATCTTTGCATCGACCGAGGCCGAGCGCGCCGCCCTGCGCAAGCAGCTCTCCGGCAGCGCCATCACCTACGCCGACTCGCTGTCCATCGTGACCGTGGACCCCTTCGCGTTCCCCCGGCTGCAGAGCCAGCTGGGGCTGCACGATAATAATGGTGATGATGATACCAGCCCGGTCAAGGGGGTTGCCGAGGAGCATGGGAGGGAGGAAGGGGAAGTGGGAAGGGAGGAGAAGAAGAAGACAGGCGCGACCGTCGCGACCCCCGGAAACCCCGTCGGCGTGCTCGTCCAGCTCTGGTCCGGCAACATCTGGCACTACCCGCCCGGCGCTGGGTTCACCGTCAAGGAGCTCATGGGGTGGGGCCTCAAGGTCAAGCTCGGCGCCGTGAAACCCCATCGCGAGGCTGACGTCGACTGGATCTGGCCCCCGGCGCGCCGAGCAGAGTACCTGGCCGAGCAGGAGAGGAGCAAAGAGGCCGAGGGGGATCGGGGTAGGCACGATGAGTTGTGAATGGGCAACATGAGGGAATTGGGGGGGGGGGGGGGGTTATCGAGGTTCGCGGGCGAGATCGCACTGATATCCTCCCCTATCGGGTTTCGTGTAATGGCCCGCCACCGCTTACTACTCTGCCATGGAAAGAAACATGTCCCCGACGCTAGACTCTGGCAAGGCTCGAGATTGGTCGGCATAAGAGCGCTGAGCGCTGTTGCAGGGCTTCAAGACGCTCAAGTTATTCGAATTCATAACGGCGTACTTCTTGTGAGGTGCTGATCACACAAGGGACATATTGTAGGGTCAACGCTGGTGTTTGTATCAGATGTTGTGTTGTATTCCAAATCAAGACACTTTTGAGCCACAGATGATGATCTGCTGGCTAATTCTATGCAAAGACACCGCCCAATGCTAATGATATGATGCCAAAATAATGGATCCGCTAAATGCCCAATGCCGTGGCAGCCAAGTGCCAGGATGCTGAGATGACGATTAAGAAAATGTGGTTGTGATGGTAAAAGCTGTCCGATGGGTCTGGCCTGCGCCATGTCCCACCATGGGGACTATGATGATGAGGGGTATCAAGTATTATGTAGAAAGGCCCTTTTACACGAGGGCAAGCAAGGAAAGACTTGAGAGAGGAAAGGCGACACCATGGTTCATCCTTTACATCACCGGCTTCTCAGCCTGGCTCTCGATGCGGACCAACACAGGAGCTCCGCGCAGCTGGGCGAGGAACTCGGCCGCCTCAGCCGCATACCTGCACTTGAGGCGGATGGACTTGCCGTACTTGTAGAACAGGAACGGGAAGGGCAAGCAGGCGACGCCAAGGAAGGCCGGGATCGAGCTGGCCCAGTGGATGCCGAGATTGGTGTACATGGTGCCGGTGAAGAGCGGGAACGCAGCGCCAAACAAGGAGCGAATGACGGCGTTGGCCGCGAGAGTCGAGGCAGCAAAGATGACGTCTGGTGAAGGAAGTGTTAGTATGCGTGCGTGATCACATGGGAATGGCTTCAATCAGCAGTGGAGACTTACAGGTATCAATCAGATAGTTCATCAAGCTGAGGAACAGGAGAACGAGGCCGGCGCCAAAGAAAGCAGTGCCGGTAATGCTGACCATAAAGTGAACCTCTGGGCCGTTGGTCCACGCGAACCAGAACATGCCAACGGGAAGGAGGACGGCACCAATGAGCGCAGGTGGGAGACGGGCCTCGGGAGGGGCAAGACCATCGTGGGCGTCAGAGATTTTGGCATATCTGCGGTTGTCCCAAATGGTGTAACCAACAGCAACCATCATGCCAACAGCAACGCCGAGGAAGGCCAAGCCACCAACACCGGGAGACCAGCCACGTCCCTGCTGGTAGACGATGGGGAAGGCAGCAAACAGCATGTAGAGAGTGCCGTACAGGATGGCCATGAACAGAGACAGGATCAGCACGATGGGCTCGCGGAAGAGCAGGACCCAGGGGCGAGCAAGCGCTGTCTTGAAAGTCTGCCCAATGGTCTTGACGGGCTTGCCAGCCTGGAGCTTGGAGATGTACTTCTTGCCAGTAATGGCAGAGAGCTTCTCGGCACGTCTCTGCAGGATGACAGGAGCGTAAGTCTCAGGCACGGTGAGGGAGATGATGATCCACATGACACCAGTGAAGGCGGCCATGAGGCCCTCGACCCAGCGCCAACCAGCGTCGACAGACAGGAAACCACCAGCGATGGGGCCGAGAGCAGGTCCCAGGAAAGGAGCGGCGGCAAAGATGGAAGTGGCAAGGCCACGCTGCGCCTGCGTGAAGGCATCGGCAATAAGACCACCAGAGTTGGTGAGGGGGGACGAGCCGATGGTGCCGGCGAAGAAACGCAGGATGATGAGGGTGTGGATGTTTGTAGCGCCAGCGGCACCGGCGTTGAAGGCAGTAAGCGCACCCATGGTGCCAATGAAGAGCCACTGGCGACCATAGATCTCCGACATGGGCGCCCAGATGAGAGGACCCAGAGCGAAACCAAGGACGAAGAGGCTGACACCGAGGATGATGACGGTGGTGCTGGCGTGAAACTCCATGACCAAGCTGGTGAAGGCGCCCGAGTAGGCGGAGGAGACAAACGTGACGGCGAGGACAGCCATGGCGTGGAGCATCATCCATGTCCACTTCTTCCAGTTGGGGAGAGCCATGGGATCCTTGGGGTCGTTGGGGATGAAGTCGACGAGGAAGGGGTTTTCCTCGGTGCCCTTACCAGGGAACTGGTATTCAATGACGGCGCGAGACATGCCGGCCTGGTCGAAGAGGCGGGAGAAGTAAGTCGAGTGGTCGTAGGCCACAAGAGACTCGACATCGCGCTGGTGCTGCTCCTCAGGCTCGGTGCGGGTGGCGGAGGAGGCGGAGGAGGCGGAAGATGACGAGCCGCTCCGGGTCGGGGCCGTCGAGGCGGCGGACGTGGACTGTGGTTGCTCGGCGGCCATGATTGTCATCGTCGGTGTCGTCGTCAAGGGGAGGAGAGTGACGATGGGGGGATGGCGTAGTCGAGGATGATGCAGATCAGTCAGAGGGGAGGACGGGAGCGGCCATGAGACCGACTAGGGGCCGGGAGGCTCCATGATATAGGCTTGGGGATCTGGCAACGGCGTGTGGACATTGCCTATCTCCACCGAGACTGTTCGAGTATATCGGAAGGGTCCGTTTCCTTGCCTCGGGGCGGGCCAGGCCAGGATTGGCGGGCAGAGCAGGGTGTGATGTTGGCTGGGCCGCCGCCTGATCGGGAAGTGACGCACTTAGAAATCAAGCCTGCATCGAGCCGGCGGAGCCTCCAATGCCCCGTGCTAAGTCCGCCACCGCCCGAGTGGCTGCCCGCCCGGGCAGGCAAAAGCTTTTGGTTTCCGCATCTTCTGACCCTGAGCTAGCGCAGGAAGCCTCTGTCGGAATTCGGCCACCCGGGCCCGTGCAGCAGGCAGAGTTGAGCCGCCTCGTTAAGGACGCGAATGCGAGATCGTGACGCAACCTCGGGCACCTCACCCGTCCGGCATTGCTTCCTCCCTTCCTTCTTTTCCCTTTTCGGTGCTTGTCCCACCAGCGCGGGATGACAAATGCAACGAGCCAACCCCTCCACCTCACAAGACCAGTTGACCTGCCGCCGACAGTTGACGTGTTGGGGTGTCGATGCTGGGTCTCGCAGGGGATGACAACGACAACAACAACTCCAGGCGGCAGCAATTTGTGGCGGCTCACTTCATGGGCTGGCCTGGCCTGGCACAGCATGGATGCGCAAATGGAACATTCCCCCATCCTGGGCAGGCACGCACCGCAGGCATCGAGCATGGCTCGCCGGGTTCCGCTCCCCGGCCCACTGCGGAACCCCTCGGACATTGGCACTGCTTCGGCGCTTGCACCTTCCATACGACGTCTGCACACTCCTTCCTCTGCTTCGCCCTCATTTGTGGCCTGGGCTTACACAGCACGAAGCAACAAGATACTTACTTGACCGAACTCCGTACTCATCAGGTAGCGTATTTCCGGTGCATGCACGACCAGATCGAATCTACGGCGGCCACAGCAGCTTCCTTGTTGCGTTGCGTTGGATGCGAGCTGCATCGCACCTCCTGCCACGCCGGCCAGTCTCTCGGCCCTTTGCCGCCGGCCCTCGCCCAGAATGAGAAACAGGTGGACCGCCATGGGGTTTCCAGGCTGAGCCACAGCAACCCAGGCGTGACTCGTTTCCAGCTGGTGCCAGATAGCGCTGCCGCCCTCCCTCAGGTTGGCCAGAGACCCCCACCAGCCAATCTGCTTCTCGGCCGTCCTCACTTGGGCAAGTGTGCTCGGGTTTGCCAGCCCGGGGTCTTCCCCAAACCCGATACCCGCCCGCCCTCCCTGCCAACCCTTGGGAAGGTTCTCCCACCTGGGGACCCGCTGACTCGTGGACCTGGCCCATTCGCAGTTTCTGACCCGGCATTTCTGACTCGGCCACCCTTCTCTCAATCCCGTCGTACACAATGGCCTGTCAGAACAATTAAACGCACCCTTTGCAGGGCCCTCCAAGCCACGCCGCCGCCAGCAAGCCCTGCCCGGCCCTTTGCCGCCTGGGTTTCGGCGCCCCCGGCTCTCCCAACCCCGATGCCCCCGTCTCTATCCCGTGCAGCATCCCATTGCTTCATGCCCGGTTTCCAGGCTCAATCTCACATACATACACACGTGCTGCAACCATGTTGCTGTCGAGCGGTTCTGACAAATGCACGCCATTACCAAGCACCGCGGGATCTCCATGCATCTGAGCCCGATCTTGGTAACCCCCTCAATACGGGATCCGATCTCTGCGGAGCAAAGCTCTGCTTAACTCCATCTGACAAGAGACTCAAAAAGTCTTTGGGTCCCATTGATCTTGTTTTCCATCAGTGGCCGCCGCCCGCAGAGCCGCCACGCCCCAATGGCACAAGGACCTGGCGTTCGAAACAGGGCCCGCCGTCAGACAAGACTTTTTTCCCGCAAGGGCCCGTCCACACCCGTTGCTCGCTCAGGCCAGCCATAGCATGGCATAATGCTACGCACCATGCCGACTCGGGAAAGAATTCGCCGTTGCCAAAAGGCCAAGGCCCGCCCGGCACTCACATGCCATTCCCTGTTTCGGGTGTTGCTTGATAACGGCCCGTGACTTTTCATGCGTTCCAGCACCCGGCCTGGGTTTCTCGCGTTTCGTTGCCACGTGCGTGCATCTTTTTGAGACCGGTTCCGTATTAGTCGCGGGCATCTTTGTGTACCTGCAAACCCCCCACGACTATGCAGGCGCTTGTCGTGGCTATCTATAGCGTGCACATGCAGCCGGCCCTCGTCGGCTCGTTCCATCAATGTGTGATGATGGCAGTCCTTCAGAAGGCCTAGAAGTTGGGCGCAGTGCCACCATCGGCTTTCAAACATCTTCAATCACGAAGGAGCCGTCTCATGATAGAAATGTAGAGATTTGATGCACCTCAGCACGCCGCCAACCCCTGGGTACCAGGTTCTTGCCCCCGCGCGTACCAGCTTCCTGCCTCCCCGGGGCCGTCCTCGCGACAACGGGAACAAGGGTACCACAAGGACTGTGCTTACAACTCATGGCTACCTAGGTACTGTTGCGTTCGCCCCCAAACCACGTCCATTGAAAGGCCTTCTTTGAGGCCATGGCGATCGTTTTGCTTGAAATGTAGACTTCAACGTATAGCAACATGCTTTGTCTTTGACACTGGCAATATTTCTGTCCCGGCACCCCAAGATCTTCCAATCATGCTAATTCGTGTATCCTCAACTACCACTGGACACACATCACTGATCAAACATCAGCCTTTCGCCCATCCTTGGTACGGTTGCTTCTCTCGAATCTCTCGCCGCGAGCAATAGCCTTCAGAAAATTCTTTTGTAGACTGACCCAACGTTTCGGGGCGGCCCCGTGGCATACAGCGATGACTGCGTCAGGACTCGGCATGCTCTTGAGCTGCGCAAGCTTTGGACTGGCCCCACGCGTCGCCCTGCTTTGGTTAATTGTATCATAGTAGAATCTGGCAATCTTCCCACAGCCGTAACTGCTGCTTTTTGGCAGCACATGAAGCAGTTCCCAAGATGGTTCTCGTTTTCGAATAGAGGACTCGAAGACTGCGTGAAACTCGATCTCAGAACCACTCCATCGAAGTCCTTTTACAGAGAAGCCCCAAAGTAGGAATTCGTCGGTACTGTACTTTGGATACCGATGTTTGAAGAGCCCAAGCTCGTCAACATCATACTTTTGAACCGTCGAACTTCGGGTACGGAGCGCGATCGGTCCTTCTGCGCGATCGATGATGGCTCCTTTGGCGCGAAGGTGTCCAGGCATGTCAATTTTAGCCCGGGTTGTGGCTTGCATGATGGCCTCAGTTGTTATAAGGCTCCTGGAGTCGGAAAATCGCCGGAATGCAAGAGCTTCCTCGTCTGATATCACCTTGCTGAATTCCCGACATTGTGACTGAAAGGCTTCATCTTGAAGTATGGCTGATGAGAACATGTCCAAGCTGTCATACCCAAAGGCTGAGTCGATGGAGATCGGTACAATGCTGTGCGTCAGGGTAGTCGGCTGCACAACCAACTGATCGGAAAGTCGGAGAAAGAGAGCCGCGCTCGGTAAGTCGAAGAAAGACGGGCTTCCAGTGGGAGAGGTAGTGGTTTCCTTGACACGTTTGAGCAAAGCGCCCATAGATTCAAGGACATTGCTCAACTGCGGGCGATAGTGGCGGCTATAAAACCACCCGTGATAGTACCGGACATCGACAATGATACTAAGACGCCTCAGGCTTTCACATTGACTAAGGAGCACGACGTGGTCCATGCAATATAGCCAGTCGTAATGGTAACGCAGACTGAAGCACCAACCCACTCCGTTCATTTTTATGTCGAGTGTGATTGCGCGGATGTTCCGTCGTCTCTGTGGTGTAATAGCTGCAAGATACCGAAGCAGCTCGGTTGCCTTGTTGAATCGAAAGGTGTTTACCCGATAGAAAATGGGGTGGAGGGTCAAGTCTTGTGATATGCTAAAGCATGTTTGCTCAAGTTGGGAGATTGTGAGAGGATCTCCAAAAGACCAGGGGTGCAACTCCGACTTCCCAGGAGCGATCTTGAACAAGCTGGATTTAGAGGCGCCCCAGCTAAACTTGAACGAGTACTTGGTGACCTGCTGCGGGACGATGTCCGTAGAATGAGTGAGAGCCAACTCGTAGATCATAATGCGAAGCTGCTCGTAAGGTTGTGATGTTAATTACGAAACACGCATATTGACCAATGTCAATGCAACGACTTACCTCCAGGGGAAGCTTCTTCAAGAAGAGACACGAGTCATAGTTACGACGTGTCATCTCCGCCATCGGATGGCCACCATCGCGGAGGAGGACGCTCATTTTTGCTGAACCCGAGTCATCTGAGGAGATGGTGATGTGGTTTGGCCTACAAGCTGGCGGTGGTGTTCAGATTTCCACGAGGCAGGCACAGACTTTGGTCGCATCGGCAAAAGAGAGTGCTGTCTCGTGGCTACAAAGGTCAGCGTTTGGCTCCAAAAGGCGCAGCCTGTACAAGCTGGTGCTTGATTTCAAGGATGAAAGCACATGGGCGGAAGAGGATGGCGTCCGTTGGGTGACTTACCACGATGAGTTTGCCGTGCTGGGATGTTTTGTCCTACCTGTGAGGCTGATCGGCGGCGTGATCCATCTTCGCATGTCCAAACGAAGGTCCTGCACCAGAAACTGGTTGAGAAAATGCCTGGAGTTCACTGTGAACGGCAGTCACGGCTCCCGGGCGAAGGAAGGCATTGGCCGAGCAGGAGCTGGCTTACACGGAAAGAGCGACTTGGTCCACAAAATGCTCGTCCTCGATGTGCACCGTGCCCATCACGACCGCGACTAAAAAGAGAGATGTCAGAGCTTGAAAAGATTCCAAGTTTGCATTTTAGTCATATTGCCTGTGATTGCTCAGAACCGTTCACGTCTACACCCGAATAGAAGTCAAAAGAGCAAGACCACAGACGAAGAAAGTACGCGGCAATCTGAAGTCGCATAGCCGCCTCGAACCCAGCAAGAAGAGTAGACCTGCACCACATATGCATAACAGCGCCATATCAAATCCTCGCGAAATGAAGCTGATACCAACAATCCCATGGCGAAGAAGGTTGTTTGGGCTTATACACACGCTGCCGTGAGCACAGTTGAAGTCATGGGGCCTGGCCTCTGATTGGCTTAACCAGGACCAAGTGGGTCGGCTTCAGCCCCTGCCCTGTCGAAAACTTCCATCATCAAGTCAAGCATGCTGCACGTCCAAGCTTCACAGCAGTGCCGGCTTTTCAAAATCACATTTCTAAGGGGTGGGAGTGCAGCTCAGATCGGTCAAGTGCCCGAAGATGTCGTTGTACCACGAGACAGCCGAGATCCTGTCTCAGCCGTCATCGACAGGCGGCAACCTCAAAACCCGCATCTTCAGCAACAAGTCCCTGAAGGCGCCCCAGCAGCAGATATATGCCCTCGCCCTCGAGTCCTGCAAATGGAGTGCAGTGCTCAAGGAGGTCATCGAAGCGGCCGACCTGCTACGGCATGAGCGCAAGGTACATGATTTGACTCACCTACATCCCACGATTTCATTTTGGACAGTGCATGCTAACCCGCTCGCGTAGCTCTCTCCGGTGCTGGCGTTGCTGCTCGTCCATGACTTCCTCATCTCAAAAGGTGGGATCGCTTTGCCTGCCACTCATGGACTCCGCGCCTCCATAGAGCGCCACAAGGCCCGCCTGAGCTCAGAACTCACCCGCGCCAGGATACGAAGGAGGGCCGCCAGCCTTGAGCAGCTCCGAGACCAGGTCACGGCTGAGTACCTGGAGGCCACGGGCGCATACCCCCGCTGGGTCCGGGTCAACACCATCAGGTCAACGCTTGAGGATCAGCTCGACACGACGTTCAAGAGCTTCAACAGGGTTCAAACCATCAAAGAGGTCACTTCCACTCCAGGTCGAAATCTATACCTCGATGCCCACGTCCCCAACCTCGTGGCCATTTCCCCAGCCTTCGAGGTCCACAAGACAGACGCGTACAAAAACGGCGAGATCATCTTGCAGGACAAGGCATCATGTTTCCCAGCATACCTCCTCGACCCCCTCATGGGCGACGTGATTGACTCGTGCTCAGCCCCAGGCAACAAGACGACCCACGTCGCAGCCATCGTCAACAGCCGTGTCGCCGAGGGCGAGGAGTGCATACAGAAAGTATTCGCGTTTGAGAAGGACAAGTACCGCTCACGCACGCTGGAGAAGATGGTCCGCATCGCAGGCGGCGACGGGATCGTGCGAATGAGCTTCGGGCAGGACTTTCTCAAGGTCGACCCGTTCTCGCCGCTCTACAACAACGTCACTTGTCTGCTGCTCGATCCGAGTTGTTCTGGCAGCGGCATCGTTGGCAGGGACAGCATGCCCACAGTACACCTGCCACAAAGTCCGAACGGCACTGCCAGCAAAAACAACAGCAAGCCATCCTCGAAACCACAAAACACACCACCTAGCACAGGCAATAATAAGAAGCGCAAGCGTGAAGAAAAGACCGACAGGATTTCCACGAAAGAAGCCGCCGCCCAGCAAGAAGTAGAGCAGCGCACCATGGTCGACGACGACGGCAAGGAGACCGTCATCTCGTCCGAACAGGAGCTCCAAAAGCGCCTCGAGTCTCTGTCTGGGTTCCAGCTCGTCCTGATCCTGCACGCGCTCGAGTTCCCCGCGGCCCGCCGCGTCACGTACTCGACGTGCTCCGTGCACCGCGAGGAGAACGAGGACGTGGTGCACAAGGTCCTGCAGTCTGAGGTCGCGCGGAGGCGCGGGTGGCGGGTTATGCGGCGCGACGAGCAAGTCATGGGGATGCGCGAGTGGCCTGTCCGCGGTGTCGAGACGGGCAACGCCAGCGGCAGCGGCCGGGGTGATACCGACAAGATCATCGCGGACGCGTGCATACGCTCCTATAAGGACGATGGGCATGGCGTGATGGGCTTCTTCGTGGCTGGGTTCGTCCGTGACGAGGACGGCGGAGAGGCGGAGGCGGCGAGCCTTGACGATGGCCCGTACGTACGTGACGACAATGGACGTATCGTACGGGATATGGCTGGCATGCCGACACTCAAGAGCAGCGAGGCCACCACCCAAGAGCTTCCAACGAGGGGGGCTAACGGGGAAAACAAGCCGCCATCTAGCAAGGCAGCAAATGCAGACCAAGCCAATGAGTCAAGCTCAGAAGACAGCAGCGATGGTAGCGACAGCGACACCAACGAGGAAGAGGGGGACGGCGAAGATGAAGAAGAGTGGACGGGTTTCGACTAGGATCGAGGAACACCATTCAACCACGGGAATCACTTGGACACGAACTGAGGCAAAGCATAGACTAGCAACGCAGAACAAAGACCAAGTCTTCACACACATCCCGCCTTGGAACTTACCCGAAGATCCCAGTCCGAAAGAGGGTATGAACAGGCCACAAGCTCCGACTCCAAAGCCTGTGATCTCAAGACGGAAAAATCACCTGGATACTGTTCAGATAGACCAGGACATCTTGTAGATATATCTCAACGAAGAAATGCCGGAATATATGCTGGTGCTCTTGATGAAGATCTGTCGATACACTTGCTCCATGGCACGCATCATGTGACGAGGTTCCGCGCTGGTTCCGTAATGATCTTGGCAATCTGGCAGCGTGAAACTCGAGCGACGTTATGCAGGCAGCTGGTCCATTCACCCCGTTTCTCGGGAAATATCAGACTGAAAACTTCCAGGTCTACTAAAGGCTGCGCAGGCGGAGGTAGAGGGAATTGCACATCATGGACCATTCACATATGAATCGAAAATGCCAAGGTACTGGAATGGCACCTCTTCAATATATTTGTTGTGAGCGAGACACATCGTGATCACTTCCACATGCCAGCGTCTGCACTTAAAAAAAGAGAGGATCATAAAGTCCTATATTTGTTCTGAACCATAAAGTGAGGTAGGCCAGGAAAGGTGGTTCCCTGGACCTCCTGAGTCATCATAAGCTTCAACTCTGCGCCGAACAGAAGGTAGTCCCCCTTGATATCCAATGATCCAAAACAACGTGTTTTATTCCTCTTATACTCCAGAAAATTGTGCAGGGGGTTGGCCTCCCAAATGTGAAGACGCCCCCTTCCCTAATTGTGAACAGAACCCCTTTGTCTAAAAAGTATGTGTACAAGAATGGTAAGATTGGCAACCCTCGACGGATCCTATGGCCTCAAAAGAAGGCGGGCCATTGAGACCGTCTGGGCCAGTGCGGGCACATCAGCCATTTAGCGGCGAGCGGCAAAGCCGTTGTGCTTGTGGCGGGCAATGTGGCCGTGCTGGGCGGCGCGACGCTGAGGAGCCTCGGTGGCAGTGACATACTCGGTGTAAGTCTGAGTCACCGTGACGATATCCCAAACAGTCGAGACGTACTCGTCCTCAGCAGGAGAGGGAGCAGCAGGGGTGGCGACGGCGGGCTCGCTCACGACTGGGTTCTCGACAAAGATCGGGGCGCTGGGCACATCGGCAGGGAGATCAGTGGCCACAGGAGCAGCAGAAGAAGAGGAAGAAGCAGCGGCAGGGGTTTTGGTGGAAGTAGGAAGCGGAGAGGCAGCGGCGGAGCTGCTGCCACTTCCCTGGGAACCACCACTGGAGCTGCCACCGCTGGAGCTGCCACCGTTGGAAGCACCGGCGCCAAAGGACCAGCCAGAAAGTGAGAGGTTGTTGGGAAGGGCGCTGAACTTCTGGAACAGGGAGGAAGTGAGGTAGTTGACCGGCTCGACAATCTGAGGCGCAATGTTGCAGCTGTTGTCGGTGCTGAGGCCGCCGGGAATCTGAGGGCAAGTGTCCATGCCGCGCGTGCCAGCGTCGCAAGTGTCGATGATGGCCTGGAGGGTGTTGGTGTCCCAGCCGGAGACGAAATCGGCGTGGGAGCTGAAGCCAGTTGTGTCACCGTTGGAGAAGACAAAGGGCTGGGTCTTGCCATCCTCAGTCCACTGGTCATCGAACTCGGGGGTGTTCCAGTAGACCTCGTAGAAGAGGTGGGGCACGTGGATGTAACCCTCAGGGCAGTCCATGTAGCCGTTGCCAGCATCCTTGGGCCAAGCCATGTTGTTCTTGTAGTCATCGAGGCCAGCCTTGGGGTTGTAGCAAGAGGGGAAGTGGAGATCCTGGCGGAGAGGCGAAGCATAACCGTTGCACTTCTTGGTGGGGAAGCCAACACCGGCGCCCTTGTTCTGGGGGTCCTGGATACCAGCAGTGCTGCCGTCTGATCCCGGAGGATAGGCGGGGACGTTGTAGTCCGAGGCAGGGCAAGTGAACTGGATGTTGTTGAAGCCAGGCTGGTCAGGGTTGAGCTGGACGCCTGAGCCAGCGGGAGGAGTGCGCTTGTCAGCGTCACCGACGAGGATCTTGAGGCCAGGAGGGAAGGCGACCAAGTCGTCGTGGGTCTTCTGGAAGAAGTAGTAGACGTTCATGTAGAACACCGGGACCTTCTGGTAGTTGCCGTCCTTGGCGAAGAAAAGCTGGGGGACCCAGTAGTTGCTGAAGTCGCGGGCGATCTTGGCAGTGGTGCACTTGCCGTTCTTGAGCAGCTGGTCGCCCTCGACGTTGAGAGAGAAGGCATCACCACCCTGGATCATGTGGTAGTGCTTCGAGGCAGTGCCGGGGTTGACAATGGGGTCCATGCGGCCCTCAGTCAGAGGCTTCTGGCCATTGAAGCGCAGGACAGCGAAGGTAGAGGAGTCGTGGGAAGCCGCGGCCACGGCGGCAAAGGTGCTGAGGATGCTGGCGGTCTTCATGATGAATGATCGTCAAAGGGTATCTTGGGCTGTCTATAGCAGAGAGAAGAGCTTATGCGTGAGGTGATACCAGAGCACCTGAAAGATGGGACAAGGCGAACTTTGTGCAATGGTGCAAGACACTGTTGTGTGCTGTTTCTTCTACCAGAGGAGAATAAAGAAGGTGGGTTTCCAGGTCGGCAGGAAGCAAGACTGCTTGGATGCTTTGGCTGGGAATAAAGACAGGACGGACTCGGCCGGCGGAGTGAGTGCTGAAGAGCGGCGGTTGAAGGAAGGAATGGTGAAGCAGCAAAGCCAAGTTGCGACTCCGGATCGAAGAAGAGCAGATGGTGGTATATAGGAACCCAGAAGGCGAGGGAAGTGCTGATCCCAGGAGGGAAACACGAGCAGAGATATAAACGAGTGGCGACAAAGCACCCACCAGCAAGGATCAACCCGACCCAGTCATTGCCCACCCGTCCCATGTAACTGCCTGCTAGAGCCGCAAAGACTGGTCTGGCTATGCGCGCGGGCCCGCCAGCAGGCCCGGGTCGAAAGCAGGAACCAGGGGCGGGTCAGGAACAGGAAACAACCTTACGAAGGGGGGAGGGGGGTGGACACTTGCTAGACTAGCACATGCATTCGTGGCGCCGATGATCCCCAGGGGTAGACTTGGCTGGCGGCGTGGAGTATTTGTCGCCTGCAGCCGAGAAGACGGCCACGGCTGGCTGTACCCCTCCCACCATTACGACAAGAGGCCAATCCGCTTCCTGCCTTCGATGCTGTGTTGATACCCTCTCGTCCTGAGCGAGTGACCGGCGGACATTAAAGAAGAGCCATGGTTGCCCTCCTTCTCTTTTGAATCCGCAGGCTTCACGCAAAGACCACAGTGACACAGCTGGTCATTGACATTGTCCAGCCATGCTCCGCACCCACGGACTATGTACTGTAAGATGCATTGTTTCTTCTGCCGTGCCCACTGAGGAGCCTTTCATGTTGGCAAGCTTGGCTGGAAGGGGTTGGCGGACCCGGATTGGCTGAGCTGCACAAGTCTGGTGCTTGAGAACAGACCAATGCAGGGGTAATCGGGCCAACACTGTCGTGCAAGCTTTGAGATTGGCTGCGCCCAGTTCTAGTCTGCTTCGGATGCGCTGACTTGTTCAGTCCAAGCTGAAGATGCGGCCTGAGTCGTTCAACCGCCCGATCCGGTCGCTTCCTGCACAAAGGCTGACCACGCATGCTAGCGCGCGGCCTCGTTCTTTTTCTCAATGGCCGGGCCCAGGAGGCGACTTTGTAACACCTAGTAAAGCTAGCATGACTTCTAGTCCGCAGTAGCCAAACCACGCCAGACTAACAAAGGGAGGCCACAGCCGTGTCGTCAAGTTTACGACCACACTGAAGTCGGCGGCTGCGCTGCTTAGTGGGGGATCAAGTGGGGACGGACACATCTGCCGGATCCTTCGTGGTTCCTTTGAGCCGCCACGTGTAAGCATTTAGTTGATGAGAAAGGTGAGCCGTGCAGCTGAGCATCGCGCGCTCGGACAGCCTGTCCACGTAGCCCTGCGTGCTGTGCCCGGTTGTCAAGCAATACCGCGGCCTACTATCGCTTAGATGGCCACGGCTGCCAGGTTTTCCCACATCGTATCCTGTCTTGTGCCGCGTCAGAGACCCCACGGCTTGGACCGAGTGGGGTTGGCCGTGACGAAAGCATTCCGGTCAGCCGCGCTCTCGATTTCGCAGGGGTAACCACCAGGGCTGTTGTCAACAGGCGATTTGGTAGTTGCTGACCCTGGCGGTGGAGCGGTGCTGGCTCTCCAGTCTTGGCTGCGCAGCACGCCCTCCACTTGCATGACGACGCAGACAAGTGGTAAATTTGAACCTGCGAGGACCCTCTGAAGCAAACAGAGCCCAGTTCGATCGAGAGTCCGACTAGTCGTCGTCATGCATGAGGCTGGCAACTCTGCCAGGCTCCGCCCGGATGGGGTTCTCTGGCGAGCCTGGGAGCTGCGCTGCTCCGTGCAGGCTGTACTCCGTTTTGGCATGGATGTGTGCAAGCGAAGCTGATGCCTCGAGGGTTGAATTGGCTGACCATGGTGTCACTGGCATGCCATACATAGTATAGGTCCGAGCGTCAGCACTGAGGATGTCGGCTGCAGGAAGACAAACTCGCAGCTGCAAATTGCAGTGCCCTTGATGATATTGTTCGGGGTTTCAAGTGTCTTTCGGGCAAGTGCACTTTGTGTGCCAAACGAGGCTTGGCGGCCTTGACTGAGTGAGCTAACATTGAGATGGCTTGGTTCACCGGCGCCTCATGCTGGGGCGGCTGGTCAGCTCGATAAGCACAAGCCTCATCCCTACAGCGAAATATGTTGCGGCTGAGGCCCCTCTAGGTTATGGCTTATGAGCAGGTCCAATGTTCTGTTGGCGGAGGACTATGTCGAAGCCGACACTGATGATCGCCGTGGCCGGCGTTGCAGAACGAAACGGCGAGGCAGAAGTTCATGGAACACAGACAGCGAAGGTGCGGGCGGACAGGAGGAATAGCACTAGGGCGGCCCCGGCAAGTTGATTGATGCAGGCATGTGGTAGGTCCGTCACGATGGCAGCTTGAGGTCTGACGCTGGAGTGCTTAACGAGGACAATGAGTATTGTCCGTGAGGACCAGGAGGTTCGAGCACTCGCTGCTGGGGGCTGGACCAGGACCAGGGCAGGGCCTGGGGTGGATGATGATGGCGGTGGCGGGAGTGGAAGGTTGGATGGAAGCTGGCAGGCTCGGCAGGCAGGGGCCGCCGAGGGTGGCAGGCGTGGTGAAACGCGCTACAGCAAGCCACAGTAGCCCCCACTCGCGCCACAGATCGCCTTCCGATTGGCGCGAGGGTCGGTCCCCTCTCTGGGCGTGCACTGACAGGAAACACGGCGGCTCATGTTTGTTCAGACCCTGGCCCTCTACTTGATTCGCCCTTTTGTTTCCCGTCAACGTGATTGCTTGCTTTTTGTTTTTTTGTTCGTGCGTAGTACAACGCAGCAGCAGTAGCCAATTACCAGCCGGGCTTTATGCACCCAACCACAACAAAGGCCATGCACAAACCGGCACAAACCGGCACAAACCTTGGTGTGCGAGGGGTGCAACCGTACCTTAAGGTTTACATTTAGGGCTATCGGCGTGATCGACAAGGTGCACAAGGGCACAATGGCGGGCCCCTTTAAAGTCTAACCCCGCCCGCCCATCCGCAGCCAGACCAGCCCGTCGGCGCCTGATAGACTTTCTGTTCATATCATCACAACCTCAAGGCAGGCTCCCGCAGGCCGCCGACACTTCCACTCACTTCAGACTTTGCCCATGCCCTCACTCCGACAGCACACATGCTGCCGCCTGCTGCGTCTGCAAACTGCAAGCTGCACAGAGGTGTGCCTGCGCCGAGCCGTGTACCTTGCATGCCCGGTGCCCAACCACTTTTCGTCTGGCTGTCGTGGCGCGAGTCGTGCTGCACCACGCCGACGGCCCCCCTTCATCCCGTTGTTCACAGCGTGCCAGCTGTCCAGGCACCCGTCGGCTAGACTTGACGTGTCGCGGGGGCCGGCCTGCAGTCCCTCCCGACGAGCGAGCCACTTGGGGCCCTGATCAACGAGACGGCCAGCAGCGCCGCGCTCGAATCCTGAACGGCCGCCCAATATCTAGGCGCCGGCCGTCGTTTTGACCAGAGACGATCCCATGTAATAGGCCATCCTGGCTCTATCCCATGACAATAGGCAAGTATTCTGCAGTACTGGCCCCAGAGGATACTTCGTGGCGCCCTTGTCTCGACATCTGACCCCACGATCGGGCCAGGTGATCCGGCCCAGACAACGACGGTGCAGTGTTGAAACTCTGGAGGCACGCGGCGGCAGAGCCGGGGCGGTCTTGCCGTGTGGCGTCCCACACCTTTGACGAGTCTCGCTGCGAGAACAATGGCGGCGGCCACACCATCGCGGAACGGCTGCAGGAACAACGACAAGAGCTACAGAGCCGCGACTCGGTGCTTCCAGCCTCCGCCAGCGACTGACGGGCAAGGCCCTTTGTAGACACGTAGCCAGCATCCGGGCGAGCAGAGGGACAGAAAACGTGATCTATGTGCTGTGCCCACAGATAGATTCTCACACCCGCACACACACTCCACCCCTTCACTCACTCTCCCTTTTGACACAAATGTCTCACTCTGCGCGTTCCCTGCGTTGCTACTGCTCTTTCGTCTCGAGCGCGGGTCCTGCGATCCCTTCCGTGAACATGGTTCTCTGCCTGACTGCCGACATGAAATTTTGATAGCCCACGTGCTGGAGTTTGACTGGCTTTTGTGACATGTTGCTGTCCTGCAAACCTCGTCGGCCATGTCGCACCGCAATCAAACGCCCATAACGCCCACAAAGCCTTGCCGTCGCTAGTTTTTCCCGGCGCATGTGCTTGTGTGGGTTTTTTCGGTGTGTATGTGCCTGACTTTTTTGACTTCCCGACGTTGGGCGATATTTATTTTTTTTGTCGATTTTTCTTTTCGTGCTTTCACTTTGGTTCTGCACACCACCACCACCACCACCACCGCTGGCGTGCCTGCAGATCCATGCAGGCACACACACACACCATCAGCCACCTTCCAAAAACGGTCCCACCCACCTTTTTGAGCAATCGAGATCATCTGAACAATCAAGAAGGAAAAATCCCAAACCAGACATCATCGGCACCCACCTGATCTGATCTGTCCACAGGTGGAAGAAAAGCGCTTATCCATTCCCGCTCCGAGCTTCCCCTCAATCCTCCTCCTATTCAGTCGCTCGTAACCCACACACACACACAGCGCCCCGATTCGCACAAAACTACACCCCTCCTCCACCCTTATGTAATGATTCATGAGATAGAGTAACCCGGATCATCCTGATGTATTGGAGGTGAGAAAAAAAAATTCATGGAAGAATGCCCAAACGCGTCCATTCCCGTCCAGGCCCTGAGACATTTTGCGCGGGAACGTAAGGCCAAGCTTTTTTTTTATATATAAAAAAGAGAAATTCCCTGGTGGGCTTTTCTTATAACTGTTTTCCTTTGTGTCCCGTTCCCGCGGATGCGTCCCAACGGGGTGGGATGTCGTCAGATACATGCCCTACCCTCGTTTTCAATTGTTATTGGAATGCAAGCTTGGGTCCAAATGCTCGTGGGGCCACTTGCCTCGTCACCTACCCAGGGGGAAGAGATGAGAAGGGGGGTGGTTCAAGAAGGGGAATGCCGCAATGGCTTGACCTGAATGTCTTGAACCATCCAGTCTTTTGACCACCTAATACTTGCTTGGATGTGCTGAAAGATCAAGGTACTTGGGTAATGCTGAAACGAAAGGTATCTGAAATATGTGCCCGCTCGAGGGATGTAGGTCGTGTGAAAGGGATTCGAGTCATCAAACGGGGGACGCCTCACCGGTAAAAAGACGACCTTCACGTGGTCGGATCAGGATCGGGATCAGGCTTTTGATAATCCCCTACTCGGTTTTTGCCGTCCCCCGAAACCGTGGATTTTTCTTGGTCCAGGTAAAGCATTGAGTACCTCAAAAGTCAAGGTTGTCCCTGCGAGATCGCCATGTTTGTTGTGTTACATGTATATATGCTCCGCTTGGCCCCAATGGCTCCTCGTGCTCCTCAAGGCCTTGCTTGGAGAAAAGCAGATTCCTTCCTCTAGTCCAATTTTCTCACCCAAAGACACGGCAGTTCAAAATCAAGGTCTCTGATGTTGCTGCAATCCAAGAATCCAGTTCACAACATATAGTCATCTATAAAACTCATACTTCGTCAATAAGAAGCTCTATATATACACACGCGCGCAAAGTCAAGTGCCAATCGAAAACAGACCCCAATAGGTCGGGTGCTGTGCTGTGCTGTGCTGATGCAAACGCAATGTGTGACGCCGATGCACAATGTCCAACAGTTCTTAAGAGAACAAAAAAAGAGAACCGGCTGGTCTAAGATGTATGCCGCTTTCACCAACCGACCATTTTCCTTTGCCAAGATGGAAATTCGCCCACGCGCGCAATGCAGAAAAATCAAACAGAGAAAGTTGAAAAAAAACCAAAAAACCCGAGCGCATCATCATCCGTCCGCGCAGAGGTCGTGTTACTGCCGTCTGGGCCGAGAGTGTGGAACTAGCCTTTCGACTTCCTCGCCGCCTTGCGGCTGGGCTTGACGGCTGGCGGCTCACTGTGGATGTGTCCAAGCTCATCAATCGCCATAGTGTTCGTCCAGTCCTGGCATCGGAACGTCTCAGGCTCCTCCTTCTTCTTGCTCGATGACTGCTCGGCCTTGGCAGACGACGTTGAGGAAGCAGCTGGCGCAGAGACTTGCACTGCCGGCTGGTTCTGATTCTTCCCGCGTGTCGCCATGCGCCGGCTGGACCTTGTCGCCGTCGCCTCCTCCTCCTTTTGCCTGGCGGCAGCGGCGGCGGCAGCTGCTTCTGCTTTCCTCTGCTCCTCCTCTTCTTGCGCCTTCTTGGCAGCTTGCGCCTCGGCTTCAGCCGCTGCTGCCGCCGCGGCTGCCTCTTCCCTTTGTTTTTCGATGCCTAGATATTTCAAGCGGTTCTTCATGCCGTCGACGATTTTGTCCTTGAAGGCCAAAATCTCCTTGCGCAGTTTGAGCTCGTTGTAGCCTCTTGGATCAAGCCAATTGAGCAGAGAATCAACCTCATCGGGCTCCGAGAAGTAACCCCACTGCCAGGCATTGTAGACGCTGGTCCGGCCTTCTTCCATCTTCTTCCTCTGCGGGACCGTCATCTTAAACTTGGCCTTGTACTCGGCCTGGTACTCTGGGAGTAAATCGATGTATCCCTCGCGCTCCATATCGTCAGGCCCTTGAACCCAGATGCAGCCGCTCGCATAGCCCGCGTGCGCCGTCGAGCTGTTGGGCAGCCCGGCGTACGGCATGCCGTTGCGCTCGAACCAGTAGTACCGGTTCCAGAAGCGGTCCTTGCCCAGGACTCTCGTCCGGCCACAGTCCGCCTCGCGCAGATCGTTCTCAAGCACTGCGACTTCCTCCTCGCATTTCTTGATGAATTCTTCCTTCTTCTGAATGTCCTTGAGGACCTTGAGAAACTGCTTCGACTGCTTGGGCACTTTGGCGGCCAGCTCGGCCTCGCGTTTCCGCTCGAGCTCTTCGCGCTTGCGCTGCCTCTCAGCAGCGCGGTCGCCACCTCTCCTCCGCTTGCGGCGAGCTGCCGACGCGTCATCGCTGTCGCCCTCTTCGCTGGGTTCGTCGAGAGTAGTGTCAGCATCCGCCATACTGACGTCGCCATTCGTTTTGGATTCTTCCTCTTCAGCAGGAGGCGATGGGGGTAGGTTGTCTGGAAGCAGAGCTTTGTGCTCCTCGTTGAGGGCCTTGAGTTCCTCCATGCTGGAATGAGAGTCATATTAGTCGAATCCTCAGCGATAGCACACATGGGGCTTTCTACAGGAAATACGTACGCCTGCTTCTTGTTCCGCTGCCATTCTATCCTCTCCTTGCGGTACCCAGTCATAGTCTCGGCGCACTCCTCCATGTAATTGCGCATCGCCTTTGTCCCTGAGGTCAACATGCAAATCATCTGCAGGGCAGACACCCTGTCGTTTAGGTTGAGCTCGCCATAGTGTTGCCGCACAGTCTCTTGCGTGGGATCCACATCGGCCGGTACGAGCTGCTCCAGAAGGTGTTCACAGGCTTCGGCGTGCCGGTCATCTTTGGATAGCTGATAGAGCAGTCCCACCATAATGAGCTCCCACCCTCCATCTTGGAAGTTGCGCTTAGAGAGCTGTTCGACCCAGTCAAACTCGGCGAGGGCATCTACCGCGCGGTGCTTGATCGTGGGCTCGGGTGTCTCCTCCTTCTCGAAGGAGGCTGCAATCTCTGCCTGCAGTCGCTCAGCTTCCTGCTTAGCTAGGCTGCTCCTAGTCGCGCGCGCAGCAGGCTTCGGCTTCGGCTCCGGCTCGGGAGAGGGCTCTACTTCCTCCTCTTCCTCTTCGTCGTCCTCGTCATCCTCTTCGTCCTCGAGCTCGGGCAGATCGACCTGCAGCTCCGCGCCGTCCTTCTCCGCAGTCACGAGTTGCTTGAGTACCGCGCAATGAATCTCGTCGAACAGCTGGCACGGCGTCTCGGGCTTGGCAATCTCCATGCCTTGCACGAAATCGTCGAATGTGAATGAGTCGAGCTTGAAGATTTCGCAATAGACATTCAGGGTATCCCACGTCTCCAACAGAGGTCCCATGGATTTCATCAGGATCTTGTCGTTGCGCTCGCCATTATCGACAACACCTTCTGGTGGATCGCTGCACAGGAACTTGAGCGCTGGTCGGACATAGTCATCACGAGGCTCCAGCTGCAAGTCTTCGATCGGATATTTCGGCAACGGCGGGGGTGGTGGTGGTGTTGGCTGTCGGTACACGGGCGTGGGGACTGGCGGAGGAATGTTTTGTCGGAATGATCCGGGAAATTGAAATGGGTTCGAACCTGTCGGTACAGGAGACTGGTCGTCGTCGTTCAGTAGGCTTGGGCCACCAATAACGTGCGGTCCAGCGGGTGCCTGATAGTGTTGATGTGCTTTGCCCGCTTTGTGGCTTTTGGGCGCAGGCTTCAATTCTGGCAGGCGGGCCGGGCCGAAGTTGTGGAAAGGTCCGCCAACCGCACTCACGTCATGCATGCCGTTGATCTGGCCGTTAGCTGGCTGCATCCCCTTCTTCTGCAGCTGGTGTTGTTTCCGCTCGAGAAGCTTATTGTCGTAGCGCAAATGCGGCGGGACTCTGGTGTCGATGTGGTACTTGGCTGCGACATCGTGCTTCACAAGCCAGGGCGCGCCCGTCCAGGCCTCGCGAGTGACCGTCTTTTTGATGAAGGAACGGAGTACCTGCTTGGTGAAAACCTTTCGTTCCCGGTAAATGTGCAGATCGTCGACCACAGCCTCCTCTCCCGGTTTGCCGTCTATGCTGGTGAAATACCGCGAGTATGGCTGGGTGATTGTGCCGTCCGGTAACACCTTGCTGCCCATTCTTGACTTGTCGCGTACGATGCCTGTGCACCGCTTGCCGCTGACTAGCTCGATTGTGACCGCCTCGCCCGGGTAGTAGTCGTGTCGGAACTCGTCATAAATCGTGTCGACTAGCGCATCGATTCGGGATATCGTTTGAAATTGGACGCGTCGCAACACGGGGCCTTTGAGGGCTTCGGGAAAAGCCTGGTCGACTTCTTGAGCACCAGTAAGCTGGTGACGAGGTCTTTGTTAGTCGCCGCGCGCTAGTGGTTGAGGCCCTTTACCTGTACTCGAGGCCTCTGTTGAATAACTCACCTCGCTCTTCAGAGCATCGAAGAAACTCTGGCCGGAATGGCCGGTGATTTCGCAAATGAAGCGAGGCTAAGGTGGCCGGTGTTAGTAAGTCCTCGGCGGCGTCACAGGCAAGGAGGACTTCAGGCAAACGAACCTGGTTATAAAAGTCCATGCTGCAACCCAAGTCAGCTTTGACGTTCCCAATTCGTGGTGGGACAAGCCACTTACCGGTGGAGGTAGTCCTCATAGTTGACAAAGATCTCGCCCGTTTGGGGAATATGCCAAACCTGTGTAACCGCGTGTCAGCAGGGCGAGTGATGCTCGGGCTCGGACACTGCGGCGTTGTGGTGCCGGTGTGATGCAAAAAACCAGAGAGGAGAAAGGGCGACTCACATCTTGCTCTTCGTCCTCTACCTGTGGTGGTTGCAAGAACCGCACCGGCTTGCGTTTGAAGAGTACCTGTGGAGTGGATGAGCATTCAAGGGTTGCGCTTTCTCTTTTGGCGTGGCGGATGGTCGAACGTACCATGGTCGGAATTGTACAGGTGGTGGCATAGGCTACGTCGAGATTGTGCGTGTTGACACGGCCAGGTCGCGAAAGAGGGGATCTGCAGGGTCGGGTTGTGGTAGTGTCAGCCGTCTACCTAGCCGGGTTTGCGTGTGGTGCAGGTCCGTAGTCCGAGGTACTCTGCAGGTCGAGAGCCGCTTAGAAAAGAGCCTCGGGCGTGCCACAGAGGCTGCGGACTGGCGTTTGAGCGATGCGCGGGAGCGGACGACGCGACTTTGCAGGGCGGTGGAGCAGCGACGAGGAAAACGGCGTGGCGGTCGGCGGGAGCGGTTGGAGCCCTGACATGGAGTTGCGACGGCACTTACACAGAAATGCTTGCAGACGCGCCTGGCGGGGACAGAGACGCGTCGGAGGCTTGTCCGGAGCGGCGCAGGGGAGCCGGGGCGGGCGAGGTGGTGATGGTAGACGCGCTGGAGCGGTTGGCGAGTGGTTTGTTGTTCCTGGAGAGCCAGGAGGAGAAGAAGGACGAGGAGTCGAGGCAGAGACCAGAGCAGGAGAGTCATGCCGGGCGTGGAGCTGCAAAGTCTCGAGTTGTATGCTGCCGCCGGTGGCTCGGCCGCTGCTGCTGATTGGCTGGCCCAGCCTGACCTCCCGGGATCCAGAGTGGGTCCGCACCCGCTGCCTTCGCCCGCTGTCCTCGCCCGGATCTCTCCTCCTCCTCGACGCGCCTCCGGACGGCCGCCGCTCCTGCCGCTCCCTTCACCACCACACAAAACCCCACAATCGGGTACTCGTTGGATGCGGCTTGAGCAGCACTACCAGGCAGACCCGTCAAGGTACAAAGTTGACAAGTGCATCGCGTCCAAGGTCCTATATATCGTCGTACGGCTCCGGAAACCCTGCCAGTGCACCCCCAGGCTCCATGACGGCACATATCCACCAGCCATCAGCATCCAAGAAACCTTGCGTTCCAACTCGCAATCTACACTCATGAAGCCCCTCTGTCCCAGGAATATTTGTGTGTGAATGAAGGACGAGCGGCGGTTTTGTCCAAGTTCTCTTTGGCAGCACTTCCGTGCACGCCTCGAACGGATATTGCACCGTCCTCCTCATCACCCCGAAGCTAAGGTGATGACCACGCGAACATAATCGACACCAATTTTCCACTTGCCTCCACGATTCATACGTCACTTTCAAGACAGCTCTCAATCCGCATCAACACATCTGTGTAGGGCTGGAGTTTCATGTATCGTACAACTCGACTACTTGTCCATGTCTATGTTTTCTGGCTGATTTTACAGTAGGTTACCGCTCTTTCAAGGAAAACACCACGCCTGTTTTCGAGGGCCTATGAAGTGACATAAACAGACAGGAGACCAATCCAGCTGCCCACGACCCCAATAGCCGAGTAAGAACTGATGAACATGAGCGGCAGAAACTCGTACCGCTTGCCAAAGATGACTGGATGCAGTAGCGAGCAGTAGACCATCAGCGGAATGCTCACCGCAATGTATATGATGGTGAGACGATCAAAGAGGAAAAACCTGGGGCGGTTTGAGAGGGGTGCCAAGCGGTCAAATGTCAACAGGAAGAGTACAAGCCACAATATGGTGTACACGACCTTGATGGGAAACTCTGCTGGGGTAAAGAGAAGTGGGAACAAGGAGACATGACCAGCTACCGCAAGGGGCCGAAACGCGCTCAGGTAGCGTTTGTCCTTGAGAGCAATCAGACTGAAAGGAATGATGATGAGGAGGATAGCCTTCTCGTGCACGTGCCAGCTGAACAGGAAGAAAGCATAGGCCGAGAGAGTAACTCCGCCAATAAAACCTTCCCAAGTTGGCTTCTGGAAGAGCTTGACTAGCGGCGCAAAGGAGAAGATGACAGCGAGCAGAGTGCAAATTCCCTGCGTAATCTCCGGGAGGACAGCGAAAGCTGTATCCCCAATGAGACCTCTGGTGCCACTTTGGAGCGCTTCTGGTTTTAGTGAGAGCCCAAGCTTTGGCGCAACTATGATCAACATGTTAGCAGATCGTCGGCTTCAGCTGAGAGCATAGTGACATACCAATAATGAGCACACGGTCCATGAAAGAGTACATGGCCCAGACGTTGGGTGCCCAATATGCGTGGCAGAGCCCGCGGCTGAATGGGAAGAGCCGGCTCAGTATTTGAGGAATCTGACCCCAATAGATGAAAGGCCCAAATGCTGCCCCAAACACAACCAGGAGGCCAACGCCTAGCTTGACACAGTTTGCAAACTGAATGCGAAAGATAGACTTTGGCGAAAGACAGTACGTCCGAAGCAGCCAGACGAAATACGCCGGTGCAAGGTAGAGATAGATGTGCTTTATGCACAACAGTGCTGCAAAAAGGAGACCACTCGGGAGGAGTCCGGATCTATGGCGAGCGAGGACCAGCGAAGCGATCAGAATCCCGTACATGGCCCCGTTGTACTGGAAGTGAATATGGTCGATGATGAGGAGCCCTGGGGAAAGTAGGATCGAAATGGCGGCAGCCTGCGCTGTACGCTTGGAGAGGCCATGAGCCGAATCGACATAGCTAGTGCAGGCATTAGGAAACCGCGTCGAAATAGAAACCGGAGGGCAGCGGGGAAGACTCACAGCTGGAGAGCATACACAAGGATCAGCTCTGTGAAGATGACGGTCGCTCTCTGGAAATAGATGGTCTGCCAGCTGTCATAGCCAAGATTGTAGAGCCTCAACATGGCAGGGTCAACGAGCTTGGCCACCTGGGCCATGGTCCATTCGAAATAGGCGAAGAAGGGTGGGTAGTCCAGCGTCCATTCTGAAGTCTTTTCGTAGTACCACTGCCATGGAGGCAAGCTGTGGGTAATTGCCAGCCAGTTGCGGTGCACTTCAAAGTCGGTGGATTTACTGAAGGAGAAGTCAGCCTTTCGCACATGTGAAAGCGGACAAGATTGTGGTGTGCTTGGACCAAAGCCGTCTGCCAGACACGAAGAGAGGGATGGTACGCACTATGCAGGTAGCAGCAGGACCTTGAGCGCAGTTGCGACAACGGCGCACTGCGCGATTGAGGGATAGATCTCAGTCATTGGCCGCGAAAACTCATTGGCCACCGGGGGTAAGGGGGGAGCGACGATTCTCGAGTCACTCAAGAAAGTGAGTGGCTGCTGACAACATGAGCTCAAAGTCGCTCGGTACGCTCTGGCCCGGCTGTACAGTTCTGTTGCGGCTGGTGATTGTGAGATTGCCCAGGTGGCATCAGCGGATGTCAATTCAGACGATGGATGGATGGTGGCTGTTGCTTGCTCGTGCGCGACACTAACGACAGTGCTGACAATATACACAGACTGTGTGTTCAGACTGTGTTTCCATCACAGAAGCTCCACACTCCTGCCACAGGCCATGCCAACGCTACGTATGAGGGGCACATTGGGGGAGAACTGTTCGGTTCCTCCTGAGCTTCGTCGCACTGCTGGTGGTTTAGCACTGCCTGAGGCCATGGGATGTGTCCCCCTTTTTATTCTTCTTAATAGCATCCGTCCCATGCGCCGCCGCGTTTTAGGGACACCCTGCGTGTAGGCAGCATTGCTTAGAGCTCAAAGCGCGTTTGTGATGATGGGCTGTCAACGAACTGCCTAACCCCGGGCCACCCCACTCCGAGACGCCGCATCGGGTGCCTGGGCTACGTGCTTGCGCTAAGCAGCTGCGACCCCAAAACGCAGGTGCAACCCTGCCCCTGATCATCCGGGGTCCAGAGTCCGCCAAAGTGTCCTCAATCCGGCCCACTTGCGGCAAGCTCCCAGAGGCAGAGCCGCCAGCCATCACCAGTCGCAGGTCGACCTCCAGCTTCCACTCTCCCTTGCTTTCTCCAAGCTGCTTCCCGCACGTGCGCGCCCTCTCATCATTCCAATTCCTCTCCCGCCCGCTGTATCTTTACATTTCTTGTGCTCTGCCTTCTCTCCCCTCCCACAATGCGTTTCTCCCTGTCGCTCGCGGCCGCCGGGCTCGCGAGTGTCGCCCAGGCGCAATTCCTCGTGAGCGACCTGAGCTTTGGACACACCGGCAGGTTCGCACATGACCCGCGTCTGGCAGCTCCCTCCACCCCTGGACAAGCTCGCTAACACTTGGCATTACCAATACAGACTCGAGGTCGGGCGAGCCATACCGAACTTCGCCATTGCAGGCACACCAGAAACCCCCCAGGTCCTGTCAAACAAGGTCATCCTGACCCCACCAGCTCCAGGCAAGGCGCGAGGATCGATCTGGGCCAACAACCCCAACAAGTATGCCACATGGGTGGCCGATGTCGACTTCAGAGTTGGAGGCCCTGAGCGGGGCGGCGGCAACCTGAACATCTGGCTTGCTCGCAGCGGCAGCCAAGAAATCGGGCAGTCGAGCATATACACCATCAACAAGTTTGATGGTCTGGCTCTTGTTCTGGACCAGCACAGCGGCTCGGGTGGTATGATTCGGGGCTTCCTCAACGACGGCACTATCGACTTCAACACCCAGCCAAACATTGACAGCCTCGCCTTCGGTCACTGCAACTACGCTTACCGCAACCTGGGTCGCCCGTCTCAGATAAAGTTCCGCCAGACTCCCGACAACTTCAGGGTCGAGATCGACGGTCGTCTGTGCTTCGAGAGCAACAAGATTAGCATCCCCCCGGGGTACAGCTTCGGTATTACCGCTGCGTCGGCGGACCTCCCAGACTCGCACGAGGTTTTCAAGATGGTTGTCATGACTGAAAACCTTTCTGCCACCGTCGAGGGGTCACCACCCATGAAGGCCCGGGCTCCTGAGAGCAATTCTGGCCAGGCCAGCTCACAGAACACCAACAACAATAACGGCGACCCGAACGAGATGGCCGACGTCGATGCGGCGAGCATCAAAAGCTCCGAGGCCCAGTTCCGTGACCTGCACAACCGTCTGCAGGGCATCAACCACCAGATGGGCAGCATTTTCCGCCAGATCTCGAGCGTCAACAACATGAACTCGAACCGCCACGAGGAGATGCAGGGCATCTTGAACGAGGTGCAGGCCGTGCTTGGCAGGCTCAACCGCCTAGACGCGCTGGAGCAGAAGCTCGATGCCCTGTCACGCGACATGAGCGACATGCGCCGTGATCTCAAGAACAAGATCCACGACTCCGAAATGTCCGTCAAGAGCGCCATGGGTGGACAGCACGGCAACATGCTCGAGCACGTGGCCACACAGACAGCGCCGCGTCACGGCAAGCTCATCTTTGTCATTGTCGCCAGCCAGTTTGTCATTGTCGGCGCCTACATCTACTACGAGCGCAAGAAGCTTTCACCCAAGAAGTACCTGTGAGTCTGAAAGAAAGGGCCTATTGCGTGGTGATATGATAGGGTAGTCTTGTACGAAGGCACGTGGCATGGTGTGGACGGCGGCTTGAAAATAAATGGATGGGGGGTTCAGAGACATTCGCGATGTTTAGCGTGGATATTGCCAATGGACACACCTGTGGTTTTAACGACGATCATGTTTATAGTGCGAGCGAAAATATTGCTGTTTGCTTTCTTGGATATCACTTTCAACTTTTTCTGCATAGAACTCAGTCTCCTTGCTGCTGATCGAGCAGTGTATTTCAACGGACCCCATGACGAACAAGAACTCATGACTGTAGAAAGAAGATCTCATCTCCCTCCCGCGACGTGAATGCTCTAGCCTCTAAAAACTTAGAATCTAAAAGCACATCTCCGAAAAAAAGTCTCTCTGAACAATCCCCATTGTCCCAGCTCCGCCCTTACAAAAACGCAAGGAAGCTCAGTACTTTGGCGCGGTCGACAGGTTCTCATATCCGTCTTTTGTCACGAGGATGCAGTCTTCGATGCGCACGCCGCCCACGGGCGCGTACTTGTTCAGGACGTCGACGTCAATGTACTTCCTGTGCTCTTCCTTGGACAAGAAGTAGCCATCGATGTACGGCCTGCAGAAGTAAATGCCAGGCTCGATGGTGACGATCATGTTTGGCCGCAGGACGCCTAGCGGGATGCCCGCGTCGTCGTCCTCTTCCGGGGTTCTTGAAGATGGCGCCTTTGATGACGGCGAGGGCGAGGGCGAGAGTCGGGAAGCGGCGCGGGTGCCGGCGCCTCCGGCGGTCGTGCTGTTGTCGTCCGAGTCGTCGTGGTAGTTCATCGACGCCTGCTTGATCATGGCGCGCAGCGTCTGCGGGCCGACAGGCCGGCGCTTGCCCCAGAGGTTCTCGCCTGCGGGGCGCAAGAGGTCGCGGGACAGGACGTCGTGCACGTCGAGGCCGACGTGGTGGCCCAGGCCATGCGGGAAGAAGGCCGCCGCCGTGCCGTTCTTGAAGATCTCGGCCGCGGTGCCGCCGCGCAGGATGCCGAGCGCCAGGAGGCCCTTGACGGCGACGAGCGTTGCGTGCAGCTGCAGGTCGCGGTACACGACGCCCGGCTTCACGCGCTCGATGCACTCCTCCTGCATGCTCTTCACGATCGAGTATATCGCGGCAGCGTCGGTGGTGAACTTCCCCTCCCGGCCCAGGGGCAGCGTGCGGGTGATGTCGCTAGTATAGCACTCCCACTCTGCGCCTGCGTCGACGACGATGGTCTGCCGACCCGCAAGCGGCTCATTGTTGGCGTCGTAGTGTAGCGTCGAGGCGTTGACGCCAGAACCCGCGATGATGCCGTACGACTGGGCGTGAGAGTTTTCCGCAGTACAAGAGGCCAGGAACGCCGCTTCAACTTGGCACTCGTTGGTATAGCCCGAAATGGCCTCGGCGATGCGCTTGTGCGCCCTGGATGAGATGGCGTTGGCTTTGCGGATCGCCGCGACTTCATACTCTGTTTTGATGACACGCGCTCGGTCCATGGCGGGCTGCAGGCTCGTCGTGTCAATCTCGATGCGAGGCTTGACCTGCTCAAAGCCATCAAACTTGGGGAGCTGTGTCGCGTGCAGGACGTAGAGTGAGCGGACGCTGGCCAGTCTCGAAGCCAGATACTTGGGAAGCTCGCTGATATACTTCACATCATGGACGTCATACTTGGTGAGACACTGCTCTGGGGTCGGGCTGTTGCCAAAGTACAATATCGTCGCTGGCGGCGTATACGGAATCCAGAGCGTGAGCTTGTCGGCCGACAAGTCGTATGTCACGGCGCAACCTGGGAAGTTGGCGCCTGTGATGTAGTAGAAGCTTGTGAAGCCATCAGCATGAGATTTACATGGACCAAATTCAACAATAGATGCTCGACTCACTATCGTCGTTGCCGAAAAGGAGGGCCCATGTCTGCATCCTCGTAACTGAGCTCAACTTGTCCGGGCAGAAAGACGATGCCATAGTCGACACCGAGCTGCTCAGCAACTTTCCGCGCGTGCCACTTTGCTATAAGCCGGTCAGCTGTGCTCACCAGACGTTCAGATCACTCATCTACCCATGAACAAAGCTAAACCTCGGTGGGTTCCCAGTCATCTTATAAACGATAAAGGCAGCCAGGCTTACGTACCAGGATACTTCTGGTCCTTCTCGACCTTGTCCTCAGCCGGCGCATCGACCTCAATCGAGCTGCTCACCACCGCGTTAGAAGGCAAAACCACTCCCAGGCTTCCGCCATCGAATTAGCGTAGTCATGCTTGGTGGACATACAGCGCGTCAAACTCGTCCTCTAGCACGATCCGGTGATTCACGAGTGTGGACTCCATCATCATTGCGGCCCTCTTGAACAACGTCCGCGGAGGCTGTAGAGGTCAATAGGGTCTCGTCGACGGAGCGATACCCAACGCGCGGGCTGTTCTTCCGTGGAAGCTACGATCGTGGCCCACGAGATGAGATGATGCGGTTTGGCACGAGTGCTTGACCGACTCGCAATCCGGATCCGCACTTGGGCGGTCTGAGGGGAAAGATAAGCAGATCGCCCGGGCTCACGTCGCAGCGGTAACTCTGGGCACGGGCGGCAGACAGTAGACAGAAAGAAGCTCGACAAGGATGTGGTGTTCGTGATGCTGCGAGGTGCTGATGGGATTTTATTCAGGAAGAGGCCGACTCTTGCCAGCGCGAGAGACCGACTGTAGTCAGCGCATTGTTGTCATTCATGCGGAGACCCTTGTCATGCGGGGAAAAGCGCGCGTGGTGTTGGATAGCGGATGCATCTGCCGAATCAAGAGCTAGTGCACTGTCTGTCCACAGTCATTCGTCCACCGCAGCATGGGCAGCATCTGCAGGGCTTTAGCGGAGCATGACTGGGCTGGTTCTGGTGAAGAGTGATATTTCGTATCTCGTCATATGGACGGCATCGGCTCATCCATGTCTATCAAAGTCGCAGGACGATGTTGTACACTAGTGTCCAGATGCACCCCAAGTTTTCCGGGCTGATGAGGGCCGGCGACCTCAAGGGTCGGGGGCTGCTCTCACCGTAGTCTTTTGTAGAGCGTGCCTTTTGAACCAGAACCAGGACGCCTGCCTCCCATGCATGCAAGACTTGAAACCTTGCTCAGGGTAAAACAAAAAACAAAAAGCAGACACATCACGCTGAATTATCGTGCTCTAGCCAGCAAATATCAAGAACAAGCCCACGGGTCAGTGACGCACTGCCCATATGATTCGCGCCATACGACTCCAGGGTATCATAACAATCATCTTTCTTAGTCCGCTGCGTGCTGTGGCCAGAGCCCATGCCAAGGTGTATTTGCCAGCAGGTCGTCTGGATCGCGTGGCTGTCGCCGAGGTCTGCGGCGCGCTGACGACGTCTGCGAAGGAGGGCGCATCATTGGCGCGGGGTTCTGGGTGGGATGCGGTCGAGGGACGTGCATCTGCTGTACTGGCAGCATCGGGTCGTTGTACATTTGTGTCGCAAAGTCAAACGCAGGCTGAGCTGCGGCCTGCATCATGTAAGGCGGCAACGGGCCCATGAGCTGGCCCTCAATATTATCGTAGAGGTTCGGCACGTAGAATTGCGAGGGGCCCTGGTGCGGTATGCTCGCGGCCCCGTGGTGGAAAGCCGCACGGGGGTCCGCAAAGTCAAGTCTCGCTTGGCTGGGATAGGCCATCGGGTCGCCAGAAGAGAAGAGCATGTTGTCGAGCCGGTGCATCGGATTCGGCATGGCGCCCATTGGCTGCTGGAGATTCAGGTACCCGGATTGACGTATCGCGGCGATGTGTTCGGGGGAAAGACCGGCTGGGCCCAATGATGATAAATCGAATTCAGATCCGAAGGAGGACTCGTTGAAGTCCGGCGCCCCAAACATTGGACTGTCGAAGCCAAGCCCTTGTGACGAAGCTGCCATACTTTCGCTCGTGCCAATAGCCGGGGTCATTGACGAGGAGCCAGCCTTTGGCAGTATTGCTGGACCTGCCACGCTTCGGGGACCCTGACCCGCCTGGAGTGAATGGGACGCAGTCGATATGATATCGGATGTTTGAGCCTCGGCGGCAGATCGTTTCTTCGATACTGTTTTCGACTTGATCTTCTTGAGGCTTTCCGGCAGCTGTTCAAAGAGAACCTGTGGCGAGGGTTAGTCATCACATCAATTAATGGTAGAGCGAACACATACACCCAAGGCGTCAGATATACGATCAGCAGCCATGCTCCTACGAGCCAAACTGCTGATCATATCTTTGCCTGCTGCAGCATCGGCAAGGTAGTCCTTGGCTTCGGGTTTGTCTTGGTTTTCAAGGACATAGTAGATGAGGGTGATGATGGCGAAAAACTCTGTGAAGAGCGTAAACCAATACGGTCCGACCAGGGACACTTGCGACCTCATCTCGATACCCAAGTGGATGATATTGCGCGCTACACTGATGCCAGCCGCGCCACAGTCATAAGCGCGTTTCACATCTTTATCGGCTGCCACCTTGGGCGAGACGTAATGCAGGAATGGCCTGTATAACACCATCTGTACATGGGCAAATGCAAAGCGCAAGAGGTTGCGAACACTGCGATAGAATGGTCAGCTGAATGAGTAGACGGTTTGGAAACAAGGCCTCCCTATGCAGGCACGCCATGTAGCCCAAGGGGGTTTTCGGGTTGCGTGGGTGGTTGAGACGTACCGGATAACTTCAGGGGGGCCATCCGAACTGGGCCTCCATGTTAACGGAAGCTGCTCATTCCATTGCTGTAAAGCTTCTTCCATCTCCCTCACTTTGGAATAGCTGATCATGAAAGACGCATGTGATGCTTTCTCCGCGGATCCGACCACTGACCCAGCTCTGACAGGGTATATGTTCTTGACAATCTTGGCAAGAATGTCCATGAGCTTTACATGGGCGTTGAAAGCCTCAAAAAATGACGGGGTGCCGGGAGGCGGCTCCAGGATACCGGTTACTGTGATGTATTCGTCGTTGACCGTGATAGGCAGGGGCTGATCAATGTCGTCTTCGTTCAAGAGGAGGGGAAAGCCTAGCAGCGCCGAGATGTATGTGTCCATTTGCCTGCACACATAAAAGACCCGTTTTCTTGTTTCGATCTCGATCGGTCCGAAACTTGCGTCACCAATGTCCCGATGCAGACCCATCCGCAAAGCCGAGCGGAGCGCTATCCCCACGAAGCCGTAGCATGTGCTGAGATTCGAGATAGCCTGGACAAACAGAATCATGAAAAGGAGAGCTTGCAACGAAGTCAAGTCTCGACATTCGGTAATGTCCTGCAGAAGCGCTCGCGCTGATGTATGGTACTTGAGCCTGCGGGGAGAATTAGTAATTGTACGATTGGAAATAGGACTGCAAGGGAGTATATTTCTTGTGCTTACCCCTCATCCATTGCCGCTTGATATGGCATGGCGCCGGCGGAGATCTTATCCGGAACATTGTACATACAACCTACCGCCATGACAGAATATGCTAACGCAAGGCTGCGATGATCTTCCACATCGAACGTGTCCGGGTGCTTGGCGTAGATATTATCAAGCATTTCGTAGAATGTCGGAATATGCACAATACGCAGGAGGCATGTTGCGTTGTTGAGAGACTCGGCACACAGCGCGAGCGCCGTCGCCTTGGGTGGTAAATCGTACATGTTTGGTAGGCTGCTGGATCCCGCCCATGGTGAGCTCGCCACTGAGCGAGGTGAGTCGAGATGTGATACTCCGTCTGGTCGGATGTTTCGGGGCATGTTCGGCATCTTGTGCTCACGACCCAGGACGTTGCGGAAGTGATCCTTCATACGCCGGAAGAATACCGAGCCAGAAGCACTCCCGTGGAAGTCATTTTCGCCCTTTTCGCCCAGCTCCAATTGGCCAACGGAGTCAATCATGGAGCTCAATTGGCCGCCCTCTTTGTTTGAGGCTATCGAAGGCGCATATTTCTTTATCGCGGCGGCCTGCAGTCTAGACTGCTCACGCATCCGAAACTCTTGCTGAACGGCAGGATCCAGAGATGGATCATTGAGATCGACATCAGGAATGAAGCGACGCAGTAGCGTCTCGGCGCGGTTGAGCTTGTTCTCCAAGGCCTCTATATATTGTGGTGCAGGATTTCGCCGCCGGTTTGAAGGCTTGTCATAAGTACATTCTGCACGAGGAGGTCAGCGACAGGGCCCGGTGACAACTCAGGACGGGACAAGTTACCATAGCTGTACACCTGGCAATGCGTGCATGGTTGCTTGCCGTTGCACTTGATTTTTTTCCGTCGGCATTCATCACAGGCCTGTAATCAACAGAACGTTAGTCTATCGGGAGGAAAACCATGAGGCCAAAGGGTTCCACGAACCCGCGTCACTCTGCGCCTCTTCTGTAGGGGCACTGCAGTGGTTTCGCCCGAGTTTGTGCCGTTTGCCTGTGAGGCTGATGTCGAGGGGCCGTCCTCATCCTGCGCAAAACTGTCGTCGTCGCTTTCCGATAGATCGACCTCTGGCGTCTCGGTCGGTTCGACCTTGGCCGAGACAGCAGTAGCAGCAGCAGCAGTAGTGGTCTTGGCATTGGCGGACGACTGCGTCGTGGCTTGCGAAGGGGGTGCCATCTTCGCAGTGGGTGGAGGCGCGACGGCCTCGCTTGTCCCCACGGCAGGTTGGACACCCGGCGGCCGCCGTCCTTGGTCGAGTATTTCAAGTGTTGAGGAAAATGGAGGCGCGTGCTCGTTGCATCTTGAGATAATGCCCGAAACACCAGCCGACTTGCAGTCGTTCGGACCCAGTGGTTGGCAGCAGGCGTGGAGTCGCGATGGGTTGTCTTGGAGTCGCTGGGGCTGGGTCGCCGAGGGGGCCAGCTATCGCCGTGCCGGAACAGGCAATGGCGGAGACGAGCGCGACAGCGGCGGAGGCCCAATGCTGTCCAGGACCAGCTGACGAAGGAGTGCTGCGCAAGGGCGAATTGATGGCGGCGTGAGGGTGCAGAGGCGAGGCCCGGCGGCTGGCGGACAAGAGGTGGGCGGGCACGACGCGGGCTGCTGGCGTGTTGCGATGAAAGACGGAGGTTTGGCTTGGGTGGTTGACGTGGGACAGGGACGTTTTGGGCGCTGCAGGGAAGGAGGAAGCAGCCGCCCGAGAAGGGGCAGACGGCGTAGCGCAGGGCCGGGCCCGGGATTACGTAGAGCAGCACACCAGTGAGCACGCCTCAAGGCGCCAGGCGGTTAGTGCCAGTGGGTTCGCGAAGGGTGAGATGGCGGGACGGAGAAAAGAGTGGGCAGAGACACAAGAGCGAGGCACAGAGGCTCTCTGGGCTGCAGCAGTCACAAAGACAAGTCAGTGCTCGTGCCCAGGCATGGAACGGCGGTGGCTCCAGAGCACTCTCTACCAAGTCAATCGAGCCATGCGACGGCGTCCATGGTCGAGGGCAAGAATTCTTCTGTTGATCCAGCCCTAATTAGAAGAGGACTTGTTCGTGACACCAGTTCTCGAGTCACGGCCTGGGATTGGGTCGATTGGGCGGCGTGCCTGTCAATTGGGTTGGGGGACGATGGGATGCCCACTTCCTGGGCTGGCCCTGTCGCCAGGCGGAGCGTTCGCACATGCACATCTCAAATGCCCGTCCGTCCATCTATCAGGCTCCGCTGCCGTGCGACACGCGGGCCCGGACCCTGTCGCGGTCACCAATCTTTACGGATGCGCAAGTGAGTCCATGTTTTTGAGCAGGATAATGGGCGTAGGCAGCATGGATGCAACTGCGAAAAAGCCCTCGCTGACTTCAGTCATCAGGGAGGGCCGCACGCACGCCTGCGCTAGGACCAGAAGAGCTTCGTGAGTCCGACCAACAAGACAACCTTAAATGCACAGTGCTCCGTCTCCAGACTTGGTACTGGCGTGCATGTCGAATCTCGCCTGGGAGAGTAACACCCGGCCAGTGGGGAAGATCACGGAGAGGACCTCGAACATTTGTGCCGCTACAGGCAGCTGGTAAGCATGCCGACTCCACCAAACTCCACCGCGCAGCACAGCTCGCATCTCAAGAGCCTGCCGGCTCGCCGCGATGCGGGTGTAGAGGGCAGACCAGTGGGCTGTCCGAACGGGTGCCCGGCCGTGAGAACCTGCATCCGCCGTGGAACTAGTGCCCAGCCAGGGCACACGGGCGGGGAGGCCCCAGGGGTCGGTTTCGCCGCACCTTTGAAGACTCGGCAGCCCGGCACATGGCTGCTCCAGCCACCGCCCGACGCTCGACGGGAAGGCGGCAAGCCAGCAGGGAGCAAGACAGCATGCGGAGGAGCCAAGATTCCGCCCGGCGCTCGATGAGGTCCAGTGGTTCTGGCCGTTGCCCAGACCGTCGGCCTTATCCACATCGTTGGGCGTGCCTTGTCCCTCCGGTCAGGCAGATCTCGAAGACGTTGGCAGTTGAGTCCGCATCTGAGTTTCGAGAAACGCTGTGGGTGAAGTCGACCCCGGTCGGGGCTGAGCCTATGGGCGCTCATCACAGCAGCCACTTCGGCTCGATGTGGCTTTCTGGGCTCTGCTTGCCAAGGGAAAACGGCGCGTGGTGCTTTCGAGGTGTACCGATTGTGACGTACTCAGGAGCATACGAGACCAACAAGATAGGGAAATCTCGCCTTCACTTCGACGCAAAACCCCAGGGTTTTCGCAGCTGTGCGGCAAAGTCCGTCTTTACGTATCTGTCTTGTAATAGCACAAGTGCTTCTTGTTCCCTGTTTGCCTCTTGCGCTGGTGTATCGTGATAGTATAGGCCCTTGCGAAACCTGCAATTAGCAGCTTCGAGGAGATACAAGTGATTGCGTGGTTTGCTGAACGGGCATGCAAAAGTGGCCCTAGAGGCTCGTATCCACGTGAGTCAATCAAGCTTATTCTACGAGAGACTAGCTGGCAATGAGCGGACGGCAAGCCGCGACTCAATGACGAATGCTGCCAGCCCAGCCTCATCGCGGGTGGCGCAAGCATTGGTGGTGGTTGACATTCTGTAGATAAGTCAACTTGTTCCCGGTGCCAGGCTCGCAGGGCCAGGCCGGCTAAGATGCCGCGATGTACCTTAAGTGATATATGGTTAATACCGGGCAGCCCGCGCGGAGCCTCAAGTGGCAATGCGTGCAGCTCAGCTGAGCCACCACAGTGCACACTTGTCTGAGGCGCTGCTGGTCCATGACTCGTGCTGCTGCATGATACACGGGTACGGCGGCCATCCTGTCGCCTCGGCTGCTATGGTGACATCGCTGTGTGGACTGATGAATAAAGTTTGAACATGACATTTCTGTAGAATTCAGAGTTGGCGAAGCTGTCGCCTGCTGTGAACAAGCACGGCTGAAAGGCGATCCGTTTCGAGGGCAGCCGGGGTAGCCCAGAACACAGGCGAGTCGAGTCATGCCAGGATACGTCTGAGAATTTGCAGCACGGCACTGTTTTTCTGATCGACAAGATCGTATAGTATGGTGCACATCAGCGATCCCCAGTTTGCTGCGCAACACTGTGAGGCTGGGTTGGCAGTGGCAGATGCGAGGCTGCCCCAGCACGAGGTTGGAGCCGCAATACAGACAGGCATATGCCGACGTTCCGTTCACGAGAGGCCTCCGCAGAGTTCTGAGGTCGTTTGCTGTTGACGAGCACTTGCTCGCAGGCACAATGGACGAGTTGCTGGTGAATGTCATCGCTGGCGTTGAGTGCCGAGCGGCGCCAAGACTCCGGGGTCCTGTCGAGTCCAGCACAGGAACATGAGAACATTCCTGTGCCTGCTGGGACGGGCTGAACCGCATGGTTCGCTCAATCCCTCACGAGTTGTTGATGGGACTGAAGTGTGCGCTGCCCCAGGTCATGCTGGGTGGGTTCCAGCGGTCCCGGGGCTCTGTTCTGCCAGCACTGTGGTTTGTCCTCGGAAAAGCGGCACTTAGTGGCTTGGCATGCCAAGACCCTGGGCACCCGCGACAAGTCCAACCTAGAACTTTCCAAGTCTTCCAAGACAACATCGTCGTCTTATCATACCACGTTGTGGCCAGACCGAGCAGGAAGGTTGCACCTTGAAATTGACCAGTACAGGGCGTGGCGCTAGCCTTTCCCCGCCATTCACGTTAAGCAGACAATGCAAGCGTTCGGCAAGCGGCTGTGATGCTTTGAGTGTTGTAAGCTCCACTCGGCGGCACGCTTCTCTAGACTTGAAAAGCCATAGACAAGTATCTCTTCGACTTTTGATTGTTGTTACACGCAGGACAACTTCCCATAAAGTGCCATCTGAACCCTCTGGTGTTTCAAGACCCGATCTCATGGTTCTGAGGCACGGAGAGAGTTCATGGTCAACCTAGCGAACCAGCCCAGTAAAATCGTGCAAGTTGTCTAAGTCTATCCTCGACGGTTCGTCCTGCGGGTTCGTCTCAACTAGATCAGAGATATTTTCCAGTTCCCTTTGTCACGAAAGACCACACTGACGAGGTCCTATTGTCGACGCACGTTTCCATGTCGCACCTTTTTACTTAAGTACCTAGGGTGTCAGGAGTCCCTCAAGCAGTTGGAACTTGCCCACAATCGAGTCTTGAGACCTTGTACCTCCGAGCATTCTGCCATCAGATCAGTCAGTGGAAGTCCTGTGCAACTCAGAGCAAATGGATGGTGATCTTTAGTCAAACTCTTTGGCGATACCTCGTGCACCACCCCACACATCTGGGGAAGCGCGATAAGCCGCCGATAAGAGCTTGAGCTCCTAACCCTAGCCAGTCGACCCCACCAGAGCCGTGACTGTCGACAACGGACGGTGCTGTAGGCACCCGCGTCGTCATCTATTCACGACAACATCAGGAACCAAGCGACAGAGACTTGTCCATTGTACACGAAACTGCCATATATAGCTGTGGTCAAAGGACCCTAGCTCGGTAACGACTGTACAGCCAAAATCTCCCCAAGTCAGATCTCCAGCCTGCAACCCCGCAGCGATCTTGGCTCGCCGTAATCACCACGATACAACAGCGACTGTGCTGTGAGAGTCATGGCGGCCATGGAGGGCCAGGGGCTTCTAACCTTCTTCACGGAGATGGAGAGTCAGGGAGGCACAATCGTCAGAGGTGAGGAACTGGTGACGCGCAAAGACAAAACCCCCAGCATTGGGCACTGACATTCGACTTCCCCAGAAACCCCCAAGCTGGACCTGGAGTTATACATTGCCAACTATGGAGGTGGGTATTTTAACATCGTGGCCCTCCAGCCTGAGGCGGACTCCTGGCAGCTACTGACGCCCATGTAGATCGTTCACGGTTCGACAGGCTCCTGCTCATCGGTCGATCATCGGTACCTTTATGCATCGAAGCCCTGAAAGGCGCAATTGCCGAGGCGAAGAAGGGTACCGACATTCAGCGATATCGTGACGCTTGGGAGTGCATCCGGATTGCAGCGCCTGGTGAGCCTGAGGCCACATGGGATGAGGCCTGGGTAACCAGTACCCAAAAGAGCAATGCTGCTGAGACACACCGGCTAGAGACCGAGCTCAAGGGTTACAAGAATAACCTTGTGAAAGAGAGCATCCGGGTATGTAGGCAATGGGACTCGGATCAGTGCCACAGAATTTTGACATTCTCATGACTGATTACAATTGGCAGATTGGCCATCGAGACCTTGGGGAGCACCTGGAGAGAATCGGAGAGCTTAATGCGGCAGCCGACACGTACCTCAAGATGCGACCAGAGGCGAGCACACAGTATCACATCACAGATCTTGGCAAGCACATCATAAGTGTCATGATGCAGAAGCGAGATTGGTCCAGTGTATTGTCGAACATCACCAAGATTGTGGCTTCGAACTTGAGCGACGAGGACTCCAAGAACCTCCAACCCTACACCAAAATGGTGACCGGGCTTGCTCAGCTGGGATGCGATCGATACTACGAGGCAGCAAGGTCATTTCTCGAGGTCGGAGAGCCTAGCATATGCCAGCAATACAACGACATCGCAAGCCCAAACGATGTCGCCGTCTACGGAGGACTTCTTGCGCTCGCCTCCATGGACAGGCAGGAATTACAAGACCGTGTGCTTGACAACTCCGGATTCCGCAACTATCTCGAGCTCGAGCCGCATATTAGGAAGGCGGTCTCCATGTTCGTCAACGGACGGTACTCGGCGTGTCTGGCGATGCTTGAGGCGTTTCGCACAGACTATCTACTCGACATCTACCTCCAAAAGCACGTCAATGCCATCTACTCGATGATTCGCAGCAAGTGCATTGTGCAATATTTCTTGCCATTCTCTTGCGTCACCCTAGAGAGCTTGCATGCAGCCTTCGCCAGGCCTGGTGAGTCACTTGAGAAAGAGCTTGTCACCATGATCAGGAGTGGAACTCTGAAAGCTCGGATCAATACGATCGACAAGGTAGGTGATGTTTTGTTTCCCACCTGCGATGCAAATGTGCTTGGAGCGAAGTGAAGACTAACTTGTTTTTCAGCTACTGGTCGCAGTCTCGACGAATTCAAGGGTGGCAATGCAGAACAAGGCCCTCGAGACAGCGCGCAACTACGAGAAGGAGGCAGTTGACAGGATCCGCCGGATAAGTCTGGCAGCAGCAGACCTCGAGGTCAAAGGCACGTCGCGGAAAGCTCCGGGCTCGAACAGGGCCGAGACAAGCAATGTCGAGCAATGGTTGGACGACTCCCGCCGGCCAAATGCTCATGTAGACGACTCTCTCATGTGATTGAGGAGCGCAACGAACACACGTTCATGTAATCGGGTGTAGACATGCCGACGGCAGTTCCGAAAGGGTAGCGTCGATATGCTATGCTTTGAGGCTCCGGAAGGAACGTGACCATTCTTACCTGTTAACAGGCCGAAACAGCTCACGGTCGCGAGCATGTTTTTACGATAGACCTGCATGAGTAATGAATACTAGCCTTGCTTTGCAGTTTCCTCACATTGGTATTAATTCAGCGAGTGTTTTGCGAACCAGGCCTTAAGACGTGGTCTTTTTTTTTTTTTTGGTCACCCAGATACAGTCACTTCAATAATGGCGGAGTAGGTAAAACTGTGTATTGTAGCCTGGCGTGAAGCTCAGCTCGCCGACCTTGGAGAATCAAGCACTACCCCATGAGCTGCCGGATATCGCTCGGCGGCCACCGAACCTGCGCGAATGTCAGGCAACGCTTGATGCTCTGGAGATATTTGCGCGTAACCTCATCACCCATGACGTGCCCGCGCTCTCCGTTGTGCAGTTTTTCACGAGCGCTACGCTCGTGGATACCCACCATGGTAACACCAATGGGCCACGCAGCCTTGCCGATGCTGAGGCGCAGGTAACCATCGTTGGCGTCGACATAGCGGCGCTCCTGCGCGGCTTTGACGATCTCGACGACAGGCTTGAGAATGTCGTCGGGCACGTCGGCCTTTTCAAATTTGCGGAACAAAGGTCGCATGTTGTCGCGCGACGAGATCATTGCGTTGATCGCAGCCTTGCTGGCGTACGAGGCCTGCTCTTGCTCCTTGTCCTTGTTCGCCAGTTGCTCGCGCGCCAGGGCAATCTCCCACTCCCGCAGAACCATGGTGAAGTACGACGCCAGCTGTCGGAAGAGGTAATGCCGTCCAGCCTTGTCGCTCGCCGGTGGGACGTCCTCCGGGTCGCACACTTTCATGTCCTTCTCCTCGACGGGCTCTAGTGTCGTTGGTATCGGGCCGGACGTGACGACGGTTGTCAGGCGCCGGTACCGCTTGAGCCGGCTGTTGTGCGACTCGCCGAACAGCCTGGCCGGCTCCCCCAGGGCTCTGAGCTTCTCAAACAGGTCGTCGTCGGGGATGTCTGTGGCGGAGCCATTCTCGCCGCCTTCCTCGGCGTCTCCATCCCCGCTCTGACTCCCGCCCTGCGGCAGCTCGGGCAGGCCCAGGCGTTTCCTCCGCGCGCGCTCCTCGGCCTCGGCCTTCTCCTCGCGGTGCCGCCTCGTCTCCTCGGCCAGCCGCCGCCTCTTCTCCTCGTACTGGGCCTGTTCTTCGGCCTCTTCCTCCTCCCGCTTGCGCTTCTCCGCGGCCTTTGCCTCCCGCTTCGCCTCGAGCGCGGCCTGCTCCGCGTGGTAAGCGGCCTCGCGCTCGGCCTCGGCTTGTCGTTTGGAGATGTACTTTTTGGATTTGGTGTCGGATGCGCCTGATGGTTTCGACTTGGCGATCTCCGCCGCCATAAGCGCTGCAAAGTCCATGGTGGTTTGTCCTCTTGTTCGGATGTGATTGTCGCAGCCTCGTGGGTGGTGCGATGTTGTTGGGGTTGGGTGCTGGTGGGAGGTCGTTGCAGTCGAGAACGTGATGATGGCCGCTGCGCCAGGAGAATCCGGAGACTGCTGGGATGTCGAAGAACGGAGCAGCAGCGCGAATGGATGGGGGCGAGGGGATTGGTTGATCCCGTAAACCGAGTCGCGGTAGGTGCCAAGATGGAGGTGGTGTTGTAGTTGAGTGAGTAACGTAGGCCCCCCCTTCCCTGACCTAAATCTCGAAGTTTTGGAGTTGGCAAGGCCGGCGTCGGCAACAACAGGGCAGCCCTGAAGATGCTGGCTGCAGGGGTCCAGCACTAGCGCGTGGGGGTGGATCGCAGCCAACCTCATTCATCTTGAAGCTTGAATCTCAAAACTTCCCAGCACTCATGCTATACACACACACAGGACGGAGTGAAACTGCCGACATCCATTTGCAGTAGCCGTCTTGAATCCTGAGGCTACAAGCTTTTACGTCGAGGTCGACCTGGGGCTGCCGGTCGCGGTGTTTGGCATTTGGGACATTCAAACAACTCAACAACAACCATTGACACGCGCACTACCAGCGCCCTCTGAAGCATGGATTAATTCCCACAACCACAATAAGCTCTGTGCGCGACGCCTCTACCCAAGGGCTATCTCGCAGGCATGGATCGCCACGCCACGGCGCCGTTCGTGCTGCGGCTCTTCTACCGCACTGGCGCCTTCCACCGACCCGACGAGTTCAACGTCGGCACACGCACAGAACACCTCCCGCCACACCTGACGCTCCAGGTGTGGCCAGACTGCACGCTGACAGAGCTGTCCCACCAGCTGGCAGCAGCAGCAGCTTCGGGCTCATCAAGACACGATGAAGGAGACGACGCCAGACTGCTACCAGACCCAGCTATCGGGACGAGGCTCGTGTTCCGGCTCATCTTTGCAGACTTCCGCGGCGCCGCGGGACCGCCAGACAGCTCATCCTCAGCGTCAGGAGGCGCGGGCAGGTTCAGCGTCAAGGACCTGGGGAGCGTGGTGATTGGAGAAGGGGGCAGGGGTCTGGACGTTTCTGACCTTGACGCCTTGGAGGATGTTGAGATGACGGTGACGGCTGACGATGCGTGCGGCCACGGCGAGCCTGGCGGACGGGCGACAAGTGGCTCAAACAAAAACAGCAATGGCAACACACACAACCTGACGAAGAAGGCTGAGCTGGAACTGGGTTCGGAAGGGTCCAAGACATTGGCAGAAGCCCGTCTCGTGCCGGGCGACTACATTTCATGCGCGATACTGCCGCCGCTCGAAGACGGCTCCGTTGCACCAGCAAGCGCCGCTAGGACTGGTCGCGGATACGGAGCTGGCGAGGCCCGAGCAGTTGGTGCTGCTGGCCCGCCTCCTCTGCGGGGAGGCAGTAGCCACCATGGTAGTGGAAACAGGGCTGGTCGAGGTCATGATTGGGCTCGGGACCGGCATCTAGACAGGAGGGACAGCGGAGGGTACGGAGGCCGGCACGGCGATGGTAGGCGGCGGAGCCGAGGCGGTGGTCCTGACGATGGCGGGAGAAGGTATGGTGAGCGAGGAGAAACTAATCATTTCGGAGACGACAACAAGAGAGGGGTCCCAATGGGAGAATGGCGGCGCGGCGAGGCCTTGCCTACGGTGCCGAGGGGTGAGTGGCGTCGAGGTGAGGATCTCCATGGATACGATGCGGCACCTAGTCGTGGAAGAGGAAGTCGGAGATGGTGAGGGCACCTTGGGTTCCAAAGGAACCCCAAAGAAAGAGCTCTGCTCCAGCTTGCACAAGGTATCGCAGCGACTGAGATCGCTCTGGTCGTAATATCATCCCTTGTCTAAGGGCCCGATATTGCTCACGTGTACGCTGCCGATGCTTTCCAGCCTCAACCCGCCTAAAGCGGTTCCCGCACAGTTCAAGTCTGCCCGCAAGCCGCGAGCCTCAGATGATGCACGGCCTTAAAGCTATATCTCCTGGTGCGCTGCTTTCGAACCCGTTTTGAAGTCATGACCAATAAAATAGTTCTGTTTCGATTGGCATGTACAGCGTCCATCGACGCTGTCTTATGTACACGAGCATCCGAGCTCATCACTGACTTCCCCGCATCGCGTTACTCTTCTTCTTGTTGATTCCACCCATTCTACCATTCCCGCGTAGAGTCTCCCTTTCTCTTCGCCCGCAAATCCCAGAGTCCCTAAGTCAAGAGATCAGCTTGCATGTTTCATATCATCGCCGTCTCGCACGCATCCATGATCAAGATTGGCAAGCGACTGTAAGGCGAAGCCTAATGGAGCATCAATGACTCACATCTGTCCTGTAGGCAATGACTCCGACAATCGAAGGCACAGCGACGACGTAGGCGAAGGTGATCCAGGCCGTGCGTGGGGTCCAACGGAAGTATCTGAAGCGGTTCGATTGCATGGCTGTTTATGATATGGGAGAGCATTTGTTAGCGCGCGATTCCTCTCTCAATTGTCTGTCAGAGAGCCCGCCGAATGCATATCGAGGAATTCCCGTTCGGGTCGCGCCACATGGCGGAAATGATGGCAATGACCAGAGATGCAAGTCTTCGCCAAAGCATCTGTTGGTCCTGGGATCGATGGGTGCGCTCGGCGAATGACGAGCTGGTCGTCGACGAAATGTGAATGGTAGATGCTCCGGCTCGACGTGCTCGATCAATTCTATGGGTCGTACATACCCCCAAGCTTCTGGATGGCCGGGTCCATCGCCATGCCTGTATCGAGGGGTTTCGTTAGCAGTGTCCTTGGATATGGGAAGGTGGGATGTCGACCACGAATTGCCAATCAAGTGGCTCTCGGGGCGAGGTCGGACAGACATACGGTAGTGTTCGAGGCCTCCCATTTTGACAGATACCAGTCCGAGACTGTATGCGTATGTTATGGGTTATTCGTCGGCTCAGGTGGTGGTCGACTGGACTGCGACAGCGGGTTCTGAGGCTTCTGGCGATGATGCTGCTGCCGCAAGCTCGACTGGAGGTCCGAATGGTGCGCGTGGTTGCCTCAGGCCGTGGTCTTGCCTGCGCCACAGATGGATTACCTAAGGTGTTAACCCTATGTTGAGCTTATGCTGAGCCACAACGTCGGTGTGGCTCGACACAAGTGGAGGCAACTTTTGAATCTACGATTAGGTAGCTCCACAGTAGTGGAGCCAGCGTCATGCATTTGATGCGGATCTATTCCGTTGCTCCATCATGAGATCTGGTGCATGCCGAGGTCCCCAGGCTTGCAAGCTCGAGCACAGGAGCTTGCGGTGTTCGGTGTGATGGCATTGACAGTATAGGAGCATGCGAGCTGCAGGAAAATCGCGCTTTCGGAAGCGGTATGTGTCTTGAACAGGCAAATGAAGTGTCATCAGTATGACTCACAGAGTGTTGCTCAGGTGATGGACATTGAAGGCATCCGAGGCAGATCGGAGAGAAATGACGCGGTCCTGCGGCCGAACTCCCCACCCGCACGATTGTGGTCACGAACAACGCTATATCCAGAGCGTGCCTGAGCATCTGCAGTTGAGAAAGAAGAAACTCTGAACCACCCAAGCTTGTTCGACCTTTTCCCATTCCTGACAAACTCCTCCAGCTCAATTGTTGCAGGCCATCATGACTGCCAACGAGAAGCCCAAGGTCATTCTATACTGGTGAGGCCATTATTTGAGCCCCGGGCAATGCACAGCTACTTGTAGTGGCCACTCGTGACCGACACTGACTGTGAACCCGCCAGGCTCGAGAAGTCTCGAGCTCAAGGCATCCTCTGGCTGCTAGACGAGCTCAAGATCGACTATGAGGTCCAGGTCTTCCGTCGTGAGCCGACCATGTTTGCGCCAGCGGACCTGAAGAAAATTCATCCGCTCGGCAAGTCACCGCTTCTGTCCATCACGCCGGCCGGCGCCAGTGAGCCCATCATTCTCGCCGAGAGCGGCAATATTGTACAGTATCTCTGCGACCACTTTGGACAGGACACGACAATGAAGCCCAAGCGGTACCGGGAGGGCCAGGAGGGCAAGGTCGGCGGAGAGACGGAGGAGTTCCTGCGCTGGCAGTACTTCCTCCATTTCAACGAGGGCACGTACATGGCTACATTGGTCCAGACGATGCTCATCAACGCACTCAAGAGCAGCCAGATCCCGTTCTTCATCCGGCCCGTGACGAGCATGGTTGCACGCCAGATGTTCAGCATTGCCATCCTGCCCAACATCAAAGCGCAGCTGGGCCTGCTCGAGGAGCGCCTTAAGACATCAGGCGGCGACTATCTGTGCGGCAGCAACCTCACTGCCGTCGATGTCTTGCTCTGCTTCGGCCTGATCAACGCCCGGAATGCGTTTGGGACAATGGGCGACTTTGGCGGTGAGCCGAGCTCGTTGTACCCCAAGCTGCACGAGTACATTGCCCGTCTGGAGGCGCACCCCGGCTGGAAGAGATCGATTGACAAGATCAGCGAGATTGATTCTGGCGCGGGCATCTACTTCGCTGCGCCGAGCTGAACGGCCAGCCGGATAGGCGGTGGCCCGCCGCTCGTGGCGTGAAGCAGCACCTTGAGAGCGCAAAGGCGCATGTGCCAAGGATTATTGGGAGAATGTTAGCCTTGCCACGTGCAGAATCATCATCGAATTGTCCATAAGTAGCCACAATCTCAACTCAATGCGTCCCATGCTCGAACATCTGAACTGTTTTTGTCTGGTCATAACACGCGACGAGAGACTATCGGGTGCCAGCCGCACCCAGCCGCTGCGGCAACTCTTAACGCGACTGCAGCTCCTTGAACCAGCTCGAAGTGTGTTCCCATAATTAAACCGTCCCATGGATGCCTGCCTGCCCGACAGACAACAAACGCAGAACAAGCTAAGCATCCTAGGCGTCCCAGCCCCAAGCCCACTGGCTGTCACAGGTACGACTCAGGACACCGATTGGGCCAGCACTGCGAGCTGTGGCTCCTTGCTCCACTCTGCGCAGGAGAACCTGGACGGCGCGTTGCAACGTGACGCTGTGGACGACCTGCTTCTCGAGGCTGATGCCATGGCATACGACGAACTGTTGCGAAGCGAAGGCCACCCGTTCCCACTTTCGACACCGACCATCTACCTGAAGTAGGCATTTAGTGTAGGTAGCCTCTGACGGCTTGCCAGACCTGACGCAGTACGACTGGGCCTGGCCTTGCTTGCGCTAGGCCGGGAACTCGCCATGACGTCAAGGCCGTCTGCTTGCCCACTGCATCTGCGCGCGTCATGGTAGAGAACGACTGGCCACGATGGCGTCGACAGTGCCGTCTGGGATCGACCCGCTCGCCTCGTTGTTACGGTCATGACCGGATGCACAAACCAGCCATTGCCCTCTGGCCGCTCCTTTCCATTCGGCAAGCATGCCAGACCTGGTCGCACTCTCCGCCATGATTACGCTACGCGTGCACTGCCCCGGTGGTCGGGCCGTTGGATGCTGACAGGAACCCGCTCGCTATCTTCCAAAGTTCCACGGCTCCAGCTCTCAGCCAAGCACTAAAACACCAGAACGCCCCCGGCCAACGCAGGTCCATGGCTGTATCGGATGTCCTGTCGTTCATTTGCGGTACTAGTGCATGCCAGCTTTGGATATCGACAGTAAGTGCGCCGTGTCGGGCTTCCGGCAGGCCCGGGGCTAAGACGGCCAAGGTTCCGCGCGGCTGAGGCTTGTTTCCTTTCCCAGAAATACCCCCTTCTGACAGCTGTGCCATTTTTATCAGAACGAAACGGCTTTCCACGAGACCCTTCCAGCTTTCACATGACAAAACACACCGACTCTCCACCCAATCTACGAGAACATCCTGGCAAGCCTGGGCATCAACCTCTCGCGCGACCGTGCCAGTACTGTTTGTGGTCTCAAAGACCCTTTTTTGGTGGGGTCTTTCTCCAGCATCCGTCTGACTTTGGCAGGTCAGGTTACCTAGGTAGGGGGGAGCTCGCTATCTGAGCACGCGAGTCCACCAGACCCAGCGACTGGGTTGCCCCCGGCACTTCCGGACTTGGGTACATGACATGAGCACCGGCCAAACCCGAGTCTTTTCTTGCATGCAGGAACGCTTGCATCGGTCTTGATCACTCTCACGTCTGCATATATCTCGATGTCAATTGGTATGGCCTTGCTAAACTGCCGAGGTTGAGGATTTTTACAGGCAGTCACGGAAGTTTGTATTGTCCGCCATGGAGTCGACAAACGTCCAGCTGGCTCATCAGCATGTGACGGCCATCCCAGTGCCGTCTTACACCGCACAAGAGTCTCGACCCGACGACGCTTCGCCTTCATCAGACAGCAACTTGGAGGAGGAACCGCTGTACATTGATCACGAAGGTGCACAGTCGATCATACAGCCAGCCATTAGCCGGGCGGCAACCCGTCTCACTTCGCCGGCAACACCAGCTGCAGAGAAGAAAGCCGCTCTGGATTATACTTCCATCAGCTTCGGTGACGACGACGGCATCCATGCAGGCAGAGAGGACCACCCAACCCACACACCGGAATTCCAGCCCTCTACTCTACATGCACAATCTCAAGATCAATCACCAATTCTTCAGCCTGAACACAAGACCCAGCAAGCCATCTCACCGCGATTTCCGAGCTTGAAAGACTTTGTCTCCCAGGATGACACGGGGTCCAAAAGTTCCCTGTCGATAGTCTTCGGCAATGGCAAGACAACCAGACATCGCCGCTCGTCTTCTGGCGGTGCAGAGACGTTCAGGCGTCTCCGGGAAGCACTGCCTTCTCTGCCGCGGCCCTCGTTCTTCTCAAGCCAGGGATCACCACGATTCTCAGCGGCGCCGTTCTCTAGTAGTGCACTCGCAAACGACGGCGCATCCGAAAGCAAAGAGCGTTTAAGACTGCAATCACCTAGCTTGGCAACATCGAAAACAAACAGTCCTGTTGCCCAGCTGACAGCTCCAGAACCAGCAACAGATTCTGTTGACGCAGCATTTCCCTTACCAACACGCTTGTCGTCCCATGCGGTACGGCCAAAGGCACCTCGAAGGTCGACATCCGACGAGTCCATGCTTTACCACTCAATGTCCCGCGTATCGTCGTTAGGAGACGATAGCAGATGGCATGATGTACGAGAGATGAAGAATAACAGGTTCAAGGCCATCACCGACAGTTGGGACAAACCGACCTTCAAGTTGCCGAACATCCCCAACATGATCCCAGAAACGCTGAAGAGAAACTCGATGCTGAATTGGGACTCGTCACAAGCAACCTTGACTGAGAGTCCTCACGGAAAGGATATCCCAGATCTCGCAGGCTCGCCTCCAAAGGACATTCATTTGTCTGAGCTCGATCGAGCATTGGAGTCCCTGACAGGAGACATCGTGATCATGGGTGGGTATCGAGGGTCTGTGCTTCGGTCGGCCCGTACGAATCGCCAAGTCTGGGTTCCAGTAAAGGTCGGCCTCAACATGCGCAAGGTCAATTTGGAGGTTGGCCTGGACCCGGAAGATGAGGAGCAGATGGAAAACACAATATATCCCGACGGCATGCTCAAGAACATCGGTCCTGTCGACATTTCAAAGCGACTTTTCAAACGGTTACGGAGTTGCGATAACGCAAAGTCTGGCAAGTTGAGGATATGGGATTATGGCTACGATTGGAGACTGAGCCCAGCCATTCTCTCACGAAAACTTCTCCAGTTTCTCAAGAATCTCCCTTCGAATCGACCTGGAGTGAAGCCCGAGGCCAAGGGCGCTACCATTATTGCCCACAGCTTGGGGGGCCTGATCACCAGGCATGCTGTCAACCAGAACCCGGACCTCTTTGCCGGAGTCATATTTGCCGGCACGCCACAGAGATGTATCAACATCCTGGGCCCATTACGAAATGGCGACGCAGTCCTCTTGAACGAAAAGGTCCTTACAGCTCAAGTCAACTTTTCACTGAGGACCAGCTTTGCACTCTTGCCGGATGACGGGTTTTGCTTCGTTAACAAGACGACGGGTGAGGAGTACAAAGTCGACTTCTTCGACCCGAGTGACTGGGCAAGGTACTGCTGGTCGCCATGTGTCGGAACTCCTCTCCCCGTTGCGCGAGGTCGCACCAGCACCCTTGGAAGTTTGCGCGACTTCTCCGGCAGATTGCCCAGTCCGCTTAGGAACCGAGGGTACAGTACCGGCAATGACTCTCGACCACAACAAGGGACAGTGCGCGAATCACTCGCAGATGCAGGGCGGAAAGCAGAAGTCACCAATGATCGAACGCTAGCTCCTCAAATGGGCACTCTCAACGACAACTCATCGACAGCAAGGCACCAGCACCAAGAGGCTCAGGCCCATGCTAGTCATGATCCCGAGTTCCATGTTCGCAACATGAAGTACTTGACACGGACACTCGCCGAAGTCAAACAATTCCGCAGCGAGACTGCTTTCATACCTGAGCATGCTGCCCGGAATGCCTATCCTCCACTTGCCGTCATCTATGGCAAAGAGGTGCCTACCGTGTACGCAGCACATGTGACAAGCCGAGAAGCCATCGCCCGCACCGATGCCTACGACAACCTGCTTTTCCAGAGTGGTGACGGCGTCGTTCTGGCTAGGGAAGCGATGTTGCCGCCAGGCTATGATCTGGTCAAGGGTGGCAGGATCAGTACAGATCGAGGCCACATTACTATGCTGGGTGATATGGACGCGGTTGGCCGCGCATTGCAGGCGATCATACGGGGTAGAGCCAAAGGCATCGGCCTCGGAAAGAGTCCACTTGCTGTCTGAAACGATGGAATGCAATGCTGTGTGTGTGAGAGAGAGTACTGACTTAGCCTATAACCGAATGATGAACAACGAACTTCTGCTTGTAACAGGAAGAAACTAAGTATATTTGAGGTGACCACATACAGTGTACACGCATGAGAGACCAATTTGAATATGTATACCTCGAGCATGCGTACAATTCAGGTCTGCGTGTTTACCCACAAGATTCGAGAACGAGCACAATTGATTCCTACGACGACAAACCACCACAGTACGACCAGGCACAACGGACCCAGAAATGACGTTCATGACCAGTACCGATACCGTCTGTAGAAAGCAAGTCTCGATGCCGTAAAGTCCAATGCCCCATTTGTACCAGCAACCTCAGTAAAAGGCCAGCAGCACCGACGCGGACCTCTTGGAGTGTATGAGTCTCGCCTGCCTATGCCCCAGGACGGCAGTACTGGTAGTCCAGAGCCTGAAGCGCGACTGGAGACCTGCCTGGCCTCTCGTGATGCTGTTGATGATAACTTCTTGGAGCATGATCCTGAGCATGAGGAACTCTTGATGCTCCAGGTCGGTCGTGCTGAAGTTCTGGGATCCTGGCCCAGCCCCACGTCCAAGAGACTGATGGTGTCTCGAAGTTTCCTCTCGACATATCTGTTGCGCACGGGCGGTTCAGAGAGACAACATATTCTTTCGCGTATCTTTGCGGAGTCGTTAATTGCGGGCAGTGAATGGCATGGTCCTTCGTTGCAGCCATGGAACTCGGTGTTGTTGGGGGCAAGGACGATGATGATGTGTTGTAAAGCTGGAAACAGTCCGAGTACATGTCGGAAAAGATCTTGTGCTTGAAGACGGCCTTGACTCGTGGTTATTTGTGGGCAAGGTGGTATCGGTGCCTGGAGGTCTGAGAATAAGGACTGGGGAACATCCAGCGTTTGAATTGAGGCTGCTCCCAGTGTCTCGATATGCAAAGGAACGTGACGAGTCACTAGAGTGTTCACTATTTTGACCGAAGTATTGAGGACCACAAGATCGAGCATCAACACAATGTCCCTGCTGCAATCGATGAAGCTGTAGCTGTTGCCGCCGCCAGGTTCGTAAAGCTTCTGATATAGGCTGAGAGCCTCGTGTCGAGATTCCCGACAAACGTGAAGACTGGCTGGGATAGATGGCGTTGCCGTTGTGATGTTCCCTGCATTTTCGGCACGTCGTGATTCTCGTGAGCTTCCGACAAACGACGAGACTTGTGCTTGACGGTGGCGTAGAGGGATGAGTCGAGATCCAACGGCGTCGTTGCTGTGGCACCAGATCTGCAGCCGTAGCTTGGCTGGAAGTGCCCTGAATCGGCTCTAGGGATGCGTGTTAGCACTTTAAAGCCTGTGAAGTTTACACTGGCTCCCTTGTGCCCGCAGTATACGCACAAACCGAGCGGTACCAAGAGTCTGGTCAGATGACAACATTCTGAATGTATCTCGGGCTCAAGCCACGTTCCGGGACCTTGTGACACTCATGAGGGCAAGAACATGCTGCCAGCCTGATGGCGAGATGACAACTCCAACCCTGCGAGCCTTTGACCTTGGGCACATGGCAAACAGCGCCAGGAGGCGATGTATTGTGTCTTGGCGGACCCGGGTGTCCGGTAACTGCATTCTTCATCTGAGCCAAAGCACACCCTACTACACGGCACATGCCATTGTGGTGCTGTTAGTCGGCAGCACCATTGGACACGCCGGCCGGAAGCTGGCGACAGATCTCTGGATCTGCTCGTGCTGTGAGGGACACACACAGTAGCTCGACATGATGCACGTCTCAGATACCAGCAAGGCTGCGGGCCGCGACGCCGGGCTCAACGCTAGTTCCAGTCGGGCTGGAGCTTGGGAACAAGAGACTGTTGTGATGGCTGGCTGGCTCCGTGAGGGTTTCAAGCTGAACACAACTCTCCCACAACCAGTTAGCGGCAGCCACGGGCACGCGACATAGCCAGCCAGCCAGCCTGCCTCGGGCAAGCCAGGGTGACATGCTTGGCTCGACACATGTTGTGTTCGACATGCTGCCGACTCATCGGGCGAGTCTTCGCAGTGCAAGCTGGACAGGAACCAGGCCAAGTCGTGGTGCATGCACCATCACGTATCATCTCACGGTGGGCACGGAGGCTACTCAGTGTCTGGCGGCCCTGCTGACCGCTGTTTGCTTTTGTGGGAAAGTCCCCATCCCATCAAAGAATCTGGTGCCGCGAAGCTTTGGGCTTGACTTGATTGAGGCTTTGCACAGTCCTGTCGGCACTCAACCGTGCCGGTATGGAAAACCCAGACGACGCATTCTCCGCGATGGCCTGGCAATGAGTGAGCACACACTCGAGACCCTGGCCATCCGATCCAGCCGCCCCACAGGAAAGCACGAAAGGGAGAGACGAGGGGAGACGGGTTGGCTTGGGGAGTTGCGCAGCCAAAGCAGCAGAATCTTCGAAGCAACGCGAAGGGCGACCGTCTCGCATCGTGGCCTTGTCAGGTCTCGCGCGAAGCACCCAGCACGGGATGCCACCAAGGCCGTCTCGAGTTCAAGTGGACGTTAGCCGCGGACGAATAGGCAGTGCTGCTTGCCGCGTAACTGAGCCGACTCCACTGCCGTGCATGCTCAGGCGCCTGGTTATCTGCCAATCAGGCCGCCCGACTTACACCTCTGCGTGCTGTCACACCCTCTTCGCTTCATGATCGGCATTCAGAGTCGGTCTTCGTGACCCGTCACTGGTTGTTCCTGGCAGATGTGCATACGCGCCCCCGTGCATAGGCGTGTCGCCCTTGGCTGGCGAGAGACGCGCAGCTGTTGTTTCTGCACACCTGAGATGATGCGCTTGTCGTGCCTCCACTAGGGCTCACTTGGTTCGCGTCCTGGTTGGTGTCATCATTTGAGCCGAGACGCAAGTGCCGGCGGTTGCAATGCTTACGCATGGTTCGGCATCACGACATCTGGGGGCCTTCTTAAATCGCAAGATCCCCAACTTTCGTGATGGTCCTTGCTTGAGCCGTCCCAACCATTCTATTTTGTACGGGCTTTTCCACTTCCAAGGCGATATTGCTGGCCAAATTTGTCGCCATTCCCTTCTTTCGGTGCATCTCCTTTCTCTTATCCCCAACTGCACCTTTGACTGTTCTCGACTAAGCGACACCATGACGCCCGCGGAGAAAACACAGGCAAGCGGCTCCGAGTTTGAAGTCAGCTCCCAGGAGCAGTCAGGCCAATATGTCGACAAGCGCTCCAAGACTTTTGATGCCATCCAGGTGGCACTCTCCAGCTTGAGTTTGCTCTGTGGTCTCGTTGTCCTTGGAACGTCCTCAAGCGTTGCGTCAGTCTACAGCTCGACACATCTGCCCATCGAGCTGGACCTCCCACTATGGCCTGAGGACTTTGACATTCGCCCAACCAACGCCCTGATTGCCGGAGGTGTTTTGGTCGCCGTGGTGAATTTCGTGGCTCTGGCGTTCGCCAAAATTCAGAAGGTAAGTTGACCTTGGGGACCATATGAGACTGCAGCAAAAACATCCAGTATACAACGCTGGCGTAAGGCATTCAGCTTGGCAGATGGCGACTGACTTTTGGTTGTGATTTTCCTTTCTAGCTCCAGAAACTTCAGATGGCGCAGCGTATCGTCACCTTCGCGGCTCCGAGTATTGGATTTCTGTCGGTCTTCGTGGCCGTCGTGCTGTTCTACTCGGTCAACGCCTCAACCACCACAGATACCGTGCACAGTTGGAGCTGCCAGTGGGACTACACCCCTATGAGCACCAAGCCCTATTTTGATTCGGTGTGCAAAGAGAGCAAGACCGCGCTGTATCTCTCCATCATCCTGATACCGGTTGAGGCTGCTGCACTCGGGCTGGGGCTGTACCGCATGCTCTTGGAGAGGAAAGCATTGCAAAGCAACCCAGCGAGCAAATCCAGCAGTCCTTCGCTAGCGTAATTCGTGCCCCGGAAGATTGCTGACTGCCTCATGGCTCCTCGTGGCTGCTTCACTGGGGCCAGGCGAGACTCCCTGAGATGTTAGCCTTTGGTGCCGTTTCCTTCCCTAGGTATTCTTGAAACCAACCCACGATGGGGTTCTATCAAGGCTGATGGCGGTTGGTTTGTGAGAGTAAGGATCTGGTCTGGAAGCAGGAACATAAGTCTACCTCGAAGTATAATCGCAGTTTGATTGGTAATATATGGTCCGATGTTTGGCATTGCCAAAAAATGTGCTACCAAAGATTGCTATATTTAAAGGCAAGGCCTGTCTCTGATTGTTGCATCCCGCAGGCGAAGAGTTGCTGATGTCCGTTTCCATGGTTGGGTGATAGTGGTGGCCGTGTCGCTCTGGAGAAGGCATGTGAAGTGGTCACACCTGATTCCCGCCCTGTTGAGATCGTACCGATGGGGATCCTGGTCTCAGCTGTGGTTATTCAGCTGTACTGTAGGGCTCGTCTACTGAGGAAAGGTGCCTGGCATGGTTCGTGCGCGAAGATTACTCTATCAATCTACCCACAATAATGGGGCTGTTAAGTGCGCAATCATCCCAGTCGCTCGTGGTAGGACTGGCTGCGGTGACGCCAGCCCAAGGCCATGGTGTCTGAACTCAAGACAGGGAGGGGTCCCGCTTGACCCATGTCGAGGCATAATGAGCTGATGTGGTCTTTGGCCTGAATTGGATTGTCTTGTCCTTACAACCTTGGCTGCTATTACGGTACGCGGGATCTCGTATACAGACGTGAGGGCCGGGGCAGCTGGGCCAAGGCGTGGGCTCAATGCCAGGCTGATGGGCTGCTGTCAAGAGCGACCAGGCCGCTTCATGTGGTCAAAGAAGTAATCTAGGGCCTGTGCGCACGCCTATCGCCAAGAATCTCACGTGCGGCTGCGTTGCATTCGCAGGCGCGTCAATTGTCGTCAGGCATTGCGAGGCTCCGCGATGTTGGCGATCGAGGTGTGCGTGCGCTTGGCTTGGCCGAACTCTGAAGTGACTAGCACGGTTGCGAAATGCCGAGTCTATGGTCGAGAGTGACTGCTGATTACATGGCACCGTGGAAGCAAGATGCCGCTCTGGTGTGTTGGACGAGCGTGCTGATCCTTGTCGTGCGGTCGGTTGTCCCAGCTCACGCCGGTCCATGGTCGTGGGCCTGTCAGAAGCCCCGGGGCATGCAGCTGCCCGCCTTGAGGCAGGCATGGCTGCATGGGCCTGTGCCACCACGGTGTCCAAGGCAGGCACAACCAAGGCATCCCTGGCGCCAGGCCTGAAGGAACCCCGGGTGTCAGGTCGGCAGCACAAGTATCCCACCATCTTGTTGACTTGCTTCTTGCAAAGCCGCCATCAATAAAGTCGTCAGCTCGCCCACAATTCCAGATCTCACAGGTGCCCAGTTCCTCTCATCGAAAGCACCCTGCCCGTGTGCCACCGTTGTCGCCAAGATTCGGCGTGCGCAGGAACGCCTCGCCCACCACCGTTGTATTAAAAGACTCTAGCATCGCTCCTGCTCTCGCCATCACACCTGACACGCACCCCCGACCTCATCCGGATTGTGGAGGCCGAGTTTCTCCAGGGTGCTAATACTGCACCGTCCCCCCATTTCCCGGCCCGACGCTGACACACCACGGGCTTACAACTGCCACCGCACCTGGTGGTGTCTGCACGGCTGCTGCGTGGCGTAGCTGAGTTGGCAGGCCTTGGAGGCTAGAGAGGGCCAGCATACACCAATATAGAACCAGTGAGGAGGTTGAGCGCTTCGATAAGCCCTTCGAACCCCTGCTCTGGATCCTCGTGTTATCCAGTCACCGTACCAAGATCGCCCAGCGACCCCCCAGTACCCTACGCTAGGCCCTGCCAGCACGATCCCTCTAGCACTAGAACAATGCTACCTGTCCGTGCTCTCGACACCACCACGGTGGACCCTGGACACCAAGATGCGGGCAGCAGTATTAATCGGATGGCGGCCGCTCCTGAACCTGCGGTCAAGGACCGACCCTTTACTACGACACAATCTGTCGCCAGCTCCAGCCGCCCGTCGACTGCGACATCTGGGGTCGAGACTACCCCATCTGGCAATCCTCAATCGTTCGCCCAGCGGGTAGTCCAGCAGCAACCACAACCGACTCCCACCACGAAGCGGAACATGCAGAACGACTCCTCCCGGGAAACCGGCGGGATGAGCGAAATCGAGCGAGGGGCACCAGGTGACCCCATCGGCCGGCGAAGATCTCAGCTCAATCCTGACGTACAAAAGATGAAGAATGCATACTTCGAGAATGAGTTCGCAGCCACAAATAGAGACCCGGACCCACTTCGCACCCAGCAAGAGAGTCGGGCCATTATCATGGCAGAATTCCGAACAAACGTGATCGTAAGTCGGTAATTCTATCACCTGGCGTGGCATAGGTGACTGGGCGTCGAGGGTCCTCAACGTCTTGCATGACCGGGTGGTTCCTGGCTTTTACTGACAAGTTTGTAGATCGACGACGAGTTCAACTTTATGATAGACTTGACATTTCTTCTCTCGTCCCGCTACCAAAGGCCAGTGTCCTCTATAGTCGTAGCTGTAACACACAGCTGCTGCTTGATGTTTGGTGGCTCTTTCGACTCAGCATACACCTTGACAATCCACACCTTGCCGAGTCTTACGCAACCCATCACGAATAAGCGCAATGCCGCATTGATTCAGAGGCATTTCGAAGATAAGCTAGGCGTCAACCCATCCCGAGGTTACGTGCGCTTTGTTCCCACGCCAGGTGACGAAGTGGCTTGTGGGGGACGAACTCTCACAGCCGATCCTGAAGAACTGGACAAGGCCGGCTCTGGCGACGACAATGTCTCGATGACACGAAAAGCATCAAAGCAGAAATCCAATCGGAGGTTGAGACCAAAGGTGGGCTATCCCAAGAAAGTCCAAGAGAACGACTAAATGGCTAACACTAAGCAGTCATTCGCCAACGTCAAAACCTCGTCAGCACTCGACCTAAAAGTCCCCACGCCACCACCAAGTGCAAGAAGTGAACACATGCATATTCCTCCAATTCCAGAGGTTCCTCCCACGCCAACTGAGGACAGAGGATTGCTCGGCTCGAGTGAACAAGGACGGAGGACGGCAGGCCGCCGGAAGAGCTTCAAATTTAGCCTTTTTGGCAGCAATAAGGCAGCAGCAACGCCCGAACTGCGCCCAAATACGTCCTATTCGTAAGACCTTACTGTAGGGCGGATTGCGAGGCTGGTGGGGATTTGCAATAACAAGCTGTGTTGAGCTCACTTGGCAAGGCTGCGTTTCTCTCTCGATTTCCCAAATGGACATTATCGCGCGCGTTCCTGCCATGGAACGACGGAGCTTGAATTTTTCCTGCCAGAACCGCATGAAAGATATCTGACGGGCTCTCGATTGTCGAGTTGGAATGATCGATGCTGCAACATGCAGCTCAGGAACTACAATACTGCAGGGGAGGCCTGCGAAAGAATGTGTGATACGCGAGGCTCTATTGCAAAGCACGGGTCACGAATAATAGGGGATAGTGCCATGCGAACCTCAACACAGGACAGTGACTATACTATGATACGATGGAGTAAATGCCGCGAACTCTTGTGACTTGATTGGAACTGCTCAAAAGGTGAGGCCAAGGGAGTTGATGCGGACTTCAAAGTGGTTGTCGGTCTTGAGGTTCATGGGTGCCCCACTTGTTCCGGAGTCACCCCCAGCCTCCTTGAGCCCTCGAGCCTGGAAGCTTTGTGCCCAGATGGCAAGCAGTCAACCAACTCTTAAAAGCCGCCACTCCATGACTCGCATCAGTCTTCGAGACTCGTAAAGCGGCTTGAAGCCGGCGCGGATATTCTGGGAGCCGCTGCTCGTCTGCTCCTCGCAAGACATCGCGACGTGATACCGTATCGCATACAACGTAGCGCCTGGGCGTCTGGTGTGTGGCGGCATTGGCAGGAAGCCGCCTCAAGCCGCGATTGGGTCAAGAGCCCCAATCCACACCCAAACAGCACTCCCTCGCCAACAGCAGCACAAGCCGCCACGCCCTCATACGTCAGACATCGCCGCGCATTGGCAGCCCTCTGCTCAAAAAAACCCCCGGACAACTCGCGAGAGCGGGTAATCCCGTCTGCGCATCGGACTTTGAAGCCTGGCACCTGCTGCGCTCCGCTAGCGTTGTGCTCGTGCATCTGCGACCATCGGGGAAGGGGGGTGATCCTGGCCGAGACACCATCGGCCTATCAGGTCCTGGCAGCGACGACGGCGACAGCACCATTGAGAGAGCAGAGCCAGCGAGGACAGCAAGGAGACCTGGTGCGTGATCCTGCAAGACGGTCAAGATGGAGGTAAGACGATCTCTTATTTCTTCCGCTGCTGCTTTCTACTTGTTACCTGGGGGGGCGGCACTTTGTGTCACTCATCATATCAACCTGCCGGCCTCGCTCTTCGCGTGTTTCGCTGTCGTCCCTCGTCGAGTGGCACAGGATTGGCATCGCCGTCTCATGCTGCTCTCGGCAATGTCGCAGGAAGAAAGGACCAAGGCAGCCAGCCAGCACCCAGACCGGCCAGAACTCAAGACTGCTTCCCTCAAGGGGGGACGCGTGCCAGGTGCAGAGGAGGCCCAAAGGCGGCTCCCCTCCTAGGCTGAGACCGTATCGACACTCGGTCCACGTTGTAGCAGCCTCATGTCTGCCTGCCTGCCTGCCTGCCTGCCTACGTGTCTGCGAAGAGACTCGGCCGCCGCAGCGTGCGCAATCTTGCCATCCATCGACCAGTCTGGGTCACGGGCTGCGGGCGGCATCACCAGCTGAGACTGAGGCCCGAGCTTTACTTTGCTGCTCGCGGCATCTGTTCCCCGGCTGCGCCCTCGTAGCCACAGAGCCGGTCCTCCCGGCGGAATGCTTCCTTGGTTCAGGCAGTCACTCGGCGGGTCGAGCAGCACACAGTCATCCCTTGGTCGAAAATGACACGCCAGCTGCAGTGTCCTAGCAGCTCTCGTCGCACATCCTCCAGTGATGCGATGACGGCGCAAGCTGCTGTGCCTGCTCCTCTCACCGCTGCCTTTTCTGCTCTGCGCACCGCCAAGTCACTTGTGCTTTCCGCTACTTCACGTCCTATCTTGTTCCGTGACCACAACACAAACTGAGGCTATATTTCTCCGTTTTATGTTTTCTGCCACCTGACAGCGAGAACCTCAATCTGCCGAGTAGTAGTCGCATTACTGCGCGCTCTGGAACACCAGCATTATCCTTGGTTGAGTTGCAACCATGTCCTCGCAGGCCTGAGTCGTCCAGTGGCGAGATTGACTGCCACTCGACACCTTGAGGGTCTTCCTGGCGATTAAGTGATCGGCCAGAGTACACTTGTGACAGCTTGTTTGCAGAAACGGCCTTCCTCATATCGAATTTCATTTCTCGAGCCCAGCGTTATTGGATCGACTTTCAATGTCTTGTGGGCTTTCAGGGCGAGGGCCCTTTTATACCGAAAGCCCAAGCTCTATGGATTATGATGATCTGTACATCGATCAGATTTCACCCGCTCAGCTCAATCTCACACGCTTTATTCAACAGAGCCGGCAGGGAACAATCAGCAAGCACGATGGTCAGGGCATGGCCGAATTGAATCCAGAGCTCGCTCCAAAGGGGAAGCCACGCCTGCTGCTCATGGGACAAAGGAGGTGAGGGACAATGATATCTTCACACGAGACAAGCTCATACACTGACTGGCTGAATATTGAGACAGGAGCGGCAAATCCTCGATATCAAGTGTGGTATTCCACAAGCTACCACCCAACGAGACGCTCTTCCTGGAGTCAACGGCCAGGATACAGAAGGATTCAATGCGGTAAGAAAGCTAAGCTAAACTGACGCTAGACGTGATTCACGTGACTGACCAAAATGAATACATTGTAGGTCGTTCATGGACTTCCAAGTGTGGGACTTTCCTGGCCAGATTGACATCTTCGACAACCCGACCTTTGACATAGACGCCATGTTTGGCGAGATTGGCGCCTTGATATGGGTCATTGACGCGCAGGATGATTACCTTGAAGCAGTGGCGCGCCTGAATGTCACCATACTGAACCTCCAGCGCTCGTACCCGAGCATCAAGATCGAGGTCTTCATCCACAAGGTCGACGGGCTGTCTGACGACTACAAGCTCGACATCCAGCGTGACATCCAGATCCGGATCCAGGACGAGCTGTCGGACAATGGCTTCGAGAACGCGCAAGTCACGTTCCACCTGACGAGCATCTACAACCACAGCATATTCGAGGCCTTCAGCAAGGTCATCCAGAAGCTGATCCCACAGCTCGGCGTGCTCGAGGCCATGCTGACCAACCTGTGCCGCACGTGCCGCTTCGAAAAGGCCTACCTCTTTGACGTGCTCTCCAAGATCTACATTGCCACTGACAACGCCCCCGCCGACATGGCCTCGTACGAGATCTGCTCCGACTACATCGACGTCATCATCGACATCACCGAGGTCTACGGCAGCTGGCCGCGCAGCAAGCAGCACCGGGACGCACTCGAGGGCGAGCCGTGGCACAGCAAGCTCGAGGATCAGGTCGCCTCCAACTGGGCAGAGAGCTGCATGGTCCTGAGCGACGGCAACCGGCCCATCATGCTCCGCGAGGTCGACAAGTACCTCGCCCTGGTCGCCGTCATGAAGGAGGACAGCTACGACAAGATGCCCCTCGTCAACATGAATGTCGAGACCACCGTCGACGGGCTTAAAGAGTTCTTTGAAATCACCAAGCCGAAATAGTCTCGAGTCCGTGGGGCAGTGCCACTGCGAGTCATTTTGAGCATATGGAGGCGGTGGCGTGTTATCTTGCAGGCTATGACATGATGCATTGAGATTCTCGAGGAGTTAACTGTAATCAAGTGATGCTATCACGGGAACAAAAGACTCTTTCACGTCATGTATTGCCTTTCAACACACCGCTCCTCTTCTTAGGTGCTGATCACGGAGAAGGGAACCGGGCAGGCGACGCATGCAAGCTTTCCAAGGCAGTTGACTCGGATTCTGTGTGTAGGTCAGGGCACGTGTGCCCTGAAGAAAAGGGTTTTATATTGGCTGTATCTGTATCTCTGTCGACGCTTACAAGGTGATACATACACATGAGCAATTAGACTGATGTCCGCGCTATTCCTGGAGGATACGACAATGAGACCCTTATGTTGATTGCGGAACGTCAGCCAGCCAACCCTGTCGCCTGCGTCTGAGGCCACCCAGGATGGCACGCTCCAATCTCACTGACGAGGTCTGACGACAGTAGTCGTGGAGCGGGACTGGTTCATCTCCGTGGCTGTCCCTCGTTGATTCTTGCTTGATAGTCTCATGTGAGTGCCACGCCAAAAGTGAGGCTGCAGGTTGAGGGAGAGGCCATCGAGTCGCAAGCGGCTCATATTGTGCGACCAGCCCACGTTTTGTTCCGTCTCTCTATGTTTCGTTGGTTTTTGATCCCCGCATCTTCTCATGATGAGATAGCACGCTCAAGCCACCCGTTTTTGGGTCATGTATTCGCTGGCTGACCGAACCCGGGTAATGACGGGCCGCAATATGCTGTGACTTGGAAGCCTATTGTGCGATGCGAGATGCTGCTAAATCATGGACTGTAAAATGCATTGAGACAATAGAATAATGAAAATACAACGCAAATGCGATGTCCTGCTGTTAGATTTCCGTGCCTCCAGAGGTTGAGCACGCCGCATTAAACCTGCAATGTGGGGATGATTAGTGATGCTACACACCAGGCTGCCAACTGTTGTTAAATCAGTTTGACTCCACAAGGAAGCGCAGAAAGTGCTCAGGTCTTAAAGTGGCAATACACAGTCGGACGTCTATGCTTGACTTTGTTTGGGGGCGATTTCCGAGCGAGAGACGTCGTGGCTCAGCCTGCAGCAGCAACGCCGGTTTGTCCATTAGTCGCGCGTTTCGGCGGCGGCGCAGTTCCCTATTGCTAGTTTCAGCATTGAAAGACCCAAACAGGAGATCTCGAATTTTGCAGGTATAAGACATCCCCCGTGTGCTCTCTGGTGCATGGGTACGTACGTCAGGAGGTGCAGCGCGCTTCCTCATATTGGCAGCAGAAGCGCCATTGGCGGCCTGCTTCTTAAGTGGCCGCATCGGTTTTGTTTCGCCAGCTTCGAAGACATCATTGGGAAGATTCGTGTTCTTGACATGTTGTATACTCAAGAACAAGCCTGGTGTTTTCTTATACTTTTCCCATTCGCAGCACATGTGCTTAAAATTGTTGACTTGCCAGGAAAGATCCAACGATTTGGCGCCTGTTATCCAAGATGTCAGAATTGGGGGTGGATAGCATGGTAGCGATCGGATAGTCAGGAAGTCACGTACCTTCTGCTAGCTCGAGACCAACATAATATGTTGTGTTATAGATGATAGTCTCGCTTGTGATCGGACCCATTGGTTCAGCCTCGCCTTCGTCCTTCGATTTATCCTCGTTCATGGGAGTGTCCTTCAGAGAATCTGATGCTGCTGCTTCGTCGTTCTTGACAAGGCCAGTAGCGGATGCTGGGGTGCCGTTCTCACTCTTGGTGATGGTGCCGTCAGTCAGTGGCACTTCTTCCACGGACTGTATCTTGCTGCGACCGTCTTGCTCAATTTTGACGGCTGCCTCCTCGTCCTCCACAGCTGTCACTTCTTCCTCCTCTGTCAAGAATGCAAAGCTTCCGTCAATGACAGACTGCTTTTCGTCCTCGGACTTGACCTTGTGTTTGCGATCGTAGCCCTTGTTGAACGGCCTGGCGATAGCAATCGACTGATGCCGCTCAACATCACCGACCAAGATTCTGACTTTAGATTCAACGAAGCCAGACCAGATCTTGTGCGCGTCCTTGGAAAGTCCTGTCGCGATGACAGCCAGGTAGTACTTGTGATCGCTGGTGAAGAACGAGTGCTTGACAAACATCTCCTTCCAATCACTTTTGCCAGCCATGATCCGATCCGCTATCTCGCCACCACGACTCAACTCGCGTTGGATGATTTGGAATGCTGATTGGGTGATGTTGAAAGTGGCACACATTTGGGGGTATGCGGGTGTGATGACAGGCATGATGTTGAAGCTGTCACCCTTGTACAGTTTGGGATTCCAAACGCGGAGGTTCAAGGGTGGCTTATCGGGGTCCTTGAGCTGCACCGGCTGTGGCCATCTCCAGTTTCGGATGATGAGAAAGAACTTGGACACGATGGTGGCCGAAGTCGCCTTGGGGTATAATTGACACACACGAGCGACTAGCATGGCCCACACAACACCACCAGGAAAGCCAATGATGTTGGCATATATAGCACGCCTCTGAGCCCACAACTTGATTGCACGCAATGCCAAGCGGAATGTGCTCTTCTCCGGCACGAGGTTAAGAATTTCTTGGGTGACTCGGTTACCGTTGAGGGATCGAAGCTCCCGATCGTCGAGGCCCCGGAGGTAACTGTTGTCCGTCAGCTTCAACTGTCCATGTGGGGGAAACTGAGTCAATGTGGCGATCCGCGAGAAAATCAGATCTATACTGATGCCCCAGTACTCGAACTTGATGATGGGCACAAATGCATCCTCCACAGGCGTGAGGTCGGTGATGGCACATTTGGGAGCCATCTCTTCAATCAAGTCCGGGAATATCTCGAAATAGTCTTCCCTGCTGACATATTTCGGCGCGGCTACGAGGGTGTCGATATCGGAGCCGGGGCCGTAGACGCCAAGAAGGTAGCTTCCATATGTAAAGATCTCGCAGCGAGCGTCGCGGATGAGGACTTGATTGTGCGGTTCTTTCTTTCGTGCAATGCGCCGCACGAACTCGTCGCCGATCGACTCGAGATGCTTGATGATTTTTTTCCTGTGCCTCGTGAGTGATGAGTGATGATGTTGATGGGCTCCACGACCTACTCACCTCTTCGCATCCTCTGATGCTGGCTCAAATTGGTTCTGTCTCTTCAGCTCTTCGAACAGAGTGTTGGTTGCTTGCATCTCGGCCGGGGTCGGCAAGGCGACCGAGATTGGGGGCGTCAAGCCCCAGACTTGCTCGGAGGTGTCCATCTTGAGACAAGGCTAGATGATGGTCGGTTGGCAAACTGACCAAGCCACAAATTATCTGGACGCAGACCCTGAACGCGCGCGGACGTCTCGCCGTTGTGCGTCTTACCAGTGTGGCAGAGCTCCGGACTTGGATCGGCGGTTGTAGGGGACCAGACGCAGTCTGAGGCTATCCTTCAAGACCAGCGTGTCATAGAACCATTAAATGGCTGGATGCGCCATCCGGGCGAGAGCGTTGGGCGACGGACGAGCGGTGGTGCACCGAGGCCTCGTTCTCGAGACGGCCTCGGGGGTCGCAGGTACGACTTAGTGGCCGTCGCGGAATTTGAGGGTAACGTTGAAGACTTCGGCCGGCGGCAGCGTGGTATAAAGGAAAGTCGGGCTGCTGGCGGTTAGCTCGAGAGATGGGAAGCACGAGATGTGGTTGTTGAGGCGGCGACTGCCTGGGAAGGCCAACCGTGGATGACAGACAGGGTCGCAGAAAGAGCGACCGTGAACTTAAACGCCGGCGAGCGGCAGAACATCGCGTTCCGTGCCGATTGCGCCAGTAGCTGTGGGGCGCAGACTGTGTGGGTCTTCAGATTCGCACCTGCCAGCAAGCACCCACCATGTATGGGCCCAAGAATTTGGTCCGTCGAGATCTACAAAATCACTCTGGATTTTTTGCTTCGACAACAGCAACCAAGTACGTCACGTTCTGGGGCACTCAAGACCGCAACCCGGCACAAAGTATCCTTCTCGCTACGAAGGTCGCTTCCATCGCACACGCTTACATTGAAGCAATTGGTATACGTCAAGTCAATACCGCTGCCGGAACGCCATACTTCGAAATCAAAACTCCATACCCCAGAACCTCGCCCAGTCATCCACCAACAGCACCGGCTCGCTATGCCAGTGTTGTCTCGAGAGCCAGAATGCCAGACCTCCCAGGATTCCTAGGCTTCCCAATACCTCCAGCGCCACCCAGCTTGTCGCCTTGAGATCTGCCGACACCTGCAGTAGCCCCAATGGGTCCTGCTGGATTCTGGTTCTCTTAGCAGGCTTCTGTCTGACACTGCCATATTGTCTTCGTCGCTGTACGCAGCTACGACTTCTGTCACCATGAGTTGCGACCATGGCACGGTCAGCTTTGCCATCGAGTTCGTCATAGAATTGACGCATGGCCGAGTCCTGCTCCCTTTCGGCTGCGAGACTTCGCTGAAGATCGGCGGCCCAGTCTGCAACATACAGCCGTGTGCCTCCATCAAATCGGAATCCTGAACTGTCAGCCTCCGGCCTTGAGGCTCGGCGCAAACCTCCCAGTTGGGTTGTGTATCTGACCAGCGCGTTCGAGACTGAGGGACCTGGTGTTTCCAAAGGCTTGTACAGGTGGCGGGGCCGAGGCGAATCTGTGGATATCCAGTCGAGATATTTTCGTCCCGCCGCGTGACGCAGCCAAGACACGCCCTCGAGACTAAAGAGCTTGTCCACCACATACAGCAGATCTGTGCCTATCAAAGGTTGCGCATAGTTCGAACTCATCAAAACACTCGCGTCCATGATATCATGATCGGATCCTTTCGCGCTCGACACTGCATAGGGCGACGTTGGAGCGTTGGGAGATGTGGGAAAGCGATCAAAGCTAAAGGTCTGGATTCCGGCATCCTGCAGCTGGCACGAGATCTGCTCCTTACAGCTCTTGATTTGCTGTGAAGACATGGTGTCTACACGCGAGAGAATAGGAATGACGTTGGTAAGTCGGCTTAGGCGTCGCATGTACTCCAGATCCGCTGGTTTGAGTTCTTATTCCGAGATGGTGTTAGCAGTTCAGAATTACTGTGCCGCAATCTCAGACATGAAACTTACTCTGCGCGATCATGTAGAGTACAACATCGGTCTGACAACCTCCAGCCCCGCCAAGCATATTGAGCAGCTCCGACTCACTCATGGACTCCGAAGCCATCTTGTTCAGGTGAGCCTCGACATAGTCCACACACGACACAATCATTTCCATGGACTAGAATGGTCAGCAAACGATTGACGGGACTAGAGATGACGAAGCTTTGTGCCATACCGATGAGCCTCGTCCATAACCTGGAGTGTCCACAAAGCATATATTGCGGTCAAGAACACCGTCGCCAAGGCTTTTGCGTCTACCGGAAGAGCTGACATTGACCTCGGCCCACCATTCGGGGTACGGCTTTGTGCTTGCTAAGATCTCAACTATGCCTGTTGTCGGACGCAGGTGATCCGACTCGGTCGCGCCGGAATGTCTTCTTAGTAGTTGGGGATGGGCTATGATGGGGTCAACATGAACGATATGTTGGCAGGCTTGCGCGATCGATTTGATCAGTGACGTTTTGCCGATGCCTACAGAGGTGGTTAGCAACTGGAGCGAAGGAGCTGTAGCGCACCATCGCACATACCTGAGTCGCCAGCGAGGAGGATTTTGAGCCGGCCAAGGTTCTTGCCCGTTTCTGTAAAACGTCTTCGCGCCGGCATTTCGATGCTGGGCATCACGAGTTGAGGAGCGCCAGCGCCACCCGCGAGCTTTGAAGAATTGTGTTCGCCAGGTGTCTCCTGCTCTCCGTCCTCAGATAGAGCGTGTTCGGAGATGGATCCGCCAAGCGAGTTTCGTCTCGATGATGGACTACTGATGATTGAACTGCCGGAGATGGATGGCCCTAGCATGATGGGTGTGATAGGACGCGAAAGCTCAGTCTGATTGAAGGTGCCGAAAGAGGCCGGGCTGCATGTAAAGGCCGAATGACGAGAGACTGGCGAATGTGCCGGGCCTGCGGCATCGCGACTCGGAGGACGCTGGTGTTGCGAAGTCGGCCTCGAGCGACTGTCGTGGTTCTTGTCATCACCACGGACAGCCTGAGAAGTTGTCGGGTCACGGTGCTTCCGAGGATCGCGGAAGAAGGAACGAGCGGCGGACTGGGACTGGTCGATGTATGAATCTACAGAAGCCTCATCGGCAAAGACGAAGGACATGTGACTGCTTGAAGCGGACGATGCAGGAGGATGATGGACATCATCTTCACGAGTGGTGATGCGGGGGCGCCCGAAGGCGCTATCGCCGGCCATAGGTCTCATTGTAGCTGAGGGCGGTCGACATCTAGGTGGGCTGAAAGTCGAGACGCGCAGTCATGGAGTGAGAGGATTGTTCAGCGCAACGGACGCGTGGCGGGGGGGAGAAGGAGCGATGGAGCTGGTGATGGAGAGATGCTCTCAGGAGAGAGACACACACATGGGTGATGTGATGCGATGCGAAACAAAGGACGTGCTTGCTTGCTTGCTTATCGGCCCCGAAGCCGTCATGGAAAGGGCCCTGGAACCAGCAGCAGCTGGGGAAGGGGCAGGGAGAGCGGGGGCGCAGATGGGGGCCCGGCTGGGACACGGTCACAAGCCTCCATTGATTCAGCCATGACAGCCATTAGGAACACAGCTGGCGCCCCGCGAGCCGTCACCCCGTCGATCTGCCACTCCAAAGACGGAAACTGTTGCTGCAGATTGCCCTCCTTGCTCACCCTCGAGCCTGACTGGCCTGGCCTGACGGATCTGTATGTCAGACGTCGTCAGAGGGACACGGGACCAGAATGCTCAAGTGTCCGGCTCTGGTGTCCGTTCGACCAAGCCTTGTGGTTTTACCCTACCACAAATGCGTGTTCCTCGCAAGAGCGTGATGGGCTATGTGCGTAATATGAGCTTTTGCGACCAGTTGTAGCGAGCCGGCACTGCGATGCCTTGCGCGCTTGAGATTGCATCATGAACCGTGACTGCCCGTGGAGCTTCCACGGGCCACTAGTGTAGTGTACATGTAGTTGAGTCACCGCCTTCCAGCCCATTGCCCAATCTCGGATCTGCCCCTCCTCCATTTGCCTTGGGCTGGCGATATCTTACTATGGTCCAGCAAGGATACTGTCCTGCTTCTATCAATCTTCTCTCCACCCCAGCACTTTATTATTTCTTGGAAAGGCAAAACTGGCGAGTCGCTGTACAGGTACGTGGGAACTCCTCCCTTTCATAATTCAGACACAAGCGCGGCGAGTGCTGCGCTATGCGATGCTTCGTTGAGTAAACGGTATGCTGTCTCTCGCACGCTAAGTTTCTGCCCACCGCGACGGTATCCGTGTGGGGTCCAGCGAGCACGCACGGCAAACCTCACAGCTTAGTGGCGGCTCTCAGGTCGTGAGCCATTCGGCATCCTCTCCACATCCCAGCTGCCTCTCTCTCGGCATTCTCTTGCTCCACGGCTCGCACCGCGCAACCCTTTCTCAAGCGCTCTGCTTCTCGTCCAGTGGTCTTCCTTACAGGCCCTACTCTGACACACTGGCTTGCCACAGTTGCCCATCTGCTCAATCAACCACCGACAGATCCCAGCTCGCTGCGACTCTACATTCTCTCATTCTCACTGCCAACACTCGTTCCGCACCGATTCGGAACAGATTCTGAAGAACACGCCACGTTCCTTGACCACACGTTGGGATCGCTAGGCCAGGCATCGTGTTCTCTGACGTCTCTCGACGCTCCTCACCACGGCGCCCACCCGAAACACTCCAGAGTCTAGCGCTGGCAGTAGAACCCGTCTGATCAGAACTTGCACTGCTGGAGGAGTCTTGTTTGACCCCAAGTTCACAGATACACGACAGCCCTCGCCCAAACCTCACTACCTCGTCTTTACAGATCCCAACTCCTCACGAAACCCCGCGTCCACAAGCAACATGGATGCCAAGCGACACCCCAGTTCCTTCCAGCAGCTTGAGAAGCTGGGAGAGGGTACCTATGCGACGGTAGGTTCACGAAGCATTTCGAGCGTCCAGACTAGGAATCACATCCAGAGATACTAATATTGCCTTGTTCATGCAGGTGTTCAAAGGTCGCAACCGGCAGACTGGTGAACTGGTAGCGCTCAAGGAGATCCACCTCGACTCGGAGGAAGGCACGCCGTCGACTGCGATCCGCGAGATCTCGCTCATGAAGGAGCTCAAGCACGAGAACATTGTCGCCCTGCACGATGTCATCCACACCGAGAACAAGCTCATGCTGGTATTCGAGTACATGGATGGAGATCTCAAAAAGTACATGGACACCAACGGAGAAAGAGGCGCCTTGAAGCCAGCGACCATCAAGTCATTCATGTTCCAGCTGCTCAAGGGTATCGATTTCTGCCACCAGAACCGTGTGCTCCACCGCGATCTCAAGCCTCAGAACTTGCTTATTAACAGTAAGATGGCGCTCAAACTTGGGGACTTTGGTCTTGCCCGCGCATTCGGCATTCCCGTCAACACATTCTCGAACGAAGTCGTGACCTTGTGGTACCGTGCCCCGGACGTTCTGCTCGGTAGCCGTACCTACAACACCAGCATCGACATTTGGTCTGCGGGATGCATCATGGCCGAGATGTATACTGGTAGGCCACTCTTCCCAGGAACGACCAACGAGGATCAGATCATTCGGATTTTCCGGATTATGGGTACACCGACGGAGCGGACATGGCCAGGCATCACAAAGTTCCCCGAATATAAGCCTACCTTTCAGATGTACGCCACGCAGGATCTCCGAGCCATCCTGCCACAAATCGACCAGGTCGGCATCGATCTCCTGAACCGGATGCTTGTACTGCGGCCCGAGCTCCGCATCAGTGCCCATGATGCACTTCAGCATCCATGGTTCAATGACCTCGTCATGCAGCAGCAAATGCAGGCTCAGCAGCAAGCAATGCATGCCTCCCGTGGCGGTTATGCACCGCAGGCTGTTCCGTCCCAAGGCGGGTATGACCCTGGATATTAGGAGCGCTCAGAACCACCTGACTTGCCCTTGGGGGATTTGAGCCTGGGAAACAGTGGCGAGACATGACGTGCGACTGCAAAGTCATGGTGCGGGACCATCATTATCTGATCTGCCGTGGCACTGAGTGTGGTACTCAGGATGACCTGGGTTGAGCAGTCGTTGTGGCTATTGCAGCGGCATAGGGTTCACTGTGGATAAATTTCGAGGGCCGCGGCGTTTAGGGGAGTTATTTGTAAAGGCAATAGAGATAATGGAAGCTTTTCGTTGTACGATTGTCAGGTATGACCCTTGTGCTGTCTGCTTTTTTTTTGAGTTGGCCACCAAGCAGTTTAAGTGCAGCCCAGAGACTCCATGTGAGGTCAGTATCGATCTGCCTGGTATCCATGGGATCATTATGACTTTTACTGGTTATATGTATGGTATTGTAGTGAGGGTGATGGTTTGCAAGCTGTCAACTGAGCTTCCTCCGCAGCTGCTAAGTGCGCTTAGTCAGCTGGGAGCCTGGCTGCCCACCCGCAGCTACTCCGTACAGCCTTGCTCCACCAAAGCAAGGGTGGCCGCACCCTCAGGGCAACTCCACACTTGGAACAACGACCACTCCCACAGACACGATCGCGACATACATCAGCCGACCGCGTCAAACCCCGATATCCATCCTGCCGCACAGTCGGAGCACCTCCGCAACGCAACGCACGAACACTCCCACTTTCATGACGCCCCACGGGTAGTCCCACGGCACCGAAGCGATCGCTTTGCACTGATTCAGCATGGCTGCTGCTGAGGACGAAGGCACTATCAATGTCGCATCGAAGAAGGGCAGCAAGGACAAGGCGAATGGAGTCATAAGGCTAAAGAAGGCTGTGCCGAAGCACACGAAGCCGGGCAACTGGCGAGACGGCAGCGTGGCAGATGGTGCGCACTCCCATTTCCGTACGGACCAAGGCTGCGCAGCAGCAGGCAGCGAGCTAACAGGCGCGCATCTCTGTGCCGAGCAGATGACAAGAAGACAAAGAACTCGGACAACTCGAGCTCCTCCCCGACACCCGTAGTCAACCCCCTGGACGAGAGCGCGCGGGAGACCTTTGCGACAGGGCGGCCGCTGGAGGACGTCCTCAATCTGCAGCAATGCAAGCACTGCAAGAAGGGCGTGCTGCGGACGGCGGCCAAGGAGCACATTGCCGCGTGCCTGCGCATTAAGAAGGAGAAGGCACAGCGGAAAAAGGAGGCCCGGGAGGCGCGCGAGCGCGCCAAGGAGGAAGCCCGCGCGGAGGAGGCGCGCAAGAACGACGGCGACGGCGACACCAAGATGAATGACGACAGCGACGACGACGACGACGAAGACTCGCCTGACAAGAAGAACAAGGCGTCAAAGAAGGTTGGGGGCAAAAAGCCTGACGGCGACGCCAAGGGCAAGAAACGCAAGGCTGACGGGGACGCTGACAAGGGACCGAAGAATAAGAAAAAGAAAGAGGAGCCCAAGCCCAAAGTCCCCAAACCAAAAGGCATGTATTTTCTTGGCCGCCCAAACTTGTGTTGTTTCTGCTTCATTACATTTGCTGACCAGCGACTTGCAGGACCCGTCGACGTCGAGAAGCAATGCGGTGTGTTGCTGCCTAACGGACAGCCATGTGCGCGGTCACTCACGTGCAAGAGCCATAGTATGGGTGCCAAACGTGCCGTGGCTGGCCGATCTTTACCTTACGACATGCTACTTGCCGCATATCAAAAGAAGAATCAGGCAAAACAGCAGAGTACGTATATCATCTTGGTCGCTATTCCAACAAACCATATCTAATGTCTATACAGAGGCTGCACTCGATGCCAATGCACCGGTCGAAGACGAAGACGAGACAGCTGCCGGACCCGTCGACTCCGATGAAGAGACCGCGGCTGTCATGAGCGCACTCGCAAAATGGAACCCTCAACCGGTGATGCCGCCACCAATATTCCAACCAATCAAGCGGACATATCAGCTCGCACGGTTGCACGAGCAACTTCAGCAAGCGACCAACGGTGGACGCACAAATATATTCAAGGTCAACGGACTCGGCGCACAGAGACTACCCGAGAGTCACAACGATTACTCGATGGACCTTGACGACGCGCCAGGCGAAGACCAAGATATTGTCATGATGGGTGCACCTGATACCCGGCGATCATCCAGCTTTAGCATACAAGCAGCATCGCGGCGACCTTCGGTTGCTAGCCGCGCATAAGATGGCGCACACTCGAGAGTCGAAGAAAACGAGCCGTCGCTTTCATTGGATGACCTGGCTCCTGATCAACTATGGGGAAGCCAGGAATGACAGCGCCGGGCCTTGTTGCGGCACTATGTACTCGACAGAGTTGCGCTCGCCGCATGCGGGGCACGCCCGTCTCCAAGACTGACGAGCTGGGACACGGCAGCTGAAGCATGCGACAAAGAGGAGTTGTTTTTTGGCTGTACATGACATGGCTTACTTGCAAGGCGTTTGGGGGTGTTTTGATACCATGACAAGAGTTGTCTTGAGAGGCATAAACATATATGTATGGAGGATGGTGGCCAAGCCTCGAGCACCCACCGCGCAGATCTCTCTGGCGCATACCCGGGGTTTATAGAAAGTTGTGCACCTCCTTTGTACCATGCATCGCTTGTTTTATTACCGGTTAGCTTTATGCAGATATTCCAATCAAGATGCCCTACGGGTGTTGCGGCGCTCGGCTAACGGCCATTAGGCATTACCAACGAGCACTGCTTGCAGAGAGAGGTTAAGGTTGGCCATGTGTGCACGGAAGGCGAAAGTGGCTGCGCCATGGACGTGCATAAAAGCCAATGCCCGAGGTGAGACGTGGGCGGTCGTTAGAGGTCCCGGCATGGCGGGCCAAATGCCCCGTGCGGGCGGCCAGGGCGGCAGCGCAGGGGCCTGGGGTAATGCCCGTCAGGCGGCCCGTCAGGGTGCAAGTTGATGCATTCGTGCCCGGTCGACGGATCGGTGCTGGAACATTGTGATCGATCGATAGAGTCACGTCCGTCTGGCGGCCTGTACAATTATTATCACACACTCTATCACATAACACACAACCACTCATGGAGTAGTGCTGGCTGGTCTTTGGGCTGGAGACTCGGGCAGAGACAGTCTGGAAGCAGGACGGGTGGGGTGGGGGCGGGCGTGCGGGCTTCTCCCGAGCCGCACTAAACAATGACGTCGGCGGTCTGGGGTAAAGTATCGAAACTGCGAGCTCTCGTGTGACGGCCGCCCTGGGACCTCGGCAAAGAGCATCTTCGAGGGCTGATGATGACGATCAATGCGCCCGGCGCTAGTGTGTCGCTTCTCAATTCTTATCCTAGACGCTGGGACGCTCGACAACTTCCCCCTCCTCCTTCCGGATTTCCACAAGACATCACGCAGGGCGGTCCACACACGAGCAGCTTCCCCCTGCATCCCGCCTGCCGTCCTATGCTTTGCCCAACCACTGCTGCCGACGTGTCTTGCGCCACCACGCACTCGTGCCTGATCCGCGGCACGCTTATCGAGGGCCGACTCACGACACGGCAGGTGCCGACACCACCGCCGGCGCGGGTCAGGTGACCCAGACACTGCAGCAGCTGTGTGCCCAGCTACGCTATACACGATTCGCCGAGCGGCCGTCCCTGGCGGTCAGATCGCCCATACGCGGCGTGTCGTTGGCCATCACAGAGCCCGACAGTCGTAGGAGCTCCTCAGGCTCCTCTACCTGCCAGGCAGCCAGGCAGACGGACCATCCCGCATTGGGGAGGCCGCCGTTCTCGGCCCTGGGCAGCTTCGATTCCGGCAGCGACCCCTCGCAACCCGAGGCGTCACGACGGTAGCTCCGGCTGCGGCTTGATATATCAGACACTTCTACCAGGCGGCGCTGTGCACCAGCACGGCACCTCTGTTCGCCCGGCATGGCCCCTCCCGCGTCCTCGTCTCTGGTCGGCGGCGACAGCAACCTCGCCCACGTCCTCCCCGCCCTCCACCACGCCCTCTCGGGGTCGACCGGCACCGTCATTGCAACATGCACTCTGTACCCTCTGTCGCTAGTCATCGCTCGCTTGCAAGTGCAGCGCCAGCTCCGTCAGCAAAAGGAGAGAGACAACCATCACCACCACGGCCGCCCCCGTCCTCCCGCGGCCAGGCCTCGGAGCTCAGCAGCATCCCCTTCACCACACGCGGATCCCAGGTCACTGCCTCCAGCTACATCTCAAGTGTCAGGTCAAAGCCAGCCTCCAGGCGGCCAGAACCAACATCTCGAGAAGCCCACACCAGTCGGAGAAGCGGCGAAGCAGGAGGAGGAGGAGGAGGAGGAGGCAGCAAGAGCACTCGCAGGGACGAGAGAGAAGGATCCAGACGGACTTCCGCTAGAACACGTCGCACCGATACCACTGGACGCGAACGGGACACCCACAGCGCCAGCATCGACAAGAGCCGCAGTGACAGACGCATCGTCGGCCCCGTCCGGGACGCCGGACGAGCTCAGCAGCAACAAGAGCAGGGACAGCTACAACGACACTACACCGTCCACGAGTGCACCAAGTGCGGCCACCGGAACCGAGTACGCCGGCATCCTCGACGCCTTTTCGCGGATCTATGGCGACGAGGGCGGTCTGAGAGCGCTCTACTCTGGCCTGAGTCAGGATGCGGCCAAATCCTTCTTGGACTCTTTCCTATTCTTTATGTTCTATGAGTGGTTCCGCGGCGCCGCTACCGCGCGGAGAAGGAGGATCCGTGGTGCCAACCACGCCAAGCAAGGACTCGGAGTGCTCGAGGACCTAGCCGTCGGTATGGCAGCTGGTGCTGTCTCGAGGGCCTTCACCACGCCCATTGCTAATGTCGTCACCCGCAAGCAAACTGCCTCGCTCCTGGAAGACGACGAGAATGGCATCTCCGCGAGCGACAAGAGTGTCATGCAGATATTAAAGGATATCCGCCAGGAGAAAGGGCTGACGGGTCTTTGGGGCGGATACTCGGCGACGCTCCTCCTCACCCTGAACCCGGCGCTCACCTTCTTCCTGCAGGACTTTCTCAAGAAGACCCTCTTGGGATCCGACAGGTGGGACGATCCCGGCCCGCAGCTCACCTTTCTGCTGGCTGCCAGCAGTAAGGCAGCAGCGAGCGCGATCACATACCCATTCCAGATCGCGAAGACGAGGCTCCAAGCAGGTGTTCCTCTCGAATCCCAAGACAGTGCCGAAGACGAAGAGCAAGCACTGCTGTCGTCGTCATCATCATCATCATCCTCAATAAGCCGCGGCCGACAACGTGAAGCACTGCACCGCAACCCTGACGGTTCAGTCCGCATCGATGACGATTCGACCAGGGCCGCCGGGGCCAAGATTGAGAACAAGCTTCGCGCCCTGTCAACGGTCAGGAACCTCGCGAGGAAGTCCATTTTCGGCACGATCGCACAGATTGTGCATGCGGAGGGCGTCGGGGCTCTGTACGATGGTATCCAGGGCGAGCTGCTCAAGGGGTTCTTCAGCCACGGGACCACCATGCTCGCAAAGGACGTCATACACAAGTTGTTGTTCAAACTGTACTTGTTCACCGCGAGTCTGCTCGCCGAGTGGAGAGCTCGGAGAAGCAAGGTCGCCGGCAGCAGCGGTGGAACAGGGGGAAGCGGTGCTGGTGGTGGTGGTGGTAGTGGTAGCGGCGGTGGCGGCCTAGGAGGAGTTCTTGCCAATATCGAGGGCATCCTCAAGAAACTGCGCAGCAGGCTCCCGAGCCTAGGAGCCCCAGAGACCAACAACGGCCTGTCCGCACCCCTCCCAGCAGGGACGACGGTACGACTAGTCCAGACGCCATACTCACCACCACCACCAGCCGCCGCCGCCGCTGCTACTGCTACAGCGGCTGCAGCAGACGGCTCAGCATACAAGAGCCTGCCCGCCGCTTTACAGTACCGTGTGCCGCTCAAGAAGCCCGTTGCCGGTCCCGCTGCAGCTTCTGCCAGAGTCAACGAGCCCGGCGTGATGATCAATCTCGCAGAGGGGACGCATCGTGTTCTCTCGCGGGAGTAGTAGTGTCTCATTCGATCACACAGGCAAGGGGTGGTTCTCAATCTCGCTCACACATCTTCCCGCGCTTGGTTCATTGCGGGTCAACAGGAGTTTTCGTGGCGTAAGTTTGAATTTTTTCGGTGTTTGTTCTGATTTGGTTGTCATGGGAGCACGCGCATGCGATTTCTTCATTTTGATGGTGTTTCTTTGGATCTGGAGTTAATGGCAGAAGACCTCTTCTCAGTCAGAGGCAGTTGGGGGGGACGAATGCTATGTACAACCCCATTTCTTATATATACTTCTGCGTTCTTCGTATATGTACAATTCAGATGCAACAGGCTTCTGCATCATACCTGGTCCTCATAGTGTATGGATTTGTATATACGTAGATGATTTGAACAAGTTCCAGGCCTTTTCCCACCATTTACCTGCTGGGCTTATAGTAAGGCTGCAAGGGCAACCCCCAATAATGTCTTTGAGTTGATCAGCACTGAAAGGCCACGCCGCTCTTCTTGACTTGATTCGCGCCGCCTGCCGAGAACCCCGTGCCTTCGCACCGGAGGTCTACGAGACCGGGCCGGATCTTGTCCTTGTCGCTTTTGTCCTTCTTTTTACTCCTGTCCTTCTTGTCGTTGCCGTTGTGCTTCGCCATCATATCGTCGTCATCCCTGTCTGTCAGATCCGCGTCGCAGACATAGCACAGCAGCAACGGTGCCGCCCCCGCCGCGTCTTCACTACCGTGAGGATCATGGTGATGGTGATTGTTGTGTTTCGATGGCTTCACGAACTGCTCGACGCAGTTGCGACAAAGCACGTGGCCGCATGGCTTGGCGAGGACGGGCTTCGATGCGTTGGTAAGCGCCTTCTTGCACGCCGGGCACGACCGGACGGGTTTCTTCGTCCTGTCGTCCATCTCCTCGGAGAAATCGAGCGTGACCAGGCTGTGCAGCGAGTATGGGTGCTGGTCGTCCTCAGCACTGGCGGGACACATTGGCACTGTCTTTGTCTTCTTTGTTACATTGTGAAGTGTGTCTTTGGTGTTTGACGATGGAGTTATCGAAGGCGTCCAGAATGACGGAAGAACAGCCTTCGCTGACTTCTCGTCCTCGATGGCCTTGCGCGCTTTCGTCCGGTCCTCTTGAGCTATGCGCAGCAGCTCTTGCTCGTCGAGCTCGAATTTCCTTTTACCTGGGCGTTGTGCTTCCGAGGTCGGGGTAGATGATGAGCCGTCTGCCTCTTTTACCAAGGCGACGATCTCTTCTTCTTCCTCTGCTTTCCCCAGCGGCGTGCCCCGCCATTCCAAGTTCCTCTTCGTCGTGCTGGTGATCTTGTTTGCAGACAGCCGCACGTCGAGACCATTCTGGGTCATTTCAAACTCGCGGATCGCGCGCTCCCGATCCTCCGCATCTTGCCGATCCTTTTGCTCCTCGGCCTCGCGTGCCTCGGCCTCGCGGACCTTTGCGAGCCGCTTGATCTCCTTCTTCTGGGCGAGGATGTTGCTGAGGGCGCACTCGCGGCAGAAGATGTCGCCGTGAGTGCACGAGACCGGGTCGCGGGCGGTTTCGAGACAGAGGCGGCAGGCTGAGAAGTCGAGGAAGCTTTCGCGGGTGAGGCGCGCCGAGTTTGCGCCCCACGCCTTCTTGGCGAGGTCTCGCTCGTGGCTGGTGAAGACGGCGCGCGAGGTGTTACGCTTGCTGTGGGACATTGCGGCACGGCAGAGCCCCGGAGAAGGCAGCGCGCAAGGCCTAGAGTGTCAAGCTGGTCTCGGGATATAGTTACGGCGTCGAACGGGGTTGGCTGGAGCTCAGGCGACAAGGAAGAGCAGATCTGAAGTGACGATTTGTTGCTTGCAGCAAGTGTATGTATGTGAAGCTGTCCAGGGACGGCTAGTGGAGAGCAAAATGTGGAAGGGGCGGCCGGGGCGGAAGGAGCAGGGGTTGGCTGGGAAGGTGCAGCGGAGCCGCCTTCAGCGGGATGACCGCATTTCGCCAATGGAACGTCCAGCGCTTCCCGGTTTCTGCCTTTGTGGACTGGCATCTGGTAGCTCTACTCACTTGCACCTTTACCATGACGGCGGCTTAGGTACACTTTGCTGTGCCATATTCCTGCCCGGTACACTTCTCCTCCATCAGGGCCTCGCGTCATGTCATGACACTTGCTCGTCAACCTGAAAATGGGGCAACAGAGTAAAGAAATGCAGCTGCCGACTCCGGCGCCGGGCCACGAAGACAGGCCCAGCCTTCCAGCTCGCCTCGCCTCGGCTGCCACAATCACTTTCATCACCTCGCTGTGCAGGACATTCCTCTATGGGCTCAACACGGTCGAGGTAACGGGCCTTGACAGGTTCCTCGACATACTAGACCAGCGTCAAGACGCCAACAGTCGCCAACGAGGTCTGATCACTGGTATGTCCCCTGCTCAGCCGAGTTTCGGTCCAAGCACAGCACTGATCAGAATCCCAAAGTCTCAAATCATGTCAGCATGTAAGCAGCACCAAGAGCACCACGGAACCATCGCCTCTGAGACTCATTGTTTCTATTGCTGCGCAGCCTGGATGACCCCATCATGTGGGGAGTTTTGCCTCTCAAGTATGCCATGAATCCGGCAAACCATCGATGGGGGCTTGGAGCTCATGACATCTGCTTCAAGAACAAGTGTGTCCACTTCCACAACGTGTTGCTCGAAAAGTCATGTGCTCATTGCCGCTCACACGTGCTACAGGCCTCTGGAGTGGTTCTTCGCGGCCGGCCAAGTGCTGCCCACGCACAGGGTATATCACTCTCCAACTGGCGGCCTGTTCCAGCCAACAATGGCACAGGCTATCCGCCTCCTATCCTCACAACCATTTAAGACTCAACCACCATTGGCTTCGCCAGCAGAAGCAGCCCACATCCCAGACCCATTCACAGACGGCGGGCTGACCTTTACTTCCACGGGCCACGACCGCTTCGACGCGCCCTCACGCTATGCGTGTAACCGGCACAGCTGGGTCCATATCTTCCCGGAGGCCATGATTCACCAACAACCGCAGATGACGATGCGATACTTCAAATGGGGTGTCTCGCGCCTGATTCTCGAAAGCGAGCCCATGCCCGACATGCTGCCCATCTTCATTGACGGCACACAGCGCGTTATGCCCGAGGATCGCACATTTCCCCGGTTTCTGCCTAGAGCGGGCGTGACATTTCGGATGGCATTCGGCGATCTCATAGACATGGAGAACCGCTTTGGCGACCTCAGGGCCAGGTGGCAGGACCTGGTACGCAGACAATTACACGCCACGGAGAAAGGCAACAGGACACTGGTCATGGGCGAGCTCACAGATGAGCTGAAGTACGGCGCCGAGGCAGTGGCGCTACGAGTGGAAGTTGCTCGCCGTGTGCGCGAGGAGGTCGCAAAGGTGCGCGGACTGATGGGGTTCCCGGACGAGAGGCCCGGATTGGAGCTTGCCGAGACCTGGGCTCGCGACCCAACCAAGGACAATCTCAAGAGTGACATAGACGATAGCTTGGAAGGAAAGAGGAGATAGCGTATCATTGAGACATCGCGACGTAAAGGCATCTTTATACATCTCCCCCGGATGAAACTAGACATGCCAAAAGTCAAATGTGTCTTCTCAAGGTTATCGTAATGCCATTCGGAATTTTTTGGCACGTTTCCCAACGTTTCGCTCCAAGTGGAACCTCGACTTATACCGCAGATCGCGTGCGAGGGTCCAGCATACTCGGAGTCGTTCTTCCGAAAGCCCATGGCCAATCTAGGCGGGTATATACATCGATATAAAGGACCAGAGATATCCATCAGAGCTGCTGTCCGCTCCAGCCAAAACCAGGTGACCTGGTCTGGTCTGCCCAATTCGTAGACTGGGGCTTCCAAGAGAAGTCGAAATGACATAACGCCGTCATCGGTCGCTCCGGACCAGCCCAATGCGCCTGACCCCATTTGTGCTAGCCAATCGTAAACATACACGGCGGCCACAGAACACATAACCTCGGCCTCCTTTCAATAGCCGTCGTCGTCGTCGTCCGCCTCCTCCTCGTCTTCGAGTTTGAGTATCCGGTTCAGCGCTGCTTTTTCGACTCCGATCTTGTGCTCGTCCATGAAACCAGAGATGAGGCGTGCATGGTGCATTCCCATGTCTTTCCACACAACCTGCATCACACTGTAGACCCAATCATAGGCTTCGTCCCCTAGACCAGGGGCGCATGCCGCCACCTTGAGATGCCAGAGCAAGGTCGGAAGCCCGACGGCACCAGTCCCACCCTTGCTCGATGCCTCTATCATCTTCGCTGTTTGCTTGTCGAGTATGGGATGGTGCCAGTGTGATGGAGTGCTGATCAAGGTGTCGGTTGCCATTTTTTTGACAGTGCCGAGAATTTCCGCACGCGTCTCGTCTGGCACGTAAAGGGAACCTGTCACCGGATAATTGGCTGAGAGTCGAAGAAGACTCTCGAGGATCAATATCCTCGCCCATCTGAAGTGGTTCCATATCCGGGCGCTCCAGATCTCGGTGTAAAGGTGATATTTGCCGTGCCAGACGGCAATAGCTGGCAGCGAAGGGTCGTGTTTTTCGCCATAGGGATATGTCTCCCAGAGTCGCTTTTCCAAGCGATCGCATGCTGCGCGTAGCGTGAGCAGCTGTTTGAGGTTGGCCTCGACCGCTGGGCTTCCGTCTGAAAGTCTCTGCTTGACGAGAATGCTAGAAAACTGCACAAGTCGAGCCGTCGTCATGGCGAGGTCCACACAGACTCTCTCCGGTGAGCCTTCAAGATTATCTTGGCATACTTTGAGACACTCAAAGAATGCTGGCGCAAGTGGTGTTTCGGTCATCTGCGACGGGATGAACTGTACATTCGTTAATGGCGCATTCGACAGGAAACAATTGATTGGGTGAACTTTACTAGAGAGAATAAAACCTGAAGCACTACCCGTGAGCCCCCGTCGGGCAAGTGACTCATGGGAAGTACAGATTTCAATAACGCTACTGCCCCGTTTATGTGGACATTTGCTGTGCCTGCTGATATCCTGGTTGAACTTCCATGTACAACCTGATGAATGCCAGCCTTTCCCGGTGATCTGAATGTGTCGAGGCTGGTCGCACGCGGCTCCTTACCTCGTATAACGCCATCGTAACTATAGACCGGATGGCAGATCCTATAGTTTGGACCTCGGTCCGAGGCGTGCTTGCAATAAGGGCACCGGTTTCTCTTAGAGACATGATATACCTTTGCCGGGAGAGCATTGTAAGCTGACTGTCTGATCTCATATTGCCAAGCCCAGCGAGCCCAACAGCTATCTGGACATTTTGCAAAGCATCATGTTGCGGTACGTAGATGACTGTGCCATCGGGACCGATAGGAGCATCGGGATGATTCATCAGATATCTCGTGATGTAGAATTGTAAACCCCTTTCGTCGAGGTTTGGGCCTACTGAAAGGTCAATGCTCATTGGTCGCACGTCGTGTCGCGCGACCAGGCTGCTTGTTGAAGTAGTTCCTCTTATTGGGGACTCATTTTCGAGAATTGGCGGAGGTGAGGATGAATCAGACGAGCTGGAGCTGGAAGACGATGTCGGTGATGTCGCAGAATGTGGCCCGCCCCACTGGGCGTGGGCTTTCTGTATGACTTTGCTGCTCTCATCGCGAAACATCAAGGAAAGCTGATCTCGGTATCCAGGGCATTTCTTCTGTGCCCGAATACATTGTGAACATTCGGGTCTCTTCTTGTCGCACTGCAGTATCGTGTCAGTAGAACGCTTGGAATCTAGTTCCCACCCAGAGAACATAGGCCGCCGATGGCTGTATTCAGGGTTCTGGTGGAATACGTGGGCTGGCCAGGCGACTCATCCAAGTATACATGGACGGCTTTGAGTATCGCTTTGACGTACCTTGATTCGCCTCGTGCGACAATTCTGGCATCCTTGAGATGCCTTCCCGCAGTAAACCATGATGACTGCAGAGCCAACGTTTAGGCTCTAGGGGTATATTTGGAAGCCGCTTGATTGAGCTTGGACGATTGCAAGGGTTTGTGCTGGAGGGTTGAGAAGTGGAAGGCAATTTGACAAAGGTTTGCCTACGAAAAAGGCATATTGAAGTGGGCCTTAGCCCGAAGCTTTGGGATTTTGGATGTGCGGACCGTTGCAAGAGGTCGGAGATGGGCGTTGATCTGCTGTATGCCAGGCGAAGACGACTGTTGCTTGCAATGTTGGCTCGAGCCGAGAGGGACCACGAAGCCCACGGAGGAGGCTAGGGAGCTGCTCAGAGGTGGGCGCCTGGTGGCAGTCGTGGGTTGGCGGAGGGAGAGGTGGGATGCCGTCGGGCGGAGATCCTTGGCGGCCAGACGGGAGATTGTAGGCAGCTGCAAGGGCAAGGCGTGCGAGATGTGCGGCAGGACTGGCGATACAGCGTAGGGAGTGGTGGGTGAGGGCGCAGAGACCCGGGAGATACCGAGTAGGATGAAGAGGAGTGTTTGGGGCCTGCCAGATCGTGACGCACGCTGGGTGACGCAGTGCAAGACCGAGGTACTACTATGTGTGTGCGTGGGGAAGAGTCCTCGACAGATCCGACGGGGTGCTCGCAGGCAGGTAGGGCCACAAAGTGCTTTTAAGCGCGCCACGCCAGCGGCGCCATTCAAACGTTGCCGGGTTCTTGGGTGGTGTCAAAGATGGCGGCTGAGCAGGGCGAGTCGCAAGGCGCTCGAGGTAGCATAGGTTGCCCGGGACAGGTCTTGTGCGCTGCTGCTAGCTCAGCTTTTCCACGTGGGCGGGCTCGACCAGAGGCAGTACCAGCAGCTAATGAATGGAGGTTGCTAGTGAGGGCGAGATGGCAGGCCCGGAGGCTTCGAGCATGGGGATTGCAGAGCGATGACAAGGGGCCCGTCCCCTGGGAGAGGATCGAGCACGAGCACCCGCGGAAGGGCAGGACAGGAGGGTGCTGCAGGAGCTGCAGGCAGGCGGAGCGTAGCACTGCACTGCACTGCACGCGCAGAAGATGACGGCACGGCGCCTCGAGATGTGTTTCCAGGATGTCGACACCCGCGCGAGCGCCCGCACCTCCAGGGCTTCCCTGGCACTTCGCGCGCCGTGCCCATCGTTATTTCACAGTGGTTGTCTGCAAGGCAAATCTGAACACGACAGGCCAGGCTCCTCCTCTTTCCACCCACCCACTCACCCACCCATCCAGCCCTCGCATAGTCAAGTCCACTCAATGTAATTATTGTTCAGGAGGAGAATTTCCCGGGCCCGCAGCCCGCACGGCAGCTGGACTCGCCCCCCCCCCCCCCCCCCGGCTGGATGCCCTCGCCCAGCCTGGCGGGCGGCGTCGTCCCTGGCAGCACGTACGCACAGTACCAAGTAGGTGCACGAGGGCAGCGAACGCCTGACTTGTGCGCTGCAGCAGCCAGGCCAGGGTTGCCTGTCCCTGTCACGGTCGGGTCCATGTGCTCGCCGAGTGCTTCTGCCATGGCGATGCGGGGCCCGGATAAGCTCCCAAGCCAGCGGTGCTTCCCCGCCGTGCTCCAGCAGCAGCTGCACTGACAGCAGTAGCTGGTGACTGACATGGCCCTCCCTGCCACGGCACAGGCTGGCCCATGCACGGGACAATCTCCGGGTGCTGCCTCGACGGAGCCCGCTGGCCATGGTGATCCCAGTCATCATGCCCTGCCAGGGGTTGTTGCCTCGACTCGACTCAACTCGACTCGACTCGACGATTCACTCCCGGCACCGTGGCTGCCTTTCCCCACCCACCCCACGCCACCTACCAGAGCTGCCGGCCAAGCCGCCCGTCGGAGAGGTGTGTGTGCGCGTGGCTGTGTGTGTGTGCGTGTGCTTCGACACATGCTTCCTCGCCCCGACACTCGTCCCGTCTTTCGACTACTGTCAGTCTCGCATAGTTTCACAATCAAACATGGTGGCGATTGTGCCAGCCGTGCCGTGCCATGTCAGGGACTGTGGCCGCGTCCCGCCAACGTCGAGGCTCGTCGGCGGCTCAGACTGAAACGGCAAAGCCACATCAACCACACAACGCTAAGAGGTGACGATCCAGGACCCCTTTGCCGGCGCGTGGCCATCTCCAGCCTGGGAGCGGCTAGAATCTCACTGGTCCTGCATTAGCCTTGCGCTCTACAAGTGATTAATGAGGTACAAGTGCTGGAGTGTCACTTCTGTTTCAGAAGGCACGAGAGAAGCAACAATTCCTTTGGGACGAGGAGTCCTGGCAACGGGCTTGGCAGCACCAAGAGGTGCCTCGTCTGATGCTGAATTCGGTGCTGATTCGCACCTTTGGGGAGGGGGGCTCCATGCCCACTCCTACAGTACAGGACTACAAACGTCAGACGCTCTCTGCTTACCCCTGGGCATTCCAGGATAACCCGCGGCAGAGATGGTCCGAGACGAGCACTTTACTTCCAGATACCCAGCAGATCTACGTAGTATCCGTATGCTACCCGACTTCCCACCTGATCGACACTTTTTCTGCCATCCGCCTTGGGGCCAATCCGTGCCAAGCCCAAGGGACCACGTTCGAGCCCTTCGTGGGCCTGGTGAAGAGCTCAACCTCGAGTCTTGCAAGGTTGCGTCCATCATCTGAACTACTTGACGGCCTTTGCCACGTGTGTGGGCCCCAGCTTTGAGCAAAATTGGGTCTTGGGTCAAAAACCCCCACATCCTTATGCAACGCTTGTACAGATTGATACAAGGTGAATCGCCCAGCTTCGAGGCAGTGTCACTCACATGCCGAGGCTTGCGCCAGACCATGATAGTGTCCGATAGATGCCAAGCCTCACATAGCTCAGCATCTCTAATGCCGATGTTAAAAACGGGCGGGGCCGCCTAGAGACACGTCCTCCCGAGTCGACGACCCTGTATCGCAAGATAACATTACGGGCACCAACAGCCCCCTGCCCCTGCCTCGTGTAGCTCTCAGCTTCGGTTTTTGACGTATCGCTGGTGTTGTCGGCCGAGAAGTCCACATGGCCGAAGCTAAGACTGTCTGCGCCTCCGCGACGGGATCACGAGCTTTCGAGCTCCCTGTAAGCCATCACGCATTTCACACGGAGTAGTGTCATTCCTTAATGAAACAAGGTGATTTGAGATGATTCGTAGGACTAGTATTGGTCATCGCCCACGGCCTCATTCAACCGGCCCATGACCATGGATCTGAGCTTCCCCAAGCTGAAGAGCCGCCTCCCGAGTTCTTCGCATCGTACGACCACGCGGCAACTCCAATTATGGATCCCATGCACGACCGCCGTCCACTGTGGATAACCTGACAATTGTGGCTTACCAGGCGTCATCTGCAAGATACCAGTCGACGGGCTCCGGGGCGAGCTTCTCAGACATGTGTATGTCTTCTCATTTGAGCAAACTTTCTCTCTCTGACGCAACCAACCTCGACCCCTTGGAAAGTGACACGTCTCAAGCCGACCACACGGGAAAGTCCGCTTCCCCAAGTAAAATATCCTTGCGGTCGATCCGTGATTGGAGGGCCATAACGAGCTTGGCAAAGCAAACTTCACCGAGGGTAAGGACACCGATCTTGAACACAGGTTGGGGTTTCCCAATATGTACAAGTCCCTGAGGTGTCGACAGTACATACCGGGTTTAAGGCAGACTGGAGCCAAACTCGAGGATTTCATCTTCCGGGCTATATCCGCGCTAGATTGATCCCAGTCTCTGTACCATGGTCCTCCTGCCTGGCTAACCCCCCACGGCGGCGATCCCGCACTCCCCCCTCCCGGTGTGTCCGTCACGAGAAACTAGGAACTGCTGTCGGACCGCCGTCATGATATGAGAACACCTTGGGAACACGGAGACTTCGCCGGCCAACCTATAGGAGTTCCGGGACTTAACGACAACCCTGCAACGCGTGGATTGTACTTGGGCTATAGTACTTTCTCATAATACAAGAAGCAAAAGCATAGCTTCAGCGATAGCTTTGGGCATGCTGGCCTCTGACTCCTTCTGCTCGGAACCGGAGGTCTCGGCATATCGTCGGGGCAGTCAACCTGCTTACACTCGCACGTAGACGAGAAGTGCCGGATTTTTTTTTGTACTCTCTTTTTCCCCTCTTTTTCTTTTTTTCATGCTAAGCCTGGAGGCTTTATGTGCATGGTACATTCCGCTCGCTCAAGGACCGGTGACGTGATCTTCAACATCAATGCCGTCCCGTGGACGCATTACAGGTCATCCATGCAAAGCTTTTTCTTTCTTCTTTCCTTTTCTGTTACTGATGGTTGTCTCGTGCCCGAAGGTGCCATGTCATGCGGCCATCCAGATGGATCTTCATCCAGCCGGGGCTTGTGTGACGCAGTTATCGTTTGGGACTGGAAGACCACACGGTGGCAACAAGGACTGTGACAGTGAAAGAGTAGTATGGCAAAGATGCACAACTGCTTGCAAAGCATGCTTGCGCGCACAACTGTAAACCGTATACTGCTGCTTCAGTGGGTTGGCTATGATGCTGCTGCGTCGTCCAGTGGCGCAGGCACACTCAGAAAACATCATCTCCCGCAACCCGGACATTGCGATCACCGCCTGCGGACGGAATGGCGCACGATCTGGCTTGTCCATGGTGTATTTCACCCATGTGTAATGTGACGGTTCCTTATATTCAGGTTGCACGAGGCTACTGCTGCTGTCCTGCCGTCTCACTGCCCGCAGCAGCAGCAGCAGCAGCATCACCACTACTAGGGCCGCTTGCGCCACTGCCGTTCCCGTCCATTTCCCAGCTGGCCACGTTGGACCTGTACTCTGTCATTTCCTTCCACTTCTGCATGAAGTCACGCATGCCGCCTTCGCCGGCGGTGCTCGCGTCCACGACATCCTTCGGAAGCTTGTGCGCCGAGTACTGCGGCGAGCTGAAGTTGTATGCGGCCGGGTCACTCTTCTCGATCAGCCGCAGCTCCGGAACAAAGTCCTCCTCGTCATCGTCGTCGTCGGTGGAGTCGGAAACGTCCCCATCGGCACCGTCGTGGGTCTCTAAACTCCGGGTGGTGGGAAGCGTCTGGCCTGGCTGAGCGATGCTCAATCTGATAGTCTCCGCGACGAGAGACTGCTCGTCGACGTCGTCGCTGCCACCGCCCGCGACGCCCAAGATCGGGCCGGGTACCTCCATCTCCAGCAGCTCCGACCACCCGAACAGCAAGCTGTCTGTGTGCGGCGCCCAGGGGTTGATGTCGATGAGCCGCGCGCGGCTGAGTGGCTCGTCCTCGCCTTCGGGAATGTAGACATCAAAGGCGAAGTTGCCGTCGGGGAATGTGTAGCGTAGCTTGCTGTTGAACAGCTGGCTGATCCTGGCCACTATGTGTTCCTTGAGAGGCTCCAGAAATTCGTAGTAGTTCAAGTCTCGTTGTGAGATGCCTACGAGATTCCTGTGCTTGACGAAACACCGAAACTCCATAGCAGTGTGTGGGTTGAAATATGATCTTAGCACGAGGACGGGCTTGAAGGCAGGGTTGGCACTCGGCGCGGTTTGCGCCTGGGAGCTTGGTGTCGGGGTGCAGTCATCGAATGCGTGCTCGAGATCGTATGTGATGAAGTTTGAGCTCTTGAGCAGCAAGTAGATATCGTTGGGACAGGTGCACTTGATGGTGTTTTGGTGCGGTGATATCCACACGGCGTCTTTGGGAGCAGTCCAGTTGAGTTTTGGTGCCACCTCGCCACCGAGCTCTGTGATTTTGTCTTTGATCTGCTGGTGAAGCCCGGGAAACCGTTGATTGGGGGGCAACCTTGGAGGCTCATCGTCGTCTGAGTCGCTCTCATCAGAATCGCTGCCAAGCTCTTCGACCCTCGGCTTGAGGGTGTTGGGAGCCATCTCCCACTCGTCATCTTCAGGCTCTGCACTGTCGTCGTCGGCGAGAATGATGCCGTCCTCCCGTATGTACTCGACAAACTCTGGCGAGAGTGGGATGATGCGAGATTTTATGCAGGAGGCACGGTATCTGGGCATTTATCAGTATTGGAATCATACTTCTCACGACGTGAGCCACTCACTTTGGGAACCATGAATCGTATGAGCAGTTGAGTATGTGATCCCGTGTTATTGGCGGAAACTGAGGTGCTGCAGAAGTCGAGGCCTTGGCAGGCTCTTCAGTGAAGGAAGGCATGATTCCGGGCTTTTTCTTTCGCGCTTTGGTACGGAGATGAGGGTTCTCAGCTCAGATATCTGCTCGAGAATAGGGTCAGATTTCGAGGTCTGGTTTTACACGACCTCGCACGCAAAACTTCGACCGTCCCTCCCGAGGTCTTGAAAAGAGTCATCGGTTTTATGGAGGGGCAAGGTAGAGCTACGCCATGCAGGCAGGGACTGGAGCCGGCCCCACAGCGGCACATGCCATCCATCCATGGATGTCTCACTTTGCCTGGGGCCGTTGTCCACGGATGCAATCAATGGATCCGTGATCCAGATACAGGTCCGCTGCCAGACGTCACCGCCTTACATCCATCTTCACATCTCCAGCTTCGAGACGCGCTTCCAAGGGCTGCATCCCGACATACTCTCAAAGGTCGTATGCGACATCTCTGAGCCTTGAACGGAAATACAGCTGCCCATAATGTCATACGACAATGTCGGTCTCTCTACGCCGCGAGGCAGTGGCACTTCAGGCTACGTCCAGCGCAGCCTGGCGCACATGAAGCCTCGCGACCGCGGAGCTCCATATCCGCCGCCACGCGACCTGGACAGCTTCAGGCACCGACAGCGACAACCCGACAAGGATATTCTCGAGCACGACCGCAAGCGCGAGGTCGAGGTCAAGGTTTTTGAGCTGCGCGACAAGCTGGAAGATGAAGGGTAAGCATGGAGACAGGCAGCTTTCGAATGTGTATATACGGAGTCAGCGACTGACATCACCTGTTCCGCCATAGGATTGACGAAGACGAGATCGACAAGCAATGCGACGCTCTGCGCAAGGAGCTCCTCGAGAAGATGAACAGACCCCAACCTCAGCACAACAACAACAATAACAGCTTAAACAACAGGAATCGACGTGGCCCGCAAGGACAGCAGGGAGCCCACTCAGCAGATGCCGCAAGGTCGCGGAATCTGAAGATGCACCAGGTCCATGAGCTTGCAGACGCCAAGATCAAGCAGGACGCGCGCTTCCGCAACGCGCTGAAGATCAGCAAGGACTACCAAGAGGGCGGTCACTGGAAGAGGCAGGAAGAGCGACTGCGCAAGGCGCAAGACCCCAGACCAGACGAGCAAGAGCAAGAGAGGCTCACTCGGCCACCGCCCAGCGCGGCGGACACTGCTGGAGCAGACAGGGATTCTGGCCGACCAGCGCCGAGGGACTACTCGCGGTCGCCCTCGCGTTCGTTATCTAGATCGCTGTCCAGATCGAGGTCGCCGACACGGTCGCGGTCGAGGTCTCCGTCCAGGTCGCGATCACCTCCACCAAGGGCAGATCGCAGGAGGCGCTACTCGGATAACCCAGGCTCCGAAGACGGCGAGGCCAATGACGACCGATACGATGACCGGCGCTCGCGGAGCCCTGGACGAGGAGCTAGGCGGTAAAAGAGAGCTGCAAGCAGAAACAATCCTCAGCGTCTTCCGCGCGGCGTGCAACGAACATGTGCAGCTTTTGTTTACGGCGGCAGTTATGGAGTTGCGGGCGTCATTGTCTTGTGCACTGCATCTTGATCCCAGAAATCTACAATTATTGCATAAAAAATTGCCCTCTTTTCTGTGAGGATATTTTGTCTCTCTATTTTCTAAGGGTATCTCGTCTAGTCTGGGCAATATCAGTCATGCCGGATGTTGCTCAATTGGCAGCGAGAATCTGCGCCGCATCCACAGGAGGGGCGTGATCTTGCCTGCCACCATTTCGCTTGAGCTCCTCTTCCCGCCGCTTGCGCTCATCGATGGCTCTCTGCTTCTCATGGTTGACATAAGACCCGTACCGCAAGGTCGCCAGGGTCATGATGGCCATGAATAGAATGCCGACGACAGAGCGACGACTGAGAATCCACCGAAGCCCTTCGATGTCCGACTTGGCGTCTCCAGTGAGGCGGACAGTGATCTTCATGTTGATGCTTTGAATCTGTTGAGAATTCCATTGTCAGATATCCGAGGTCTAGTAGTTCCCAGCCCATCATCGAGAGCAGTCGGAAGAGATGGGGAGTAACGTGACATACAAGGCTTTCCATAGATCGCTGCTCTTCTCTGACGGTCATCTTGCGGTCGTGGAATGCAGCCCTGACATCGTCCTTGAGTGTCAAAATGTCCTGCGTCATGCGCTGGCTTAGGATGTCAACCTCGTGCTGCAGGTGTGTGCGTTGCTGTCGTATAGTCTCGTCAGCCGTCCTACGGTTGTTCGTGACTTCGGTGCTCAATTCTGAGCAGGCCGCATTGAAGAGATATGTCTCCTATATGGAGGAAACGCAAGCGTTAGTCTGGTCACATGAACGCGCAAAACTCGTTCCAATGACGTACATTGTCGACATCGCTCTTACTGACGAGTCCTTCCTGCGCGACCTCCAAGTGATGTGCCAACAAGCGCCGAATCGCCTTCATCGCAGTAGTCGCCTGCTCTTTGCTATACCCGCCCGTCTCCAGCTGCTTGACGAGGGTATACGTGTCAAAGTGATGCACGTAAGGCGAAGGCGCAATGTGCGGGTGTGGCGTGGACTCAGGCGGTGGCATGTGGAGGACTGCATCCATGGGACCGCCCTGCTTCATCTTTGCATCAGCGGCTGCTTGCTGAGGGGTCTTGCCAGCGGCTGCACCTGCCGCAGCAGCAGCCGCCAGAGTGACCGACTCTGTGTCTGGAGATGCCTCGGCGGCTGGCTTGGTCGACTGCTGCTTGGCTGATGCTGTTTGTTGCTCCTCCTTTGCAGGTGTCTGCTTCTCGTTGGGATTCGCTGGAGTAGTTGGCTCGCGCTTGGCCTGCCTTGTTGATTCCGGGACCGGCCGGGCTTCCCCACCACTCGAGGAAGTGGTGTCGACAGGCTCTACGGCAGAACCATGCCTAGGAAAAGCAGTCTTGGGAGTTGCGGACGATGTCGAGAAGGGTGAGGCGGTGCGCGGTCCCGAGCTGGTGGACTTGCGGCATCTCTGCGTCCTCCGCACGGCCTGAGGGGCGATGTCCCGGGCGCGGGTGCCAGTCCCGCGGAACAGGGCGGGATAGAGGAACGTGAGGCGCGTGGTTGACATGGCTGGCCGATGGAGAGTGTGCGGCCTGCGGGTTCTGAGGAGGGCGGTCAGGTGCAAAGCACTGCCATGATCTCTCTCAAAGCAGGCGTGAATAGAACAGACGGTGGCTAGATGCGGTGTTAAAGGAAGCGGGACAACAAGGCAGAGGTGCAGCTTTTGACAGGCTCCGTTTCAGACGTCAGGGGCAGGGTTCCGTGCTTGCGCCTGCTGGACAAGTGCCGTGCCGAAGTTCGGACACCCACAAAGGGAATGAGAGTGGGCCTTTCGTTGGTCGTGATGCAAGAACTGCGTCTGGTGTCCCGCCTGTAGCCGGGCTGTCATGGAACTTGACTTGACTGCCTCAACTGCAGCACCTGTTTCTTGACGATAGCTTCAAATGACTTTTACGTGACCAGCCGCCCATTGCATCACGGTACCCTCTCAATGTGTTTCTCACGAATGTCTTTGCGGCAACACTGTCCACCGCACCAGACCCAAGGATACCCGTGCGCCGTTCGAATTGCAGTGCTGAAACTAAGGAGACGATTCCAACGTGATGCTATTTGTGGAATAATACAACCTCTCAAGAGTTGTATGCAAGCAAGTCTTGTCTGTCTGGTGCGCCTCGTCAGGTCTTCTCAAACTCTGCCTCCCCGCCTGGACCGCCAGAGCTGAAGAAGACAGGACGGTGTGCTCTTGTAGCTGACGACAAGGTGGGGCTGGCCCAGCTTGACGAGGCGAAACAATTGGACCCTGGGCTGGGCGGGTGAGGGCGGAAGGTGGGGGTGTTTGTGCTGCGAGTTACTGTGACAACGGGAGCTGCGGCCTCCCGCACCCCTGCACCGCACCCTGCAGCCCTCGTTGTGCGTTGTCAACGGGCAAGTGGTCAAAGTCGCAGGCCTCGAGAAAACTGCGCTGGTCCTGCAGTCGGCTGGCTGTCCTGCCGTCTCTGCTCCAACGTCATCTTCACCTTTGGGTTGCTTGCAGCCGTGTGTAGACGACCTCGTCGTCGCAATCGTTGCCGTTGCCAACAACCACACGCCGACTGCCTGAGCTCGACGTCGTCACCATTCCAGCCAGGTGGGCTCCACCGCCAAACCCAGCCCAGCGCCATCACCGCTCTGTGCTCGTGAGACAACTCGCCCATTGTCTGCCGAGCCGCATTCCTTAGCAAGCTCGCAACGTCCTCGATATTTTCACGCCCGAACAGTTCGCTACAGGCCTCTTTTTGTCGCCGTCATGGCGTCCGCCGCAGGGCTGTCGGCCCCGGGCGTCGTCACTTACGACTCCAGTACCTTGAGCGTTGGTGACGGAACATGGGACTTCACCAAGAACTCCTTTCTCCTTCCGAATCTTCTTGGGCTCAACTTTGAGACGATGAGATACAATGGTAGGTTTCGGACTCTCGAGTTCACCAGAATGCTACCCTGTGCTCGCCAACCCGACTAACACGTTCATGTTACTAGGCATGGGCAATAGATTCTCGACCGTTCCTCAGTACCACACCATCATCCTCGCCCACGGGTTGCTGGGCGCCCTTGTCTTCCTCTTCATTATTCCGATCTCTGTCATGCAGGCTAGATTCCGCGCATCGCCTGTGGCCAGACGGCATCATGCCTATTTCAACATCGTCGGCTTGTTGCTCGTCACTGTGGTCTTCGTCCTTGGGTGGTTTGCAGTCGGTCCAGCTCGTAGCTGGACCAATCCGCACCATGCCATCGGCCTCACTCTCTACATCATGTACTTGTTGCAAGCTATTGGTGGGCGCCTTGTAAAGAACATCTACAAGCGCTCCTTACGGCTCATGATTCACAGATGGTCTGGCCGCTGCATTGCACTTCTTGGTATTGCTCAGGTTCCCCTCGGCTTGACGCTGTACGGCTCCCCCAAGTACACATTCATCCTATTTGCAGTGTGGATGGCGTTCCTTGTGGTGCTCTATTTCGTTCTCAGTTGGCGCCACGACGGGCAGCATCACGATACAGCCTTGCTCGATGCACGACAGCACGAGGGCACAGAGGTCTCTGGTCCCAAGAAGAGCGGCCATGGCTGGCTCGGCCCACTGGCTGCTGGTGCGGGCATATTCGCGCTCATGAAGAGCCGCAAACGTCGTGGTAGTCACAGCAGCGGCAGCAGTGTCTCGCGCACCACCCGAAGCCGCTCCACCCGGCACCCTGAAGTCATCCCCTCTCGCAGAGGGTCAGCGAGCTACATCGATGATGAGAAATACTCTGACAGATCCGACCACAAGAAGAAAGGTGGTGGCATGATGGGCAAGCTCTTCGGGGTAGCTGGTGCTCTCGGGGCTGGTGCTATGGTCAAGAACTACATGGACCGGCGAGAGAAGCGGCGGTATGCTGACGAGGAGTATTCTGCTGTTGCTACCGAAACGCCCAGTCGGCCGAACCCGGCCACGCCATCCCGCTTCGCCCGACGGCCTGCTGATACCTACACTGAGAGTGAATTTACCGAGGATCGTACACAGCTGAATCGCCCCATCACTCCTTTGCTTCCGGGACCTGGCGGGCCTGTAGCGGCTGCTGCAGCAATCAGTGCCGCTGAACGCCCATCAACGCCACGCCCAGTGAGACCGCCTCACGCACGTCAAGACAGTTTCTACTCCAGCGAGTACTCCTCCTATGTCAGCCCGTCACGCCGCACAAAGCTCGATGAACCGCGGGGCGGCGCTGGTAAGGGGATTTTGGCAGCAGTGGGGCTTGGATGGCTTGCAAAGAAGTTCAAGGATCGCCGGGACAAGCGCGCTGAAGAAGAACGTCTCAGATACGAGGATGAACGGCGAGACGGCAGGCACGGCTCAAGGTACACTGGAGATGGATTTTCCACGCCGACAAGATCCACCCGTCGCCGCCCACCACCGGCAGTTGCACAAACAGCAACTACACTCACCCAGACGACTGATGAATCTTCGATGGTGGAGACGCTGCCACCACACCGGGCACCAGCTGGGCCGCCAATGCCGCCTCTAGGTCACGCTGGTGCACCTCATCCGGCGATACCACCCGCCGGATCATCTGTCCTCATTCCCGCCCCGGTCCCCGTCCCCTCCTCACGGCGCCACTCTAGGTCTCACTCAAGACGGTCCGAGTCCAAGCCTCGGCCCGACGTCACTGCCGCCCCAGTCATGATGCCGGACATGCCTGCAGATCCACAGGGCTTATTCGCGCCACTACGCGACGACTCAGATAGCGAGGCCTACACGTCAGCGGGCGGTGGTCCAGGCAAACGACGGTCTTCCACTCGTCGCAAGCCAGGCGATATCGCTGCAGCTACTACTGTGACCTCGGCATCACAGCTCATACCCGATGATCGCTCCCGCCAAAGATCGCACAGTCGAGCACCAAGCAAACCTGTCAGTGTCAAAGTCAAGTATCACGATGACCGTGACAGAAATGTCACGCTGCGGCGTCTGACAGATGAAGAAGCTGCTGCTGCACGTCGGGAGAGACGGCGCGGACGGTCGGAATCGATTAGCAGCATGTCCGACAGTGAAGCCCCGACCTCCGGTCGCGGGCGCTATAGGCGTGCGTCGAGCTCACGGAGAGGCCGAGACCCGGCTCCAGAGCTACTCGCTCCTTTGTCGCCACCCACACCTGCGTTCGCACGCGGAAAGAAGAGACAAAAGGACTCTGCCTACTACTCTGGCCAGCCGGGGCCGTCCGGAGAACCACCTGCCGCCGCGCAGACAGTATCCACGCTCGAGAGCATGGGAAGTCACGGCACATGGAGCGCGTTGAGCGAATCGGTGGGCGGACCTACAGGAGGCAACCAAACGGAAGGATCGGTTCCTGCGTCTGCCGCGGATCGCCGGAGGAGAAGACGACTTGAGCGACAAGGATCGAGGCCGCCAGGTGCAGTCGAGTACAGCTAACGATGAACATGGCAATTGTTCTACAATCTTTGTCACGACTGCATAGACGGAGTTTGGATTCGGTTTGGTTTGACGAACATGATCGAGCATTTGCAAAGGTAGATTTTGATTTCTGGACAAGATGCGATCAAGACTGAAAAGATTGTACATACACTGACGAGGATATATCATGTTCCGATATCCTCGTATAGGTATATATCGCTCTACTTAATGAATGAAAATGAAATTCCATTTACTGCAGCGCGATGCCCCTCTGCACGTCTCTTATGATCCGCATTAGCCTGCTTTTGTATTGTTGACATTATTACCCAGTCATGAACGATGGAGGGACTGGGACTGGGACGTCGCCCCACATGCTAAATGCAGGGACGCGCCAATCAGCTTGCCAGAGCTCGGGGTCAATTGAGCAAACAGACGCGCATTAACCACGCCTCCGATGTTGATTGATCCTTGTCGTCTTCTTCAAGATACTCAATGCAGCAGCGCTGATACAGATCGCAAAGCACCCTGCCAACTTGCCAAACGAGTGCTTCCCTGAAACACTTTCATGCGTGCATAAGCATATAAAACAGTCGAATCCACACCAGAATCAGGATCACGCGGTTGCAAGGCGCACTGAGGTAAATCACCACGCGTGCATCGTGAGAGTGGGTTTCGACCTCACCTGCGCAGCGACAACACAATCGCCCAGAGAAGTCCAGATTTGTGCAGTAAACATGGCCACAACAGAAGACGTACACATGGCGTCGGCGGAGCAGGCCACCACCACCACAACAACAAATCTCGCCCAGCACACCACATTATCACAACGGCGATCAGCATCACGAGAGCCGTCGTCACAACCACAACAACAGCAACAACAGTCACAGCATACACAGCAGCAGCAACAACAACAATCGCAGCAGCAGCAGCCGGCGTCGCCGCCATTGCCAGCGCGCCATGTTCAGGTCACGCCGGGCCCGCGCGCCGCCGGTTTCCAGAACCTGCTGGACAAGTCGCTCGAATCGACGCTGAAGAAGGTCAGCTGGGACAACTTTGCGGCATGCTACCCGACGATAGCGACGCAGGCGCCCGCGACGCTCAAGGCGGTGCAGAAGCAAATGGTTGAGAGGTTGGGGACGCTTTGCAGGGTGAGTTTTCCCCCGTGCTCACTTATCATCTCGGTTTGCTCCTTTTGCTAAAAAATGGAATGCGCATGGGTAGAGGGAGTTCCAGTCCATCTTTGAGCAGCGGCAGGTCGTGGCCAAACTGAACGAGTTGGAAGGCCTGATCAGCGAGGCGTCGAGGCGAAAAGACGAGGCTGGCATGCAGGGCATAGATGAGGCGCCCGTCCCGTAAGTGCTCCGACCATGACCTCAAACGAACACTTCTCTTGAAGAAAGGCGTAATATGACTGACCTTTATGATTGCAGGCCACATACGCTTCCCGCCGAGCAGGTATTTGCCGCGCATCTGGCGCCGCATCTGAAGCAGCAGCAGTCACAACTCAACGCGAAGCTTCAAACTGTGCAGGCGCACAATGCCAAGCTATTTGACGAGGTGCAGAGGCAGAGGGCCGAGATGGAGTCGCTGGTGCAGCTGCTGGAGAAGACGATGGAGGACATTGACAGTGCGAGCCAGATGATGGACGAGGTCGCAGACGATCTGGCCCGGGAGACCAGGACGGTGGAGGTGGGGATTGCGGGAAAGTAACGGGGGTGGATGAGGATGATCATCTTTTATATAAATGGCAGGTCATGTTGACATGGATATACACTGGCGCAATGATACCTACGGAGGAGGAGGAGGTCGTACAGCGTACGGCGTTTGGCGATTTACAGTGCGGTAGCAACCGCGAGCAGCCGGCGCACGGCGAGAATATATTCTATCCTGCAATTGCGTGGTCCAGTTTGAACCGTCTCGTGCCGGAATCACTACTTCAGGGTCAACAGAGCTCTTAACTCATTGTCTCGTGCTGCGGAGTGGGCAGGGGAGTCGGTGGTCGTCCATTTGACGGCTCATAAACACTGTCGGGTCGTCACTGGGATCGTCATGCGAGACTCTCACTGGGCTGAGCTGAGGCTCCGGCCAGCCGGGTAGGCAGAAGGTTGTAGGCGCAATCGCGTTCCCCAGCTTTGGGGAGCCCCCACCCACTCGAGCCGCACACACAAACACACAAACAGCCGCCCTCGCACTGAGACAGGACCGGCGCACGACCCCCAGCCCAGAGCTCCGTCCCGGCCAGACCCAGACCAGACCAGACCAGAGTGCGTGTGCCTGACGACGTTGCCCATCACGACAACCAAACCTCCCCCTCGAGATTTTCCACCCTCTCTCCCACAGAAGCAGCACCGCGATTGCGCCTCGACCCCTTCTCTGCTCACCACCCACCGATATCCTCTGTCGAATTCTGCATCTCTTTTTCATTCTCTGCGCCTGCTTCAGCCCATTGATCTTCTCCTTCACCACGCGCCCAGGCTCCCTCTGCCCACGCTCGCAATTTTCGGCACCCCGCTGCCCTTGACGTCCCTTGTGGCTCCGAGTCCGTCACTCTCGTCGATTCCCACTCCACATCTTTCCTCCTCGACCCGCCCTCTGCTGCACGCTTCAGCAACAACACCCCTTATCCCCCCTTTGCCGGGCGCCCTCGTCTCTTCTCTCCATCCAGTCCAACCGGTACGCTCCTCCAGCGCCTCTCGCTTCACATAAGTCATCGTGCCCCCAACTACGGCGCAAGAGCTGACCTGTATACTGCCCCCGTTGCAGCTCCTTCCATCACATCGCGACCATGGCGACCAACGGCAACAACGGTGCGCAGTTCACAAGCACCAATGCCCCCTCCACAGTCTCTGCCACTTCTGGTGCCGCCGAGCCCAGCAGCGACAGCAACCTCGGCAAGGATGAGGTTGCCTGGTTCTTCGTCGAGCAATACTACACCACCTTGAGCAAGACACCTGAGAAGCTTCACGTGAGTCCCCGACATCATTGCCTTGGACTGTTATCCCCTTATTGGTACTGATGCCTCTGGTCTAGCTCTTCTACGGCAAGCGATCGCAATTCGTCGTTGGTCGCGAAGCCGAGGTCGCCAACGTCTCTGTCGGCAGACAGGTAAGTCTACCCATCCTCGAGCCTTGTGCTAGATTCTTTCCTGTTCCATGTTCCATCCTCTGACACCACTCGTATAGTCCATCCAAGAGCGCCTCAAGCAGCTCGACCTTCAGGACTGCAAGGTCCGCGTCTCCAATGTCGACTCCCAAGCCTCCTACGACAACATTGTCATCCAGGTCATCGGCGAGACATCCAACAAGGCCGGCACCCCCAAGAAGTTCGTGCAGACGTTCGTCCTCGCTCAACAGCCCTCGGGATACTTCGTCCTCAACGATCTCCTTCGCTACATTGACGATGAGGGTGATGAGGAGCCTGCTGAGGCCGCTGAGGAGGAGACTGCGACTGCCACCGACGCCCCCGCCGCCGTTCCTGTGGCCGAGGCCGAGGCTGAGCAGTCAAGCGCCGCTCCGGCTTCCGCTGAGGAGGCAGCTGCACCGTCGCTCGATCCTGGCGTGATCGACAAGAAACTCGAGGAAGTTTCCGCGGCCCCCGAACCTGTCAACGGCGACTCGGCCAAGACAGACAGTGCTGCAGAAGCCGTTCCTGCCGAGGCGAGCTCGCTGCCCAACCCCGAGGCCACCCTCGAGGAGCTTGTTGCTGAGGAGGTCCGAGAGCCTGAGAAGCCTACCGACCCCAGCCCTACGCCCGTTCAGAACCGTCAGCCCGCGCCTCCTGCTGCCCCGGCGCCTGCTCAGCCTGCGAAGCCCATGACTTGGGCCAGCCGTGCCGCCGCCGCCGCCGTTCCTAAGCCGGTCACACCTCTGCCCAAGACAGCCACTCCTCCGACTCAGGCTCGCTCCGCTGCTCCCAGTACCGCTCAGCCTGCTGCCTCGGCGCCCACTTCTGCCGCGCCAGCCACTACCACTGGAGATGAGTCTTCCAGCGCCGCCCCGGCGAAGGAGTCCTCTGAGTGGCAGACTGCTGGTAGCGACTCCAAGCGCCAGAACAAGCCTCAGGCCGCCACCGGCGCCCAGACTGAGAAGGAGGGCACGATGGGCTACGTCAAGTATGTCACAGACAAGGTTAAGCACGACGAGCTCAAGCAGGCTCTCGCTCAGCACGGCGAGGTTGTGTACTTTGACATCAACCGCCAGAAGGTAATTCGCCATGCGATTCTTACGTTTCCTGAAATTCAAGGCTGATCACTGACTGCTGAACGTGATAGAACTGCGCTTTCGTCGAGTTCGCTACCGTCGCCGGCTACCAGGCTGCTGTTGCCGCCAACCCTCACATCATCAATGGCGAGAGCATCCAGGTCGAGCCTCGTCGCCCCAAGGCCGGCGCCTACGGTGGCAGCAACTACAGTGCCGGACGTGGAGGCGCACCGAGCCGTGGCGGTCGTGGTAGCTTCGAGGGTGGCCGCTCTGGCAGCTCTGGAGGCCGCGGCAACTTTGGCGGCCAAAACCGCGGTCGTGGTGGTGCTGGTGCCGGTGCCGCCCGCGGCGGTGCTTGGGGTACTGCTTAAGCGGTCGAAGCACTTCGAATTTGTTGGCTTGCGACCTCCAGCAGGAAGTCCTTGGCCACAAAACTGCAAAGACATGCCTCATGCTTTGCAGCATATCTTCAACCTTTTCCTTTGTCTTTACCTGCTTCTGTGACACTTTCTCACACCAGCAAAACCGAGCTCACTTCTCGGGTGATCCTGGTCTTCCACAAGGAGCCCAGGGCCCGGGGAGTTGCTCGACGATGTCCAACATTGGCATCTGCGTCCTCAGGGGAAAAGCCGTGACTCACGGCTCAATCGAGAAATCAGAGGAGGAAAATCACTACACCTAGCTTTACAAGCAACCCACGCTGTTTGTTGGTCATTGATGTCGGACTTGGAGTACGAGATGGGAGAAGGTATGTTGTACATTGTGTAACAAGAAGAAAGTGGGTGGGCATGGGAGAAAGTCGCAAAACCTCATATGCATGGAAAACGGAGTGAAAAACATTTTGGCCCAGGGATTGTTTTGCGATTCCTTCTAATTTTTTGTTTTTGGCCCCCTCAAACTTTTTGTACGAGTCGGAACTGTACATTACCACCACCACCACAAGCACAGGGCGAGGCGCGAAGGGAGGGAAACGGGTTTGAAAAGTTAGTCTCTGACAGGCGCGGCCTTCACGATAATGTTGACGACGAACCTAAACGATACCAAGAGATTTTTTCGATTCGAGGGGATTGTGAGGAGTGTACAGATATTGGTGCATAGCACTCTGGCTGTGTAAGCGTGTGAGTGGTCCCCATTTGCCTGGGGTCCATCGATTCGTTCAGTGTGAAAGTAGTTATTGTGATCCCGAGGGGGAAAATATCCCACGCCCTCATGGGAGTGTACGAGGGCGGCTGGGAGTTATAACTACTCTTGGAGTGACTCGAAGCCTCGGCTGGGATGTCCTTGGATCTGAGGCGCTTCCTAGCCTGGACTCGTTTTCCTGGCATCGTACTTCTGCGACAAAGGGTGCAGGGAAGACTAACGAAGGGACGGACAATGCTTGTACATGGAGACCGGGACACGATACTTGTTTTGGTATATACATGCATTCATCCTTACGAATACAGTCTAGAGAACCAGTTCTGACCCAACAATGCCCCCCCCCCCAAAACCCCTCAAAAAAAATGACGGCACTACTTACCTTGTCCGTCTACGCACAACACGAATCTCGTCCTTCTCAGGAGGTAGATTCGCGCTCAGAAAGCTTCCCGGCCGGCTCTTGTCCCCCACAAACTCGACATCGTAATGCATGACCATGTAAGCAACAATCTGCTTGAGCGTCTGCGTCGCGTACCACCGCCCCGGGCAGACATGCTTGCCATAACTAAACGGCAAGAAAGTCTTTGTCGCCTTGGATGCGAGTTCTTGTTGGTCGCGTGCATAGTCGCCGTGATCATTATCATTATCAGTGGGGGCAAGAGGACTCTCGAAAGGCCCGGAGAAGCGAAAGGCGTCGTACTCGAGAGGGCTGTCGGGATAGTTGTCCACATCGTGCTGGACGTCCTGGATCGGGAGACCTATTGTCGTTCCGGGAGGCAGGAAAATCTTGCCACCACTTTTGGTCATGTCGTCATCGCCGCCGCCGCCTGGGAGGTGGGTGGTGAGACCAGCGCCGCCGACGATGCGTAGGGGGTTGATGACGGCGAACGGGGAAACGCGCATCGACTCCCTCACGGCAGAGTCGACGCGGAATAACTTGTCGACCGCTTCCCGGCTTGAGAGGGAGCCGTCGTGGGAAGAAGCGGCGACGCGCTCGCATTCCTCGCGCAGGCCGGCGATGAATTCCGGGGACCGTGGACTGCTGTAGAGGTTCACGATCAGAGGGGCGAGGGTCAGCGCTACAGTGTAGGTCGAGACGATCTGGAGGACCAGCAGGCGCTGGGCGACCAGATCGGCGTCGATGCCCTCGGATGTGCTGCTCTTGTTGTTTCCCGCGCCCTGCTGTCTTGCTGAGTGTTCGATGATCCACTGCAGCGCGTCGTTTGGCATCACCTCTTGACCCTTTCGAGAGCTCCACTGCTGCAATCTGCCCTTGACGGCTGGGACAAGGATGTCCATGCATTTCCTCCTGTGGCTCTTTGACAGCAGGCCGAAGACGGGCGCGAGCATCGGCTTCAGGCTCTCAGGCAGGGCGCCAATGAACACTGCGCCCTGGTAGACCATTTTGGCGTACGAGGCACATTCTTGCAGCAGGGTTTCGTTTCTGCACAGCGGCAATCCCAGGAACGCTCGGTTGGCCGTCCGCGAAGTGATGCGTTGAGCCGTCTGCCAGATGTTGATTGTCCTTGGGTTCTCGGTGTCGATTCCCAAGTACGTCCGGAAAGCGTCGTCTGTCTCGTGGGCCGTGGCGGCGGCGAAGAAGCCGTATCCGTTGTGGCCCATGTACTTCCTCACCACGTCGAACTGGACGGGGTTCCTGAACAGCGACAACTCCGGATCGGCGGCCATCATGTACCGGGGCTGCAATGTCCTCATCTGCGCGGGGAATGCCATGATCTCGCTCTCGGGCCGGTTGAGGACGGCGTCAAAGAGGTGGGGCGGGACGATGACGATGGTACCGGCGCCAAAGCTGGGGATCGCAAAGGGGAGCCCATGCTTCTTGCAAAAGTGTGTGTAGCCATGGGCGACGTTGTTGGCAGTCTGTGTAATCGAGCGGGCAATGGCTCGCACCCAGGGGATCAAGACCTGGTTTGGCGAGACACCGACCGTAGGCACCCCAACGAGGAGGCGTCCGTCTTGGTCATGGTTCGTTCTTTGGTTCCCAAGCCCAACAGACCGGAGGAGCACTATCAAGATGGCGGCAAGCGCCAGCATCAACACAGCTTCATGTGTTCCCGCCATAACCGTCGTCGTCGTCGGTAAGACACCTGTTGAGTGGTGTATGTAGTGAATACATGGCTGAAAGTTGCGCAACCGACCGGGAAGAGAAATGTAGAGCGCTTTATGTGCGCGGTGGCCCTGAATGCTACCCCATCGTGCACGAAGAGCGGAGGAAAATCCGTAAGCTGCCTTCGTGACAAGGACCTGAGGACGACATGCCACTCGGCCGGGCGTTGGTGGGTAAGCGCCGTAGCTTGGGAAGAGGAGAGATGGCGGCCCACAGCTGACATGCAATTGCTTGCATACAGCACAGTAGTGCTTACATTTTGTGGGTTTCTCGACATCTCACTAAACAAGGTGCCCCTAAGATCGATTGGTGCTGGCCGATGGCTCTAACTTTAGGGGGCGCTACTATCGGGCGGCGGGAAGGGCGATGCAATTAGGGTAGGGCTGTGGTCCAGCTGGGACGAGATGCGCCAATGAGGACGCTGGAGCTGGACAGGGCCGCAGCTGTACATCGCTGCAAGCCCCAGTCATTTTGATATTATCCAGCATGTACTAATTAGCATTGCCACCTCTTCGGGCAGGAGGGACCATGCCCGGCCCGCAACTAAATGTCCTTTGCGGCGCAGAGAGCTGATCCATCGTGGGCATGGCAGTCTAGGCCTCCTGCCAGATTCCTGCAGGGCTGCAGGGCTCGACTTTGGGCGGCCCCCAATATTTGGACTGGCTTCTTGCTCCCGTCTCGTTATCGTCTGGGCCCGGCCTCTGGGGATATTGCTGCCCTTGTTCACCACCACTTCGCCGCTGGGAATCTCGACATTCTCCTTTCCCTCGCTTCTGGGTTTTCGCGTTGTTCGAGTCTTCTTCTGTGTGGAGGGGAGCCGTGGCTCTGCTCGCCGTCACAGCAGCCACACCTTTATCATAAGCACCAGCCGAGGTTGGCAGCCTTTTACTATTTGGTGAGCGAACGGCACCATCGCCGACGGCAACAATGGAGCCGTATCGGCACCAGCAGGAAAACCTCGGCGTGCAGGATCACGCGCAGCAAGCGCCGATGGTAGTCAACTACGAGCAAGGGTACCAGTACGCCGATTACCCACAGGTCTATGATGATGCCTCTGGCAAGGAGGCATTCCGGCCGCAACACGCCAGCGAGATGTACCCCGAAGCCGTCACTGGCAACTCGTACTTGGGAGATGGGGCCAAGCCCGGTATGGCCGTGGGTGTGATGGCAGGAGGGCCAACACCTCCTCCGCCAGGGTATGCTGAGCTCGGCGATGCGCACGCACGCGGCAACGAGTTAGGTTCGGTCCCAACTCCGGGTACGGCGACAATCTGTGGGCTGAGGAGGAGAAACTTTTGGATCGCCCTAGTGGTCGCGGCTGCCGTCGTGATAGCCGCTGTCGTGGGAGGTGTCGTGGGAGGCGTCGTCTCCAAGAAGACTGGCAGCGACGGCAACACAGCAAGCGGCGGCCAGCCACAGCCAGTCCCCAAGCCCAGCGGAACCAACTCGTCATTCCTAGCGGTACTGACAGGGACCAAGATCGCGGCATCGAACTGGACCGGGCCTGAGGGCTTTGGGCGGCGGGCGGTCTTCTTCCAGGACGAGCACAACTCGATCGTCGCGCGGCTCTGGGACTCGCAGAATGGTACCTGGCTCACGCACAACATCTCCGACATCCTCGCCAGCCGCAAGATCGACGTCGCCATCGCGCCCGCAAAGTCCCTCGCCTCGGCCGCCCTTGACTCCGTCAACGCCTTTGGCCCGCGTTTGTGGTACGTCGGCACCGACAACATCGTCCGCCGTGTCGAGAGCGCCGAGCTCAACGTTGCCCAAAGCCCCGACAGCTGGACCGCAGACCTGCCCAACGGCAACTCGTTCAACCACACCATCTGGCCAGACTCGCAGCTCGCCGCCGCCTGGCAGCGCTGCGCCCCCAACTGCGTCGGCGACTGGATCCTCGCGTACCAGCGGAACACGGATGGCGCGATCATGACCGCCAACAACAGTCATTGGGATAACCCGGACCAAGCCATGGGCACTGGCTCGGTCAGCAAGTCGACTGCCCTGGCCATTGTGCCGTGGTACCAGGTCGTGGCTAGAGGCATGGGCCTCGTCTCGGAGAGCATGGCCGGCACCGGGAGGGCCGACATGCAGCTGTACTCCTTCAACACCAACACCGGAAAGTGGGCAGACACAGGTCGGTCTTTGACATAATTATCCATTCTCACATACCTGCCTTAGATCACTAACCACCCTATGTCAACCCGAAAACAGGCAAACCACTCCTCGAGTCAGTCATCCCCTCCGCATCGAGTGAGACCCAATTCGCCGTCACAAAGTGGGACGGCTGGAGGCAGACCCTATATCTCTCCCTGACTAGCGACGGCAAGTTGAGCGCAAGCTGGTGGACGGGACCGCAGACGGCCATCCAGGAAATAACCATGACGGGGTTCACGAGCGCCGGCACGAGCAGCGCCCCGCAGTTCACAGCCATGACGCTGACGCTCGATGCCATGTTCTACGGCGTCACAGCCGACGGCTTGGTGCTAGAGTATGCGGTCGACCAGGACGATCCCAGGACGTTCAGGTATGTCTCGACGATATGGCCGCCTGCGTAAGGGGAGGCCGGGCAGTAAGGGCTGCATGTGATATAGGAGCATAGCGTAACTATACAATTGTTCATATTAGATGAATGCGATTCAAGACTGCGTAGGAGCTTTTCTGTGGTCTCCAAATTTGAGCGGCTCATCAATCGTGGATCATTCTCGATGTTTATGTGACTTGACTTGACTTACGACCAAAAGAGTGCCATACACGACGGAGACGTTTCGCGTTCGGATCTCTCCATACTGGTATTCAGGGCTTACGCTGTCGTTGGGAATGCAAATATACTAGCCCGGAGGACAGAACAACTCAGCATTTGCTTCACGTAAGACAAACACACACACACACACACACACACACACATATATATATATATATATATATGGTCTCAAGGCAGAACAATAGAGCAGAAACTTAGCCATTTTCAAAACTAGCAATGGAATAATATCGTCCCACGAGAATTAAGAATCATCACCCCCATGGGCTGGTGCCCAGAAAAAAGGGAGGTGATGATTGTGCGTGTTAGCCCTTACCAACTTAACAAGACATATACACACAATCGGACACATGAGACCTGGCCGTCATTCGTCATTCGTTGTTTTTGTAGTCTTCTCGCTTTATGAAATAATGTCATGAGGCGCTGACAAAAAGAGAACCGTCTTCTCCGCAAAGATGATGTCTCAGCCTCCAGGGGGCCTTTTGTACACTTTCTACAGGTTTTTTTTTTTTTGTATTTTATACCGCTCCTCGAAGTCTAGTGAAGAGCCCATTGGTTGCAAGTTTCATTAGTCGGGAGGTTTGGTTGTGCGCATGACTGGCTCATCTCATTCCAGTAGAGTCAACAAGTCTCTATCGTGGTGGTGCGACCAGGTGTGGCGGTGAGGTCCTTCAGCTATGATCATAGTAGAGCCTGAGCCGGTGTGCTTCCGGGATGTTCACGATGCGCATCCATGGATATGCTTTCCTCAACATTGTCACCGGGCGCTTGGAGCAGCCCCTCTGCATTGTGTTCTATGATATCCAATAGATGGCCACGCCCACCCTTAGATGTTCGGTCTTGTCTACGACACCAGTGTTGCGTCACGCCACCACACTCTACATGACAGTACAGCAGTCGCCCAGCTTGCGTACAAGCTTCCCAATGAGTTTCTCCACATCGTCCTGCCCTTGCTGCTGGCCACCATGCTGCTGACCGCCATGCTGTTGCCCACCGTGGTGCTGCTGCTGGCCGCCGTGGTGCGGTTGCTGGCTGGGGTAGCCGCCCCCGCCGCCACCGCCGCCACCATAGTGTCCAGAGGGAGGCGGGATGGCCTCTCCGCCGGTGAGGTTGATGTAGATGCGGCCGGCGTTCTCCTCGGTGTGGTACTGCAGACCGAGCTCCTGGCAGACCTGCTCGACACGAGGCTTGATCTTCTGCACGTGGTTCACGCTGTGGTTGCCCTTGCCCACGATGCTGTTGTTTTTGCGACGATGATTAGCTTCCGGGAGACGCTAGCTCGACTCTTACGGGGAGGGCGGGCATCCTACACGTGGAGGTGACTCTGTCCGTGCTGGGTAGCATAACGGATGCGCTCCTCTAGTATGTCCTCGGCTTCCTCGACGAATTGGCCGTGCAGATCGATCGTGTCGTCGGCAATGCGCCCGGGCGCGTTGTTCTCGCGGAAGATGAACTCGCTGGCCTGCTTGTTGTACTGCTCCATCTTGGCGCCGTGCGCCTTGCCCTCGTTGCTCAACTGCTTGGCAGCCGCGCCATCTCCATCATTGTACGCGGCCCGCGACTAGCAACCCGGTGTCAGTCCTTGCTCGTGTGCTCTTTGGTGCCAGGGTCGGCGTAGGGCGTACCCGATCGTAGCATTCACCGCGCTTCCTGGCCTCCTCGCGCGCCAGGTCGCGCAGGCGATCGTACTCGGCCTCGGCGTCGTTGTTGGGGCTGTGGTTGAAGGCTGGACGCGACCTTGCTGTCAGCGACGGACTGGATGTGGGCTGAGCCTCGAGCTATCAAGGCAGCATGACGTCGCGGGGCGCATTGGGGTTTCTTTGCTACGTGCACGCGGGAGCTGCGAGTGCGGACTCGAGTGAACAGACATACCGTGGCCTCCCAGCCGAGTCAGAGGGATGGACATTGTGAATTGTGCTGCAGCAACGATCAATGGCTGCCGGATGCGGAGGACGCCCTCCAGAAGTTGGTATTAAAACAGCTGCCAGCCGCGTAGCGCAAAACAAGCTCGCCCATCGCCCGCGACTCGCTGGGCTTGGCTGGGCCGCCTAGCCGAGTATGGCCATCGTCACTGCGCCAATCCACCACGCCCAAACCTTGGCTGGCGGCCGCCTTCCAGACAGCTCCCCGACGCCTCGCAATTGCAGCTGCACAACACCCTGCACAGATTGCACCATGAGACCGCCCTCTCTACAGTGCCATATGGCTACTTTAGCATGCCATCCGATCCAGCTCGCGACCTCCCAATTGTCGTGAGGGCACCCGGGCAAGTCAAAGCGATGACGTATGTGCGAGGGCCTGCCAGGTGTCGGCTCGCACTCCACACGTGCAAACTTGCTTGGTTCCTGGCCAGGCCAAGAACCTCGAGGTTCGTCGCCGGGCATAGCGGAAGCAGCAATAACGCAGTTGCCAATTGGACGAGTCAACCAGTAACTTATATGTCACGCAGCATCCGGTATGCAAACGTCCTCCAAGCAGCATGCAAGCACGGCTCTATGGGTATCGCGTATGGTTGAGGACATAATGTTGATATTGTCCTCCTTGGAGCGCTGCGCTTCGGTGCGGCAGCTATGAAGGGCGACGACCACCAAGGCCGGCTTGCTGTGGCAGCTCTCGACGATCCACCAAGACGCCCAATTGACAGTAGGTGGATGCACCAGGCCACAGTCATGGACGCATAATCGTGCCCGTGAACAAGATCGGTACGGGAAACAAGGATTGACACCACGGTCCGCAAATTCGTCAAGGCAACCTGGGCAGGCCTAGCAGAGCCATGTGGCAGTGGAGGCCCCGCATGGGCTGCTGGCCAGGTGATTGGCAGTGCTCCCTTGTCGGGATGGGGAATTGTGAGATTGCCGACTCAGCGCTAGGTGCTCTAACGCAGATAGTTGCCGTCGAGCAAATTACCTGCGTAGTCCTGGACAAAGAAGCGAAATTGGTTGACGGGATCCTGTGGACAGCTGGCGCGCGAAGTCAGCTGGGTGCTTCTGCACAGTATGCCTGCCTCGAAACCGGCATGGCTCTTTCCCAGCACATTCTTGGAGCCGGCATGATTTGCGAGTGGCCCTCGAAACGAGCTCTGTCCCAGACACCCGAGCAGTTTCACGGTCATGACAGGTACGGGCCTGTGCTCGGTGGCAGGCGAAACAAGGTTCCGTTGGCATTCTAGAAGCAGCCCCTCTTCGCTTGGTGATCCACGCACGCGATGCTGCGGCCAGCTCCCACTCGCCGCAAGGTGGGTCTGGAAACTCAGCTCTCTGTGCTTGACCAGGCCTCGCCAGGCCAGGGAGCACGAATCGCTGTGGCTGGCAATCGTCGAGATTTGGTATTGGAGAGCAAAGGAACGAATTGGGGCGTAGGGGGAAACGGTCCAGGTCCATGTCGACCAGCATCTCATTCAGCATTCCCTGGTACGAGGCAATTCGGCGGGGCCGATGCGATCGGGTAGGTTCTGGAGCGCCCTGGCTGGCTCGAGTCAGGCAGGCCATGGATAGTTCGAGCTTCGATCGGGGCGAAAATTACACAGCATGAATGTTGATTGCGAGAAGCAGCAGACCGGCGCTGTGGAACATGATGTGTTGTGCCGTGTTCTGAGCGCCTCTTGAGTGATGGATGATCTGTGAGCGTTTATACAGAATGCTTCCACGCACGAGCGGGATGGAGGTCATGTCCTTTGCATCGGGTCTCGACTGGTCGACTGTCGACGAGAGCAAGGGGAAGGGGAAGGTGCGCGGAACCTGTGCCGCAGTCCAGCGTCGATCATGGAGGATCATGGAGATGGGAAGGATGCGCAGCAGCAGCAGTCGTGGACAAAGAGGGCCTAGCTCTAGTCAGTGCATTCCAATGTCCACGCCGTAGCTTCAGTGTGGCCCCGGCGGAGAACTTTTACTAGTCCTAGGCTAGAGCTAATATCACGGCTTGTCATCCATGACCAGCAGCTGAGGCAGAGTCAAGACCACGGCTGGGCGCCGAGTCCAGACGACTCAGCAGCCTAACTATGAATGTTAAGCTTCCCAGGGTCTTGTGGTCTCGGCAAGTGGTGTATGTAGAAGTTCGAGGCCGAGCCGCTCGCTGACAGCTCAAACTAATCTTCGCAGCTGCTTGCCACGCTCAGATGCACAGTCCAGAGGGAGCGGCTGTGGGCCATGGCCGTTGAGCACATATGATGGTATGTTCCAGAGGTATTGTTTGCGGGGAGTAAACAAGGGCTGAGACACGAACCTCCCTTGCGTCCCTTATTGTGATCTTGCTTGTTTCCTCGAGCCTCCTGCCCTGCAGTATGCAAATCGGCGGGCTGCTCTCGCAAGCTTGTCGGTAGTACGACATGTGCTGATGTGCCCATCCGTGTGCCTGGGAATAGCTTTGACGGATCGTACCGAGCACAGGCCGTTTTGCTGGCCACGGGCCCACGCGGTGCTTGGATTTTCACAGGGAGCAGTGAACGCTGTGGCACAGCAAGCAAAGTGCCACGAGTTGTCTCTTGCAGAATGCATACGTGCAAGGCAGGCTCTCTTAGCTCATCAGATATTCATAGCACTGCAACACTTGTCGGTTAATCCTGGGGAAATGGAGGGAAGATGAGGCACAGGGATAAATTGCGTGAGTATTACCCCCTGGTCGCTTCGAAAGTTCCGTTCATGAGCTTCGAGCTTCGAGCGTCGTCCAGGATCAACCCTCCCACCATCCTGCTCTGTTCTCGTGATTGGCTGAATGAGGTGGTTCGTGAAACTGTTCACCACTTCCAAGGTTGAGGGCAGACTCCTCTTCCCCACGACTCCATAACACGGATGGCCTGGCGAGACCACACAGACCCCTCCTTGTGGTGGGAACACTCTTCAGTACTGAATATCGTAATACAGTAGACAACAAAGTCCCACGGGAGATTTTCAGGATGAAACAGGCCATGGCCTCGGGGACGAATGTCGCTTGCTCGACATTGGCCGCTCAGGCTCTTCCCCAAGCAGCTGTCCCCCACGAGGCACGGGAGAGTGGCAGTTCGAAGAGAAGGCCCTGCGCAAGAAGTGGGTTCGAGTCCATTTCGGCCACCAGGGCCCTGCCAGGATCGCTCAGGACGATCCAGGGTGTGCTTTGACAGTGGAGTCGTGATGCGTCCATCCCATGTTCTGCCCCTGGCAGAGACGTGGAGAGGTGCTTTGCATGGCGAGATTGGCTGTCCAGCGCTGGCAAGAGTCTTGAGCTAGGGGCCGGCTTTCTGAAGGCGTGGGACCCCGTGCCTCGTGCCTTGCCAGATGAAGCTAGTCGGGATTGGACTGTGGGTTTGCCACCAACCCAGGACATGGTTCTCTGCGAACCGTCGTGTGTGTGTGGCTCTCGGCGGAGGATAATCACCATTTGGCCGGCAAAGGGCAAGCTCAGGGGCTCGTTGCCCATTACTGCAGGGGGGAATGGGCCTCGGAGGTGCACGTTTGAGTGTCAACTGCCTGCCGACGGCCTTTCTGCGCACTCTCTATGCGAATATGCGGCGTGTCTCAGTACCATGGTGCCAGTCGAGCCAGTGAACGGTGATGATGGCGTACGACAGCTCTCGATGAAGCTGGTGCCCGGGGCTTGGTCCCGATGATACAGGCGTGTCATGTATCCATCAAGGGAAGACGAGCAGGTGGAGTTGGCCTTCTAGATCGACGGAGACTGTTGCCGTGCGGCGCGCAAGCTGTGCAAGGCGGCAGTAGCAACGCGGTGATGTGGTAGTACGGTCGGTTTGGGATTGCTAGTAAGATTCAACTCATGCCTGTTGCGCGGGCGGCTGCACTTCTGCAGGAAATGCCAGTCGTCATTCTCGTGCACTTGCAGGAGCGTCGCCTGGCCCAATTTCCAAACACGCTCGCTCGATGCTGGCAACAGAGCCCAGGAGGTTCTTGGTGAGCATGGCATGGTATGGCCGTGGGGCGAGGGTGGCGGCCGCGGGCGGCTAGCATGTGCAGGAAAAGGGGCAGGCCTGGATGGGCAGTCGGGAAGGGGGGGTCCCGCCAGGAGAGCGCGGCAGCAAGCTGGAGTGCAGCCGGGGCCACTGTGCTGGGCTGGGGCTATTGAAGGAGCGCGACCGACGGGGACTCAGCTAGCCCGCCAGCGGCGCTGCTCGCTCTTGCTGGCTGGCGACCCCGGTGGGCACTGACAGCAATCTCTCGCTCTGCGCCCGGCCACCCTTTTCTCCTCCCCTTCTGCGGTGCGTCCTGCATTCTTCTTCCCATTTCCCGTTTCCCTGTCCTCATTCGGCCGTCCTCTCCATCGCCTTTTCCAATCGCAACCTCTGTCGTCTTGTCAATTGACACTGATCGTGTCGAGGTAAGTCACACATGTCTACTCTCGTCGCCGACCGTCACCCTCGTCCTTCGCTCCGAACACAGCTACGTGCCCCTTCCGCGCGCCCCTCGTCGCTCTGCTCGATGCCTCGGAGGCTCCGGCGTCTGCAGTGCTTCGCAATCACTCTCAATGGCCGAACATGCTTGGGAGCGCCGACGTCTCCGTCTTCATCGCTGTGCCTCGGTGCGCAGATGCCTGCAAAGCGCTAGACGCTGCTCGTCGCTGGACGTTGGCCATGCGGAGACACGAGCCCAGCATGCGTCTTGCGCAGAGGGTGGCCGCGCATGCAGAACAAGTGTTCGACTTCTTCCGCCAACACGCCTTGCGCCGGCGATTCTGAACCTATCTCCTACGACCAGCACTATGAAAAGCCAACGAACGCCCGAACCTCGCTAACTTTCTGCTTTGCGCGTAGAGACGATCCGAGCACCCGTTGTCATCGAGGTCAATCGGCGACAACGCTCTTTTCATTTCCCCTTCTACAGACCATCCTTTAGTACGAGTTTACAACAACAGCCAAGATGGGTTGCGGAATGAGCACGGAGGAGAAGGAGGGCAAGGCCCGCAACGAGGAGATTGAGAACCAGCTCAAGCGCGACAAGATGATGCAGCGCAACGAGATCAAGATGTTGCTTCTCGGTAAGTGCCATGTTTGCCACGTCCATATCTACCCCCGTCCTCATTTCAATACTGACAATGCAATCAAGGTGCTGGTGAATCCGGAAAGTCCACTATCCTGAAGCAGATGAAGCTCATCCACGAGGGTGGTTACTCACGCGACGAGCGTGAGTCCTTCAAGGAGATCATCTTCAGCAACACTGTCCAGTCTATGCGTGTCATCCTCGAGGCCATGGAGTCTCTCGAGCTGCCTCTCGAGGACCAGCGTATGGAGTACCACGTCCAGACCATCTTCATGCAGCCTGCTCAGATTGAGGGCGATGTTCTCCCCCCGGAGGTCGGCAACGCCATCGAGGCTCTATGGAAGGACCACGGCGTCCAGCAGTGCTTCAAGCGCTCGCGCGAGTACCAGCTCAACGACTCTGCCAGATAGTATGTTATCTACCCGTCTCACGCCCGGCCGCTCGGTGCTAACTAGTTCGCTTTCTAGCTACTTCGACAACATCGCCCGTATCGCTGCGCCTGACTACATGCCCAATGACCAGGACGTACTCCGCTCCCGTGTCAAGACTACTGGTATCACAGAAACCACCTTCATCATTGGCGACCTCACCTACCGCATGTTCGATGTTGGTGGCCAGCGTTCCGAGAGAAAGAAGTGGATTCACTGCTTCGAGAACGTCACTACCATCCTCTTCCTGGTTGCCATCTCTGAGTACGATCAGCTTCTGTTTGAAGATGAGACGGTCAACCGCATGCAGGAGGCTCTTACCTTGTTCGACTCGATCTGCAACTCGAGGTGGTTCATCAAGACCTCGATTATTCTGTTCCTCAACAAGATCGATCGCTTCAAGGAGAAGCTCCCCGTCAGCCCCATGAAGAACTACTTCCCCGACTACGAGGGCGGTGATGACTATGCGGCCGCCTGCGACTACATCCTGAACAGATTCGTCAGTCTCAACCAGCACGAGACGAAACAGATCTACACACATTTCACATGTGCCACTGATACGACACAAATCCGCTTCGTCATGGCGGCTGTAAACGGTATGCCCCCCCCCCCCCCCAATCAGAGTACACTAGTCCTCGACTAACGCGACTTGCGCAGATATCATCATTCAGGAGAACCTCCGCCTGTGCGGTCTTATCTGATTGTAACGCCATTGTTTCCGATTCACGCAGAACCCGATACCCTCATCGAACATTCTGGACGGGTGCCAATAATGTCAATAGACCTGGCAATTCACACCAAACGCCACCACGAGCATCAGCTCACGCAAGAACGCTCAGAAGTGCTGCTGGACAACCGGTTTGCGACGGGCAGATTTACGTCAGCAATGCTTCACGACTGTCATCGCTCCTCGCAGCAATGTCACAAAAGCATTTCCATCGCGGGCATGGGGTGTGACCGCTCAAGATGCGCACGCCACGCCCCTGTCAACCTTTCCCGGCGGAATACATATCTTGTTTAATAACGAATTTGCGGTGTCCATGGCCACTTGTCCAACCTCACTTTTTTTCTTTTTTCTCTCTCTTTCTATCTGTTTATGGCATTTGAAAGCTTTTCTTTACGAGGTGGAGAGCGGGTCGGAGGAAGAGCGCAATGAGAAGACGCGGTTGTAGGAAGAATCTATCAAGAACGGCTGCGTGCGATGACTACTATACCACGGAACGTGCCTCGGGAGTCCAGGGTGGCATTTCCAAGAAAATGGTTGGATCTATTTGTAGAGACCAAAGAAAATCAATCATTTACTTTTTCATCAAAGGGCTTCTGCTGGCTCGGGCTTCCACACTTGGTGATGGTGATCGACATGCTCTCGCCCAGTTTCGCCATGGTTTCATGCAGGCCCACCTCGGCAGTTGGAGAGGCGGTCGGGGACTGCGGTCTGACGACAGCTTACTATGAGGAAGCTGACAGGTTTGTAGAACAACATGCGCGGCCCCGTTCTTCTCCGTGCGGGTGTGACCATTACAAACTCGAGATGCAAACTGTCAGTTGTGCTTGATGCAACCTGGTGGCATTGACTAGACGCTCGCTGTCAAGCCGTTAGAGCCGTTCTTCACTGACAAGTATTATGAAGGACTCTGCGACTCCGGGGGACATGACAGCTGCAGCAGTCGTAGAGTCCCCCTTGATGCAGTGTCCGCGTCTCTCCCCGCATATGCAAGTCAGCATCCTTCTCTTTCCCTCCATAGATTCTCTCCGAGTGAGCGGGCTACTGCACGGTTCGGTAGGTGGCTTGCATTGTGGCTTCAAGTGCTGCAATGCAACTATTGAGAGACTAGGACAGTCTTGCGAGGACTCGTGGATGATAGGCTCTATTGGGGCTGGAACGACGAAAGCTGGCCCCGGCGCGGAGCATGTTGTCTGGTGGACGGCCACACAAGGTGTCGGTGCCATCTCTCCAGGTCAGTGTTGAGAAGTGGGGATGACCTGGATGGGCGATGGGATCGAGAACCCTAACTCGGCGAAGCAGCCATATCGCAAAAATGCGCGGCAGTAAACTTAACCCAGCCGTGGTGGTCCATGTTTACCTTTCGGCGGCATGCCCGGCATGGAACGCGTGGGTCACAAACGCCCCGGGGATGACGAGTGATCGTTGGAGTTCTGTTTTGGTATCGAGCCGGCAAGTCATGTGTCCCCTCGATACCAAAACAGAGCTCCATCAAGCTCGCGAAAAGTAATCTTACTCAGGTACCATTGGGACCCATGCGAGGGGTGCATTGCTGAGCAGGGGCGGTATATGGGAACATGGGACCGGGATCTGGGTACAGGGATTGGGACCTTGGCGGAGAGCCGCTCGCTTGCACCGTCCGTTGTGTATTGCTTGCTTTGCTTGCGTGCGTACGTCAAGTGTTTGGTCCTGTCGTGCAGTTTCGTAATAGTTCGTCGAAGCACCAGCTCATCGACTGTAAAGGGGACGAGCATTGGTGAAACGTGACCGGCGCGGATCCCAGGAGTTGACGGCAATGCACCGCCGACGCGCACGTTCTTCCGATCTATGTAAGGACTTCTTTCGGACCATAGCACCAAGCTAACGACCTCCCGTTTCAATAGTTCCAGCACATATTATTGTCCTTCCTACCCAGACCCTCAGCTTGACCGAAATCCCAACAGGCACATCTCTAACACTTCTGCGACCGTGGCGACTTCTTTGGCGTTTCTTTTGCTCTCTTGTTTAGGTAATTCTCCGGTTCCGAATGAGGCCTGGCAATGCGGTTCCCGAGGTCACCGTCTATACCAAAGCAGCAGGGCTGCTACACGGAGAAATAACCCTGGGTGCCTGCGGCAAATCTGGCAACACAGGAGAGTCAACGGTCCCTCAACTTGGCTTTGACCAACAAACACCCGCAAAGGCCCTTGACAGCAGCTGGCAAACCATCATGGAATGCAACTTGAGGGCATGACGACGGTTGCCGCGAAGGCCAGCGAGTGGAGCTACGGACTGGAGATGGCGCGTGGGGAAGCCGTGGTCCGTGCGCCACGGAGGAGCTTTGTCAACACCAGATTTTCCGTCGCTGCCGTCCGCGCGCGGTTCTCTGGGATGCAAGGCCCCCCATCAGCTGCCGACAGCTGGTTTCACAGCACCTTCTTACCAACTGCCTGCCAGCAGGCGAATAACCTCCCGCGCGTCAGCTCGCAGTCATGAAGGGAATGCTGCAGTCAACCCGCGGCGGGCGCGTCAGCAAAGTCACAAAACCTCGCGCTCGCCAGATCCGTCGGCCCAACACCTCTGACGTCGTCGACCCTGCGCTCGAGGACCACGGCGTGGACGATCTCGTCGACGATGTAGAACACCACCTCGCCGACGACGATCAGGTTGTCGATCAGGGAGACCAGCAGCAGCAGCACGACCCCCAGCTCCATGTGCAGCCTGAGGACCACGAGCCCAAATACCACCATGATCATCATGCGGACTTTGACCCCGAAGCTGCTGCTGCGGCCGCGGCCGCGGCTGCAGCGCATCACGAACAACAACAACAGCAAGCGGCAGCTGCAGCAGTGGCAGAGCAGGAACATCAACACCAACAGCAGCAACAGCAGCAGCTGGACCTGACTGCAGCCAGCATACTCGCAAGCAGCGTACAGAATCCCAACGAGCACCCAGATCTGACCAGCACACATTTGGATACGGCTGGGCACTCCACAGAGGATTTTGCCCATCAGTCGGGGTATCAGAGTGTAGTGGTCGAGAGCGCACTTGCGAAACGACTAGCGCGCGAGCCTGGCATGCGCCTCGCGCAGCAGCGGCGGCCCGAACAAGCACTCAACCTCGGCCGGCGGAGCAACGTTGAAGCCCTCTTTGCGCACATTGCCGGAGAGCTTGCGCCGGTGCCCTGCAAGAACTGCCACAAAGGCCACGGCCCCTGGAATAGCTGTGTCATTGTAGATGGCCAAATGTGCGGAAGCTGTGCGAACTGCTGGTTCAATGCTTCTGGGGCGAGATGCTCGTTTCATGGTATGTATATCACTTCTCGGCCCAGGGCGTTGAAGCTTGCTAATCCCGTACCCGCCCACAGAGACACGCAACCCTCAGGTACACGGCCAACCTGTGTTGGCCAATGATGGCGCATTCCATATGCCGGCGGCTGTACCGACATCAGCCATGTCGCATTTCAACTTCGCCTCTCTGCCCGCTTCTGCAGACCCAGTCGTGCGTTTCACCGTAGAAAGAGCAATGGCCGAGGTGCGAGGTGCCGACAAGAAGACGAGGCATATGCACATGGTCGAGGCTGCTGCTCGGCAATTAGCTTTCGCCATCTGTCAGTACGAAGACGCAGTGAATGAAGAATTGGACATCAGCAGCCAGCACCACCAACAAGGCCCGCCGCCAGCAGTCATGGACGAGCATGAGCCGCATTAGGAAGAGGTGTCACTCGATCTCAAAGCCTTCTTTGGGTCGATCTGATGGCGAATGAAGTTCGAGGGCGACCACTTGGGATAGGTCACGCCATAGCATATATGCGCCAACTGGAGTATAAGCCGAGACTTGCGGAAGCAAATCGAGTCTCGGAGATTAATGAAGGCAACCTGTTCTTCCAATGAAGATCAGCTTCTCGTACTCCACGTTTCGTGGCCAATCTCGTAACTGTGCCAAATTGGCGGAAGATACCATCTTTGACTTGAGCGGCAGCTGCAGCCTTGTCTACGGCTCTCCCTCCCCGGAGCACACGTGCTTCCTATTGTATGAGATCTATGTTAAATTGGCTGGAATCGGTGACTGCGCCTTCAGACAAGTTGCTCAGCTTCGGCCAGTTGCAATTGCCGCGGCTGGTACCTGCATTATGATGCCTTGGCAGAGCCCCTGAATATGAGTCGGATCTGAAGATGGATGGATGGCTTCGATCTTTCACTAGCTTGTCCAAGAACACCGCGAGGTGTCATGCCACAAAGGCTAGTCCTTAGAGCTCTGTCTCGCTTTCAAATTCTGGGAGTGTTTGTAGGCTGCTAAGACTGTTCCGTTCTGGTGGTTAACAACCTTTAGGAAGTTTGACGCTATCCATTAATTAGTGGTGACCCACTTGCCTCCTGCCTGCAGCTCTCAGGGTCCTCGGTGCTTACGCCACCGTCCGCCGAACCGCAATAACTACAATCTCCCACGGCCACTAGGACTGCTGACCAGCGCCGTCGCAGTCTGCTAGAACTTCATGCTCATGGACACGGTGCCTAGCTTCGCTTGGATCTTCGTCGCCGGACTTGTCGCCCTCGTCTCTGTCGTCGCAATGGGCATCTTCTCGAGCTCCAACCAGCTGCCTGTGGATGGCAAGGTATGCTAAGAACCTCCAACAGCAATTGGCCCTCGCTAATACAGACTGGTGTGGCTAGACGGTGCTCATCACTGGCGCTTCGGAGGGTTTGGGCAGAAGTGCAGCCATCCAGTTTTCCGCAAAGGGTGCCAACGTTATCATCGTGTCCCGGAGTGTGGGCAAGCTTGAGCAGGCGATTGCGGACATCAAGGTGCGTACCTCGCGAGTGTACCGATTTCACAAAGACCAAATGCCTCAATGAACCGCTACTGTGGACCACATGACTGACGGTTTGTGTTTTTTTCAGGCCGCGGCGCGAAACCCGCAGACGCAACGCTTCCACTTCATCTCCGCCGACGTCTCCAAGCCCGATTACGCGCAGCCGCTGCTCGAGCAGGCTGTGAAATGGAACAATGGAAAGGCCATTGACATTGTCTGGTGCACGGCCGGCATGTCGACCCCGGGCTTTTGGGCCGAGAGCCCCATGTCCGTCAAGCGGGCTGAGATGGACGTCAACTTTTGGGGCAGCGCCGAGCTCGCTCACGCAACCCTCCGCCAGTGGTGCGCTCCCGACGCGCCCGTCTTGCCCGAGCCGAAGCACTTCATTTTCACGGCCTCCGTCGTGGCGTTCTTTCCCACGCTTGGCTATGGAAACTACACCCCGACGAAAGCAGCTATGCGTGGCTTGGCGGACACGCTGGTGCAGGAAGTCGAGGCCTACCCGCAGAACGTCAAGGTGCACATTGTGTACCCTGGCACGATTCTCTCGCCGGGCTTCGAGAGGGAGGAGCTGACAAAGCCCAAGATCACCCAGATGATCGAGGACGGAGACCCGCGGCTGACCCCGGAGGAGGTTGCCACCAGAGCCATTGCGGGCCTAGAGAAGGGTCACTACAGCGTGACGGTAGGATTCTTCCCAGGTGCTTTTTTGCGTTGGGGTGCGCAAGGTGGCCAGCCACGCAACAACTGGGTCGTGGACACCATCATGGGCGCCATAGTCCCTTTCATCTGGATCTTTGCTCTGCCAGATATCTTTGGCAAGATCAGGAAGTTTGCGAGGGACAATGGGCATCCTGCGAGTTACACTAAAACAGCCTGAGTGTTTGAAGGCATGTATCTGAGTAGAATAGAGTCGGCCCGCGTTACACTGAGACTGCCTGAGTGAGCGAAGAAGTTATTTTCACGATGTACCAGCCAGAGATAAAACGTCAATTACTACTCGACACCTTTCGCACTCGAAACGAGGACGATGGAGCGGCGAACTTCATAGTGAATCGCACAACAACGTCCATACAGTCCTTGAGTAGACCTGTAATTACTGCAAGTGCTTTCCATCTCAGCTATTGCAGGTGGGGACTTTGGACCCCTGTTCGTGGACCGGACCCACTCTTCCAACCAGTGGGGCAGCTGGCTTGACACCCGATAAAGACCTGATAAGAAAAAAATCCCAGAAACTTGGAGCCCAGGTCGAGCTGCTGCAAATGCGCCTTGCCCGCAAGCCGTGTTAACCACGGCCCCGGTGGAGGTCCTGCACCAAGTAATCTTCAACGACACCGTTCGGAAAGACTCTCCATCGCCACAATACGCAACTGAGCCCGCAAGCTACTACAGTCCAGCAAACCTCTTTGTTTCAGTACCCGACTGAGAGGGCCACCCAGCTTACACCAAGCCATGGCCAAGAAGAGAAAGGTGTCCAGCCAGCCCAAGGGCAGCGGCGGCGGCGGCCCACGCGAGTACGACCCGAAAGATGCCCGCCTAGGGCCGATCACGTCCTACAAGGACATCGCCGACGACCAGGAGCGGTACTTCCTCGACAGGGAGGAGGACCAGGACCAGATCCTGTTCGACGACGCCCCGCAGAGCAAGAAGCAGAAGCGCCAGCAGGAGGAGGAGGACTTTCTGGAGCAATCCGACGACGAGGTGCTTGCGTACGACGACAACTCGGATGACGAGGAAGAAGAGGATGACGACTATGCCTCGAGGGGGAAGCGGAAGTCGGCCGCCGCCGCCGCTGCGTCAGGCAAGAACAAGAAGGCCGGCCGCAATGACGAACAGGAGGAGGAGGAAGAAGGCGACGCAGGCTGGTGGGGGTCCTCGCGCAAGGAATACTACAACAACGACGCGATAGAGACCGAGGCGGACGCGCTAGAGGAGGAGCAGGAGGCGCGGCGGCTGCAGAAGAAGAAGCTCGCCAAGATGTCCGAGGAGGACTTCTTCAACGAGGACGAGTGGCTGGCGGCGGGCGGCGCCGGCGAGGACGCGGATGAGAAGGACGACGACGCCGCCGTCGTCACCGAGGTGCTCAAGGATGTCGAGATCCCGGCCGACATGCCCGCCGACGAGCGGTACAGGCTGCTGCAGAACATGTACCCGGAGCTCGACTACATGGCCGACACGCTGCTCGAGCTGCAGCCGCTGCTAGTGACGCTGCAGAGGGAGGCCGAGGGCCAGGACTCGAGGTCCCTCGCCGTCGTCAAGTACCGGATCCTGGGCTGCTATGTCGCCAGCCTGGCCATGTACTTTGCGACGCTGACCGCGCCGTCCCGCGATGCCGATGGCGAGGCCAAACCGCTCAGCCCCGCGGAGCTGCGCGACCACGAGGTCATGGCGACGCTGCTCGAGTGCCGTGAGGCATGGAAGAAGGTAGAGCCGCTGCAGTCCACATCTCAAAAGGCGCCGCTGTCGCCACCTGATGAGGAGGACATGGTGTCCGACCTCGACAACGATGACGGACAGCACGCCGCCGCAGCCGCATTTGGAGACCTCGCCGCCCAGCCCAAGAAGAAGACCACCACGAAGCGGCAGGCCAAGGCAGACCGCAAGGCCAAGGCCCTCGAGGCGTCCCTGGCCGAGCTCGACAACCTCGTCGCGGCCACCCAGCAGAAGAAGAAGAAGCAGGCGAAGTCATCTTCCTCTGCCACCGCCATCGCGCAGGATGACGACGAAAACGACAGCGAAAACAACGGCAACAATTCGGACTTCGGCGAGGAGGAAGTCCTCGACGCCCGCGCCGCCGCCGAAAAGGCGGCCCGCAAGAAGTCCCTGCGCTTCTACACCTCGCAGATTGTGCAAAAGGCCAACCGCCGCGCCGGCGCGGGCCGCGACGCCGGAGGCGACATGGACCTCCCCTACCGGGAGCGCCTCAAGGACAGGCAGCTGCGGCTCAACGCCGAGGCCGAGAAGCGCGGCCTCAAGCTGGGCAAGGGCGCAGAGCTCGGGAGCGGCGCATCCGACGACGAGGACGACGAGGCGGAGCAGAAGAAGGCGGCGGCCGCGATCCGCGAGGACGAGGACGAGTACTACGACATGGTTGCCGCGCGGACGTCGCGAAAGAAGGAGGACAAGGCGGCGCGCAAGGAGGCGCTGGCTGCGGCCTCGGTGACGGACCGCATCGTCGAGACCGAGACGGTCGACGCCGATGGCAAGCGCAAGATCACCTACGCTATCGAGAAGAACAAGGGTCTTGCGCCCAAGCGCAACAAGGACAACCGCAACCCGCGTGTCAAGAAGCGCAAGATGTACGCCGACAAGCAGAAGAAGCTCAAGAGTATGAAGGCCGTGTACAGCGGTGGCGAAGGCAAGGGTGGGTACGGCGGAGAGCTGACGGGTATCAAGTCTGGCCTCATCAAGAGTGTCAAGTTATAGAGCTGTTAGTTTGGCGGCACTTGTGTACATATTCGCTGGGTACATTCCAATATATTGATGCAGCCCATTTGGCATTGGCCGATAATTTGTCATCAGTCTTATTCATGCCGTGAGAATGCCTGTGGGCTAGAAATGCTATGCTGAAAAGGGGGAAAGAGATGCAATGTTCCCGAGACCGCGCCAGTAAATGAGATTATTGCCACACCCCCAGCTCATCTTTGATCAGATGATTACAGTTGAGTGCCCGTAACGACGATGCAAATAAAGTAACTAAACGCCAGAAATGAACAGAAAACAGAAGACACGAAGAAAGTCAGGTGTCGCACTCCATGCTCATCCCGCAGACAATCTAGACAGGCGTAGACATGTCCCTTCACCACGCTCGCTGTGGCAAGCCCTGGGGCCCAAAATGCATGAGACCTCACACGTCGACTAATGAGAGTGCTCTTTCTCCTCGAGATCGCGGATATATCTTACAAACCGTTTCTTGTGCGTCTATAATGGGTGTTAGCGGCAACAATGTCTCCACAAAACGTTCAGTAGAAAGCCACTTACCATGCCCGCATAACGACCATTCTTGAGAATGCAGATATAGCGCAGCCCAAGCTTTGCAAAGCATTCATACACCAAGTCCATGGGGGACTTGATGTCGAGTGCGACGGGCGCAGGGTCGATATATGGCGTGAAGTCTGTAGGCTCCTCTACGGCGTTATCGTCGTCGTCATCAATACTAGGCACATCGGCCATCAGGCAACGATCGTTCGCCTCGTCTTTCAAGCGGTCGAGCGCGTACTCGAGATCAGGTGCTGGGATCAGGCCGACCAAGATATCATTCCGGATGATGGGCAGGCCACCGTCCAGCTCTCCGGCTCGCTGGAGCAGCTCGAGCTTCGCTCTCAGCTCGGTTGCGGGAACGAGAGGGGAGCTCGAAATATCGATCACGCGCTCTCTGCGAACCCTCGGCACGATGTCGGCAAGATCAGAAGTGAACATGGGCTTGTGTTTGTTGTCCAAGTATGGGTACGAGTTCATCTGCGTCAAGAGGTCATAAACGCTGAGCGGTTCGAGAGCATCGGCGGTCCATTTCGCAACAAGAATTGCAAGAGAAAACGGAAGCACGTAGTCGAGACTGCCTGTCAGCTCAAAGAGAATGACGGCCAGAGTCACCGACAGCCGCGTGACACCGCACATGGTCGAGCCAGCTGCAATGAGCGCGTACACGCCTGGCTGTACACAGCTTGAGTCTTGAAGGAGTGCGCACTCGCCAAAAATGCCTGCAGTTGGATATTGCAGGACCAGCCACTGGACAAGGTGACCAATGATTCGGCCCATCAAGCCGCCAACGACCATGGACGGCACATAGATGCCGGCGGGAACCTTGATGCCAAAAGTGATTGTGGTGAGGAAACCCTTCACTAGGAAAGCGAAGACCAAGGTGCGGATGATCGGGGGGATGTCGCCAATCTCTTCCGCACATAGACCAAGCGTATCGTCCCTGGTCTCATCATTGCATGGCGCTGCAAGGTTGAGAAGCAGTTTGGCCACGGGAAGCCGCGTGAGAGTGTTCCAGTATCCGATCAGGACTGTGACAATGGCGACCAGTACGACTTCGAGGAGGGGATACTTCTTGATCAGGGCGATCTTGCGGAAGCTCTGGGCCCAGGCCCGGGAGGCCTTGATGAAGAAGGCTCCGGCAGCACCACCAAGAACACCGACAAGAATGAAACCAGCCAGCTCGAACCACTCCCAATCGATTTTGTACCGCACTTCGAAGATGACCACCTTGCCCGTACCGTAGGGATCGAGAAACTTGAGCGACAGGGCAGCAACGATGCAGCAAAAGAAAGTCCGGAAAAGGGTCTTTGCCGGAAAATAGTAGGCAACCTCCTCTAGGCCAAATAAGACACCCCCGAGAGGAGCGCCAAAGGCCACCACGACGCCCGCAGCTGCCGCTGCGGATAGGACCTCGCGCCTCTTGCCATCGTTATTGTCATACTTGGAGAACATGCGACACGCAATGTTTCCCACACAGGTGGCGATGTGCACAAAAGGGCCCTCCTTGCCGATGCTCAGACCAGAGGCAACACTCAAGATCAGGCCGGCAGACTTGATGAGTAGAGTCCTTGCACCAAGGAAGCCGTGGAGAACAAACCCACTGAGGATGACACGGACCTCAGCGACACCACTACCAGCGGCAGAGTAGTACACCATAGGGGCTGCGACCTCCTCCTGTACCGGCTGCCTGGGACCGGTCCCATCGTCATCGTCGTTGTCCGAGTATTGTTCAGCCGCGAGGTTCTCGTCGAATGTCGACATACGGTACGCGGAGGGGACGATCGTCTTGGTAGTGAGGGTCATGAGACACGCGGCGATGGAGAAGATGAGGACCGCGAAGAGATAGACGACGAACTCGATCCAGTCTGCACCAACTCCGCTGCCACCAAGGACTTCAGACCATGGGCGCCAGGCGGTGCAGGGACCATGAGGGCAGCAAACCTGCAGCACGTGTCAGTGTGAGGAGACGCGAATATCTGATCCAGGGGGTTTCGGCGCTCCTACCCTTTCTCTAAATGTCCAGTTGGTGGAACAATATCCGTCCTTGAAGTCGAACACGGTTCCTTCTGCAATGTTGACACAGTAGGCAATGACGGCGACGCAGAAGCCAACAACAGCACTCAGGATCCAGCCCTGAGCTCCATCGAAGAGAACGATGAGCCTGCCCCAAAAATCCTTGCGGTTGCGCAGCTGCTTGACCCGATAAGCATCCGCGATGCTATCGTGGACCCAGTCGGTTGACGTAAACTGGTCGTACCAGAGGCGGTCGTCTGCAAAGACGCTCGTCTTGGACTCGGTGAGGGGATCATGCTGGTGATCAGCCAGAGCATCGATCAGGCGCTGGCCAAATGATGGGGCGCGGCTGTGGTGGCGTGTACCATAGCCAGTTTCGCCTGTTGCTCGAGTAACCACACAAGATTAGCCAGCCGTCCATGGATCGGGGATACAAGCATAGTCCAGAAGGGAGACGGATAAGAGCTTACCAACGAAGCTGTGCTGCTTGGTCGATTGCCGGCCAGGGCTGTGTATGCGCATCCGCGAGCGGGCTGGACGCAGCAGCGACGTGCGCTCATCTGGAAGCTCGCCCGAGAACGAGGGTCTTCGACTTCGGCGCGCGTGATGGCGGCGGAGGGTGGGCGAAGGAGGACCGCCGGTGAGAAGCTGGGAGGACTCGAGCGAGTCCGGGGCGTTGAGGCCCGAGCCGTTGTCGGCCATGGCTGCAGTGACGGCGACTGCGTGTGTCGTGACGAGGAGGATCGTGTGTCGGGTGCCGTGTGATTGTGGGACGGCAGGCCAGAGGAGAGATAAAGAGCGTTGTGGGCGCCAGGGGTCACGCACAGACGAGGGGAGGTGCTATGTGCAGGTCATGGGTGCTGCGATAAGAAAGCCGCAAGCGAGAGAGGCAGGTTCACGGATGAAAGGAGGATGCAAGCCGCGAGTCGACAATCGAATCTGTCGATCGCGTTGGCATGCTATCAGGAAGAAGCAGCGGCCGGAGGGCTCATGGACGGGTTGCGCCCTCCCAAGGCCCGGTGATCTACTGTCACATGGCTGGCTTTTGTCTGACCAGCACAGCACGACAGCTGCAAGGCGGTGGTGCACCACCAACCACAAAGCCCCCATGACGCGCAAAGGGGGGGGCCGCCAAGCAAGCACCCACGCGTGTCCTCTATTTGTACACAGAGCCTCTCTCCTCCCCCGCCACAAACAACATTGCCCAACCAGTATCAGATGCACCAGCACAGCGACAAGCAGCAGCAGCAGCAGCAGCAGCAGCAGCAGCAGGACCCTGGATTCAAGTGGTCGCCCAACTTTGCCATGCAGGCACGGATGGGAAAGGCACGGGCGCTAGATGGAACGGTAGGCACAAGCGAGCTATCTGACATCTTGGGGGGGGGCGCTATATCACGGCACTTGGCACGTCGGGCCGGAGCCTAAAAGCCAGTGACGTCGTTCTGTCACGAGGGCGCAGGCCTCTTGCTTAAGGTTTCCGGGGTCCTCGCGGGTCTTCATGCAGCACAGCACCACACACCGTCTGCTGAACCCAGTCACTTGCAAGCCGCATCCACTAACAGAGTGGGCGGGATGCGTGGTTTCTGTCACCGCCAGCACCCCTCTTTACCCATAGTACTGGAGTGCAAGAATATGCAGGTTTGACATCTCGAGTATGCAAGCGATGTGTCAAGGGATTACCAGATTGATACACATTCGCGATGCTTTGTACTGTGCTTACTTTGGCAAGGTACGTTCCAGACCACGTGGACGAAGCAGTTCCTTGCGTCCGTCTCAGAGCTGATTTTTGTGTCCAGCCATCATGTTACAAAGCCGACGACTAGCTACGTTGTGCCATTGAGCTGACTTGGCTGGAGGTGAATCGTCTTTGTTGCTCGTTTCCCGTCTGCGCCGGGCACTGCTGCCGTCAAGGTAAGGGCAAGCCGTGTGCCTCCATCGTCCCATGAATATGTCGTCCACAATAACCGCTTTGGCGCAGGAATGATGCCGGTGCGCGCATCCCGGCCACTCTCTTCCTGTGCAATGTGGGCTTCACAGGCCTCAAGCATGATCCTCGTGTGCCAGCTCGCCTCGGCTTTCACGGCACGCCGCATCATCCGCAGTGCGCGCTGCCTGGCCTCGAAGATCCGGCACTTTTGCAAGATGAAGTAGAGCGGGTGTGGTGTTGGGATGCGGAGGCTCTCATGCTGGGGCTGCAGAGGCTGGCCTTCGGCTCTTTCCAAAAGGTCCATCACGGCCTTGATGTCTGCAGTGTACGCATCCCACGCCATTTCAGTATGGTCGAATACACAATTCCAGCAAATGTACAGCATCAGCGCGTTCGCCAGGGCCGAGTTCAGTGCCGCTCGACTTGAAGCACATTCTTCCATGGCGATTCTGGCTTCAAATATCGACTTCCAAGCCTTCTGACCTATGTTTATGGCCCGGGAAAGCTCAGGTCTTCCGTCGACAAAGTCGCGTTCCGTGAAAAGCGCCTCGGGGGCGAGCCGGAAAACCCATATTCCCGCGCGGGTAAGGAATAAATCCCATTCCATAAGGAGAACATCGGTCGGCCAGCCAGGGTCAGGCAAGACTGCAGTGATGATGTGGCTTGCAAGTTCTCTGGAAGCTGCCTCCCCGGAGGATATCCGCTGCCCGCTGGGGTTCACCAGTGCCAAGTGCGTAAAGCACCTCTCGGCTTCAGCTAAGCCGTCGTCGTCGAGCTTCGCAGCGAGCGCTGAGGAGAGCTTGGGACATTCCTGCTCATTGGCCTTGAACACTGCCAGGTGTTGATACATCAGGCTCATGCTGTAAATGAGCAGCCGGTCGGCTTCTGCGCCATTGCCTTGAATCTGTTCATATATGACAAAGAGGTATGTCGCGATGAAGATGCTCCTGGAGGCGACCGTGCGACCATGGTCTATAAGGCGTTTGCGGAAGGTAGCCATTGCACGGGCATGATGCCTTGAAGCCTCGTGGGAGTTCACATCCATATTCAAATCGCAGCAGGGGAGCGTGTCGCTCTTGCCACCTTGAACAAGCCTCACTCGGGTGCTCCGTTCCCGCTCACGTTCCCGCGCCAGCCACAGCGCGCCAAGGGCGACGACACTGTCACGAATGCTCTCATCATAGATGGCTTCGCGCTGGACGATGCGGGTCCAAAACTTGCGGTCTGGAAAGCTCGGGGCTACCTTGTAACGGAACACGTCTAGGTATAGAGCTTGCTGAGAGCTCGAGGTGATGAGGGCAGGCGTCCATAGGATATGATGACCAGGAACTCCAAGATGACCACGTTTCGGTACAGATTCGTAGCATTGCTGTGGGTCAGTTGCAGTTTCAGCAAGTGGTTTTGGTCTTGGTGGTGGCGTAGGGCGTTGGGAACCAGGAATGGGTTGACTGCCCGAAAGGAGACGAGTCGTGGTACACCGTAGACAATACGGTTCCTTCTCGTCAGCCTAGGGAATACATAAAGGAAAGTCAGCTTGGTCCAGAAAAGGAAGAGTGACCTAGATCAAGGGCGTGCCAGACCCCCTGAGGAGTGGGTTAAGTGGCAAGAGTACAACTGTACCTTTGTTTTCCGCCTCCTAGAATGCAACTCTTTCGTCAGATCTGAATGCCCCGCAGTCCCGTGCTGACTGAGTTATGCTTACTTGCAAATGAGGCAGCCACTCCTGATTCCCGGCGTGTCCTTCTGTTGCCTCTTTGGAGCCATAGGGAGGCTGTATGCACACCAGATTGGCCGGGGGTCTTGGCCTGCTTTCGCTGACGCGGACCCAGTATGCGGAGGGCAGGCTGTCTAATGGGTCAGCAAATGCAAGGGACAGGTTGGCCGCGATGTGCATATGCGGCTGACGTGCAACAGGACGTCTCTGCATGTCCAGTACAGGCGAAGTTGCACATGCGCAAAGCCGTGGCAGCAGAATGACGCTGGGCAGGTTCCAAGAGGAAGAGATTGGTCGGGGTGAAATACGTTCCCGAGACCCCTGGTCGCAATGCGGGCATCCTGGAGGCTCTTCGGCTCGGGCCACGCCACGACGTGTAATTGAAGTCTCTCTCCGCACGAGACTACGGCGGGCATGCTGGATATATCAAGACACAGAAGAAGACGTCTCACACACACACACCCGACCAGACCATGGTCCCGATTTGGCCAATCTAGAAACTTCCAGGAAGAGACAGAGATTCCCATGTCATTATTCTCACAACTTATGTACTATTATCATATCCAGGGTTATTGGAACACCGACAACCTGCTCATGGCGGGACACAAATATTGGTCGCGAAAGGAGGGGCACAAGCTTTGGTGAATGTTCGGGACGTGCCGTACGAGGCTTTGTAGCCTTCCGTCGGTGTTGTTAACAGAGACCACTACTTGCTTGAGGAAGAGCAAAAGTTCGCCCGGCAGCTCAAGCACACAGGGACAGCTTGGACCGAAGCAAGCGGGTATTATAATTAAGTTCCCCATATACACCGCACATTTTGAAGATAACCTTCATCAATGTCCCCTGTGGACCAACGACAACCTACGAGTACGCTTGTGAATACTGGAGACGAAGTACCATGATGACATAGGCGTTTCTGAAAACAACACACAGGAACTGGAGCTTCGGCAATGTTGAAGTCTGCAATGGTGAAAAAAAGGTACCTCTGAGTACCAGGCCTAATAATTCCTGTATTTCATGGTATGGAGGGCTGGAGTCAGCCTTGAAGACCGGAGACTTACACGTTGAGACTCCAGTGTGGTACAGTGGGGCTCGCACTCAACCACGCCTTGCTGGTTGTCGCACTGGGGATCCACCGAGGCCATTCAATTCGCAACATCGACATTACCTCTTGCCTCATCCACGTTTGAGCGTCGGATGCGAGGACCGCTTCGCACAAAGGGGCGCGTTGACAGCCTGTCCGACTCGTCAATCACAAAAATGCACTCCTGGTTGCGGCAATAGCTTGAGACGCCGTCATGCCTCGAGATGAGGCGCGGTCCCACAAGGCACCGTCCAAGCCGGTCCCCAAGTTCTCCTTCAAGGCTCGGGCAGATCAACCCCAGGCAGAGGCGGACAGTTCACCGCATGTAAGGACCGCCAGACGTGCAGATGTGCACAAGCCTGTCTCCCAGGCAGCGAAAGTCAGACCTCCACCACAGACACACCAACAGCACCTCCCCGCGCGTGGCCGTCCACAGGACGAGGGATACGTGGTGGACAAGCGCGGTGATGCGCTCATACGACGCTATGGCTCCAACAACTCTCGCGAGGTTCCCGACTACTATCGCTATGGTGCTGGCCGCGTCCTCGGTGCCGACGACTTCATCCGGTTTGAGCGGACAGGCACCCGCACCGAGTTCTTCTTCCGTGGCCACCGCGAGAAGGGTCGGATCCTCAGCGCTGATCGCAAGACCTTCCGCGCTCTGAGCGGGCTTGCCGGTACACGGCCAGTCCGCGTGCGCCAGGCTCGCGCTCAAGATGTGTCGGCTAGTGCTGACTATCTGTCGCTCCGGACCTCAGGCGGACGCAGTGATGAGATTGGCCCGAACGCATCAGAGTCGCGCCATGCCGACGAGACTCCGATATATCGACTACTTCACGGCGAAGCGGGATCTGAGATAGATGATGTTGACAAAGATGACCACTCAGACTTGGAGATGCAGGACTATAACGATGACCCCGTCACTCTGCGCTCCGTCGAGCTTGGCAGAAAGGTCAAAGAGACTCCATCTGATATGCAGGCCTGGCATGAGCTAGTCGACCACCAAGATGTGCTCCTCAGACATGTCGCGCGTGATGCACAGCACCCCACACCTGCCGAGATCAAGAGTTTCGCAGATGTCAAACTTTCCTTGCTGGAAAAGGCCCTCAAGCATGCCGAAAGCGCCGAGCAGCGGGAAAAGGTACAGTTGAAGCTCATGGCCGAGGGCGCCAAGATATGGGACAGAGCCGTGGCGATCCGACGCTGGGAGGAGACTCTGGAGGCCTATCCGAGTAGCCAAAGACTTTGGGAGGCACAGATGGCATATCGGCAAGCGGATATATCGACTTTTCGATACGATGACATCAAGCAGCGGTACATTTCTCGCATTAAGTATCTGCAGAGTGCCATACTAGAATCGGCTCCCTTGCCGGAGCAAGCGGAGGTCTGCTGTCATCTTATTACCACCTTTCTGCATGCCACAGTCTTCGTCAGCGATGCCGGCTTCGTGGAACTTGCCTGTTCCGCCTGGCAAGCTTTTCTGGAACTGACATTCTGTCGACCACCAGCGAGCTCAACGGAAGACCTCTACGCACAGCTCCAAGTATTTTGGGATAGCGAAGTGCCTAGGTTCGGCGAGGCCGGCTCAATGGGCTGGGCAGCGTTTGCAAAGGACCCAACTCAGTATGAGCCCCCAGAACCCGTCCAACTCGAAGCAAGATCTTCCCCTTCGACCAGGGATGCCTACAAAGCTTGGGCAGCTGCAGAACGCCAGAGGATGCGCACAGCCGCTTCCGCGGCGCGTACACTTGATGACGGTGCGGAAGACGACCCGTTCCGGGTTGTGCTGTATGCTGACTTTGACGACTTGCTTATATGGCTACCGCGCGCCGTGGCCCACCAAGTGAAACCTGTCCTGTTCAACGCTTTGCTTGCATTTTGCTGTCTGCCTCCGGCAATCGATCTCGGCGTTATGGACGGCCTGACAACAGGCTGGCCTTTACGTCGGACAAACGGCGATCATTTGGGAACCCATAACGATGGCGCCCCAGAAGTCGATCAAGCAGCAGACGTTGGCAGGCGTATGCCCGACTTTGCCCAGCATTTCCAAAGTATGACCAGAAGCCCTCAAGTCTTGTGTGGACATCCGGACTGGTTCAAATATCTCGAACCGGTGAACAACACGGACCAGAGGACCGTATGGGTTGTTGGTATTCTCAAGCAGCTGGTCCGCCAACTTGGCGAGGCGCAGCTCGCGTCATACTATTTAGCTCTGAACAGCGCGATGACTGCCGCCGACGACAAGAAGACGGCAAAGGCACTCCTCAAGCATGATCCCACGAATACCGATCTGTACTTGGGCTATTCGTCTCGAGAACATGCCAAAGGGGATGCCACTTCTGCCAGGACCATCGCTAGTGCTGCTCTTACCCTGCCAAGCATATCGGAGTACGACCGCGTCCGCCTGAGTACCTGGCTCGTCTGGATGAAAATGGAGACTGCCCCGATCTCGGATGCGGCTGCGGAAGTATTAAGGATGTGCCTGACGTTCAGCGGTAACTACATTGACCCTGCTTCTGACCAGGACTTGGTCGCTCGAGCTCATGAAGCTGGGCAAGCTATGACATCAAGACGGGACTACTTATTGTCTGCAGGAAACCTACGGCATGCTGCTGCTTTCTCGGAGGCGCTGGTCTTGCTGAGCTACCTCACGGCCCAAAGTGGCAAAGAGCAGGCTGCTCCTCAACAAGGTGACATCTGGTCAGCTCTCGCTTGTGTCGATGCCTTTTCGACAGAGCTTAGGCGCAGGAGCGGCCATGATGGTGCAGATCACGAAGCATTCCTGCAGTCTTCGGCGAGGCTACTGTATTTCCACGCTTCGCATGGGTAGGTTTTGCGTCTGTTTCGAACCCAACGATGACCAGCATAGCCATAGACACTGACCTCTGCAACAGCCCTTGCCGCCTTGGACTTCTGCGCGAGCATCTCGGCAAGTATATCGACTACTTCCCAAAGAACACCATTTTCCAGGCTTTGTATACCTGGCGAGAAACCCGACTCAGCGTGGATGACCGTGTTCGGTCCAAGCTCGACGGAATAGTCTCGCAGCCGGTGCTCGACTGCATCAGCACGCGCGCATTCCTGATACAATACGAGGCACGAGCGGGGAACGTCAACTCGACGGCCGCCGCGTTTGAGCGTGCACTGGAGAATAGCAACCAGTGTCGCCACCATCCTCAGATATGGACTGCATATATCCGGTTTTGTCACTCGCATCCTGCTCTCAGAGGCAAGGCGAAGAGCGTGTTTCATCGTGCCCTCCAACGGTGCCCGTGGTCGAAAGACGTCTACATGGAGGCTTTCCTCACGCTCGTCTCCGAGCTTGATTCGTCCGAGGTGAAGTCGGTGTACAATACCATGGTAGAGAAGGGCATGCGGGTACACTTGGAGATGGAGGACTTTGTGGCGCACTGGAAAGAACAACAGCGCGACAAGAGACAACGTCGCTAAGGTCTCTGTGTGTGCACGCCACCACTTTATTCTAGGATGCAGATATCAGCGCCATATGATGTCCTCCGTTAGCGCATAATGCAGATCAGACCAGATCCATATGATTAGAAGATCCCCCCCCCCCTCCAAAAAACTCCGTTAGCGCATAATGCAGATCAGACCAGATCCATATGATTAGAAGATCCCCCCCCCCTCCAAAAAAAAAAAAAAAAAGGCACAGGCAGTCATGAATACAAGAAGTCGCAGGCGGCCAGAATTACAGAAATCGCCGGCCTATGCTAGCACCTTCTTCATCCTGGACGTGACAGACCCGATTCTCGCTTTCAAGCTCCTCCGCCGCAGCTCTTGCTTGCGCTGCTGGCCGTCCGGTGCTTGTTGACCAGCATCCCCAGGGTCTACTACCTTTCCAGCCTCCGTTCCCACATCTCCACGCTCCGTCGCAACTTCGGCCTCCCTGGCGCCAGCCGCCGCGCCGGCGGCCTTCAGACTGCCCAGCGTGATGGTCAGGACATCCGGGTCCCCGTCAAACGCCGTGCCCGCCTGCTCGGGCTGCCCAGTACCGCTGGGCACCACGTCGTCATAGGGAAAGGCGTAACCCCTCCCGTCGAGGTTGACCTCGTGCAAGATGCGCGAGTAGTGGTTCGCCACTCCCGCCGCAGCACCCGTGGCCGCGACGCCGGCGTAGTAGCTGCTTACCTTCTCGCCGTCGGGCTGCTGCGGGTTGGCCAGCAGGGTGGTCCGGTTGAGCGACGCGGCGATGCGCGCGCCCAGGTTGCCCATGGCGTCCCGCGTGGCGTCCGGGTACGACCCAAAGGGCCCCGTGCTGCAGGTGAAGATGTCGCCGGCGGTTGGCTTGGCAAAAGTCCCGATGCCCGGGAATGTGAGCAGCCCTGTGGACGGCGCGACCCGGCCGGTCTGGTTGCCCCATTGGGCCTGGGTGTTGATGGTCAGGTCTTGGGAGGTGTACTTTGCCCAGCTACAGTTTTGATTCCCCCATCAAGTGGGTTTAATGTCAGCGGTCTATGTCGATGTGTGTGTGTGTGTGTGTGTGTGTGTGTGTAGAGAGAGACAAAGATGTCGGGCGTGATGATACACGGAGCTTTTTGCTGCTGCTGGTCTCGCAGCATCACGAGAAGAACAAAAAATAATGCCCCCAAGGGAGGAGGAGGAAAAGACTTACACCTGATCCACATAAGCCTGATAGTAGCCCTGGAACAGCGCATTGTTCATGACCCGGGCGCTGTTTGGGCTCAGGGCGCGCAGGTTGGACCCGTCTGCGGCCTTGACGACGAGCTGGGCCCAGCCCGCGTTGTCCTTGGCCTGCTGCTGCTCGAGCTTGGCGACGACCGCGTCCAGCCCACCCGGCGGGAGGCCCCGGACGACCTGCTGCCGGCCCTGGCGGTTGCGCAGGTTGAGCGCGATGGGCAGGGCGACAAAGTCGACGTAGCTGATGTTGACAAAGAGCTGGTCCGCGTTGAAGGTGAACTCGCAGAAGCCCCAGTTGAGGCTGTAGTTCTTGTCGGAGGGGTTGGTCACGCTCGGCTCGACAATGGCCGGGCCCGGGTTGAGGAGGAAGGTCAGCCTGGCGCCGATGACGAACCAGACCCGGCCCCCCGCGATCCGGGGCACCGTGACGTTCCGCGTCGACCCGGGGCTACCGAGCGAGATGGCGACGTCGGCGGCCAGGGGCTGGAGGGTGCTGCTCGGGGAGACTGGGCGGTACACGGTCGCGCCGTCGGCCTGGACGAAGATGGGCGAGTTGTTGTTGTTCAGGTCCAGCCCCGTAATGTACGCGTACGCGTTGGCAGAGCCGGTCTGGTTGACCAACGCAAAAGTGGTGGTTTGGCCTGTCATGGTGGTGGTGGTGGTGGTGGAGGGTGGGTGAGTGGCCCTGGCGACTTGGTGATGGTACGGTGAACAAGATTGGAAAGTCTCTGTAGCAGAGGGATATGGATCCTGTTCAAGTCATGGCACCTGTGTTGCGCCTGTCTTGTGTCGTGAGCGTGTCAGTCTGCCGGGCCGCAGGTCGTGGGTGGTTGTCAAAGTATATGTATATCCCCATGTTCACGTCCACCTGCGGATTTCCTTGATCTTGGTGGACAGGGGACTACGACATGTCTTCCACGTCACGGGGGTCCCAACAGCGACAGAGGCATGTGCACTGGTAAACCAAGACTTGCGACTCTCGAGCGTGTCCAGTCTTCGCCTCCGCGAGCCCAGCAAGAACATCTGTTCTTCCAGCTCCATCTGCTCGGGTCTGAGGCAATCAATCAGTCAATCAGCATGTGCCATGTGCCGTGTGCCGTGTGCCGTGTGGACGCATGCTGTGGAGACCCGGTCACGGCGACTTCAGATGCCACACGCCCCCCGACTCCCGCCAACACCTAGTGTGTCTTACTAGTCCACAACAAAGCGACGCCGGGTAGGTCACGAAGCTACCTTTCTGCTTGTAGACCAGCCAGCGAAGCTGCAAGCTCGAAATCTGGGTTAGCTTCTCTCCAGTTGGATGGCCCTCGTTTAGGAGGGCAGGGGGACGGGACCATGTGGTTCATGATATCATACCCCATAGTCATACCCACTTGAGCTGCAGGAACTACTAATCTGCTATTGGATATGCACACACACACACACGCCACACCCCGCCTCCCCTTCTCTCTCTGCCATGGTCCTATGCAAGCTCGAACCATCTGGGGAAGTTGTCAGCTGGATTCAGCAGTCAAAACCAAATGCAGCCGAAGACAAGTAACCTTCAACAAGGGTCACGCCCGGCATTTCACCCGCCAAAAGCAGGAATGTCCCCGTGCCGGAACACTCTCCTTCTACCCCTGCCCGTAGAGCAGTTGCAGTTAACTGCAGAGAAACTCTATCATCTTGTCTCGGCCCGTCCCTTTCCACTGGCCATCAACGGGCCCGTTCCAACAGCTCAAAGCTTAAAGAGAGCCTCGGGCTCCAGCAAGGCGATCAGTAAAGGGAAGCAGCAGGTGGCGCAGAGAACATCCTAACCTTGCAGCGGTCAACAAGCACTATTGGCAAGCCAGCGCACACTGCAGTCCTCGTCCCCATAACGCTGCGGCTGACTTGGGACACAAGGGGCGCCGGTGTGGGGTGCATACAGGCTCTCCAGGGTTTTCCCCACGAGACCACTTTCGGCATACAATTGCTGTATCGTGTGGTCTTGTGGCTCAAGCTCCCCGCGCACGACGTGCGGGGAAGGACGGACGGCAGTGAGTTAACTATGTTGCTTGCGTGTGCGGGCTTGGTCGTCTTCATTTTCATGTGGCTGGGCTTGGGTGAACTCCCGACTGGCAGTGATTTACGTCCAACGTTGCATCTCTGCCAGACACATGGCTGGCTTGCAATGATCACAAGCGCAACCAGAACAGACCAGCGGCGGGCCTGCAATTGTGGGGTAGCCTCTGGACACCTCCTCAAGTTCGATACGCCTTTGCACGCGGTCCGTCTGGTCATCCTTCTGCAAACATGTGTTCACCCGAGTGTGCTGTCGATCAGAGTTGGTCACGGTCATGTTCTTGTCAAAGCCTGCTGACTGTCCGCTGTGCAATCCAAATACCCAACCGCACCGTTGCGCCCCCATTGGTGTATTACTCGTTATGCGCGTAAGTCGAGATTAGAAAAAGTAAAGACAGAAAAAGGCCCAGTAGAAAAGGAACAGATGACTTGTTTGCGTTCCGCAAATGGCAGCAGACCTCCCCATCTGCCGTCTACGAAGCGTGAATGTGTCGGACTTGCATACGAGATTCGTGTACGGGCAGGCTCATGAGCTCATCATCCTCCAGAGCAGCGAGAGTGCGGCAAGAGGCAGCCACCTTGACGCAGTCACAATCAACGAGCTTGCCATGCTGGTGTCGGTGTAGACGGTCTGGCCCGGAGCCATGCCGTCTTCATGCCCAAAGAAGAACGTCGGGTCGTTATTGGGGATTGCACAGACTACCTCGGGCGAAGCAGGATTAGTGCACCGGGCCGCATAAGCACTCTTTCTTTGGGCGTCAGATGAGTTGAAGTAGGCTTTGACATAGTTGACGGTCGAAATTGCATCCTGAGTCGGAGGCCCATGGGACCAGCCGGGGTTACCATTGCTCCAATGAGACATGAGCAAGTGACCCGAGGTGGTCGGAACGGAGTCACCCGTCATCTCGGCGAGCTCTTTGCCGTCGGCATAGAATGTGACCTTGCCAGGAACATAGTCGAACCGGTATTCGTGGAAGTCTGCCGTCGGATCAAATGGCAGGTAGACCTTCTTGAAATCTTTTGTCCCAGACGCATCATGTCCCGCTTGTGCAGACTCTGTCGACTGCAGCACAAGATTGACCGGGAAGGATTTGTTGTTACGGTTGAAGTCGTACGAGAGGAATTCGATATCGATCTCTTGCGTATCATTGAAGTACTGGTTTGATGGCGTGCATTAGTGATGGCCAAACGGCATGGGACTAGAAAGCTCTTGTAGGAGATGTCGCCGCTGCCCGCACAAAACTCACCCAAAAGAATGCAGTGCATGTGCCAGGCACATCAGTGACCTTGATACTGGCTCGGTAGGTCCCATATGTGTAATGCTGGTTTGCGGTCGCAACCTCTGACACCATGACCATGTCGTTAACCAGACTGCCCCCAACAAGAAGCTGCAAGCCTGCCGGCCCGCCATTTTGACCGTCTCCAGTGAAGACCGAGTCGTCTCCTATAATGTTTGACTTTACGTTGTCGACACTGTAGATTTCGCCGTGTGGCCCCCGGCCGGCGGTCTTGGAGACGTTGAATTGTTGCGGTGCCCACCCAAGCTCGCCATATTCCAGGCCCGGCTGCTTGAGGTTGAGGTGGACAAGGTCGCTTTCCAACATGTCTGTAAAGGTCCACGACTTATTATCGATGTCTACAGAGTATCCACACTCGCACTTGGCGCTCGCCAACCCGACGATGACTGGCAGAACTGCCAGCTTCCGGAGGAACAACATTATGTTATTGCTTTGCGTCAAAAAGCGAGCTAAAAGATCCTGTCTTGCCGACGGTTATCGAAAATTGGCAAGCGAGCCCACGTGTTGAGCTAGGTGCACTTGGTGGTAGGTTGATGGAGTTTGAAGCTGGCGTGTGGGGAACAAGTTGAAGACCCCTAGGCAGCTGCAAGCTTGACGTCTTGTACAGCTGGCGACACTCTATAATTGCCGATTGCGGACGTAGATAGTGTGTTGGTACCTGCGGGCGACCGACACTCAGACTGTTTTGCGAGGTATGCTGCAAGCAAGCGGGAAGCCGTGTTGGTGACTGCAAGATAAGGCGAGACAGAAGCGAAGGTGCGGGACGTCGAAGTGAAGCGAGTGGAATGCCAGCACCGGCAGGACGTCGACGACGGCGGGGATGGGGACAGACAAGTCGACCAGCAGCAAGAAGGAGGAAAAAAGAACGGACGCCTGTTGCTGAAAAGGACGATGAAGCCAAGGCAAGGATTTGGGGGGCCCCCAAGTAAGTGGCATCAAACCCCATCCGCCTGGGTCACCATCCCAGACAGGCCATGACAGCTTCACATGGCAAGAGCCACTTCTTGCCATGGCCAGGCCGCAGCAAGGGTGATATCTCTGTTGCCCTTGCCCTAACTAGAATTGCGCGCAACACGAGTTGCTCGATCACCAGCAACAGTTTCCTGCCGCTTCGTCACCGCGAGTCGTCTGTCTGCACTTCAACGCGCTCTCTTGTTTCTACCAGAGAACAATCCAGTGGCTCCCTTGCTGCGAGGGGTCAAGTCAAGCATGCATGCAGGAGGGTCGCCCGCTGCTTTTTCCTCGTGCCGTGCTCGCATGAGCAGAGCAGAGCAGCGAGCACCTGCCGTGCCGTTGGGCAAGCGGCATGAGCCACCCTGCTATTAATCTGCGTCTTATTGGCAAAAACCCCCTGCCGCCGTGGTGGTGACTGGCCGTTGCTTGCTTCTTGGCCATCGCAAGGAGCCGCAGGCTCGTGTTGCACCACTAGAGAAGCATGTCCCCACCGCCGCCCGCGTACCTGCGCATTTGCATAGCATGCATGGGATGGGGGCCAGCGCTCGCTCGATTGCTTGCTTTGCTTTGCTGGCAGGTGATCGGCATCTCTATCTGATACGCAATCCTGGTGCCCGTCACTTTATGCAACCGAGCCCAGCACTCCTTTGGGGCCAAGGGGGTTAGCATGGTTGCATCAGAGCACCCGCCCAGACGGCGCCAAGCCACCAGAACACCCACCAGGGGTGTGTCGTGTTTGACAAGGCGGCAGAGGCTCTTCTTGCTCTTCCGCCCGGCGCTGCGATGGCTTCATCATTCAAACCATCACGTTGCCGATCGATTGTCCCCCTCAGCCCACTGATACAATAGTGCGACTCCCCAAAGTCCGCACAACGGTCTATCTAGAGCGCCCGATGCACAATACGCCAACATATCTTCAGAGCAAAGCCAAAGCAATGCGCTCAAGGCGTGGACTGTGAGGGGCTGTCTTTGAGACATGGTTTAAAACATCAGATGGGCGATTGGGGGCGCGGCGCTCGCTCCCTCATGTAAGGATGTCGTGCCAGCCCAGCACCCATTGCTTGGCAGATGACAAAGCACAGGCAGACTCCCAAACACACAAGATTGATGGCATCAAGGGACATCCGCCCACTCGCAGGCGGATCCAGCCAGGTATTAGCTCTGGCGTTCACGACAGACTCCATGCCACTGAACACAGCATGTGGTCGGGCAAACACTGTCAGGCACTCCAGACTTGGTTAAGACGCGTGGCACCGATCAAGGAGGCGCAGCCTCCGTCAAGTAACGCGAGTGGTTGAGAAGTGATGATATTTTGCATCAGAATGTGGCTATGGAAAATCTATCGACCGCAAAAGGAGACTGCCAATGAAGAAACAAAACTGAAACGACGCGCACAGCAGCTCGAATCAAGAGGTGGATGGAGAAGAGAGACGGCCAACAGCCGCACAAGGAAATAGTAAGTGGACAGAGAGTAAAAACAGAACGGCGTTTGAGCACACGCTAACAAGCTTTTTTTTTGGTCGTGGTGAATGTGCTTCTCAGCTCACGGCAAACATTCTGGACGAGGAGAATGTTGCGACAGCTGAGAGCATGAAAAGAAAACTCGAAACAGGGAAAACAAGGTATCTGAGTAGTAAAAAAAAGAAACAGAAACAGAAAAAGAAAAAGGAAAGCAGCAAACAAGAGCAGGCAAACACTACAACCACATTAAACGAGGATAGGAGTGCCGTAGCTAATAGAACAAGAGAGAAGAGAACACCCTTCCCGTGGGACCAGCCAACCACTGCATCAAACATTAGGTTGCGCGCGAGGTGCCACGCCAGGTTTTCCCTCCTCCACTGTCGACGAGAGCCGGTCTGCCACTCCTGCATAGTCTCGTCCACCAAGCGCATTACCGTTGACCTCTGATGCAGACCTCGACCGCAAAGTTGCGCTTTCGAGTTGACAAACTCCATGAAAACCAACGCATATGCCCCACGCCTGTCCGAACCGACGAGAAACACGGAAAAGCAAACCACTGGTGATCGCGCAAAAGGTATACCAAGGAGATCCGTTGCCACAAGGAAACAACCAAGGAGATTACAAAGGAAATAGTCGTGAACGTCGTAATATCTAGTACACACTCTCCTCGTCGGCACCCTGGGAAATCATGGAAGGAGTCGAGACGTTCGATGAGGCCTCAACATCATCCACATACCCGACAAGGGCCTGAGAGTGGAGGCGGAACGCTTCGCCCATCAGCCGGGTGATACTGTTCAGCACATGGTTAGCTTTTCCTTGACTAGAGTATTGTATATGGCAGGCATTGGGTCACTTACCCCCAAACGACCACCTCGTCAAGCATCGAGCCCCACAGGCGTGCGACTGTCGAGCTCAATTGCTGTGAACCTAAGGAACTTTCCGATTCCTGTTCGAACAGCATACGAACCTTGTGGTACATGGTCATCTCCTCCTCAGTGGCTGCTTCCTCGTCGTGTTCCAGACGATACAGCCAAAGGGTGAGGGTGATCATGAGATCCATGCCGCAGAGAGGGTGCTCGATGCTCCAGTTGGTGGGAGACGTGCGGGCAACCCATCGGACACCGTGGCGAACAGCAGTCTCGATGCAGTTGTAGCACTCCTGGATGACCTTGAGCATCTCACTCGAGCGTTTGACGCGGTCGCGGGCGTTTGACATGGCAGCAGCAACCTCGTAGTGGTCGTGGTAGCGGAGAGCCTCCTGGACAGCCTTGAGATCGACCTCTAGACGCGCCCGAGCGTTGCGGAACAAGGCCTTGGCGTTGAAGATCAGAGGATGGTGGCTGTTGTGAGGCGAGCTCAAGGGTACTGCGTCGACTTCTGGCTCGCAGAGTTCCAGAGACTTTTCCCACGTTTCCAGAGCAAGTCGGAGCTTGTACTCGGTCACGACATCTTGCAATGCCTCGGGACTCCGCTTGTGGTACCACACTTCAAGGAACAGCGCATTGATCATGACACGCGTGGCAAAGGCGCTGTACTTGAGAGTCTCGCCCTGGAAGAGGTTGTCGTGAGCGACCATGAAAGTTGTGCTGGGCGCAGAATCCAAGAAGCCATGCCAAGCTGCATCGTCTGTAACCTTCGAGTTCCAAAGAGCTTCAGATGAGGGAAGCTGAAGGTCTTCGAACTCGTTGAAGCTGATAGCAGGCGTATGGTTGTAGGTGAGCGTCATCAAGCCGAAGAAGATGTAGACCGCGTAGTAGGTGCGACGGCAGCCTTCATCTTCGACCCATTCAGCGCGCGACGGCGCCTTACCCTCGCGAGCATCCTGGCGAAGCTTGAGCTCGTAACGATTGCCAGCAACCATGTTGGCAAGCAGACTCTTGATGGAGCATGCCCATTCAAGTCCCTTGGGGTCACCACTCCAGCTGGCGAAGATCATGTTCAGCAGTGAGCTCTGCATGGTCCACAGCGGGCATTTCCTGGAGCTGAAGTTCTCCTTGTTCTGGAGGAACTGGTTGACGAGTACTTTGGAGCCAATGTGAAGCATGTAGGCTTGGTCTTGGTCAAAGGCATAGAGAGCTCCGATGGAAAGTACAGCAAGAAGGAGAGCTGGCGAGGTCTCAGTTGGGCTGAACGACGACGGGTGCAAGAACGGCAGGTGGTGGTGGAATAGCCCGAAGTATGTCGCAAGATATCGGTTCAAAGCAGCGAGGGCTGGGACACGGAAGCCGTCCAAGAAAGCCCGGTCAGGGTCGTTGGCGCGGATGTTGTCCAAGATACGATTCCGCTCGTCATCGCTCAGGACCTGAGGTGCTTTGAAACCGGCAGAGGCCTGAATGAAAGTGGAAGTCAGTACACAGACGGTCTCACTCCGAGGTCAAGGGTATGGGTTGTGCACTACTTACGCTAGCAAAGGACTGTTGCGAATCTGAACCATTGGAGGCGACAGAGTTGGCCTTGGCATTCGCAGGACCTTGGGACACGAAAGCATCCCAGGGTGCTGTCTGTGGGAGGCCCGTGGGTGTCGCTTGAGGAAAGGCAACAGCGGGATCCATCATTCCAGTGTTGCTAGGGGTGAAGGACATAGCCGGGCTAGATTCGTACGGGCTGCCATTGTCGCGCATCGCGGCTGTCGCTTTATGGTGCAAGTCAGCGACGAGCATAGCGGCAGTCTCGACATCGAAGACGCCCTCAGTGCTGGACTCTATCTGCTCACTCAATGCCGATGTATCGATAGCAAGACCCGACTTGGATGGGGTGCTGACGTTGCGAGCCTTGGTTCCCGCGCGACGTTTACCGTCGCTGTGGAGAGGCACGCCACCATCTTTGGCATGCACGGTTCTGTCGTGGCGAAGCAGCAAGTCACGGCGCACAAATGTACTTCTACATTTCATGCACTTGAAAGGACGCTCCTTGGTGTCTGCAATCAGTTAGTTAGTCATTCGGCCAGGTTGTGTGAAGATGAGAATTGTGGAGGGGTAGCTATGCTGACTCGCATCGCGCAAGACCTCATGATGTGGAGGGGCACAGTATTTTTTTAGGTTTGGTGTGGAGGGGGAGGAGAAGGAAAAGAGGTGGAGGGAGTGGGCGGCGCCAGCTGGGAAATAATAGCGAGAGGGAAGAAAATTGGCACGTACGAGACCGCTCATGTCTGCTTCGGTGCTCACTCCTGCTGAAAGCCCTGTTACAGAACTGGCATTTGTACTTCCTCTCGGGCTGTGAAAGCGAGGTCTTTCGGGGAGTTGATGAAGAGTCTGTGGATGGTGTGGGCATGACGGCCACGTTTGCGCCAGGCATCTTGAAATTCTTCGTTGTCGGGGCTGCCGTTCAAATCGGTGGCCGAGAGAGGGCAGTGGAGGGTAACCGGCAGCACGGCTTCGTATGAGTTGGGCGGTGCGACGATGTGTTGACAACGAGGATTGTGGTTGATGATAGTGGTGGGATGCTGATCGGGGTCAAAGACCGCAACAGTCGACTCTCCGGAAGACGAGGGGCGTCTGCCGTTGCACAGGTTATATGTTGAACTGGCACCTGAACGCTCCTGCTCGCTCTCGCTCTCGCTTGCGCGACGCTCCCGTGGGCTTTAAAGTGTGTCCTGGTGACTTGACGTGTTGAAGCAGATCATTTGAATGGATATTGTCATGGAAGGTGTCTCTGGTGTGGTTTTGTGCAGGCTCGGTGACCTGGGGGTGTCCGATACAAGGTTGTACCAGAGAATCGAGTCTCTTCCGTCGCGAAGTCAGACTCGAGGCGACAGCAAGCTGCGATGGCTTTGCTGGTGGGGGATGGCGGGCAAGCGGTGGTTGCGGATGAGAATGTGGTTGTAAAGATCAGGAAACGAGCGAGGCGGGGGAGGAGGGGGGAAGGAAGACCTCAAGAGAGAGCGGTGCGGCGGGCGGGTCGCGCAGGAGGCCGCGAAAGAGTACTTGCACGTTGTACACAGTGTGAATGCGTGGGCGATGAGTTGTGCACCACGACATCCACTACTCGCAAGCACCAGACCCAGACCCGCGGCATCGCAAGCACTGACCAACCCTCCCAGGGGGCGTGCCCAGGCATCGTGGCGGCCACTTCTGGCGGCCCTCGTGGAAACAATGCGGCGCCCGAGCTTGAGGAGGGGGCCCTGCAGTGCAGCCCTCCCGCTGAGGCGTGTCCCTCCTTCGCCAGGACCGCCAAAATTACAGGTAATTACGAGCACGAGCCGTGGCCAGGTCGACAACAGTCCCACCCACTCCCGTGTCCCGCAGCTCAGCGAGCATGACAATCCTCTGACGGCTTGCTCATCTCGTGTACACCGATCATGCAAGCGGGCGCACGCCGAGTCCTGGCCCCAGTATGCTGGTGCTGGCCACAGCACTCCTAGGTGCGACTTGTTCTCGTAATACCGTCGCTCAGATGGATATACAGCTTGAAATCGAGCGACGCCTGTGCGAAGAATGTTTTGCTGGCTGACTGAGCGCTCTCGCCAACCACAAGAGGCCGGGCAGTTTCGTGATTTCTTACTGTATTGCGAGCACTGTTTGTCTCAACGAGGGGTGGGCAGGACGACGCCTGAGAGGGAGGGGGTAGAATCAGTCCAAAGGGAGAGAGGGGCAGCTCTCGGGAAGGGGGAAAGGTCTGAAAGCACGGGTGGGGGCTGGTTGTGGTTGGAGGGGAATGCGCACAGCGGAGGAAGCTCCTTTGCGCCGCCGAGAATAGAATGACGATGAGATTGACGCTTGCTGTGCACAGCTCGATAAACGAGATTCCATGTCTCAAGCCGCGATCCTGCTGTATGTGGCGGAGCGCGCGGGCGACCACAAACAAGCTGCACTGTCGACTGCCAGCACCTGCATTAGCAGCAGCTGCTCATCACCTGCAGCAGCCTCGAGGCTGCTGAGCTGTTCGCGCACGCGGGCGACGCGTGTGGACAAGCACACCTTGCTTGCACTCTAGCTGGCCGGGGGGGGGGGGCCAGCGTCAGCGTGGTGGTGGTGGTGGTGGTGGTTGGGGGGTGTCGCGACGGCATCGCACCCGCGACGGGCCATGGATCATCGTGCTTTCTGGCCCCCTCCCCAAGCAGCCCCTCCACCCCACCCACACCAGACCTCGCGCGCGCGCCCACCCACCACCGTCCCGTTGCGGCACCGCAGCCGAAGCCTCCCTGCTCATCAATCAGCTTACCGTGCCTTGTGATGCCCACCTGCGCAAGCCAGCAATGCACAGCGCTGCCTCACACAGAGCACATCCCAATGCCGCGCGTGCCTCTGGATCTGTCCCCGGCCCGCGGCTCTCCCCGCCCAGTCGTGGCCCGGCCACATGATACCGCTCTCTCAACGTCGATATCCACCATTCGTTTCGTGACGTGGCTCGCCTTAGTTACAGCCTGCACCGGCAGGCATCTCCCCTCACTTGCTCGGCTCGCCCTGCTTGGACACCACGACTGCCGATGTTCGGCGGCCCGCCATCGCCGCTTCGGGAAGTTGTCTTGATGCCCAGCGAGACAAGCAGAGGACAGCTTGCACATGACACCCCGAGAGACGGCATAATACCGTTAGAGTTGCCCGTTAGTGAGGGGAAGCGCGGGGCCTGTCTGCTCAGGCGTCCTGGTAGAGCTCCTTGTGAGGGGTTGTGTCAAGCTCGGCTGTCGCTGTTGCCTCAATGGTTGTTGGCGACCTCGAGCAAGCATGGCTGCCGCCGCAAGAGTGCGCAATGCCCATAAGACGGGCGGGCATGTACGCAGAACATCCCGCGATCGAGCCACCGCATCGTCCAAAGGCACAAATGACTGTGCGGCAGGGCTATGACATTTGGGCGAACCTTGCACGTCCCAGCTGCTCGCCTGGACGCTGCGAGGTCCTCCTAGCGCAGTCATTATTGCGCCCCGGAATGCTGGCTGCACAGTGCCAGAAATATCCACAAGGCGCACCCGCTTCTCGGTCGTCTCTGCGGCCATCGCAGTCATCCGTTACTGTTAGCCCGTCCGACAACAGCGTACGCTTGCGCTCGAGCAACGACCTGCCATGGCTCGGGGCAGCCAGCCTCAGCATGCAGGCGGTCAGTTCAGCATTACACCGCATGTTTCTTTCCTATGCGAATGACGGGCCTCACCGCCAGGGACAAGTCACTGCTGTCAGTACTGGTGGAGAAGGCCTTGTTGTCTGGGATCCATGCCACGTGCAGCCTCTATGCATGCATTCCCAAGCATATCGACGGCTCGGCTGCAGGTCCCTCAAGCTGTTGTGCCTTCGCCGGTAGCTTGCAGCTCTCTGGTCGGCACGCTGGTCCCCAGAATTAACTCAAGCTCTAGGTGAGAGGCATCCTGCGACCGGACGATTCAGGCACGGGCGGAGCATCTGCCTCGAGTGCTGTCAGGGCCACAGCAGCTCAGATCTGCTTCCAGACAGGGGGCCCAGGTCTTCTCGAAGGTCGCTCGCAGAGCCTAGGAGATTGGCTGGGCACTCCGCTTGGTGACACAACCCTGGACCAATTTACCAGACAAAGCTGCGATGCCCGGCGACCATTCCATTTCCGATGCAACAGGGCAGGGCAGGCACTCCACATATATCGCGCCAAGGGGCGTCGTACGTTCGCAATTCCTTCCAAATTGCCGGGCCCCAGTCTCGCCAGTCAACATGGGCTGGGACGCTAGGCAACGGGAAGTGGGATCCGGTCGACGCCGGCCCATCCAACGTTTCTGCAAAGTCATGAAGTGGGCTGCTTTGCCTGGTGCGTACTCCGTAATCCTGACATTGTCTGTCCTGGCAGGGGAACCCGCCTGCGAGCACGGCTCCTGGTCTTTGCAGACAGCAAGTGATAACTGTACTGTTAAGACACAACATTCGGTCGAGCAGGCGCAAAAATTCACCAAGCGACGCCTCGGGCCAACGGGCAAGCCGCAGTGCTTCGCAAGCATGCGTGAGCGACATATATCAGTCCCATCCACTTGATCCAGCGCAAGACCATTTGCGAAGAGCTGCGAGATATACAAATACGTGACGACAGTTGGTTTGGCGCAAGGGGCCGTTGGAGTTGCGCCTGAGGACCGTCCCGCAAATCCATACCGCTGGTATGGCGGAAGCACGAACCGCTACCCCTGAACAATGAGGTGGACCAGCGCATCTCCGCGATATCGTGCGTTGCCGATCAGACTTTCTTCCACGCTTCTTGTCTTCGAACCCAATATCTCGGAAGGCGGTGGTGGTGCAACATCTCGCAGTGTCGGCTCATATACCTTCTTTCCACGCTGGAAACATTGTGGCGGCGTTTGTCATCTCATCCTTTGTGTGACTCCTCGGACGTTCATCACGGACCTTGTCTGTCGTTCCGTCATTCTCGTACACATGAGGAGGACGGACACGGGCTGCACTCCAGACTGGCTGTGGATGGCTACGTACTGATGACTTCCCTGCAAGGGGCAGGGAGACCTGGCGCAATGCTAGTCGACCCAGTCCACTTTGGTATCACTAGCGGCCGCGGGCCAGTTCCGGGCCAGGCCCCATGCCACCCCGTGGCTCGGGCTCTTACAGTACACAGTACATTTCCAGCCTGTCAATTTCCAGCTGATCCGAATCGCGACTCCGGACGGTGGGGTGACTACGGAGTAGTTTGAGATCAAGTCTGCTGGTGCACGGGTCGCCCCGGCGGCGGTGGCCAGGCGGTGGCCGTGTGTGCCACGCCGCTGAGATCAACATGACTCAAGGAATGGAGGCTCGAGTTCTAAGTGTGTGCTATTTTCACTATGTTTGGCCCGCGGAGCGTCTTGCCTGTCGTCTCCGAACCCCTGACGCCCGTGTCGACAAGTCAATGCCAGAGCATGCTGGGATTGTATGACAAGCGGCGCGCGTGGCGCTTTTGATGCGCTCGTCGCTCAGGCACATACCGAGTCTTTCGAATCCAGAATGTCGATCCCCCTGGTTTTCCTCGCTGGCCAGCTCTCTAGTCTTTCTTGCCCTTCCCAGTATCAATTGTCCGCTGGATATGCCAGTTAAGTCTGTGGGGTTGTCATGGCTTTCCCACCACGCCTCGTAGGTCGTGGTCTACGTTGTGACTACAGTGAACCCAGGATGCGGAAGGTCAAAGAGAAAAGCCAGAAGGAGCAGATATTGCGCCGGGGAAGTTTGCAGCTTCTTGTCCTCAACACCGTACACAATGAATCAGTTTGTGACGCTTTGGAGCATGCTGCCGTGCATACTGCATACGTCCCTCGACTGCGCCCGTGAGGACTTTCTCGCGGGTCCATGCCCCTGCTCGAGTTAAGAAGCTTTTGGGAATGCCTTAAAGAATGTCGCGCATTTCGCCTCCAGAAAATGTCGCCT